CCTACTTTGGTGGTAGCGCTCTTGTAAAAGACGGAAGTGATCGGAGACGCTTCCGGGTTCGTTGACAGATTACGTCGATGGTTTTCACAAACTTTAAAACATTGGGTACGTGGAGTAAGCCGCCGCCTAGTTAATTGAGCTCCATCGTACGCATCTATTCATCCATTCATCCGAAGATTTCAGAAGGGTCGCCCTTTTCGGAGGCGCAGTGGGGGACGGCGGGTGTATCACTAAGACGCTTGTTACCCCCCCCCCCCCCCCCCCTCCCCATTGCATTTCTAAATAAGGGAGGCCCATTTCAGCATCGTCTACTTGAGCGTAGGGGAAACATAGTCGACCAAGCGTGCACTATATGTGCATTGTAGAGAGCGTCTAAGAAGGTGCAGCAAAGTTCCTGCCGCGAACCCATGTTGGAAAACATCCTAATCGGGACGGATTATCTTTATTTGGCATTGTTTATTCGTGAGGTCTCTGACTGCTGTGTTTAGCGCCCTATTCCGCCCATGCACCGAAACTTGGTGCCGAAATGACAACATATGACGTCACAAACGCCGTAGTGTGTGTCACGCTGTCGGACGTCGCGATCCTGGCGGATAAATGTTAAAATTACAAAAAAAAAAAAAAAAAAAAAAAAAAAGCTTGAGGGAATACAGTGTTGCTGACGTCGCGGTGTCCCAACTCCTGGCTACCGAAGCTTCCGCGTCGATCGACTGTCAAGCTGGAGGGCGACTTGCAGCAGAGCAGGCGTCTGCCACACACACACACCACCGCTGCTGTGACGGACGCCACCAGGATCGCGGCCGGCGGCAGCGTGACACTTGTATGACGTCATTAGGCGGAAATCGAGAGACCACTTTTTGGGGCGCGATAAGCACACCAGTCGAGGACGCGTTCCGTTCACCGCACCTCTGACGGCAACAAATAATATTGCAGCTCCTTTTCTCTTTTCGGGTTTGTTTCCAAGCGTGTAACGTAATCGCCAACCCCAGAAAGGGGTCACGGGCGCTCCGGTCCGCGTCGTTTCTTGGCGGAAAGCCAAGGCTACCGGTATTCCACAACCTTCCGACACCTTCGAGACACCTGTGCGCTGAAAATAAGCACGAGCCAAAGTGTCGCCCGCTCACATGGTGCTCAGTCCGGGGGCGCCCGTGTCGCAAGGAGGCTGGACGTGTGCATGCGGCTGAACTTGCTACATTGGGCGGCTGCATGCGCCACCTAGCCAGTATTTTTGGCAACAACAGTTAACCTCTATCTAAAAATTCCGATCTGTGTGATGGATGTACGTCTTGGAAACCGCGTGCGCGCTCCTTTAGGCCAACATTTTGACGAAAAAAAAAAAGAATATTTCTTCTTCTTACGAGTTAGGTAATCCCTGTTTGGTTATCTCCTCCTTCTCAGCTTCTATTTGTGCATCGCTTTCCTTAAACCCCGACGCATTCCCTAAATCAGTCTCGCCTTCGGCAACTTCAGAGTGAAGCGCTTCAGAATGAAGTATCAAGCATCCAGTCGTTTCCTCCCCCTCTCCATCACCGAAGGAGCTGTCAAAACACCGAGCTCTGGTTGAAAAGCTTAGTGGGTAGACCAGGGTGGGTTAGACGCAAGGCCAGTTGCCTTTGTCTCCAGTGCACTCCTCGAACGTGTTCGAACGCGGAACTCCGGTGTACGGTGTTCGGTGTTTCTCCTGCTCTACCTATAATTTCTGCCCGCATATCCTGATATATGTACAACTTAACCCGCAACACTCCCGTACTAGCTTCAACCAATACCCCTAGAAACGTCGCATCTACTTTCTCTGGGAATATTCATTTATATCCAAACGCCGATGTAGATTCCATACCCGCCTACCACATTTCTCTCTCGGCTGCTCCGACTATCTTAATAACTAGCATTTCCTGATCTGTCTCCCTAATGTTGCCCATTTTAGTTTTATCGATCTGCTATAGTCACTTACAGAATGATAACGGCAGGGCGTGTCATTCGAAGGCTTCCAGCACGCACTCCGTGCCTTCCACCGTGCTTTTGTGGTGTGCGGGCGCCAAAGCACGACGGAAGGCATTTATCGCCTTCCACCGTGCTTCAGTTGTCCCGCCTTCGGCCCAAAAAGACTGAAGCTCCTTCCTGCCGTTCGCGCTCTGTCAGCCACTAGCTATAATTCGCTTTCTCCATTTTACGTTGACGCTCTTCACGCATAAATAAGTATCCGAAAATTCTTCGCCCACCATTTCTTATCCATACCTCTCAATGCTCCTCAAAGCCTATCTTTTTACTCTAACTTAACAGCCGAATTCGAAGGTTATGTCAATCCCAAGTCGCCTTGCACACCTTGATTCAGATTTGTTTTTCCACGCGCTCCTACGGTCTTTCTACCCATCCCGCATCGCTTAATTTCCGGCCACGCGTGGACTTTTTAGTTTTATGCACAGGGCTGAGCATTTCCAAATGCCAAACTATAACCATTTCCAGACCTTTCTTACCACTTTTTATCTACTGTTTTCTCCTCGGAATCTCTATAACAGATGCGTTCTTGTTGTCTTCGCCAGTTGTCTACTTTCATGCGCACTGGGGCAATTTGTACAATCGTCCATCCATACCCCTGGGTGTAAACTGAATCTATGTGCCCTAAGCATATCAGGAAACCCACGAATGCAACCATGCTTGGCCTTGTTTGTCGTTCAGAACACAAACAAACGTCGCGGCAAATTTCTGAGATAATATATCTCTCAGAAAAAGGGCCTTGTCAGGATGTTATAATTCTGTTTTTTAATGAAAAATGAAAAAAAAAAAAGATGTTTTGTAATTTTTTTTAATGCGCAGTTAGTGCGCATAGACTGAGTTCGCATCATAGAAAGACGATTTCAAAACCCGTTTTAGTGCCCGTTTAAGCTCATTCACTCTGAATCGCAGATTCTTAGATTCAAAGCCTTTTGATCTCGTTGTCATATGCCCTCCTTCGATGTGCACGCTATCCAGAATGCAATGTGTGTCACATAAACACCAGTAATCCTTGTCTAGGTATCTACGCGTCTTTTTGAGGGACGATCCAACTCTTGGTAGCTCCAGGACTTCATTGCCCGGTCAGTGTGGCGAAAGTGCATTAATACGCGTACATGACTATTGTGATCAAGATATACGCAAAGCGCGAGCCAGCTTCAATATTTTCGCCAACAAACCAAACGAGAAATAGAACCCTCGTGGCCTACATCATGCACAATTAAGGTCAGTACTTACACACACAGATACACACACATACATAAGTCGTATTGCTGTATAAAAAGCATTGACGAATGTTTGGGCGAAAAAAAGAACAAAAAAAACGCTACTTATAAATTCAAATTACGGTTCTTTAGTTGAGATAATGAAGGAAGAACGATATTTGATCTCACAGTACTGTTCGGTTCGTACGAGGTTGTAACGACACCAAGGTGAGCGCAGCACAAATCAGCCAATGCAGGTTTTGCCATATATTTAGCGAACGCACAAAATGTTAACTATAAACGATACCTATCCTCCGAACAATATGGGTCCCCGAAATTTTCGAGCGAGTGGAGCGAAAGCTACAGAAACGAGTATTCTGCTTTGAGCGTGCCTGAGAGACGCGCGCTCATGCTGTGCAAGCGTTCTTAAAAGTGCCATGCTCGCGCTTGTAACTTCGGCTTCGTTCGCCCTTGGTTCTAACGGTTCGAACATTTGCTGTGGGGTATCGCACAGATTCGGCAGTTATCACTGTCGTATCGTCTGTAGTCTATAGCAACAAAAGATCGCCTTATGTAGTGCTTCACAAGACGCAGAAGTATTATTGAAGGTAGAAAGTTCGCGCTGAAGGTGGAGCGTCTACTGCTGATCTTGTATTACTTACTCCGCTAAACGATTTTATTTTTCTTTTTTTTTTTTTGGTTTGAGATGGATAAATCTAAAGGCTTTATCCGCTTTATACACCATTTAGATATTCACGAGTCTTCAGCCCAGCGTGCGATCTCCTCAGTTCAGCACGCGAATGTTTGTCGCTTCGCAAAGCAAGCAAATCAGGTGCCATACGCACCAACACTAAAAATAAAACCGGCCACGAGCCCTTTTTTTTATTTTGAAAGGTCTATTGTACACTGTAAGAAGCACGGTGGTAAGAAGTAAACAAATGAACTAACGCACAATGAAACTACGAGCTACGAGACTGAAATCCCGAGCTTCGTTTACCAGAAGCTGTCTTCACCTTTAGTAGCCCCGAGACGAGGGAAAGCCCAACCCGGCGGGGAGACCGCCGCAAACCACGTGATGCATTGCTAAGCCTAACTGGCTGGTGGGCGAGTCATACGAGATCGTTGCTTGCCCTGAAGCGGTTTTGTTGCGCAGCTTCGTAATTTTTAGTGAACGTAGTGTTGGGTGACCTTCTTTGTCGGGCTCAGGTTCGACCACAGGCATCAGCAGCGCTCAAACGTCCGCAAGTTTTATCCCAGAATGTCGACTACGTTTCTTTTCACGAGTTTGTTTACTCTTGGACGCCATCTTTGAAACCAAACCATCTCTGTCGCTCCTCGCAGTTCCTCTCCGGTACGGTGGTTCTACTCGGCGATAAACAACCTGACAACCTCCTACTTTATGTTCTGAAAAACATTCGTTGCATTATTAAATCTGAATGTAGACGACGGTGCATGTTTAAACAAAAATTCTACAAGTCTGTTTATCGTAAGCACACTCGCTCGGTAAGGTCTATCTTTGGCATCATCCGGATGTGCAGAGTTCACACTTGTCCGTACCAAAAGCTTACTGTGTGTAGCGCCCACGAAATGTCTTATACGCACGAAGCGTGTAGATTAAACGATACTCGATCAGCTTATTCGATGTGGATAGTGGTCTTGTAACGACCGCGGATTTCTCGTGGGCTGCCCAGTGTCTCGGCGCATGGCCCTTGCACTGCTTGTGGTCTTTTATGCTGGATGGACGATGATCCTTCCTTTGCTTTGAAAGAGGCAAATCCTGAAGCGTTTGTGTGTTCTTATTTGCAGGCAAATCGACGGCATCGCGCCGACCTTCGCCAAAAAGCCAACGATACGACAAGAAGATGACGGCGAGCGCTTGCTTTTCGAGTGCCGCATCCTTGCGGACCCCCAGCCGACCGTCAACTGGTACCACAACGGCGTGCCCGTCGTGGGCAAGGGAAGGTTTCAGGTGAGGCTCTGCAACAATTTGGAATAAAACCAGTTCGAGGACCTTCCAAGAGGCACCAAGCATAGCATGCTGTAGTACTATCCCGGACAGATAGCAGCCGTGGACGTTCCGTACCCCCAGCACCACATAGCAGGGGCACTCTGAAACACCGCGTCTATGCCACCTACCCTGTGCGGCGGAATTGCTCTTCCAGGTTACCCCCAGTGCCACGTAGCAGGGGCACATTGAAACACTACGTCTAACTCCGTAATTCCATCCTGTGCGGTGAAATTACTCTTCTGGGTTGCGATAAGATCCCTTCTTGTTGTCTGCAAGGTTCAAAGCAGATGCCGCCACCGCACTTACTTATGGCTTCACAGGCTTTTCTGGGTGCCTCTTTCGATGCAGGTACGATGCAGATACGAAGATCCACACACTCCGGGAAATGAGTCAGTAAAACACCTAACGAAGAACGGGACATACCGTGCTTAGTATAATTGTTGCCGATGATTGTATACATATCGTGGCAGATTCTTTTTTTTTTTTTTTTAATTGGACTGACGCCTGTTCATGTTTTTCTTTTTGTTTATTGTGTCAGCTCATTATGTCCCCTTCGTTGGATATTTGGCTAACCCATTTTCATGAGTCAGGGAATCTCCGTACCGAAAGAGGCGCCCAAAAAAGCCTGCGAAGCAAACATTGGCAAGTGCTTTGGCGGCATCTGCTTTGCACCTCGCAGAAAACAAGAAGGGATCTTATCGCAACCTGGAAGAGTAATTCCACTGCACAGGGTGGAATTACGGAGTTAGGCATGGTGTTTCAGAGTGCCCCTACTATGTGGCACTGGGGGTACAGAATGGCCGTGCTATACCTAATATTGTCCTCCATGGTACCTTATTGTGCTAATCATTCTGGAAGGCTTGTGGGCCGATGTCAGAGAAGTGCCTTGGACTTTGGAATCCCTCTACATTCTCTGTGCAGTGTCGTAGAAGCAGAAGTGTCAGAAAGTTTCGGAAGATAGGGGAGTGAAAGTGGCAAATGAGGTTTTTCTCTCCCCCCAAAATATTTACTACAAATGCAAAAAAATGTGTGTGGAAGTATTGCCCCCCGCCCCAATCTGTTTCGACACCACGGCATGGAACATAGAATTTATGAGCTGCAGTGTGCCTAGGATAGGTTGTATTCTGCACCGCTCACCTTTGTTTCTTGAGTCCATCACATAAACTCAGGATCAAAGAAGTGTTAAGTCCAAACTGTGTGCAAGCTCAGATATATGATCTGCCAAACAGCACTATGAGGGCCCTTGCCATTGTAGCCACCAGGTGTTAATATAAGAGTTTGGAATTGCACCTCGGTCAAGCAAATTGAGTCACTGAATGGTTTAGTTCGACATCATCTTAGGAGAACAGAGATGATTACTGGTTAGATTCCTGTGTTCCACAGCAGTGCACTCACTGACAGATAATGTAATGGGACTCTGCCCTTGGGCCTATTTTTAGGGGTGTGCGAATAGTGGTTCGAATCGAATAGTGCAGAATCATTTCTAGCTTCTGCACTGTTGAAAGAACCGGCCGTACTGGCTTTCCCACGCATTGTCAAAGCTATGAATGACGCAGCGCTATTCGATTCGAACCACTATTCGCACAACCCTACTCATTTTGCATGCTCTGTAGACACACCGCATGTTTTTTTGCAAGTTGTCAATCAAGAAACTACTGTTGTTAAAATTGGTACTTGGCAAGTGTACCCAAAGGTGGTTTTGCAGCCTAAATTACACATTGTCTGCTAAGTTTGCAAACTATGGGATCTGTCTCCTGGCAGCTTCCAGCCGTTTTAATGAAAGTAATTCAGGGGCCTCAAACATGCGTCCCGCAACTCTCTGAAATGCGGCCCACAAGTTTCCCACGGCCGTGAGCCCCTGTTCCCATGCCTTAAGTGCCACATGCATCATAAATAATAGTTTTATATTGTAGATTCATTTTCGTTTGAAAGGAGTTTGCTGCACTCATGCATTTTGCACTATTCTGTTGTTCTTTTTTTTTGACAAAGTATTGCTTCATCTAAATATTTGCTTCTCAGCACTTTCTCATGTAAATCAACCGTATTGGCAATACCACTGCTAGGGTTTACAAGTGCCCAGCAGGAGCAATGACCAAAGATAAAGCTATGAGCTCAGGCTTCTATCTGTCAAACAATACCTCTAAAATGAAAGTATTTTCTTATAATGCTGCTATAAAAATTCTCGAGAAAGCGAAAACGGCCGTATGAAGAGATAGTTTTTCTATGCCTGTAATTGAGCCTAGTAAATTGTGTAACAGGGCAATGATGGTGTGCTTGCTCTTGTTCCATTCTAAACTGTCAGTACTGTGGTATGGCGGTGTTTTAAACCTTTTTATAACGTCATGTGCGGGCCCAAGGTAGTCAAATAAAAGCTAAAGAAGGCAAAACGATGAGCTCACAAAAAGCAGAGAGCACAAAGTTCCTTGTTAAAAGAACCTTTGGGTGTCACTGTGATGATCGGCTGCTTTGCAGAGTGAAACGCCAATGCTGTTTGTTTAACTTTTTGTCTGAACATAGCAAAATATTGCTCCCCTTTCCTCCCCTTTTGTGGATGGGCCACCTGTCCCCCACACTCAAATGAGTATGAGACCCTGCACTACATACTCCAACTCCAATGTTTTGTGACTGAAGGAAATGCTAAAAAGACAGTCCAGCACTTTTTCAGGGAACAGGGAATTCTAAATAAAGTGTATATTCGGCAGCAATCATACTCTAAGTTTTAATTATTTCCTAGCGAGGTGCTTGTGCTTTTGGGTTTCATTCTGTAGACATTTCAGTGAGGTTATATCCCTCCAGGTACAAGCTGCCTACTTTGTTTTTTCACAAAATTCACCATTCTACACACCTTTATACCTCGACACATGGGACAAGCGCAAAAACCTGGACTAAACTCCTCAATATCCCCATGCCTCCCTTCAACAGTGTGGAATGTGCAGAGCCGTTATCCTCAACTAATGCATGCTTCTTGACCAGCTCTTCTGAACATGCTGTGTTCAATAAACCGCCTCAACCGAATCTTTTGAACAGATGATGGTGGACAAAGACGGCAACTCGTATCACGTGACACTACAAATCGACGACGTCACGATCGAAGATGCCGGCAAGTACAAGGTCACCGCCCACAACGAGCTTGGAGAGAGTAACGCCACCATCAGCCTCAATTTCGACAGTGAGTCGGAATGCACCTTGCTCGGTAGTCTGCATGTTTCCCAACAAACGCTTGCTGTAATAATCTGCGTGGTGTTATGTGCAGGTGATGACATTCCCGAAGAGGGTGCGAAGCCAACGTTCGTCGAGAAGCCGATGATCAAGCAGTCAGATGACGGCAACAAAATCATCTTCGAATGCCGACTGATGGCTGACCCGCCGCCATCGATAGAATGGTGAGATCTTTCGCACGTAATTCTTAAAAAAATAGGAGTGAAGAAATTTATGGTTGGATCGCTCCACGTTACCTTCTCTTCGTTTTGCTCTGGTTGATGTGTGCAGTGATGCTGAATGTGTCACTAATCAATACAAAATTGAACTTTGAACTTCATTTTCCAATGACAAATTTGATCCGCAAACAGAGAACAAAAAGCATTCAACAGGAAGCTTGACTGGGACCAGTGCCCCTGCAGATACGGGACTTGGATCATTCTCAAAAACGTTCCATAGTCTTAGAATTCAAAGATGCCACAGTTTTCGAGCCTTTGCGAGGCAGCTTAAAAATAAATGGAAGAGCTTGTGGCACAAAAATGATAAATTCAGATTATTTTTTTTACATGACCAGTGAAGAACCACTTGAGCAAACTTCAAAAAAAACCTCAAGAAATAGTTTGCCTAGGTGGAGGTTCACTCAAGTTTAATGCATTGAACACAATGAGGTCTTACTTGGGCATTTTACGAAAGTTTGTTCATCCGAATAGTTAGTTCAACTGGAGTTCGATCAGGTGGTATTCCGTCGCATGTTCAGAGTATAGGTTTTTCGACGAAACAATCTTGTCACACATGCCGATTCTTGCATCTCCTTTGACGTCTCCTCTAGGTACCACAAGGGCAAGATTGTGAAAGAGGACGCTAGGCACAAGTACAGGATTGCCACGGAAAACCATACCCACACGGTGGCGCTGGAGGTGGCCAATGTCAAGTCCGAAGACGGCGGCGAGTACAAGGTGGTTGCCAGCAACGAGCACGGCGAGGGCCACGCCAACATCACTCTCAACTTCGAAGGTGAGCTGGCAGCTGCCGCCGTCCATAGTTTGCTCAGATTTTTGTCTATTGCGTAAACGAGTAGGGATAACAAACAATTACTCTAATCGGGTGGGAATAGGGCAGCTCTGAGCATTGCTTGTTCCAGTGCAAAGCTGTTTTGCGCTAACTAAATCATGAGAATGTTGCCTATCGTCACTTATAGGTAGCACATTCCTATTAGGTATTAGGTGTATCACTGTATGTCACAGTATATACTAGTAGGTAGACCCCCATCCTCTTATTCCTTCCTATTTTTGTTTCTTTAAATTTTTTTCCGAATATTTTTTGCCAACGACCTATTGACAATTATCAGCTATACTAGTTTTATAATCGTCTCACCGAAACCTCAACTTTTCTTTCTCGTTCTCTTTGCAGGTGACTCTGGGAAGCCCAAGTAAGACTTTTTCTCCACTTTCTTTAAGTTTATTTCAGACTTCAGCTTTCCTAGGTGTATGCACATGGGGTAGTATATATTATGTGTCATTTACTCTTGCAGTGAGAAAAAAGCAAACATGGTTCTCTTTTCTTTTAAGCATCTTGTATATTACATTGTGGGACTTTTGCACAATGTTGGGGGCAGTGGGGAGAGAGGGTCCCCTTGTCTTCCGCCATAGAGTGTGCGAGCCACAAGACTATCGCGTTGCAGCGTTGAGTTTTTGCTGGAGTCGGAGACGCGTTGGCGTCTTGGTGATGTCGTCATTGGCGCTCGTTGCCAGGGTGCCTGACGGCAAGGCCCCCCGGTTTCCGAAGAAACCGACGATCCGGCAGGAGGGGGACGCCCTGGTGCTGGAGTGCATCCTGGAGGCCCACCCGTTCCCGGAGATATCCTGGTTCCTCGGGCCCAAGAAGATCGCTGACGGCACCCGGCACAAGATCTCCAAAAAGGAGACCGCCAAGCACACCTACCTCCTCAGCCTCGAAATCAGGGTGAGCCACCCCCCAGATCTCCTCTGAATCCTGAGAGCCAACTCTCGTTCGAAGCACAGATCTTGTCGTTAGCGTCGGTATATGCAGGATGTGTTTCTGCAGCATTCTTTGAAACTTCTGGCAAACCTCGTAGCCTCGTAGTAATTTATTAAGGTGAAAGCCTTATATGTCTCGTCGTTCAGTCGACCTTCCAAGTTCTTGAGCTAAAACACTTTGACGACACGAAAAGCACGAAAACACGTGGCGCCATGAAAGGTATGAAAACATGTCGGCGACACGAAAGGTACTAAACCCCACGATTTGCCACGGAACCATGAGATGGCGTTACTTGTGTCAGAATCGGCGGAGGCTCTTGCACGGCACACACCCAGCAGGAGAGGAGGACAGCCTCACTCGGGTAGCAGTGAAGAGCGGGCGTGTGACATGCCGTGAGATTAACGGCGCCAAAAGTGCGTCATCAGAGAGCATGCTGTCTTCAGAGGTTCGCTATCACCGGCATCGGCAGTTGGGATTTTGCCTTCAAGTCGTCTTAGCGATGACATAAGAGACCCTGTGAATTTTTTAAAGTTACTTTCGTTATATATGTTTAAAGCTGAGGGAAAGGCGGAGATGAGAGCCTGCGGGGTTGTCGGTGCACTCGTCCCTTGTTGGAACGAGTAGTGGGCAGACGCAAAGGTAGTGCCTTTGTCTCTTCTCATTCTTTGAACCCAACATTGGTGCTTGCGTTTGAACAGTTAGCAGACGTCTTGTTCCCTTTTTCTCCTTTTTAGCTCAAGTGTAGAGTGTTGGGCCCGCATTTGTGGGGTCGTGGGTTCATTCCCTTTGGGGGGGGGGGGGGGTGGGCGGCGGCATTTAGAATTTTGGTTTTGCTTCATCTGTTGCATATTTTTTAACCATTTCCATGGTGTTCCGTCACGCTTTCCTCAAGTGCCCCCGCCCCTGAACATATCCTGCGTTAAAAGCTATAATTTAGGAGAAAGTTGCTGCAGCTGCCAAAGGCTAGTTTACACGTTTGCACTCAGCGTGGTCGGCAGCGTCACGGCTCCTAGCATTGCACTTTGACGCATTGCGCGGAGTTGAAACGAGATGGCACCAGTTTTCAAATGTAGCGCTTGAACATTTTCGGTCGGGAACAAAGGTTTTGCAGTGTTGCGGGACCAAATCTGTGCATATCTATGAGAAATGGTCACTTATAACATTGTCAGAATTATTTCAAGCTCACGGTTAAGGATTTGCACTTCAAAATTTAGAAAATATACCCGGGCCACAGATGAGCTGAGGCCTCCCAACAGATGGTTGCCGAGTATTATCTTGTCGTGAGCAGTCATAAGCGATCGTAACACACCTTGTCGCATTCTTGAGCGTGTGAACCATCATTGGATGCTCTAAACGGTCCTAGCCATGTTTGATTGGAGCCTGGTTAGAGTTTACTCCAGACACATTCCTTCTTTTGTTTAGGTATGTGTGTACACTTTCGTGTTCTAGATGTTTTCACTTCAATGTTCGCAGTGCTGTTCGTTGCGGCACGCATATGTCGCAGAAAACATCCCAAATTAGGTTTGTCAGCATTGGTCTAGGTATATCAGCGTTCCTCTAAGTATGCTTGCATACTTCTATGTACATATATAGTGGCTTTAGTTCATAGTTAATAATGTTATTAATAATGTGTTGGACCGCCAGTACCACTCTGCGTAGAAGCGCTCGCAAGATTTCACCCGAGTACTAGTGTAAAAAAGTTTTTAATAACTCGAAACACTGAACTGCTGTAATATAGAGTGAGTAGACAGGCAAGCTGGTTTATGTTACACATTTTTGAAAACCAGAGACGACGGACGAAAGAGGGGACAAACACGAAACTGCTGTTGTTGCATTGTTTTTCAAGCGTGCAAAACTGTTAGCAATAACAACTTTATTATTAGTTGTACAATTCAAAACAAGCAGCATTTTTGTTACGCTTTTATAGAAAATTGTATTTTCGAGCTGCGTACTGTTGGCAGCTTCAGTTCACTGCTTTGTTAAATTACCTAGTGCTCAATTTCTCTCAAAGTGAATTAAAGTGAATGACTTTACCCCTTAGTTTTTTTTTGTTAGGCTATGGTCACGATCAGTGGACTGGACTTCTTGAGTTAAGCATCTGGGCTTTAGCAGCTTGCAGTTTTCATACACTCTGCATATAAATAGTAAATCGCTCATATGCGGTATTCACTTTTTTTTTTCCAGGACCCAACGACGGAAGATGGCGGAAACTACCGCTGCAATGCCGTCAACGAATTGGGTGACAGCAACGCAAACATCACCCTCAACCTGAAAGGTGTGACATTTATATTTCTAGCTTGCAGCCGCAGCTTTTTAAGGCTCACGCCTCATGGCAATAAATACCATGGGCGGGGAGATCATCATCCAGGAAAGCAAGTTATTAGGTCGTAAATGTGCAGATCAATTTTTGAGGTTTTCGGTATTCTTTAAACAAATGTCGAGCTGTTGTTTGATCACTTTCTCAACTTCAGTTACAACTGTCAGAAATTAGTCTTTTATTGCTGTTTTATGAAGTCAATACAATTGCAAATTCTTATTGAAATATTCCAGAACATGATATTATGGCTCTGCTATTTTGACTCTTATGCCCGAGTCCCACTATACCCGTTTTCACGTCAAGAAAACAGTAAGTTTTGCGCATTGTTCATACGCCGCGCGAAATAGTTCTCGCCAGATTTGGTTGTCGGAGGCACAGGCGATGCTTTTGGCGTTTGAAATATGTACTCCTTGATAAGATAACGTGTATCCACTCTAAAATGCTAATAAATATATCTTAAATCTCCACCTAAAGGTGAAAATTAGTAATCATGCGCGAGAAGCCGGACTTTTTTTCCTATGGTTCTTGAAGTGAAAACAGGTATAGAGTGACAGACAAAGACAACCAACACGGGCAAGCCTCCAACCCATGCAGCATACTCACGATGCTACCTTTGGCAGGCGTTTAGTCGTTCGGTGCTCGTGAAGCAAGCGATTGCAAGGTTGCCAAAGATACCCTCGCATGCATGACGCTCGTGTTTGAGTATAGCTGCCTTTATTCTACAAAGCCTGTCAAATTGCCAAAGATTCTGGTTTGAGGCTCGTCGCTGTCGGTTGTTTCTGTTTGTCGCTCTAGCAGGACTTGGGCATTAGGGTTTGCTGAATAGAGCAAACTTTTCTAAAGCGAAACAAACTTTCCCTGTTCATAGTCATCTTAAAGTCACATGATTCTTGCCATGTGATTGGCATTAAACATTCTTTCTTTCTCCTGCCATAACAAATAAAAGTTATTTTTTTTTAAATTTCTTAAAGGACAGCGACGGACCAAATCTGCTTCTAACTTGCCATGACAAAATGGACGTACATTTGAAAACATGTTTGCTGTCACATAATTTTTTTCTTCTCACACGATTGTTGCCAAAAGTTCAACTGTTGTCAAAGCATTTTCTTATCATTTGATTGCTGCATGATTGTTGTTTTGCTGTCACCGTCACGTGAGGTGCTGCCACGTGACGGTTGGCAATCAGCTTTTGTCGGGGCCGTTTTCGTGATTCGTTTCCTCGCGATTGTCACCTCGCAACTGGGGTCACGTCGTTCTCGTCGCTTGCAGGGGGTGAGCCACCCAAGACGGGTGACCCGCCCGTGTTCACGGAAAAGGCCAAAATCATTCCAAAGGACTCCGGGGCGATCATCGTCATGGAGTGCCACGTCAAGTCCAAAACTGCCCCCCAGTTCACGTGGCTCCATGGCAGTGATCCAGTCAAGGAGGATCCCCACATCAAGTTCAACATGGTCAAGGAGGGAACAGAAGACTACGTCATCACCCTCACAATCACGGTGGGTTTTTTGTCGCAATGTCTCGACCGACGTCTCAAATCAAATCGGAACAAGTTTATTTGATATTTATTTTACAAGATGTAGGGGGTATGCGCAAAAAGCCGCCGAAATGCGGCTTGACTGTGTTTCTTTCTGTCGAATGAGCATGAATGGCCCTGACAGTCACTGTTTGGGCCATCTCTGGGTAGCATTAAAATAATTATGTGTAGAGGTGTGCAAAGATAAAAATTTCAGCTGCAAATCGCGTATGAATGTCGATGCGATTGACTGACAAAATGGAAACTGGGGCTTTTTCCTGCCTCCTCAGGGTCCCAATAAAGATGACGGAGGCGCATACAAGTGCAACATCAGGAACGAACACGGCGAGATCAACGGCAACCTTAACCTCAACATTGCCGGTAACTATGGTTCCTCATTACCGCTTGCGGAGCAGCACTTAATTGGCCACACTTGTAGCAACATGCCCTGCAGTTGGATGAATCAGCTTGGCCTTTTTAGGGGAAAGTATTATTTTTTGGGGTTTGCAGACTACATATTTGGGGTTCTAATTTGCTAGAGCTTGGGTCCTCGACCAGTGTTTTTATGAATGCTGCGGACTGTCCAATGCGCTCATGCAGACTCTTCTCAAAATCCCCCCCCCCCCCCCCCCGTCACTAAGTAATATGCCCTCCAGCTTCGGTAATACAGCTCAATTATGCTTTGATCTCATTACATAAGAGACAAGAGGTTGGATTCTGACAGAGTAGATTTTCTTTGAAGCATTTCTCCTATCCTTTAAGAGCGTCGTTCACTCGAAAAACATTTTTCATAACTGCCTGGATAGGCCTTGTGTGTCACAAGATACATCTCCAAAAAGAAAAATGAAAATATTATTTACTTTGATAGTTTTGCCATGAGGCTCACATTCAGTGTGAAGCAATGTCTTCTGCTCGTGCGGTCTGACTGTAAAATGACTTCTATTTCGGAGTAAACATTACAGTGATGCCAAAGCCTGAAGAGCCTCTTATTGGATGGAAGGCGCATGCCTCTCCTTTGGCTCTGCGAATGGTGCGAGGGAGAAAAGTTGAGAGGAAGATTGATCTGCACATGCCATCCATGGATCTGTCTAAATTGTGTCTCGCAGCGTGAAGATTCCGCAGTGTTGAGTCAGATTTCGTAGCCGCTGGGCTATTGACACAGCTGGTCTGGAGGTGTAAATGATTGTATTTGAATGCAAACATGACGGTGAGAGTGGCAGGTGTTGGGAGGATATAATGACTAAAACGAATAAAAACATAACAAAAATAGAGAAAAACTGTGTAAACAAACGAAAAATAAAAAGTAATAAAAATAATAATTAAAAACAAATAATGAAAAAATACTTGAAAAAAAAAAAAAAAGATAAAAAAAAATATTGAAAAATTTTGCATGAACGGCACACGGAGTGTGGTTTGTGCAGAACACGTTCTGTGGTCTCGGGTCTGTGTCACTATGATAAAGCCCGAGTAGTTTTTTCGTTTTTTTTTGGGGGGGGGGGGTAAAATGCATTTTGTGACAAAGAATGTTTTTAGAACGGGCAATGCCCCTTGTTGACAATCTGACCCTTTACCCCAAATCTGTCCCCAGGTTTGTCCCTATATCATTCCCTAAACTATCATCCTAGGTACCACCTGTTTTCAGCTATGGGGAATTGAGGGAAAGGAGGTATGGGTGTAGCCACAGCTGACCTCGGACCCTCGTTTCAGGTGCGGCCGCACCCACCGGAGTGGCGCCATCGTTTGTGGAGAAGCCGCAGATTACGGCGGAGCAGGAGGGAAAGCTCATCATCATGGAGTGCAAAGTGCGTGCCGACCCCAAGCCCACCATCTCGTGGCTCAAGGAAGGCGTCACGGTCCAGGAAGGCAAGCGGATCAAGCAGATCATCACACAGGACAAGGACGTCTACCACATACGCCTCGAGCTCTACGTGAGTACACACCTCTGCAAAACTCACTCGCGAGCGCACTCACTCGCCTTACTCACTTGCAGACACGATGTAAGGTTGAGTGAGCCTGTGAGCCTCGGAAACTGATGAGATGAGGTTGCATGGGGTGATGAGTCCAGTGAGCTGTGTTTTTTTTTTTCTTTTTAAATATGCTTTTATTGACATAAAATTTATATAAATAATGTAGTAATTTATAGAAACATAAAAATGCTCTTATGAACATGAAAACAACAACAGAAAACTGCATTGGTTTTGAATGTGAGTGAAACAAGGAAAAAAAAAAACGCAGAACACAGCAGATGAGTTTTTGAAAGTTCTTCAAACTTGAACATGGGCTACCTGAATATAATTTTCCAGATTCAGAACAGCACCTTGGGTACAGTGGATGAACCGCTTGTGACAACACTTACTGGAGCACATCCTGCCTCTTCTAACTTGAAGATCTTGCTTTCTTTGCCGTAGGACCCAGAGTTCTCGGACGCTGGCGTCTACAAGTGCAACGTCAAGAACAGCGCAGGAGAGAGTAACGCCAACCTGACTCTCAACATTGAGTGTAAGTGTCCTGCTCATCTCTGGTATGTTTTCAGGAATAATGAAGAAGCTATGCTCTTCCCCAATACCACTATCCCAAACAGTGAAAAGCACTCTATGAACAAGCTGAGAGGCGCTCAAGGAACCTTCTTGACTGAGGCGTAAGGTTACGATTTGATCAAAAATATCAGTTGGCACTGACAAATAGTGGGCAATCAGAGACACCAATCAGCACTGACAGAGTATGAGCGCATGATGCTATGAACCAATCAGACACATTGGTACTTAGGGAGAGTGAGGCTGAGAACCAATCGAATACCAATTGGCACTGACAGAGTGCTAGCCTGAAAGCTATGAACCGATCAAACGCACTAATTGGCAATAACCAAACTGTGAGCACATGAGGCTATGAACCTATCAATGAAACTGATCGGCACTAACAAAGAGTGAACACGCACGAGACAACGAGGGGATGATGGTGCGGTCCCTCTCTCGCGTGTCGCAGTGGCCCCCGTCATCAAGGAGCGTCCCAAGATCGTACGTCGCGAGCACCACAAGACGATCGTTATAGAGTGCCACGTCCAGTCGGCCAACAAGCCGGAAGTGGTGTGGTTCAAGGAGAACACGATGGTGCGCGAGGACACCCGACACCAGGTGCACATCCGCCAGGTGTCCCAGGGCGAGTTCGCCGTGGCGCTCGAGATCGACAAGCCCGACGCCGTCCAGGACAAGGGAGTCTACAAGCTGGTCGCCAAGAACGTCAAGGGAGAGGCCGCGTCGCAGACTGTCTCTGTCGAACTCGACGGTGAGTCCATTGTTTCCAAACAGTGCTCGCTGCCCACTCGCTCTAGGAGCAGACATGTGCTTTATTAAAGAAAGCTTCCTTAAGAGCTTTCTGTTTCAATTTGGAATAGCCTTTATATGTTTGTAACATTTATTCAGTATAATATTTGAAAACAAGTATCTGCAAACATAATTATGGATGAGAAGTTCTTGAAATACAGCTTTTGCATTTTGTTTTTCTACTTGTTTAACTTCATATTGGTAATTTAATTTAGTCTGAAAAATGTCTGTTCATATAACTATAATCCAGATCTCGTTTAGGCCTCTGTGAACCTTCAGGAGCTTTATTTCATGTTCATTCGTTGTTATTAAATCGTCTAAAGCAATTGGTTGTGTTGCCCAATAGTTTGCAGTTCACTTAATCTCTAGTTATCATGCCAGTTAATAGTTCTAGCTAGGCTTGGTTCATATTTCTTGTTTTATTGACTTAATTTATTATTAATGAATTGGTTTTCAGAAGAGAAGAAGGAACCTGAAAAGAAGAAGGAACCCGAAAAGAAGAAAGAACCTGAAAAGAAAGAGGAAGCGTAAGCTTGTTTTTTTCCTTTGTTTCTTCTTTAATGTGAAAGATCTGTTCTGGTCAGTTGATCAAATGCTCCAGAAAGCTGTCTCGTGCAGTTAGTGTCACAGTTAGTATTGCAAGTTACATTTGGATACCATTATACAGTCAAATGGCAGGTTTGCGCACTTGCAACTGCTTATTACCGAGTGCATTGTCATCTCTTACACGACGAGAGAAGACACTGGCGCCATGTATGAGGCAGCAGTGGAACATTGGGGATTCCCGTATATTTTCTTTTTTTTGTGCATCATTCTTTCTTTATTGGTTTAAAAACTTTTGACAGTGTTATGAACGGCCACTTCTTATAGAAAGGTACGTACAGGTGATCTCGCAATTACTGCAAAAACCTTCGCTCTAGTGAAACGCTGTTCCAAGGCTGCCTCATAGAATGTCGTTGGCACATTCCCTCCTCGTGAGAAGCCGCAAGAACTTGGCCGTAAGCAAATGTCAGTGTCTGAAGCCAGTCTTAAATGCAGGAAGGGTCCTAAAGCTTTGATGCACAATGCGCACCATAAACTCCAGCAGAACTGCTGGAGAAAGAGCCGGTTTTTAGTTGCGAAATGAAGCTTGCACGAAACCCAACCTGCGCGCACACTCGGAGGCTTGTAACCTTTACAACTTTGACTCGCAGGAAGCCGAAAGGAGAGAAGCCCAAGATTCTACAAATGCTGGCAGCGCAGGTACGTAAAAACAACATTCCGACCCCGTTAACATGGTTGCAACGAATCTAATGCCGATCCTGATGCCTGCGCGTCTTTTGCACCTCTCTCCGCAGACCGTCGAAGAGGGCAAGTCGTGCGAGTTTGTCTGCAAGGTGGAGTCTGTCACGAAAATCACTGTCTCCTGGACAAAGTGAGGACTAGTTGCCTCATAAATTAATCTCTTTGCATTATCACGTGTCGAGGCATTTGTCACAAAACAATTTCTTGCCGTTTCGCGCCGCAGGAACAAGAGGGTGGTCCGCGAGACGACTCACATCAAACTGACGTTCGACGGCACGACAGCCAAGCTCGCCTTCCTCGAGGCTACCAAGGACATGGCCGGAAACTACACGGTCGAGTTCACCAACGAGTTTGGCAAGGAGGAGTCGACGGCGGAGCTCATTGTTATCGGTAAGATTCTCGTCGTCTGTTTCGTTGTCCAAATCTAATGGGGGTTCAGATCTGCTAATGCAGTGCTTAAACTGGGAAGGTGCTTCACTTAGGGGCAGGAACGTTGAAGGAAGTTTGGGAGTTTAGGGAGTGAGTGAGAGTAGTCCAGGGAACTGTTGGATCCCTAGGAACCCAGTTTTAGAGCCCAAGTCTCTTGCACACAAGTTTCTCAAACTTTTCTATCTCAAGGAACGCCTTTATCCCTCAATTGATAGTCAAGGAACCCACCCTGGTGTTGGGATTGAAGAAGTAAAGTGGTTCAGAAGACTACAGACCTTGTAAACATTAATGCAGAAATGAGTAAGTGTTTAGCACACAGCTGCACATCAATGGAGGGCACGGATCTCCTAAAGAATGCTTTCCCTAGGGGTGGGGATGGCCGAGGAAATCAGGAAGCTCTGGGAAGCCGGTTTGAAAACTCTCGTGCCTTGCAGATGCCGCCAAGAAAAAGCCAGAGGAGAAAAAACCCGAGGAAAAGAAGCCGGAAGCAAAAAAGGTCGAGGAGAAGAAGGTCGAGGAGAAAAAGAAGGTGGAGGAAAAGAAGGAAGTGAAGAAGGTCGAAGAGAAGAAGAAAGAAGAGGTCAAGGTTGAGGAGAAAAAGGCAGAGGCAAAGAAACCCGAAGAGAAGAAACCCGAGGAAAAGAAGCCGGCGGCAAAGAAGGCGCCCCTTCAGAAAAAGGTAAAGCCTGGCCTCCTCTGTCGCAGCATGCCGCATGCCGTCGTTCAGTTCTCAAAATACTGTCCACCGTTTTCTGCATCATGTAGGTAGCGGATACGGAATCTTGGGTTTAGATTCACCGTATTTGTAACGAGCAGTTAAGAACAGTCAAGTACACTGTTTCCTGACCATATGCCGGAAAGGCCTTTTGTTGTGCCTAAGGTTGTCGTTGGAGTAGCCAGAACTTGCTTAGACTCAAGTGTGGTTCTGCTCTGTTTTTTTACGTTCTTAACAATTTCTCTACTTCCTAGAGAGTCTTAATTTGATGTCGTAAACCGTCTGGAGTTAGAAACGATAGATTAATTTTTAACTGGTCCTTACGTAGCCGTGTGTCATATCTTTGCCCATGGTGGCATCCGTCTTTAACAGTCTTCTCTTTCTTCTGGCATCTCAAGGATTGTGCGAGGCCGTCGGCGTGCCTTGCACGTCCAAGCCCTTCTCTTTCAGGCACTTCGGCACCGCCGCTGCCACCTCTTTCCGCTGAGCGCTCTTTTGCCTTCCAGCCGACCGAACCCGAACCCGAGATTATCGCGAACCCGCAGAGCCAGGTTAATGGAGAAGTACCTGCAGAAAAAGAGCCCGAGCGCGCTCCGTCCCGGAAACGGGGTTCTCTGTCGAAACCCGACGCCAAATCGCCGAAAGACAAGAAACCCTCGCTCGAGCTCCCATCGAAGCACGAACCCAAGGAAGAGCCGAAGGAGTCTGTTCCTGCGACCCCACCTCCCTCAACTCCGAAGTGGAAGGACCGCATGCCCCCGCCCCTAAACCTAACCCCCGACGTTCCGTCGGACGTCGAATCGCCGCCGAGCACCGTGTCGTCTCCGTCCCAGTCGCCGCGGTCGCCTGGATCGCAGAAGCGGAGGTCCTTTGGGGGCCTCCAGCTCCGGTCTCCCGAGCCCGAAGACGACGAAGAGAAGGAATATGGAGACCCCATCATCTTTAAGTATGAGCCCGCCGCCACAGAGGAGCCAAAGGTGGAGTCCCCGCCCGTCCGCAAGTCCTCGGTGCCGGTGATAATGGTGGACGACACTGACACGAAGGAGGAGGGTCCCAAGAAACCGAAGATGCAGAAGGTGAAGCGTGCCGGGTCGCCCGAGAAGGCTGCCGAGCCGCCGCCATCTCCCAGGGGCCGGCGTAGCTCGGTGTGCGTAGCCATAGACCAGCCCGGCCAGACGCCGTCGGAGCTGGCGGCGCTACCCTCGGATTCGATGGTCATGGTCCACGGGGTAGCCATGAAGCTCGAAGAAGCCAATAAGATGCTCGAGGTACGCGTGCGGTTCGTGGCGACATCCTGGATTGCACCGGCAACGCGCTACCCCTCCCACCGCTCGGCTCAGTCGGTGGAACCTTTGCAAGGACACGAGAGTTGTTAGCGTACGATGCAAAAGTCGGAGTGTTTCTTTCTCGTGGCCCGAGCAAACGTTCTACCGACTGCGCCGTTTTTTATCCCGATGCCACGAACTCCTCAAACTAGGCCTAACCGCTTCTTCAAGCTGTCCGTTTGCGTGGCTGAGCTCTCGACGCTGGCTTTGCTGTGCCGTGCAAACGCGGCTTTCGGGACTTTGCAAACCCCTTCTGCCAGCCGCGGTGGCCGCCACACGCTTGCATGCTGCAAAAAGTGCCGGACATCTGATGCCCTTTTTCTCTCTAGGGGAGTCCAAGGTTGTCTCAAGGTCGTCCAAAGGTTGCACTGCAATCGTCGCGCAATCGATTTCCAGGTTGCGTTGGCGCAGCGTCAGACGACCTCTAAAAGGGGCAAAACGTTTTGTGTTTCGTGCTTCCTTTAGCCGGAAGAAGAACCGGTTCAGAATGGCGTGCCGGAGATTCGGGAGCCGGAGGCCGCAGCAGCCCCACCGAGAAAGAAGGATTCGGTGCCCGAGATCGCTGTTCAGGAGCCAGCGGCGGAAGAACCGCGCCGGATGCAGGTGCCCATCGTGAAGGAACCAACCCCCGAACCAGATCGAAAGGACTCCTTGGCGCCGGACCGGCGCGGTTCGGGGCTCGAACCGGGCTCGCCCGGTGGCTCCCGGCGCGGTTCGCTCATCATCACGGCCGACGAGGTTTGTTGAGGCCGCGTCCGACGGTGCCTGTTTTGTCGTCTTCCTCGATGTCGTCTCTTTGGCCTGGTCGTTGTTGGTGTCATGTGACTAAAGCGCCCGCAGCACGTCTCCGACTGGATTGTTTAGCGTCCCGTTCCGTCCCCGCATCGAAAAGGGGTCCCGGAGTGGCAGCAAATTACGTCGCGAAAGTTGGGTCATCCCAAACATTTGGGTATAAAAGCACCGACGTAAAGCTGAAGCGAACGGAAGTGTCGTCGTGGTCGCGGTGTCCCAACTCCTGGCTACGGAAGTTTCCGTTGACTTTCAAACCAGAAAGTAACCGGTGGCGGTATGCGCATCTGCCACATACCACCGCCGCCATGACGTTGCCAGGATCGCAGTCGGCGACAGCACGACATATCCGTGACATTGTCGGGCGAAAATCGAAGGACCACTTTTAGGATGCAGTAAACAGACCAGTCGGAGTCGCGTTCTGGGCACCATGCCGCAGTGTTCTCCCCTTGATGGCGGCAGCACTTTCTCAACCATCATACCCCACTGTTGGGTCATTCTCGCAAGTCTCGAAAAGGATTGCATGCGCGTGGCTCGGCCGGTCGCGGCCATTTTGAATCCGGACACGGCAAGTAAGCTGACGAGCGGGACTTTGTTATGTAACGTCGTCTCGGATTATAGTTTGCTTTTTGAGCTGTCGTTACACCGCTTTTGATGAGGGATCGACGAACCGTCGTACAGCGTAGGAGAAAACAATTCTTCTCGATTCGTCGATCAAAAGTTCTAGGTGTGGCTCAGTGGCGTGGGATAAAGTGGCTCGGTAATTTTTACTGAAACGTTGCGAAATTTTTATTCTCGAATTTGTATTATTTTTACACTGATTTGCGGATGGCCTTCTGTTCCGGGCAGCATTGCGGGACAGGCTTTTTGTGCAGCTCAGCCCTTTCCGTAAAATAACACTCTCAACTTCTTGAAGTCTCGCGAGCTTGCTTCCAAGGTAGGGTAGCACGTTTGAAAGGGCTAAATTAATCTTAACTTTGTAGATGTGAAACTCTACTTGTGTTTATCAGAGAAGGCATTGCAGGGGCATAGAGAAGTCTCCTAACACATTATGTTTTACTTTTTATTTTAATTACTGTGTGTTCTGACAAAGTGAGGAAGTACTGTACATGGTAAGACGGCTAAATTGTAGCAGACCTGATAAAAACGGCTTCGATTTCGACCGAGGTTTCTTTAAACGTGCAGCAACAACAACTTCGTCCGCGTTTTTCCTTCTCTCTAACCGCTATTTCGACCCTCTCGAAAAGTCTACGGGGAAATTGCGTTCGAAGATCTCGGTGTCACCTTATTAGCCGTGAGAATGCATGGGAGCCTGCTGTGTCTTTTTTCCAATGAGCCATTCCTCGTTTTTCCCTCGAATGGCTTCAATAATTTTTTTTTTTCTTCTTCCATAATCCTTGTTTTGTGTTTCGTTTCCTTCTTGGTTTTCTGACTCTTCCACCCGCCTCCCCACACGTCTTTTCTTTTTCTCTTTTTTCCTTATTGCCATTGATCAAACCCTCCCCACCGGCTATTTTGGAACGTCCCTTCGCTGAATGTACGCTTTTCCTACTGTGGCTCTTCTTCCCTCAGCACACCACAGTCAGAAACGAAACATATCTGTTTTTTACCACCTCAACACAGGCATCCCAGTTTTTCGGAGCTGTTTGGCTGGGGGCCTGCTGCCACAGACTGCTCCCTGGCCCCCTTAAATTTTTTAAGCTCCAGCGCGAGTTATTTTTGACCCTGCTCTCCTCATTTTTCATCCGGTGACGGGGGGGCCGCAAAACGGCGGAAAGGTTTTTGCTGTTGTGCCGCTGCTATTTCCCGCTTTTCAATCGTCTCTTAGTTTTTTTGTTTTTTTTTGCGTGTGAATTCGACTTTCACTTTGAGTTTTTACGTTTTGTTTCTGCAAGCGAGAACCCTTGACCCTGTCTTCGAGACATTTTTGGTGCCCGTCTCTCGGCTGTCTGGGTGTCTTTTCTCCGATTTGACGTTTTTGGTGGCAAAATTGCGGCTCGCGCACTTTGAGCAAGCTTTATTTGGAGGACCATTGCAACAGCTTGAACAAGTACGCTGCCAAGCATGTTCTATTGATTACTGGTAATTGGTTGTGAAAGACTCAAGCATAGCCTCCAGCTTAATCGGATATTACAATAGCTTACTTTGTCGCTCAAATTAAAATACTTCCGGCTATTTTCTAGGTTTGAGGTCGAACACAACTCTTAGCATTTGTGACGATAGTTCAATTATATGCACAAATATCTTTCTGTTCTTATATTGGGCAGCAGTGGCGTAAGTTGATTTTTTTTCTCAGTATTATCTGTAAATTAACCGCTGTTCACTGTTGCTAGTACTAAATTAATATATAAGTGCACTAAGCATAAAAACTGTTCGACACCATTCAACAGTGGTACCATTTTAAGCCTCTGTTGTTTACATTTTTGGCACTTCTTGGGGAGCTAAGTGGACCCACAAGCAAGAAAGACTTGCAGAAGTGACAGCATACTTTTTATGTTATTGCCACCCACCAGATGGCACATTAGGTTTGTATGCTTTATTCCTGTAAGTTTCAAATCAGGATCTGATAGGTACTGCAATCACGTTAATGCGTTACCAACCTGCCCAATCAGATGGTATTGCTCATATGTCACTGAGTGGGAAACAAAGAGTGAAGTTTTTCATGCCCTTTGGCGTGGCGGGTGCGATGAATGGGATAATTTTGCGTGAGCACTGTCACTTCAATAAAAAATCTATTAAGAAAAATTGTTAAACATTTAGACAACTGATGCAGCTGTGTGGCATTCTGGGATTAGTCGTACAATCTGCTGTGGCTTTTGGTCTTCCCTTTTTTTTAAGCAAAAGACCCTAGTCTTAAAAGCACATACCAAAAAAAGTTATTTAAAAATTTTTTTTCTCGATTTAACAGTGGCAAACAACATGTATCGTAAGAAGTGCTACACTCAGGAAAGGCACATTTAAGTAGTCGTTAAATTGGTTCAAAGTTTCATATCCAGGCTGTTTGTAAGCATGTTTTGGAAAACTTTTCCTGTTTTCTCAGAATAAATTTTTTTTCGTCACAACACAAAGTTTTGCCCACGGTGTTTTGGATCTAGAACTTGGACGTGAATAGTTTTTCAGGATATAATACTGCATAAATCAGAATTTCTAATTGGCAAGGATTTTTATAACTCATTTTTATTTATCATAAAAAAGTCAACCTGTGATAACCTTTTTTAGATTAACCCTAAAACTATGAAAATGGCTTGGTTCCACATCCTACTGTTTTTAGAACATGCTGACATACTTTATGCCATATTGTTTTGATGAAATTATTATAAAAAAGTTGGGCAGAAACATTTCTAATGAAGTTGTAGTTTTCTTGAAAACTATGATAGAAATATTTTAGCTTATGTTTTTTGCTCAACAAAATAACTTTAGATGCGAAAATGTAGTATTAACTAGATCAGAAATGACAAAAAACGTTAAGGACCAGTGTTTCCCCTTAGGTGTGTCTTTTCAGCTGCTGCATCATCTGTCTTGATATTTAACAACCTATTGGACATAAGGAATAACTGGCAGACATTATCCAAAGTTTCCAATTATGTGTTGATTACCATTAGTGAAATGGTGCTCTAACTTTGTTACAATGGTCCTTTAAGCTTCAGCTGGCTTTGGCACTGCACTTGCTAGCACGGAGAAACTTTTCCCGATAACAGTGTTTTTGGGGTTTATCTTAACCTATGCACTGCTTTTGATCTCCCCCTGTGAGCTTCAAGTTCAGTTGAAAATTGGGTTGGGTTGGATCATAATAGTTCTTGCTTCTAGCAGAGGATCATCAAAGCAACATTGGGACCAGGTAGTCAGGTGGCTCGTGGCTTTGAAAGTATTGATTTTATCTCTGTGATTACTAGGATCACCAAACTTTGTTTCATAAGTGAACTTTGCGGTTGACAACGAACCAGGCCAAATGGGGGGTTGAGGGGGGGGGGGGGGTTGTGAAATTACAGAATATTTATATTGTATAAATCAACAGCAAGAACTTTTTGTCTTGATCATTTCCAGTGAAAACGGTAAAAGCCATGCGGAACCTGTCACGGGCTCCTTTTGCCTTGACAGGTTCGAACAATGGCGCAATGTTATCTTCCTAGCAGGTGTGTTTCTCTTGTTGAGTCGCGACCCCCAAAAAATTGCAATTTAAACTTTTGGGGAATTACTCACACTTTGCATGGGAGAAAAAAAAAAAAAAGCCTTTTTCAATGTTTGGGACGTGACCTCATTTGGATCGCGCTGTTTCTTATTTAAGGGTTCTCAAACTTTTCTATAGTGATAATAATCTTTATTGGCTCAATACAGCCACGGTACTGCATGAAGTGCAACAGCTGTGCCATGGAGGCCCACAGTGTCACATTAAGTGATGGTGATTATTTGATGATATCATATTAGTCATGTGTGAATAGTAGATTTTGAGTTCAATGCAAATTCAAAGCGAGTAGTGATTTTGGCAGAATATTTTCAAATTGAATATCGAATACTTAGTTTCTCCAAGCCTTTCACTGTTGTTGCATCATGCTTAAATGAAAACCCGGCTAAACTCTTGTAGATTGTTCCCAAGCCTCCACTTGTTCATTTATAAGCTTATTTTAATCTAGCTATATTTATGAACAGTGACCTAAGAAGGTATGATGCCTTGGGAGGGCAAGTGAATGATGGATTTGACATAAAATTAAACTTATAAAGATGCCCAGCTATACTTAATCAAGTGGATTTACGAATCCTGCTATATGTAAATACCCTTCCTTCAATCTTGAGTTTGAAAAAAAGAATCACGTGCGATGAATGCAGGGTTTGAGGGCGTCTCTGCCTACTATATAGTCTTGCAAAACAGTCACAGTTCAGTCTTGAAAAGTTTACTGCAATGTGGATGTCAACATTCTCAAAGCTTCTGTTTCATTTTAAATGCACCAGGCGTGCGCCCACACCATCCTGCTTTGAAAGTGTGCTTTATTCCTCAGCTTGCAACTGCGATATTCATACCTTTCCAAGTGTTGACCGCGGCGGTTTACCCCGTTGAGTGCACTTCTTACCGAGCACCGATGCTCTGTGGAGAAGCAAAAATTATTGGAGCTTACTTTCGTGGGTGTAGCTTCTCCGCAGCGCTCGTGTGCTCGGTAAGAAGCCTAACTTGCCACAATTAACACTTCAAAGCACTTGAATATCTGAGTTCATCTCGAAGTGAATATTTAAGAGTGTATTATACGAAATTTCGAATATTTTCAGAGCACTATATTATATACAAGGTGAATCTTAAAGGTACACTAAAGACGTTTCTGAAATTGACTGTTCTTGGTGATAACTTATCTTACAGGCTCCAAGCATCCTAGAAATTCAAAAATTATGCTTGTGCAACGTCTATATCCCTGCTAAAAATGTGATATGTGCCAGCCAGTCGCAAGCTGCCTCTCTCAGAAAGGCAACTTGCGATTGGCTGACGCGCACCCGTTGTCACGCCGCCGGTGCCTCCGCTGGATTCTGTGCTCCAGTAGTAAAATAGATAAATAGGCTAGTTGGTACATCTTTGAATGGAAAGCGCCGAATGAACAAGGACGAAGAAGGGGACAGAGACGAAGTGCACTCACAACTGAAGGTTTATTGAAAACAACATTGACTATTAATACCATCTATCGGGGTGTTGGCTCAAAAAGAAAAGCTCTTTATCAGTTAAGTGCAGTGACGGCGCACTAATACACAGACTCACCCCTTGCTTTCTTATGCGGAATGCCTCGTGTTGCACATGGAGTGTGCAACACTTCATGTGCAACACTCTATGTGCAACGTCAGTGGTGTATAACATACCATTGAGTTGCGGGAAATCGTATGTGGGCCAAATGGGGCGTTGCATAAATGAAAGGGTTAGAGAACATGCCTGGTCAGTCAAACAGTCCCCGTCGGGCAATCTTGCGGTGCATTGTGATAGGTGCCCATGTGGCCCGGAATTGGAAAAAACAACAGTTCTGGGCAGATACGAAAACAAAACAGTGCGAGAAATACACGAGGCATTCCGCATAAGAGAGCAAGGGGTGAGTCTGTGTATTAGTGCGCCGTCACTGCACTTAACTGATAAAGGGTTTTTCTTTTTGAGCCAACACCCCGATAGACGGTATTAATAGTCAATGTTGTTTTCAATAAACCTTCAGTTGTGAATACGCTTCGTCTCTGCCCCCTTCTTCGTCCTTGTTAATTCGGCGCTTTCCATTCCAAACTGTGCTCCAGATCTTTCCGCTCAGAAAGGGGCATGGTACGAACTTCTGTCATATTCGAAGTAGGGGAATAGACGTCGCACAAGCATAGTTTTTGAATTTCTAGGATACTTGGAGCCAGTAAGATAAGGTTTCACCAAGAACAGACAATCTCAGAAATGTCTTTAGTGCACCTTTAAGAAAGCTGCAGTATCTGCCTTGATTGATGGCCAAAGAACCTCTCCCCATCTCAGTGGCATTGAGGCAGTAAAGGAGTTTAGGAACCTACAGACTTCGTAAACCAGAATGCATATATACTATGAGGCGTTTGGCTCGTAGTTAGGCATCAATGGGTGGCTCAGGTTTAGGTTGAACCTAAACTGGAAGGTCTTTTTCCCTAGACTTAGGGATGGTCAGGGATATTTTGGAGCCTAGGGAACCCCAAAGGCTACTCTGGGAAATCTGTGTGTGCTTAGGAAACCGGTTTTGGAACCTATGTCTTATTTAATTCCAAAGCTTTCCTAAATGCCTGTTGCTGTTTTTCCTGTATGCCTGTGAGAGCTTCTCAATCAACGTTGTGGGTTTATTCTTCAAAGCCCGCCCTATAATTTTACATTGATGATCGTGCATCAATCAATCTACCTTTGTTACGCAAGTTTGTCGAAATACTTGCGAGAATGTGCAAGAATTGCGTCTCGTGTTGTGGATCTCAATGTCTTACCTCTTTTTTCCTCGCCCTGCGCATAACAGCCATTGTTGTCAAAAGTCATCGCCAAGATGGTATGTGTACGAACGAACCATTGCTTTGACATTTGTGAAAAGAAAAATGCCAACACAATGCTCTTTCTGGAAAGTGTCTAAAATGTGTTCACACATGTTCCTCCTTGTGTCTGCTTCAACATGTCCTCACATTTGCAACTGCTTGCAACTGACTGCATGCTTCCCATGTTAAAATGTGCACGATTCGGTGTATGTTCGTGAGTGTTGATTGCTTCAATGCTCAGTGTTTCTTTATGTTAAAAATATGTCAGTTTCTTTTGGCATAAAGTTATTTTTCAATACTTTCGTATAAATTTAGAATGTATCAGGCTTTATTGGCGTAATTTATTTTCAGAGAATGTACTGTACCAAGTGCTATTATCATGTATTAGAATTTAGAAGAAAGCTGGAATTTTCGTTTACGGCACTAAGGAGTGAAAATTACTATTTTCCTAATCATGCCAATGTTAAAAAAGAGTGCTGTTTTAGCATTGTACCTAGTTGCGAAAAATGTTCTCCAGAAACTAGCGATGTAGGCACATAAAATAGCCTGTAAACGTTTGCTATTACTTCCGTTTCTTTTCTCTAGCAACACACTCTAAAAAGATTGTTAGTGTGTACCACAGCGAGGTATGGAGGCACTTCTATTGCTGAATTAAATAGCCAAGCACTAAGGCCGGTTCACAGTTTTGATGCAGCGCTGACGTGCGCATAGCTTAGCACTGCATCAGCAAGGTCAGTGCTATTTCTACTGTTCGCTAATAGTGCTGAGGAAATGCTGTGACACATGAATGAACAGGCCTCGAGTGCCCTAGAGCAGGCTGAAAACAGAACTCGAAATTTCAGGCGCACTTCAGATTTTCGCACTTGCATGGCAAAAGCGAGTGCGAGAAAGAGCGTACCGTATCCTAACGCGCCTTTCTTCGACCCCCCCTCTTCCCTCCCCCTCCCCCACCATGCCGGAAAACAGAAAGGCATGGTGGTCGACGAGGCTGGCAAAATGAAGAAGCTGCGTCCAGGCGAAATGGTTGAGGTGCGGCAACGCCGTCGCTCTTCCATCGACATGCGACGCGCCAGGTCGGTGTTCTTTGGCTCTTTTTTGAACTTGGAGAGGCAAATCAATTTTTTTTTAGCATGAAACGTTTTTTGGCTTTGTGTTCAACATTTTGTGAAGCCCAAAAGTGGAGTATGGACAAAAGCGTGGCTGCAAGGCTCTATACTGATTGGTTGACGGGTGAAAGAGAAGGAGTGAGGTGCTCAATGCTGATTGGTTTACGGTGAGGTCATGCGACCTTAGAGAAAGGCGAGGAGGTGCTCGACCACCTGTGCGCATTGGCGGAGAGGAGCTTAAGTGTATGAAAAGCCCTGGAAGATCAAAAGGGTTATCGGCCCGATTAGCGCTAGTATCGCTTCATTCCAGGAACAGCTATCGATCGTACACATGGTAGGCGTTAAGCTAGTACGTATTTGATGAAGAGTGCCATGAACATAGGCGTCTGGCGTCTGGAAAATGGGAGTATTGCGTAGCGTTTGTGACGTTAGAACGATTCAGTTATGCAGTACAATTGCCTAGCAATTGGGCATAAAGTTTTTGCACAGCATATGACCCGGCTAGCGCAAGCACTCGGTCGCTGGTTGTAAGTGCTTGTCGGATTCGTTGCTCGGCTAAATAACTCAACGAAACTAGCAGTGTAGTGAAATCTGCGTGTGTGAGACGAGAGTTGCCTTTCTAGGAATGGCGCGTATTGAAATGTTAAAAACACATCAGTCACTTAAATAGCCTCGGCTTCATGGAAAACTACAACAATCCACTTGAAGTACATGAAGTAAACGAGAAGTTGGACAGCTGGTGTTGACAAATAGCTCTTAAGTTCCAGAAATTGACTGAAGTAATAAAGATGTCCAATCATGACACGAAAAATAAGCGTTTCGTGGTGAATAAAAACGGCCAACCACTCTTAATTGTCATTTTGTGTGGATTGTGTGATGGTGCAAGTTGCGTGATGGAATATTAAGGTGACAGGTTAAGGTGGCAGGTTGAAGCTCCTCCCACCTCTTTCCACTTTAGCTGAGCGGACGCTGGAGAGGAGACAGTTTGCTCTCCAGCATCCCAGAGGTGGGAGCAGCTTCCCCTGGACTCTTAACCTGTCGCCAACTATAGGGAGATGAAATAGTCTTGACTTAGTCGAAATTAGTATATGGCAATAATGCAGTGATTATGTGTCACCAATTAGCCATAGATTTGTTTCGATTTTTTTACAGTTTTATAGGGTTACATTTTTACTCGCCTGTGTCACCGTTTTCTGCAGTGTTTCGGAGCTGCAGGAGAAGGTGGATAAACCGTCCACTCCCCTTCGTCCGATCCCAGAGACGGACGAGGGACCTCCGAACATCGTCGACTACCAGGAGAACATCACCGCTGTGGAAGGTGGAATACCGTATTATTCTTCTATCCTCCTTGGCGTACTTGCCAGTTCTTGAAGGAGCTGCGGTCTGGCCTAGAAATGCAGCGCGAAGTAGAGGTCCCATCCTTCGGAAGTTTTGACAAATTGACCAGGGACGCAGAAATAGGCCGGATCTGGTGTTTTGGCTCATATTATGCGAGGGGGTTCATGGGGCTCTGCCATAGCTTATTCACAAAGCCCTGTCCTAAAGCTTCTATTATGCGACGGATTCGTGTCTGTCGTGGCTAGTGAGAAAGTTGGGAGGAAGTTCGCTATCATTAGTTGCTGTGTCTTTTTTTTTTATTTCTCAGGCATTTCCTTTGTTCCCAAAGCCTGTAGGACAAAAATAATAAAAATACACTTAAAAATGTTAGGTTGTTTGCCGTACATTGACGCACATTAAAGACCATTACGTTTTCTCAAATCTTAGCGCTTTGTGTGGGCCCTCTGGTTTTCGGTGTTTGCCTCAGAATGTTGGCAGACATACTTCTGATATCATTATGGGAGGCCGAGCGAAAGAAACCAAAAATATGCTTCACACTACTGTGTTTTCGTTTTTTTTTTTAACCATCCCTTCATTTTAGCAGGATTGGCACGTGCGATGCGGTCGCGCAAACCATGTCTGTGCTTCCGTACAACATGGGAAAACTTTTTGCCTCTCCCATCGCAGGTGGTGTGGCGTACCTGTCGGTGCAGGTTGAAGGCAACCCCGTGCCGCAGTTCCGCTTCTACAAGGGCGTGGGAGAGATATACGAGGGCGGCCGCTACGCCGTGATCACGGACGGTGAGACGAACACCGTCTGCTTCTGCATCCGCAAGGCCAAGTCCAACGACGAGGGCAAGTACAAGGTGGTGGCCTACAACAAGCACGGCGAAGACTCCGTCACCATGAGCCTCTTCGTCACCGGTGCGTCCATCTCCATCCTCTCTTCTTGCGCCTCGCGTTCATGGGGTGCTCGTTAGAAGGCATCCTTCAGGGACGAGTTTACAGCATATTACCCTAGCAAAAATTCTAGTACACTACTATGTTTTTATCTTGAGAGTCTATCGGCATAATAAAAGACACAACAATATACTCTGCTTGCCGGTAAACCTATATTTTGGTAGGCCTATACACCGGTAGACCTGCGCACCAATTTACGTTTCAAGAGACCAATACTGGACGATGTAAAAAATATTATGTTCATCTATCTGCTCTGTCAATTGCAATTTTGGCTGGCGTGCTGTAAAACCATGGTGCCTAGCGCGGGTTTTTGACTGGCATGCTTGGCATTCCATACCATTAATGCATCAGTGTCCATGAAAAGGCAGCATAATATATCGAAAGAGGTGTTGTTGCAATCCTAATTATTCAAAGTCAAGCACCGGTGAAGAAAGTGAACAGATTAATTGGCGCCGCTGTGGGTAATGCTCTCCACCGCTTGTCCACAAGCCAGTTCCAGCTGTTGTTACATAACCAAATTGAGCACTTGCTTTATGGAACCTTTGGTAAGCACTTCCTTTTCCGCCTTATCTTCCAGATGAAAGTGGCATGGATTTCCGTGCTATGCTAAAACACAGGTATTTGTTCTTCTGTTATCTTTTCGTGTGCTTTAAAGTTTTGATGGTTTTTAAAACTGGGTGGTTTTCACTTAACAGGCTGGTTGTCTCCAAAGTCTCAAAAGCTGTCCAACATTAGTTTCTATAGATGTATTCTTTCTGCATGTTTTGTTAACGCTCCAGCCTGGTAGCTCGATTCAAAAGCCCACTCTATTTGTATCTCTAAAGTTACTTGTCACATCACAATTTTTGTGACTTTTTTTTGTTGTTGTAGTTTTGAAGTGGGGCAGAACTAAGCTTAAATACAACTGCCAAATAATGAAACTGGTTAATTTTAGTACTTGTGGATTAATAAGAAGAGCCAGCATTATGGGACCCTTAATTGTTTTAGAAAATTAAACAGAATTAATAAAGCTTTTGTCCATGCACCAGAAATCTGCTGTGTACCCAGCCCAGTTCTGTGACAGACACGTTAAGAATGTCTAACTAGGGTCCCATCCCTTCATTGGGACAGTGCCTGCACCAGGACATTGCCTGCATTTCATGGCGTCGCACCTCTTTCCCAGGCAATACGCAAAATGGGGCCTGGGCAAGGATGACCCCAACTGGCAACTCAAGGCAGGAGAGGAGGAAAAGGAACAGATTGGTCCCCGCAAGCCGGTAAAGTATCAGTGCAATTCAGCATTTCGTTTTCCTCGCCTAAGTGAGAGTTGGAATTACTCCAATTGGCTTAATTTTATGGTTAATTTTTTTCTTCGTTAGCTGTTCTCTGAAGCGACTCTTGTGCCAAAACCGATGTTACCAAGAGCTGCATTGGTAGCTGCGAGGATTCCTCAATCTGTAGCGATACGTAACGTAACAATTTACGGCAGATACGTTAGAACTATTCACGGCTAATGTGTCGGTGCAATTTATACCTGCCGTAAAGTCTTATGACTTGCGCATGAAAATGTGTGGAATGAGCGCTTCACTTACATAATCTTTATAAAAAAAATTTTTTTTGTTATTTTAGGTATGTGAAAATGCCCTAGCTTTCAAACGGCCAGTGTCACGTGTTTCCGTACTGTGTCAGATCAGAGTCTCGGATTTATTTCAGGAGATCTTGTGAAACCGTGGGCGCCTCTCGACCTCTTGTTTTTGTTATATGTGTTTGTTTTGTGTTTTTGTCTCTTTCTGTGGTTTTATGTTTTTGTCCTTGCTTGCGTGTGTGTACACGTGCCAATGTCCTTTTTCGTCGCAGGCGCTTTTGGGGATCCTCTGTGTTCTGTTTTCTCTTTTGACTTGCCTTTCATATTTTCTCACTGGCTTCCTTTTTCTGGCCTTCTTTTGGGCTTTCTTTTTCTTTCTTTCTTTTTTTCCTCCTTTTTGCCAAACCTCTTCACATTTGGGAAACACACGGAGCAATTTTTTTCCACATCAAGCCTTTTTTTTTCCTTTTTTTTTAGTTACTGCTTCCAACTCGTTTTGTTTTTTTACCACTGTACTACAAGCCGGGCCGATTTTCACCATTGTCGGCTCGCACGAAATGTCCATTTCGCCTCGTTTTCCCTCTTAACATTTCTTCGTCCTAGCATTCATCCTTTGGCACGTTGCTATGGGGGCCCCCAACGCCGCCCACTTCACACAGGAAGACGAACTCACGATACCCTCCGCTACCATCCGATGCCGATCGCTGGCAGAGTTAATCCCCGATTGGCCAGTGCTACACAAGGTTCCTAAGGAGAAGCTGGAGGTTGGACAACCTGTGCCCCTCTCTCTTTCTTTCTATCGGCCTTCTCATCCTCCTTTCACTCTATCATGCTACGCCTGTCACGTTGCGTCTGCATCTTCAATCTTTCTTGTTCGCTGCTCACGTCTTCATTGGTGCAACTCTACCACCCATACTTTCTGAGGGGCTATCTTCCTTCTGTCGCTGCTAATGCCCGTCCTGTTCATTTTAAGACCTCGAGCGCTCGCACGTCTTGGTAGACTATCTCCTTTTTCAAGTCAGTGTGCACAAAATGGCACCTTTTCCTCTGCTACCCTCTTCTCGTTTCTGTGTTTTCTTTTCGTTTTCCCTTCCCACAGTCCCCTTTCTGTTTGTTGCCGTGTCTCTCTGTGTTTCTCGCAGCGTTGCAGAGAAATCTTTGCTGCAGCACTAGTTCCAGCAAAGATTGCTCCCACTGAATTTGGAATGCATGTCTACATATTGTATGACTGCACAATTGCAATTAGACGTACCTTGAGCAGGTTGTGCCCCATTTGCTAGTGCAGTGCTTGATATTAAGTACAGTAGATGAGTGGATAAATTAATATGACTGTACCCTTCAAATCAAATGACACCTTGCTTTGGCTAGTGGGGAAATTCACTTGTGGGTCAAGAGCAGTGTTGAAGTGCTCCTTTCCTTGCTGGAAGTGCAGGCTAGAATTTACTGCCCTAATGCCACGAATGGAACGGTTTTGGGGTTTCTCGAAATCCACCTGTGGGTTTTGCCACCAACTAATGACGGACTATTGATTCTGAAGAAAGAAGATACGTCGACAGTTTTGCATGTTTATAATAGTGACCTTATTTTAGCTTGAAGTGTTGGTTTGAAAGTTGAAATACTGGTTCAGGATGAATAAGTAACTTCTTAATCACTCACAGACTGTTCCTGGAGTCAGTGCTTCTCTTTTGTGTACCTGTGCAGTGCTGAAAAGTAGCAAAGCGGGCACGAGCAGCACATAGATTTGCTCCAATGTGCAAGCTTATGATACTGCCCTTGCACGTTTGATATCTCTCAAAGTATTCGTAATTTAAGTTAATGCTACAGGGGCCAGTCTTTCTATAGCACATGATTAACAGCAGAGCAAAGTAGTGTTGTCTTGCCGGCCCGATTTATAGCTTATGAAGATTTTGACATGTCAGTTGTTGCTATGCTTATTCAGTAAAACCTCATTTTTTGTGTTGCGGCTTATCATACAGCTAATCTTCTGCTCTCTAGTTTCTGAAATGCAGTCAGAATTTTGACGTGTTTTTATCACAATTTTAAGAATTTGAGTACTAAATTTGGATCTCCCAGTTATTATAACCTCTAATCTCTGCTAGCAATAAGCTTAAACCATTTTCTACCGAGTGACAGAATACTAAGCGGGGTGTCAGTATTCAACTTCGGGTGGTCTTGCACAACATTGTGGCCCTCACCAATTCCCGTTAGATGTGTGACAACATGTGAACGCACTTCTAGCGTCGCTGATGTTTGATGTCCTTGCCCTGTGTTTGTCCCTCGTTTGTCCTTCTCCGGCCACGTCATGTCAGACGTTGGATCCTCACCCTCCCTGGGACAATAGGCGCCTGTCCCTCGCCGACCTCATTCCTGATTGGCCGACGCTGCAGAGCGTGCGTCGGAACAGCGAGGTTGGCCAATCGGATCGTGTCGTGGTGTTGTTCGTCATCGTTGTCGTTTTTCACGGAGCTGAGGAGCTTATCGTTGTTGGCAGACTGTTGGCATCTCGTAGCTGCCACATTTTGCTTGTTTCCGATTGTCTCGGCTTGGCTGTTTATTGGGTTACTCTCCCGTAACATCTTTTCCTGAGCAGCAATATTTCTTTTAACTGCTTTCGAGTGGAGCGCGATATTGCTTTGGCTGTATCGTTTCGGGTTTTCCTATTTTGTTTTAAACTTTAATCGAGAGCTGTTATTTCGAGAAGATTCTTTATCAGTTTTTTTTTTATTGTCTTTCAGTCTTTTCCTACTCAAGTGTCAACGCTGTTTGTGGCGCACGTGCAAAAAATCTGCTGCTGCGTCTCCTGTTTTGTCCTTGTTTGCTTTTTGTTGCAAAACTATATGACTAACCCTGGTAGTAGCCCCTTTGTGCATCATATTGTAGTCAAGGTACCTTCGTCAATACAAACAGCATCAGTCTACATCTGAATTAAATAGCTCTTTCTATTAACGAGGTTTGACTGCACTTGTGGGATCCCTAGATGGGCTTTGAACATGTCAATGTTGTGTGTTTAACGTATGTTTGTTCTGTACCATGGTACATGTCTGTCAACTGTGCTTTGTTTCATGTTGGTGTTGTTCATGTGTAATACTTGCAGTGCACAACATTTTTTTAATGTGCCCACCACTAAAGAATGTCTAATTGTAGTCTTTTGCAATGTAAGAACTGCTGAAAAGCTTCACTTTGAAATTCCCAAAGAAAAAATGTCGTCAGTATGCCACTCACCACAAACATTTAATTCATTCTGGTTAAAAGACGCATAAAAGACAATGACGAAGTAGAGAACAAACACGACAGACAAGAGCGCTTGTCTGTCGTGTTCGTTCTCTGCTTTGTCCTGTTATTTTGTTAACTTTTTAGCCAGAATAAATGCTTAGCCACTAGCCCAGTTTTGAACCCTTAAACATTTTATTTTTTTTTACGTCAGGGAAATGGAGGAACATTTGTCGATGCCCTTTTTTAAAGACTGGCACCCGCTAAAACAAAGCTCCGGCTAATTTTTGATGTGCCTCAACGCATTTGGCATTAAATGGAGCATTGTTTTTGAGGGCAGAGTATCCAGCTTGGTTGCGCCTTTGCATTTAATTGCATTATAATCTGCTGCAGCTCTTGCATTGCGGTACACTTCCACATGGTTATTATTTTAATTCTAAAAGATCGATAATAAAAAGGGGTTGAGAGTTAAGACGAGTGCAATCTTCACCATGTGTTCATCAGGCTTGACGGACATTAGAAGTGGAAAGAATTGTCATGCTAAGTTGACTGAATAACTTAAATTAGTGAAATTTTTAATTACAGTCTAAGCTCGTTATAACAGACTGATTTTGACCAAGATTTTGGTCTGTTGTAGAAGGAGTACGTTGTATGCAGGTATGAAGTTGAGTCAATGGTGCATAGAGGAAAACCAACCGAACCTCACGAATCGGTAGGTTATATCTAAATGTCTGTTGTAACCAGGTCTGTTATAATGAGCTTAGACTGTATTGTTTCTTAGGGTTATGTAGGAATTGCAGTATTGAACCCAATTACTACTAGAGGGCAGACCAATTTAACGAATTTATGAAAATAAGGTAATGTTCTTTTTAAGGATACTAATCAATAAATTTTTGCATTTCTTGGTACCGCTTTAAAATCTTTACACAAAAATAGTGCATCAAGCCATGCCCACAATGACACTTGGAAGGGTTACAGAGCCTTTTAGGCCCTGTCGTCACTCGTGTCATCGGCGCACCCACCAAGGATACGCCATCGAGATAGTGATGACACGATTGAAACGACGACGTCACTCTTACAAGCATCATTGGGGGCAGGGCTTGTGACACTATTTTTAAACACGATTTTTAAAACAGCCAGAAAAAAATGAAAACATTTTTTGATTGAATTATATCTAAAATATAATTTCCTTTTTGCAGATTCCTTAAATTGGTTGGGTCTCTAATATAGTAATTGCCTTCAATACTGCAATTCTAACAGGACCCAAGAAAACGAATAAAAAGTTGATAAGATTTTAGTTTACCATAGTCAGCTTACCATGATGACCATACCCTCATCTAATGTCCACTTGGTCCGATAAATGCAAAGTGGAGACAGAACATGTCTAACTCTCACCTTTTATTTCTAAAAAAATTTGTTCAAACTGAAATCAAACACCCTGAATACTTGGATAAGGTGGTGAACTGGGCCAGTGGGTTGACGTTATACATGATGGGGAAAACAGCTAACAAAACTCGGGACTATGAAGAACAAACACAGCATTGTCCTGTCGTGTTTGCTGTTCTTCGCAGTCTGCGTTTTCTGCACTGTATACTTAGTTTTTCCTACCTAGTGGATGACGCTGTCAAAGCAAGAAGTCGGATTTACAAATCGCAACATTCGTTAATTGTGCCCACTACCCAAGCAACACAGAGTTGGCCAGTCATCGGCCAATGGCTGGCAATGGTCCTTGGCCAAGTGGCCAGACAGTGGCCAGAGACTGGCCGGTGACTGGCCTTTATCTGGCCACTGGCCAATGGCCACTGGCCATCAGCCATCGGCCAAGCATTGGCCTATGAATGGCCACTCTCTGGCCACTGGCCAAAAGACCATCGCCAGACATTGGCCATTGCTTGGCCAAAATCCGTGCTGCTTGGGTAAGCACCTAAATGGCGGAGCCCACAAGAAAATTGGGAAGAAAGTTTGGTTGCTCTTGGGGTGTTGAGTTGTTGAGTTCGGCGCAAGCCGAACTCAACATTTCGAACGAACGTGACCGTCCTCGTCATCGCGATTCCACGACGTCGTCCCCGCAGAAACCGGACGCCTTCCTGAAGCCGCTGGAGAACGAGCACGTGAAAGAAGGCCGGGACAAGCTTGCCCGCTTCCAGGCGGTGTTCTCCAAGAGCGGCATCAAGGGCAAGTGGTTCCGCAACCGGCAGGAGATCTTCATGGGCAAGAAGTACCACATGACCAGCCAGGGAGACCTGCACGTGCTCGAGATCATGAACCCCACCGTGGAGGACGCCGGGCGCTACACCCTCACCTGTCTCGACACCAGCTGCGCGGCCATCCTCGAAGTGGACGGTGGGTGCGGCGGTTCTGGCGTTTGAGCTTGTTCGTCTTTTTTGTTTATTTACAGGTACTATTATTGCTTGTAAGGAACGCACTAGGGGGTGGCATATCGCAAGGAAAGGGCACCCTAATCACAGAAACAAACAGACCAGGTCACGCACCAACGTTTAACGCATAGCTATGAACAGTTTCACGTCATATGCCTTTCTTCTCCCCGTGTGGTGGCCGCCTACTCCTTCCACTTGGTCCCGGTCTTTTGCACGCTGTTTCTACGTTTTTGCAGTGGTTGCTGGCAGGTGTTGTCTTCCTTGGGCATGGTGCACTGTTAAGGAGCTGTTGAATGCCTCATAAAGAGTTAAGAAACATCCAAAAAAAGAATGACCGCAAATGCATATAGCCATGTTGAAAGTATTTTCTCATACGATGGGGCAGCAAAACAAGGTAGGTCATCGGATTAAAAGTATGTTGAGAATGTGTTAAAAGGGGCAAAACAGGAAGAGGTGTCATATGTAGAGGAACATAAAAACATTATGCACATTCTGTGCATGTGGACTCTGGGAGTGGTTCGAAAAGTTTTGAGCCTTGAACTGCATTAGCTTAGTAGCAAATATACTACACATTCACGCTTTGTTTTTATAAACGTGGGCTCGGTGCTTGTGGTATTTCTGTTGGCATGTAGGGTTTGGGGATTTGAGACAAGATCTCCAGGCGGTAAACGCTGGAATCGTTGGACTTCATGAAATGCGTCTATGAGGTTCAATAGTTTTAGTGGTATGTGCCTGTGCAAACCCCCTTAAGTATCATTGCAGGTGTTGTTCACTACTTTTGGCACTGCAGCTTACCGTATTGTTGACCTTGACCTTGCATTTCACGTCACCTTAAAGATAAGCTGAACCACTCCAGCTTCATAATGATGCTTCATTAGTTTTAGCAGTTGCAAACTATATGCTGCAAGCTACGAGGTTGGACTAGGAAACATGCATTTTCTCTTGAAATACAACCTTTCTATGCATCAGGGAATACAGTCTACCAAGGGGCTCTCTCTCACTACCATCTTAAGTTTGGCACTCCTATTGACACACACACCAAGCCATACACATAGAACATAAAGCTCCTAGAGTCTTGCCAAATGCGCAAATATCCATTCATTCTCGCCATTCTCATATGCCCGCCAAATTTAAAGGATGGTGTTCGTGTGGCATCATCAGTGGGACAGTGGTCACGTTACCAAGCCACATACTGTGAGTCGAGTCGCATAACACAGTGTCACATCATGGTTTCATATGACGTTACATCATTTGACATAAATAAAGAAATAAATACTTTAATGTTTTTCTTGTGGCGAGTCTGACTGAAGCGTGTGGGCACTTTCAGACCCGGACCCGGTGTACAAGTTCATCAAGAGGCTGCCGGCCCGGACGGAGCAGTACTCCACCAAGGAGCTGGTGCTTGAATGCACCACCAACAGCCACAAGGCCAAAGTGCAGTGGCTCAAGGACGACAAGAAGATTGCAGTGAGTACTTTTCCGAACAGCGTTTCCTAGCTGGGGCAGCTCTGTGTGTGCCTTGGGTTTGGGTCTAAATGACGGTCGTTGTCTCAGTGTCACCGTACCAGTTCTCGATGCAGAATTGCATTCTTACTAAAGCCAACTCTGACTTAACCTTGAAAAAAGTGAGTGAAGCATGCCAAGGTCGAAAGAAGTTTGGCCTAGTTGGCCGGCTGTCAATCACCTGTGCTGTGGGCTTCACCGGTCTTACGACACAATTGTGCGCGAAAAAGAATGACAACAAAAATAAACGCAAATGGAAGAGGCAGTAGGGAGGACTCTGAGAGGCTTTGAGAAGACTTAGCCAACTGTGAAAGCTCTGAAAATGACAAGAAAAAGAAATAAAACAAACAGTACAAAAGGAGGATGTGGCGATTTTAGACCCATTATCGCTTGCCTGGAAGGCTGAGACCAGAGTTTGCGTCCACTGCATTCCTCATGAAATGTGATTCCACATATGATGGTTTGATTGATAGGTCAAAATACAAGTGCAAATTTTTACAGAGCAGATTGTGTTCGGAGCTAAAAGCTCTTGGGCCAGTTTGTAGCTTTGGATGGTCGAGCAAATTGGAGTGGAATATCCTCAAGCAAAACTCTCGTAACTGAAAAAAAAAGAGGGTGCTGCGTTTTTAGAGAAATTTGAAGATTAATGCAACCAAAGAACTCTGAGTGTTTTACAAAAGCTGATATTAAAGCAGAACAGAAGCTGATATTCTAAAACAGGCTTTTCCGAACCTTGACCTGCTGGCTGGGTCCGGCCTGTGGAGGCATTCTGGCCAGCCCACGAATTGTGGTGGTCTTTCCAGTGACGCCCGGCCCGTGGCCCGCTGCTACCAATGCAAAAAATAAGCGCTCGTAAAAAAATTGGCGTTGCGACACATACTTGAAGCTCTAACGAACATATCAGAAAGAAAGAGAAAACTGTAGTGCTGTGCAAATATTCTAATCTTCGAAACAGACATTTAGAATAATACACTATTCAAAATTCCCCTTTCAAATGAATTCTGATATTCATATTTTTCAAAGTGTTGACCGCGTCGAGCTTAGCCAGTTGAGCGTGCTTCTTGCCAAGCACCGGTCTACTGCAAAGAAGCAACACCCGCGGAGCATGCTTCCGCGGGTGTTGCTCCTCCGCAGTGCATTGGTGCACGGCAAGAAGCACATTCTTCACAGGTGTTGCTCTTCCACAGTACACTGGTGCTCGGTAAGAAGCGCGCTCGAGGGGGCTAGCCCGCCGCAATCAACACTTCGAAAAGTACCAATATTGTAATCCCTTCTTAAGAGGAAAGCCCACTTTCAAAGCAGGAGAGTGCATGTGCGCACGTGGTCTATGAAAAAAAGAATAAAGGAAACTTTGTGAATGTTGAAATCTACACTACAGTAAAATTCTTAAAATTAAACTGTGGCTTTTAGGCAAGAGTATATGTTAGGCAGAGATGTCCTGACAACCTACGTTCATCATTCATGATTGTCTTTATTTTCTCAAATTCTAAATTTAATGAAGGATATTTGCAAGTTGCAAGAAGATTTATAAATCCCCTCAATTAGATATAGCTGGGCATCTCTATAGATTTAATTTAATGTCAAATGAATTGTTTACTTGCCATTCTTATGTAGACAGTGTGCTTTCTGAGGTCATAGTTCATCAATATAGCTAGATTAAAATGAACTTAGCTTAGATATGGAGAAGTGGGAAGCTTAGAAACAGCTTTTATGAATTCAGGTGGGTTTTTGTTTAGGCAGGGCACAGTAGTGAAAAGCTTGGAGAAACTATTCAATATTCGATTAGAAAATGTTCGGCCTAGATCACTGTTTGCTTCGAATTTGCTTTGAACTCGAAATCCAGTATTCGCAAAGGTCTAGAAAACTGCATCAAAACGCGGATTCTCTTGCCATATTTATTGCACATTGTTATCACCAGAATTACTATTCATAGTTCCCTCCTTCATATCTGCCTATTAACTATGACAAAACTCTTTTGCGTTCTCGTGCATATTGTCCATAGTGATTTGAAATGACCTACCGTTTTCATTTGTCTTTTGCCCTATGTAAATATGCCAAAGTTCCTATGCTCTTTGATTTGTGTCCAGTGAGTTTTCAGGGTCACAATTATTTTGTAATATCATAAATAGTAAAATATTGCACTTGAAATGGGGCATATATGTCCACCGCACCTTCTTCTTCAATTTTTGCTCTAGTTTAAAATTTTGTATTTAAAGGCTTATCTAGGCTTGTTTATTTACTGTCGAGACCGGTTATAACGAAGTTGGTTATAACAAAATAGCGACTACAGCAAAGCGATCACGATTTCCCATTCCCTTTTGAACATCATTATAACCGAATTCAGTTATAACGAAATAGCGGATATGGCGAAGTCATTTCTGATTCCCGTTGACTTTGTTATAACCGACCTCGACAGTAGTATTTTCTCATTGATATTGTCTTATCAAATTTTTGGCCCTCGAGATTGAAACAGGTCCCTAAACCGGCCTCCTAGCCTAAACGTTAGAAGACCCCGGCTCTAGAAGCATCCTCTGAATTTCCCAGAAAATAACTTCGAAAACATGGATCTCGGGCTTTTGACAGTTTTTTTGTGCCTGTTTGGGAAAGCCTAATCTGATATTCTGCACACTCACGTGCTGGAACTCTGTCAGTTACAAGTTTTTAGTGCTTTATAAGCACGACAAATTATTCACCGTCAAGCTATCTTTTAACCATGCAGTCTGAGCACTACGTACTAGTATTCGTCAGTTCCGATGCTAAGTGGGCCATAATGTTTGCAGACCAGCGACAAGTACATCATAGACCAGGACCAGTTTGGAAAGAAGATCCTGCGCGTCCAGGACTGCACCCTCGAAGACACGGGGGTCTACGAGTGTAGGATCAGCAGCGAGGAGAAAACAAGCACCAAAGTGACCATCACAGGTGACGCCCAGTTTCCCCTCACCCCTCCCCGGCGTGGGACGCATTGCACTTTAAGTACCTCGTACGCGGAGACAGTCGCTTGTGTCTCGGTAGTCACGGTATGGAAAACGAAATTGGCTTCGTCCGAATGGGGATCTGAATGAGTACTACCTCGTCGGTATTTTAGCAGCCACCTGCCGTAGCAGGCTTTACTCTGCACACGTGATCTGGTCACGAAAGGATGCTGTAGTTACGACAGAATTAGAAAGGCAGGACGTGTCTTCCGAACGCCGGGCCTCCAGCCAACGCTCGAGATGCATCAATGCAACATAGAATAGAGCCAGACGCTCTAAATATATTTATTTATGGATCTGTCAGGCCTTTTGGCCTGCAGTGTGTTTAAATAAACAAATAAAAATACTCTTCTTTTGCGAGCTGCTGTTTCTTTTATTGGCCCAGTTTTCTCTCCCTCGTAACCTCCGGTTTTCTTGTGGTCTGTTTCAATTTGTGACAGAGCAAAAGTTCCAGTTCATGAAGGGGCTGAAGAGCTTCAAGATCAACGAAGACGAAGCAGTGACCCTTGAGTGCGAAGTCGACGAATGGGAGGCTAAGGTGCAGTGGTTCTTGGACGGAAAAGAGCTCAAGAGCGACAAGCAGTGAGTATTTCTTAAGTTGTCATTAACATAAAAATTAGTTCAAAACATTCATTGACATGGTGTGTCCAGTGCACGACACTGTTAACGCAAATACGGTGTTGGCACCTTCTGAGCTTTACTCAGACAGAGTGTTGATTGGCACCAAACCGCTTAGATTACCGCCCTGAGTGAGGACTTTCTGTCGCATGAGTAATTTTTGTGGCAGCTGTTTAGTTTAAAAAAAAGTATAGTAAAAGTTGACGATTCCTTGTTTGCGCTAACAGTGTCACACAGTGTAGTCACACCTGTTGCTGTTGTCGTCCACATTCTCTCGGTGTGTAAGTTAGCAGTCAGGCACTTATACTGTCTGTCTGGTCAGTATGACTGGGACGTGAGGTGCCAAATGCTATGTTGCAAGGTATGAAGCTGGGTCAGTTGGTGATATGTAATGACTACAGGTCCGGCAAAATGACCGACACGCTCTGCTTTCTTAATCCTTATATTTTGGTGCTGCCGCTTTGTCCAGCGTCACAGAACCAATTGACTGCTTCTGGCATCGCCTCACAAAAAACGCATTCTTTACAACAAACCATTGCTTTCCCTCTCGTGTGGCAAGTTTGCAACATAAGAGCTTTCTTTTTTTATTATTTTGTTCACAATTTGCGAATGGAACATTTCTTGCAGCCGAGAGATCTTGTCCGAAGGCCGTAAACGTCGCGTCGTCATCAAGAAGGCCAAGATCACGGACGAGGGCCAGTACACGTGCAAGACGAACGCCGACGATACGATGGGAGAACTCCTTGTTGAGCGTGAGTCTTGAGCCCTTAATTCTTTCGCTTCCATCGTTTCGTGACCTCATTCAACAAGTTGACCTGTCTGTACAGCGGCCAACAAGTTCCAGAAGAAACTGAAGGACGTCACTGCTTTGGAACGTGAGCAGGCCATCTTGGAGGTTGAACTGCTCGACAGGCATGCTCCTCTGAAGTGGTTCAAGAACGGAGAAGAGGTCAAGGCATCTGACAGGTACGTCAGCCGCACTTTCTGTTTTGCTCGACAGGTTCTAGTATTTCCATTCCACTCTTCTCAACTGCGAGCAGCAGTCTCAAAGGCCCACATTTTGCGGCTCTGACGCATAGTTCGGCTACCTTTCAGGATGACCAAAATTAGGTAGCCACTACCATAACTGATGTCTCTAGTATAACTCATTCGCTCCATTTGCCATTTCTTTTTCGTCACCAGGATCAGCATCAAGATGCTTGACGACGGACGTCACCAGCTGATCATCAATAAATGCGAACTTGACGACACCGGTGACTATCACATCGAGTGCAAGGACCTCAAGTGCGCTTGTAAGCTGACCATCAACGAGGGTAAGTGTGCTCGAGACACTCAACGACATGTGACGCATTCTTTTATGGCAACCTTTCTAAACGGATTCGGACTTCCATGCAAAGAGCAGGTCATCTGCTTGCACAGGGATTGCAGTGATGTCAGAACAACGGTGACTTTTGATTGGCTTTGATTGGAAGCATAGTGGGTAGACCTCAATGCTAGATGCCTCGAGGTCTACCCACTATTTATTTTCAACGAGCCAATAAGAGCTCGGCGTTCTGACGCCATCGCAACCCCCAAGCAAGAAGCAGACGAGCTTGCACTCCACATTACATTTCTTCCGCACTTCTAAAAAACCGAGTGTTGTTTGCGGGTTTCTTGGTTTGTTTATGGTGTGTCTTTAATGCCTGTTTGTTGGACGTTAGATAGAAAAATAAAGGCCGATGCTTTATTGTCACGTCTCATTTCAGCCGAGAAAGCCCCAGTGATCAAACTTGACAAGACAGACTACACAAGTGACACTGGAAAACCGCTCACCATTGAAATCCCATACAGCGGTAAGAAACATTAATTTTTATTTCCTCCCGTCATCGTTTAATTTCCAAGTTATTTTTAAGCATGTCAGAATTGGGCCTGATATTTATTTGATAGATACATATGCTGAACTTGCAAAAAAGTGAATATGTTATATTATGTTAAACAAATAAGTTAATCAATTTCCATTATCATCTCAATACCTTAAATCATGTCATGTTGCACGAATAACTTAGTTGCATTATAACATTATCATAAATAGCCGCATCATATTATGTTATGTTAGTAGCTTGTCATATGTGTTATAAATAAATCATTATGATTATATCGCACTTAACTTAATAATATTGCATTATCATACGTAAATGCCTTAAAGGGGCACTAAAGATGCTTCTGCAATTGTCTGTTCTTGGTCATAGCTGAACTGATTCTGCGGGCCCTAAGCATCTTAAAAATTTAAAAATTGCAATCATGCGACGCCAGTTCCCCTATCAAAAATTAGATGAAAGGTTGGGACGCACCCCTTTCATCGCGTTTTTAATAGGGAAATTGGCATTGTGTTACTGTACTTTTTAGACTTTTAGAATGCCTAGGGCCTGAGAATCAACTATGACCAATAACAGACAATCGAAGAATCGTTTTAAGTGCCCCTTTCAGGAGAGACGCTGGAAATTTTTATCCAGTTTATATCAAATTCTTATATCTACTATAATTTTTCATGCTAAGCACGAACATAAGATCTTTGTTTTTCTATTTATTAAAAAAACAAAAACATTTAACAATAGTTTCTGGCCATCTTTTTTACCATATCCTCATAAAGAAATTTTGCACGAAGGATGTTCGCATGTTATACAAACATTAGAGAGTGCAACCAAACTATTCTTATAATTTTAGTATCATTTTCTCAAACATTTAGATTTTGAGAAATTATGAATTGACATTTTTTGCTGATAATTAGAAATAAGTTATGAAAGTCCTTGGACCATTTAAAATTTTATAAAGTTAACATTTTTTAGAAATATTAGTCTTGTTGTACTCTTTGATTTATACACCAACTCATCTCTGTGACGTCACGGCGCGGTGGTGGCGCGTCGGTCGCACTTCCGGTCTGGGGCTGTGGGCAGAAGTCCCCATGCCAGACGTGTATTCCTGCGTTGTTTTGAAGGGAACCAGACAAAAAAATGCCTTCTTGTCAAAACACCGGGACTGGGGCCGTACCAGAAGAGTCGAGAAAGGTTTGAAGGTCAGTTTTCACGTGCTCGGTTCGTCCGAGAATCTGAACATGTGCTGTGAAAAGGGAAAAGCAGACGCCGTCGGACAACGATAGCGTGGGCGGGAAGCACTTTGGGTTGAATTCACGGATACTTGTGGTCATCAGATTTATTTGTTTTGTTCAACATGAACGACAGAAAACCATCAAGTTGTGCGGACCACCTGCGGACTACGTTCAGTGCGTCTTCAAGTTCAAACGGCCGCTTGATTGTTCGAATTGTCGTCTGCTCTTTCAAACGTTTCTGCTTGTCGTCTGCTCTCTTAGACGACGCCGGTCCGTAGACCAAATGTTGGCCCGGTAGTTGCGATAAGAAATGAGTGCAGGCCTCAAAAGACATACATTTGAAGGTTGGTAAGCAGGCTGGATGTAAACAGTAAATACAAGGAGATGTTGGTCATTGTTACCAGTGACCAACACCGACTTGTTGTTATGCCTAATTCAGTTGGTCCGATTCTGCTTGCGATTTTCAGTATCGTCGTCGACCAACTCAGCTACGGTTCACGCTTTTGCAGCACGAGCGGCGTCGCGACTGAGAATTCTGAGCGAAATCTCATCATGCGAATCAGGCTTTAGCGTACGTTCTGCGGCGTCCACGCGGAATGAATCGCCGCATGTCAGATTATTCACGCGAAGTTTTTGCGGTGTAACGAGCCTCGCTAATTTTGCTGACGCTGCTCAAGTAGTCAGACATCGTTAGGAGGACGTAGAATCACCAGTTCCAACGCGAAAAAGAGCGCGGGGACTCGCACCGGCGCCGACAACATCGCATTTCAATGGTTTGTTTATGGGCGACGGCGAGCTTTTTGCCCACACCCCCATCGCGCATGCGCGGCGCCGGTGGCGTCCGCTAGGGGCGCTCCGGGCGCTCCGGTTTGTTTGTAAACATGAGTTGGTGTATAAGGTATCCAACCCCGAAAAAGTATTCAGATAGAAATTCTGGATTCAAAGATACCATGGTCAAAACTTTGTGTCGTGACGAAAAAAGGAATTCCGAGAAAAGAAGAAAAGCTTTTCAAGACATGCTCGTAAACAGCCTAAATAGGAAACTTTGAATCGACCTAAGTATATAGACGTGCACTTCCTGGGTGAAGTAATTAGAAATTATGTTTTTCTGACTTACAGACTAAGAAAATAGAAAAGAATATACTTTTGCAATTTTCACTTTTCAAGACCAGGGTTTCCACTTAATCGTATGTAGTTATAGGAATAACTCAATTACATTTGTCTGCAATTAGCAAGTTTCTTCATTTTGCATTGCAGTATTCTAACAATCAGACTTTTCTTTTCTCAAGAAGCTACTTTCGCCAGAAAAAGGCTTCTTTTAAACGAAAGATAGGGCAGCTCAGAACCTCACCTGCCACTTACGGCATTTCTCCAAAGTGTCGGGCGTGCGGACGTCGGACGTGGTGGGGAAGCTGCTGCGCAATGGCCAGCCCGTGCCCACCAAGGACGTGGAGGTGGTCGTCAAGAACGACATGGTGCTCGTCACGTTCCGCAAGCCCGTGCGCGAGTCAAGCGGCCCGTACGAGTTTGCCCTGAGCAACTCGCAGGGGGAGGCCAAGCTGCCGCTCAACATCAACATCCTCGGTGAGCACTTCCCCCCCGTCAGGACCAACGAGGGGTCGGTTGCCTCTCTGGCTCGGAGGCGAAGCGCCGGCCTACGGTTCTTCGGGCGGCACGTTCGATACCCGGACGGGTTAACCGAGCTCTCAATTGCATGTTAAAACGTCCCCGGGTGTTTGAAATTAGTCTGCAGCCCACAACGTGCCTCTACGACAACGAATTTCGAGCGAGGCTTCTTTGTGACACACTTCTGCTTGTAACAAAGCCCACTTATAGCAAACTTCTGATCTGATGTAGCAAACACATCTGTTTCAGAGCTGCTTATGAGTGCATTGCACAATAGCTCCACCTGTGACACTCTTCTGTTATGGCAGATTTCAAGCGAGGCTTGTTGCACGTAAATGCTAGCTATAGACTTCTGTTATGATTGGCATGTTTGTATAATACTTCGAAGTCTATTATAAGTGGGTGCATCGTAACGAAGTTGAGACTAAACACTATCGACCCAGTGATCACTAGTGCACCAAGTTACTAACTCGGTGCAGAAAGCGGCCCAACATCGTTTCAGGAGTCGGGTCAAGATCCCGCGAAGTGCTTGCAGAGCCTGCATGACTTTTCTGTAGGTGGGTAGCAGACGAAATATTGAGTAGGCCCAATGGCCTCCATTTCTTTGGCCATGCAGCAGTTCAGGAGTACAACACAATACTTTGGGAGCAGTGCATTTTGGTCCTTGCATAATGGTTTGTCTGGCAGTAATGATGCACCAATTGTTAAACACTTGTTTACAACTCTCAAAAGTGACACTTAAAAAAGCATAGAACAAATTTTTTTTGGCTTTGTTACATTAAAAAAAATAAAGTGTGATGTTATTAAGCAAGAAGTACTGGCTTTCCACAACAATTTTTAAATTGCTAAGCAAATTTTAATTTCCATATTTTTCTGGTGCATTATGCCTAATGATTTATTTATTTATTTGTTTATTTATTTTACCCTCAGGGCTGCAGGCATTACAGAGGGGAGTGGCGAGAGAACAAACAAAATAACAGTGTAAAATACAAAATGGTTAAATAATGGGGAATACTTTGCTTGGAATTGCTTGGAACATTTTAACAAAAAAGTACACAATCAACAATCAATGTAAGTGATGCAGGTAGATGATTCTATTCATTTGCAACTCTAGGAATAAATTATGCAAGATATTTGTTATAATGGAAAAATAGAGTTCCTACTTTGTGACGGTGATCCAGGCATGCAGGAACAATTCGTAGAGACCGCCGTGGTAAAGACAGCACCAGCTGGATTTGCATCTATGCACCAATTGGTGTGGCAGTAGAATGTCGAGCTCCCAATCAAGGGTTCGTGGTTTCGATTCCAGTTGGGTAACAATTAGTTTTCTTTTTTCTTTTATACCCATCACTCGTTTGTACACATTGCCCTCTGTAGTGTGTGCCACTCATTTCGTAATGCTTTCCATAGCTTTTCCTCACACTTTCTTCAGTAATCTCGGCGCTTAAACACAATCTATGTTTTATAAAAAACGAGAGCTGCCCTCTTCAAAATGGTTGCCGGAGAGATCAGCCTCAAACCCCCATACATCCAATCAATAGTGTGACGCTCCGACATTGCAGACGTGCCCCAGCCGCCCGAAGGCCCACTGGAGATCACGGACGTGTTCAAGGACCGCTGCAAGCTCAAGTGGAAGCCCCCCAAGGACACGGGCGGCGTTCCGCTCCAGCACTACGTCGTGGAGCGGCAGGACCTGGGGGTTCGGGGCGGCTGGACCGAGGTCCTCACCACGGAAGACACCAAGGCTGACATCACGGACCTAGTGGCCAAGAAGGAGTACAAGTTCCGGGTGCGCGCCGTCAACAAGAAGGGCGCCTCGGAGCCGCTCACCGCCGACAAGACCACGTTGGCCAAGGATCCCTACGGTGAGTTCGTTGATCCGACTTCGTGGCTGCGTGGTGGTTTCTACCATGCGTGTAACCTCTGCAATCACTGCAAGCCTCTAAAGCCTAATACCTCTGTCATTCGGGCACCTTGTGTTACTGAGCCGCTTCTGTTACTGAGGCGCCCTTGTCACTTGGGCACCTCTTGAAGTAGTAAGACAGGGTCATCTAGCATTGACGAAGCAGGTTTGTTCCTTGGACATGTATGGACACCGCTCTGACTCACAAACAGTGTCACCGTCAGGAGGATAGCAGCAGGATGGAGTCTCATTTGTGAAGCCTTCGGTGGAGCTTTTTACCTTCGACAGTTCTTTGGCATCTCCTGAGTCTCGAGCATGCAGGCGCAGTCAAAGTATGACGGATGGCAGCAAGCTCGCTCTGGGGCAACACAGTGATGTCTCGTTAATATGGACCCCTCCGTCCCCCAAAAAATCGTCCATGATGTGAGTTGTCCATTATAACAAGGCAAAAATTTGTGAACTTATCCGATTCGTCCCCAAAAGCTCTGTCATTACAGTAGCGAGGTATTCATATTAATGGGGTTGGTATTAACGAGACATTACTGTACTACCCAGAAGACAAGGCCTGGTTATGACGTCGTCGACAGTGAAACCGGACACGTCCCGGGCGGCAAACACGCTGAAGCCGAACAAGAGTCGCCGCAAAGATGCAGACATGTCTGTCTTGGCATCGCCGCCTGCTGGTGTCGCGCTCTTTGCCAGATGCGCCGGTGGCGGTGCCGACGCAAGCTAGGTGGCGCTGCGTAGATTCACTAGTGATGACGTTTGGGGCAGAAAGGCGCAGGTTTTCCTTGTCTTCTAGGTGGTGTTGGCTATGTTGTGTTGGCGGGGCGTCGGAAAGAAATGCCCTGCCAATCTCTCCTCTATGGCAATCATTATCAGCGTCCGTTCAGAGAGGTTTTGTTGTGAGCACCTGCCACCATCGTCCCTGAGCAATGCGTCTGTGTGCTTCTGTTCCACAGACGAGCCGTCGAAACCGGGCAACGTCGAGATTGTGGACTGGGATGCCGACAGGGTCGACCTCAAGTGGCAGAAGCCCGAGAAAGACGGAGGTGCGCCCATCGAAGGCTACGTCATTGAGTACAAGGACAAGTTCTCAAGAGACTGGGTCGAAGGAGCCGTAAGTCTTGCATATGCCGTCATCTTATACCCATCTGCCCCCAACACTGAAGTCGCCCCAAATTGTCATTGTTTAATTGCCTAAATAAAACTTGCATGTCACAAAAAAAAAAAAAAAAATCCGTTTAGGTAGGAACGTTTTTGAGGGCAATATTAACGTTGCAAGACTCATTTTGAGCTAGGGGTGATTCTGTAAGATGTTTCTATTTCGAGGCATTGACCTTGTCTAGACTTGCGACGTAAATATTGGTTCCCAGGTTCCAGGGAACTTGTTTCTTTGGAATCTGTGTTCTTAAGGCTTGTTCAACACACTTGCAACCCCTTAAAACTGAGTGCCTTGAAACCTCTTAAAATTTCTTACGACGAGAGGCAAACGGCACCACCCGACGGGTAGCCGTGGAACACTGGGCGGTCCTGTGTATTTTCAATCTCTTTCGCCCATCATTCTTTTTTTTCTTGGCTTAAAAAACTTTTGTCTGTTGTAAACTAAAATTTCTCATAAGTTGCACATACATTTGACCTCGCAAATACTGCCTAATCTTTGCTCGAGTGAAATGCATTTCCAGGGTCACAGCATAGATAGCGTCAGCACATCAGTGTGTTCTCCTGTCGTAAGGGTTTTTAAGAGGTCTCAAGGCGCTCGGTTCCAAGGAGTCGCAAGTGTGTGAATGGGCCCTTAGGGAGCTGGCATTTTTAAGTGTTCACTGTACACATCTTTGGTTTGTGACAGGGCACCCACTCTCAATGAACCCACAGCACGTGAAGTTAAATCACTTAAAAAAAGTAAACTGTTTCTGTGCTCATCCCAATTCTTGGTTTCCTGCAGAGAGTTCCTGCTGACAAGACGGAGGGCAGGGTACCGGACCTGAAAGAGGGCATGCAGTACGAATTCCGCGTCCGAGCCCTCAACAAAGCCGGCCTGGGCGAACCCAGTGATCCTACCAAGCCCCTCATTGTCAAGGCCAGATTTGGTAAGCTCGTGTGTAGGCTAACTTGTCCTAGATCGCTCTGGTAGGCTTGCAATTGTGACGTTACAGTGAAACCTACTGTCATAAAACTACCTTGCCTTATAAGACGTGTTAAAAATGCACTAGACATGGTTCCTTCCATCGGACCGACTTGTATGCCTAAAAACATTGTTATACTTTTTGTGGTTAAGATCAGGAGTTGTTTTTTTTTTCTTTTGGGGGGAGCTATTGCTGCATTACAATGTTGCAATCATTCTCATTAGAATTCAGTTAAAATTACCGTATTGATTTTAAGATATAGTTGAACATACACTGCTGCATCTTGGGAAACTGTAACAGGATGTACCCAAAAAAGAAGAATTTTTTTTTTTTTTTACTTTTCTAAGTGATGCTTATACATTTAAATCTCAATTTAACGAAACCCGATTTTACGAATTTCCAGATTTAACGAATAAATTCGGATTCCCCGCACAGCCTATGTGCGAGGTCTCCCTTCCTCGATTTAACAAAATAATTAGTGGGTCCTGGTGACTTCGTTAAATCGAGGTTCAACTGTATTTGAACCACATTTTCACTTATATAATACTTTTTTCCTGTAAGCGTTTTAGGGTACTCTTAGAGCTTAGGGAGGGGGGGGCGTGGAGGGGGGGTGCATAGAATTATGTTAACGTGGGGACATTTCGGGTAGGGTCCAGTGCACGTCCACTGTACATTCTGCTCCTGATATAAGTTTGGGCCTGATCCGCTTTACCAAGTTAATAACATTGTCACACATCAAAACGAGGCAGTAGTGAGTGACGCTGGCACGAATTTCTCTCTCAACAGTCAAGCCATTCATTATCGGCGACGGCCTGAAAAACATGACCATCAAGCGTGGTGCCACAATCAAGTACGAGGTTGAGTTCAAGGGCGAACCACCACCGGAAGTCGTCTGGGAGCGCAACAGCCAGCAACTGAAGCCCAATGACAAGTAGGTGGCCAACAGCCACGTTCCAAAGTACTCCAAATCTAATCGAAGTGTTTCATTCAGACGACACAGGAGAATGATGGTTGTCAGAGTAAAAAGGCAGGGCTTTAGTAATTCTTCACCCCCTTACCCGTAGACAGTAGCTTGTGAAAAACAGAATGCAACGCTAATAAGAAGTAATATTTTCCAGCAGAAGGATAAACAGCAAACACAGAAGGTAAAGAAAATGATGCCCATGGCGATGCTATTGAGGGGGCCCCTCTCGAATGATTAATCATTTTAAAAAGTTGGTCGTTGTTTAACGCAGCAATTGATTATCCAGTAGATTAGCCAATCGGTTGCCTCATTTTAACTGTTCATAAGCTGGCATACTTTGCCGGCTGCTGCAAACAAGCTGGTTATTTCTTTAGAAACACAGCGACTGAACTCTTTCAGGACCACGATCGAAGTCACGGAGAAGTCTACCGTCCTTGTGGTCAAGAACGCCCTGCGAGCTGACAGTGGACGTTACACGATCAAACTCACCAACAGCAGTGGCTCAGTGTTTTCTGAAGCGGACGTCGTCGTCCTGGGTCAGTTGGTTTTATTGACGTCAAGTTTTCTTTCTGAAGTTGGGCTTATGTATCTCAATGCAGCACGCCTTGCTTACTCCTTTATAAATGACTTAGTTCTAGCATTGTGCAAATATTCAAATTTTTTAATGGTAGTTTAGAATACTACATTACTCAATATTTGCATTGAGGTGAACTGCGATATTCATAATCTTCGAAGTGTTGATCTTCCAATCGCAGGAGATTGCTTCAGCAGCATTATGAAAGGGCTGATTTTGATTTGAATATAGCGGAAAACATTTTTAACGGGCCGGCTGACAAATTTTTTTGTTACTTGAGACCCCATGGCCAGTAAGAATGCTGCTGTAATTTGAAGCGTAAAGGATTGCAAGAATACAGATGCAGAAAGAGGGTGCAGAGATTTAGCTTTTTGGGATCTTGTATGTCTTAGAATGTGTCAGTGACAGCTCCTGGGGCAAGGAACGTTGGTATCTTGGGGTTTACCAGTCACCATAAAAGATAGAGAATTGCTGAGAACAGGACTCTGTGCCTTCTTAAAAGGGCACACATTGAAGCGTCTACCTTAAACTATTTGCAGTAAATATTATTTGCCAATCAAATATCTCCTTTGGGTGGCCTACACTTGCTTAAGGCATCTGAGAAGAACCTGTCATTTATCAATATTATCAAAGGCACTAGGTGTAGACGTTCGCTATATCCACAAAAACTAAGAATGTGCATTATGATGAATGCTAGGAGTTGCAACAACTTCATGTATCTGCCCACTATAATGTTCACGAAAGACCCAGAACGTAGAAACTAAAAGGTGTTACTTGGGTTGTCGGTGTGAGTGACCAAACTTGACAAACTGCTTCACTTTCCAGACAAACCATCGATGCCCGGTGGACCGTTGAAGCCAGAGGAGGTCCGCGCGGACCACGTAGACCTCTCGTGGAAGAAGCCTCCGGACACCGGGGGTCACGACCTCAAGGGCTACGTCCTGGAGAAGATGGACATGGATACGGGACGCTGGGTGCCGGCCGGGGAGGTCGGTCCCAACGAGACCAAGGCCCGCGTGGACGGGCTCACCAAGGGCAAGAAGTACAAGTTCAGGGTCAAGGCAGTCAACAAGGAGGGAGAGTCCGAGCCCCTCGAAACCGGGGATGAGATCGTTGCAAAGAACCCCTACGGTGAGTTGGCCCCGTCTCGGCATGCACCCAGCGCAGACTTTATACCGATTTCAAGCTTCCAAATGCAGGTTTGGCTTTTGTGTTAAACGCGGGATGGGTTTAAAGCCTGGGATTCCCGATAAAAATGTGGCACGGCGTCACAAAAGACTGTGGCGAAAAACTGTCGCACACTCGCCAAATTTAGCGGTCTTACGTCCCGCTAGGTTTGGTTGATTATGCTGCGGAAATGAAGAGGTGGGTTAGGCCCTGCGACTCGTTCGGAGTGCGACATCTAAAACTTACAACGTCAGTGACATTGTTCACTCGCCGCAGACGAGCCGGGCAAGCCGTCCAAGCCGGAGATTGTGGACTACGACAACACCAAGGTGGACCTAAAGTGGGATAAGCCCGCCAGCGACGGCGGACGTCCCATTTTGCACTACATCGTAGAGAAGAAGGACAAGCTGAGCAGCGATTGGGTGGAGGCCCTCAAGACGGACGGCGACCAGTGCCAGGCCACGGTGGCAGACCTCAAGGAGAACTCAGTCATGCAGTTCAGGGTGCGTGCCGTCAACAAGGCCGGCGTCGGGGAGCCCAGCGAGCCGACGGAGAACCACATCGTCAAGCACCGCAACCGTGAGTGGTGCCGCCCTCTTATGCAGTGCAACTCTTTTTTTTTTTTTTGCTTTTGAATACAGTATAACCTTGTAGCAACAGATCCTGTTATAGCAGACATTTGGTATAACAGACCGATTTGAAGTTTGGTTGGTCTTCCTATCTATTAGGTATGCCACTGAGCCAACTTCTCTTACTACAGGCTCTGTTATAACATGCATTCGGATATAGCGGTATATTAAATAGTTTGTATTTACTTCACCGTCCCATTATGGTGGACTCTTCGATAGCAGTCATTATTACGGGCTTACGTGATTAACATGGCCAAGATCTTCATCACTATCAACCTCTGTTGTTATAACTAGTTAATACTGTAGTAGATAGGCAGAGGCCACATAAGCCAATAAGGTTTGAGTGTGGGACGTGGCAGGTGCCACTGTTCTTTACAAAGAAAATAACTCTAGAATTTGAAAAGGTAAGTATAAAAAAAAGGTGAAGGCTAGTTTGCACAACTTGAACGTTACAATAACTAGAATGAGGTGTACAAAAAACTCTGTTTTTATTGAATTAAAAAACTGAAATAGTGGGTTCAGTAACGTTTGTTGTTTGGCTTACATGAATGTGCAGCCCCACTACTCATGTAGCGCCAAACTTTGATTGATGCTTACCCTTTGGAAGTGCTGCTTATCTTACTTGAATCTATTGTTACAGTAATCTCATTTAAAAATATTTAAAGCCTACAAAACACCTACCGTAATATCCCGAGTCATCGCCCACCCCCCAACCGCCTGAAATTCGTTAAAAAAGTGGGGTGGGCCATGTCTCGGTGGGTGAGCACAAACACTTAAAAAAAACGGAAAAAACCGCCTATTTTTCTTTGCGTATCTAGCGCTGATGCACAAGAGATACATCAAACTCAAAACTCGATTTAGTTTCATTGTTCTATAGAAAAGAAATGCTCACGAAAGAATATTTTACTATAGCCAAGTCCGTTGCTTGCATACGCGCTAGAAACACCCCCGATCTGCATATAGCACGAACGTTTGTTCCGTGAAAGAATGTCACCATTATGTTCTCCTAGTTAGTAAAAAAAAAAAAAAGAAAGAAAAGTCTACAAGAAAACAGAGAAACCGACCAGGCACAACGAGCGAGGGAGCGAGCGAAACAAAGAAGCGACCAAGAGCAATGCCGGGAAAGCGGGAAAGCCGGCCGTCGCGTTGGCAAATACTTTGGCGTCGGGCCAAGTCGGGCGCCTTGTCAATTGCAAGCTCTTGTGCAACTTTCTTGTTTGGTGGGTACATACGTGCGTCCGTGCACGGCGGGCTATCAATGCACGGTTGGGACGCTCTGCAAACGTCTGTGTAGGACGTTCCAGCAAAGCTCTATTTACGCTTTGGCTTTGCCTAAAATATTGCACAACAGCGGTCGCGACGGGCGGGAAGAAGGAGCGGGTTCGCGGTGACCTTACTTCGGCAAAGACAGACTTTGACCTAACACTCCGCGGTTACCTTAACAAACTCTTATTTTGTTATCTCCATCGTTTTCTTTTCGCACGGATACACGACCACTTTGGGGTCGCTCACGGAGGAAATGCGTAAACAAAAAGAAGTGTCTTTCCCTCCTTCGTTTTACTTTGTCACGGACGTCCTCCAACTGTAAGGTCCGCGGCCGCGTCATTCGGGTAGGATGAGTGTTCGCGGATCCCAGAGTCCGCGCTGGGGTATTTGAAGGGGTGGGCGATGACTCGGTGTTTTTTCGGAAATCGATATTGGCCCAAAAAATGGGGTGGGCGATGGCTCGGGGATGGGCGATGACTCGGGATATTACGGTAAAACGATTACGGTACACACTTTGAACATTTTCCTCGCAGTTATTTTTAATAATGCTTTATGTGTCTTATTATTTTTCATGAAGCCTCTGTCATTGGACATAAATATTTTTTGGGGGCCAGAGCTGTTTACATTTGGAGTGTCGATTTTAATCTGTGAACAGTAAATTTAATTGACAACTCAGGCGTGCTTTTAGTTCACAGCAAAAGAATACTCCGAGACGGCCCATTCAAATCACTCCACACATTTTTTGGTGATGCCGTTCAATCTTTGGAGATCAAGTTATTGTGGGTAAACAGAACCCAGCCCTAAGACTAACTTGCATTGGCATCGTTATCGCATCATCAGATTTTAACGTGGTTTGGATTCTCGTCTCCGCCAACCTCTTTCCACGTCGTCGTGCACGTATTGGCCTCATGAGCGTTCCCCTGCCCTGCAATTTCAGTGAAGCCCCGCATCGACCGCACCAACCTGAAGAATGTGATCCTCAAGGTCGGGAGGTCTCACGTCTACGAGGTGGACATCATTGGCGAGCCCGCGCCCGAAGTCGTCTGGACGTTCGGCGAGGCGGCGACCAAGCTGGCCGACGACGAGAACACCAAGATAGAGAACAAGGAGTATCACTCTACTTTCAGCGTGCTCAAGGCTCTGCGCAAGCAGTCCGGGAAGTACACCATCACCGCCACCAATCGCAACGGCAAGGACAGCGTCTCCGTCGACGTCACCGTGCTGGGTAAGCGAGACGACGCTCTGTCCGTAATGAAAAAGAAATCTATGATTTGTTGAGAATTAATGTTTAAAATGAAAACGATGAGCACTGTGCCTGACCTTTAAGCACTGCTGAACCCTGTAATATGCCTCACTAACTGGGGCAGCTCTCTTACTTAGTCACCTTCCTAGGTCCTACACCTCCCTAGGTCGCAGACCTCCTTACATTGGGCACTTCCCTAGGTCTAGCATGTCCCAATGTCCTGCACCTTCTTAAGTTACACACTTCCCTAGGTACTACAACTCCCTGGGCTCTACATATTCCTAGCCCTTATGCCTTCCTAGGCCCTGCACGTCCCTTAGCCGGATGCTTCCCTCATTCCAGCACCTCCCCATGTCGAACAGCTTCCACACCCCTTCTTTATTTGGGTTCCTCCCTATTAAGTCCTGCATCTCCCCCAGTCCAGCTGCCTAGTGCAAACAAATGATACTTTTAATGCTATAGTCACTTGTAGAATGAGAACGGCAGAGCATCTCCACCGGCCTTCAGCCTCGTTTTGGCTGCTTGCGCATCCTCAAGGTCCATGTAATGCTGAATCTTTCTGGAAAGCTTGCATTGGAGGATGGACAAGTAAAGAACCTCCCTGCCCTTCTAGTCCTGCGAGTGATCATAGCAAAAGATTTCTTCGGTTCCGGTTGTCGAAAGCCACACCCGCTTGCCCTCCAGGCAAGCCGGCGAGGCCGGAGGGACCCCTGGAGGTGAAGGACGTGCACAAGGAGGGCTGCAAGCTCAAGTGGAACAAGCCTAAGGACGACGGGGGCTGCCCCCTGCACCACTACGAGGTGGAGAAGCTGGACAAGGAGACCGGGCGCTGGACCCGGGTGGGCAAGACGGACAAGCCCGAGATGGAGGTGACGGGGCTCACGCCGGGCAAGGAGTACCTCTTCCGGGTGGTGGCCGTCAACGACGAGGGCGAGTCGGAGCCCCTCGAGACCCTTCAGGGCACCGTCGCCAAGAACCCCTACGGTGAGAGGCGCTGGAACGGCCCCGCATTGGGTTTCTCTGCCGTGGGGCGGCGACGGCAGTAAGAAGGGGCCAGGGGCGGGTAAAGACGCAGTCGGAACGTCTGGCCGGGGGTGAAAAACAAAAACAAAACAAAGTGGTTCCCCAGTTAGCAGGCCTCAGCCACAGTAGAGGTCATATAGGGGAGTCACCACCTCTGTTCCGAGTCAAGACATGACTCAGTGTTACCGGCGTGTGATTTGTACATCCTGACTTTATATATGCTGGCGACATATACCGTATTTACTCGATTCTAAGCCGGCATCGATTCTAGGCCGACCCCGCAAAAACGGCAGGGCCCAAAAATAAAAAAAAAATTCTCGATTCTAGGCCGACCAAAAAGTATAGGAAAAACACCATAAATTAAACACAAAACGGAATTTATCTGCAATGTACAGCACTATTTCGGTCACGAATCCGACGGTATGCTCACGGTTAATGTCCGCATTTTTCCTGATCATTCGTCGTCCTCACTGGTATCTTTGTCACTGTCCACTTCCCACAACATCCGTACTGTCCAGGGCATTCGAGATGCAACACTTTCGGAACGACTTTACTACCAGTTCCGCCGGGATGTCATCCCATGCGGCCGCGATCCAGCTCGTGGTGCCTTCCCTTCCGCTGTCCTGAGAACGCCATTCTTGATGCCGCACATGCAAAGAGCTGACCACGCTGCTTTCTCCAGCGACGCACATTTTTTTCGTCCACGCCGAAGTCACGCTGGGCTTGCAGGTTGGACGAGTGTTCAGCAGCCAAGACAATCTTTCTCTTAAACGCGGAGTAGTGGCATCGACTGGTCGATGCCATAGCGTCGAGTAGAGACGAACGTTCCGTGCGTTCCGTGGTACACAGCTTATCTTCCCGAAGCGATGTAGACAAGATGGCGTCCCGCGGTCATGGCGGGGCCGGATCCTCGTATCTAGGCCGACCCCCGAGTTTCGGATTTAATTTTTTTGGAAAAACTATCGGCCTAGATTCGAGTAAATACGGTAGCTTCTTGAGGTCAAAAAGATGACTCAAACTTCAGTGTGACCACCGTAAGATCACGAACGAGTGTGCACCGACAAGAGACAACCCACACTCAAGAGATTGCCCGCCTAATATTTTAAGGGCTTTTTTGTTTATGGGGCCAGCTCATAGCACTGCCACGTCCATGGATAAGAGTGCAGTGTGGGGCACGCATCGTGGAGCGTGCAACCGGCGACCACTCTTGGAGTGGAGAGCTCTCTTGGTGTGCGCTTGATGGCTGCGAAATCGACTACATGTACCAGGAAGATTATTGCTTGCAGGCTTTGCATGCTACCAAAGCGCTGTAGGAGGAGTAAGGGACGCAGCTACAAAACGAGCGCCGGGCCCGGTCGTGACAGGAAGCCAGTAGCCATTACACGGCAGCCAACAAGCAGTTCTCGCACCAGTTCACATAAAATTCGTTTGGTGCGGTGCGTAATACATGCGACAGATTGTGGTTTTGGAACGGCGTGAGCAAAGCAGTCCCCTTTGGGAAATACCACACATTTGGAAACTCTTTGGGAAATGTTAGAAAAGCAGCCAGTTTTTTCCCTCGCATCTCTCCACCGTGGATGGGCCATCATTCGGGATGATGGCCCACCCGCGTAACCCAAAGTGACCAAACTTGCACTCAAACTGTCGTCTCTCTTGCATCGTCCGATCAGACGAGCCGACCAAGCCCGGCACGCCTGAGTTGGTGGACTGGGACAACACGAGCGTGGACCTCAAGTGGGAGCCACCCAAGAGCGACGGCGGCGCCCCCATCGAGAAGTACATTGTGGAGAAGAAGGACAAGCACGGCACGGAATGGGAAAAGGCGGCTGAAGTGCCTGGCGACAAGAAGGAAGCCAAGGTCACGGGCCTCAAGGAGAAGACCGAGTGCCAGTTCCGCGTGGTCGCCATCAACAAGGCCGGCCCCAGCGAGCCGAGCGACCCCACCGCGCCGCACGTGGTCAAGCACCGGAGGCGTGAGTGTTGGGCTCTTTCTCTCATTGTGTGTCGAGTGTTCATACTGGTGTGTCACTTGGGCTGATTGGGGTCCTTCTTAGAGTAGTATACCCTTACGTTATGTCTACCCTTTGATATAAGTACGAGCATAACGGAAGTAGTGGAGGTCTATCGCATCTGCAGGCCCTGTCCTATCCAATCCGAGCAACGCAATAAGGCAGGTGACAATGAATCATACAGGCGCCCTCTGGGGAGAGCTGTGACATAATTTGCTTTGTCTCTCTGGCTTACTCACAAAAGCCTCCACCCTCTGACATGTTATGCTAAAATGTAGTACTATAAAGTGAAGTAATGTTGAATGCAGAAGGCTTCTTGCCGTTGACGCTACGTGATCTATAAAGGTTTTGCGGAAGTTCTCGAAATTCTGGTCCTACACTGGTGCGGCTACAGTTAAGAAAAACCCCTCGATCCGTAGCTTGCTTCGTTTTTCTTAAAAACTGCACTCGTCAAAAGTATTATAGTATACTGATGTGGTGGAATGTCCACATAAAGTGGAGATTTGGGCCGGTTGGTTCGTTGCAAACAAAAAGCGCCGAAAAAATACAGGGACGCAGACGAAAGGAAACAGGACACATGTGTTGAAATTACTTATATGGAAATAAATTTTTGTTTTCTATCTGTAGACTACCGTGAAAAGCGTAGATGTCATGTTTGCACCAAGTCTGTTGCATATCGTAAACATTGTACACAGTTTTAATTAGCGTAACTTCCCAATCTCGTACCTCCCATTGATGCTGCTTCCTTGGTGGCCCTTGTTTTTTTATGTTGTTGTTTTTTGTTGTTCATTGTGGTATGCTGATGGTTGTGTCCCCATTGGTGCTTGAACAGTGAAACCTTACATCGATCGTACCAACCTGGATGTGTTGATGGTGAAGAAGGGAAAGCCAATCAAACTGGATGTCAACATCCGGGGAGAGCCACCTCCAAAGGTCACCTGGAAGCTGCAGAACAAGGTGAGTGCCTCACACATTTTCGATACGCATACGTCTAGATAAACTGCAAAATAATCCCTCCTGCCAAGAACCTTACGGGGTTGGCCTTTCTGGTGCTTGGCCCATTGAGCTCTTCCTCTGTCCTACTCTAAACTTTTGTGCAGTCTATTTATGCTGTGTGTTACCAACTGGCGCAGTTGCTTTTACACTTGGCTCAATATCACTCTTGGACAATGCACTTCCCTGAAAGGTAACTTCTAAGGTGGTACTTTTAAGGTTATGTGCCAGCTAAATATTTTCACTGAACATTTTTAATTGTAGATGTATTGAAGAAGCCATGCTTCCAATTATCTTTGACTTAGTTTACTCCATACAAAATGTGAAAGAGTTGTTTTTTTTTTTTTTTTAATAAAAAAAGCTTATTTATTGTTGAGTTTTTTTGTTTTTATGGAATGGAAAAGTTTATTTATTCGAATGAAAACATACAGTGTTCTTTTCTTATATATTAGCTAGAACCAGCAGGTCTGTCACAAATGGTGCTCCAAGGGCAGTTGGATAACTTTTGTCTTAGTGAGGCTAGGGATTGATTTAGGCTTGAGCTAATTGTTGTCACAGATTATGTTTTTGTTCTCTTGACAAGGTGGTCGAAACCAAGGATAACGTTGAGGTGGTCAACGTCGACTACAACACCAAACTGAACATCACCGACTCCCAGCGCAAGGACTCTGGCCTCTACACGATCACTGCCGAAAACGAACACGGCAAGGATGAGGCGACCGTCGAGATCATCGTGCTCGGTGAGAGTGGCATCCATTTTTTTTAAGATCCTTGGTAGCTGTGAAGGGGGGTGGTGTGAGGTCAGGTGCTCCGGCGTTTGTCTGTCGCGGGCTGCAGACATCCTTTTGTGTCGTCGAGCGCCGCTAGCACGGGCCAAAGCACGCGTACGGACAAGCATTCGACGGTGGTATGACACAAGACTACTAGCCGAAGCAAAACGTGCTGATGGTTGTGGCACAAATGCAGAAAGGGTGATAAAAGAATTTGATGTATCTTAAACCTTTGGGTTAAGTCAAGAGGACACAGAATGGACGCGTGAAGCCACATCAAGTGCCTCAGTGTCGCGGGATGTCGCAAGATGTCAGTGACGCGTTACATCTGCGTTTCCGTGAAACCACCATACTTTCCACAGATTTGCCTACTCCACTTCAGTTAGACTACAAAGGGCAGCCATATTAAAGACGCCGATTTCAGTGCCACTACGCAAATCTAGAACGAAGCTCGAGAGTTTCGGCGCTCCAGCAACATTTGATGGCTCGGTATATTTCCGGAAACTCCAGAGCTCTATCTCCTTATGCAGGTGCCCCGTCTAAGCCCGGTGGCCCGTTGAAGGTCTCCGACGTGCACGACAAGGGCTGCAAGTTGCAGTGGAACAAGCCGGAGGACGACGGGGGCAAGCCCATTCAGGCGTACGTGGTGGAGAAGATGGACACGCAGACGGGCAACTGGGTGCCCGTGGCCAGGGTGGACCCGGACAAGACGGAGTGCCCCGTCACGGGGCTCATCCCGGGCAAGCAGTACCAGTTCAGGGTCAAGGCCGTCAACCCCGAGGGAGAGTCAGAACCCCTCGTGTCGGACAGGCCCACCCTCGCCAAGAACCCCTACGGTGGGTTGGCATCGTTGTTGCCGTCCGACGCAGCTTGCACGTCACTGTGACTTGGACACCCCTGTAGCTTTTGTGACGCAAGCTGCATTTACGTCTGACGGACGTAGACACAGCTCGCACTTTATCATGAGTCAGGAACTTCTGTAGCTTTTGGGCCTTGGTCATCTTTGCAGCCCTGACACCTTCGTAGCTCTCGGAGCTCTGTAACTCGGACAGCTCTGAAATCCGCACGCTTCTGTGACCCTCCTTTCTGTAATCTCTATGGCAGGAATGCTTTTGTAACTTGTATGCTCGCTGAACTTGCACACTTTTGGCCCTTTCAGAACTCGAACACTTCCATACCTTAGACACCTCCTTAAAAACTTGGACACGTCTGTAACTCGGACTTCTCTGTCGCTCGGATGGATTCACAATCAGGACACTCTCATAACTCAAACACTTAGGTAACCCAGAAAACTCTAACTGGAGCACTTTTGTAGGCTCACAGAACTTGCACACTTCTGGCCCTTCTTGAACTCAAACACTTCCCTAAAAACCGGTACTTTTCCGTAACTTGGACTCCTCCGTCACCCGGAAACACCCAAGTCACAAAGAGAGTATTCCGAATGTCTTAACCCAACCCTACGCTCACCAGATAAGCTTCACTTTGGTTTTCTGAGCTCTAGCTCATTGTTGCCAGCACGCATCCTCTACCTTGTCGTCATGTCTTACGACAAACATTGTGGCTCCTCGAACCAGACGAACCGGGCAAGCCCGGCACGCCCGAGATCGCCGACTGGGATGAGAAGCACGTGGACCTCAAGTGGGATGCGCCCAAGAACGACGGCGGCGCCCCCATCACGGGCTACGTGGTGGAGAAGAAGGATCGGCTGGGCGGTGGCTGGGAGCCCTGCCTGGAGACGACCAGCTCCAAGCCCGAGGCCAAGGTAGAGGGTCTGGTCAAGGGCCAGCAGTACCAGTTCAGGGTCCGGGCCGTCAACAAGGCCGGCCCTGGAGAGCACAGCGAGCCCACCGGCATGCACCTGTGCAAGGAGCGCTTCCGTGAGTCTACCGCTCCAGCCGTACCCGTTTGGCAACCAATCAGTGTCGAGCCTCGCAGCCACGCTTTTATCCAGGCTTCACTTTCGTACTTCGCGAAATGCCGAATACCTAGCCAAAGAATGTTTTGTGTTGACAAACCAGTGTTTGCTCACACCAGGTGTAGGCACTGCACGTGTGCAGGAACCAGATTTGCACGAGTTAAAGCGCATACGCCGTGCCGACAGTGGCACCATTGCAGCGGCATGACGTCACAGCCGCGTGTTGGTCTATACAGTCTGGATCCAATGGCTTGTTGGCCCTTTGAAGCGCATGGGGCAAAGGTGCAGGCCGATAGCAAATCAATTCTTGGAGCGACCATATTGAGCGTTTTTTTGGGGGGTGCCGGAAAACGCCAAGCGCAGGAGTTAGGTGTTTCTGAATTTTGCTGGTTTGTTGGTTGTGGGCAATGAGTTTCTAATCAAAACTACATCTTTTTTCTCAGTATTTTAGGGCTTCGTTGCGTAAAACTTAGTTAAAAACCTGATTATTCGAAATGCCGCATGCCTCGCTAAATTGGCCCCCCTTGGGGTAACTACGTAATATGGTACCAGTCTAGCACCAGTATGGTACTAATTAGGTTGGTAAATGCCCTGTCTGCATCTGGGTCACCAACATTCGTCGTTCCTTTAATGAATTTCCTCAGTCTCGGGAATTCCAATTGCAAACCTTCGCCTCTTACTAGACGTTCATAATGCCGGATTGTCTATGTCATCCACCGAAAGTCAGCGCAAAGCGCAAATTGGACACGAATGCTGCGTCGAGGTTTGTCTGCAACTTGTGTTTTCGCTGACTGGACTCAAGTCCTAGCTGAACGCAGCAGTCATGTCTAATGAGTGTCCTCTGGTAGATGACGTAGATAATCCAGCACTTTACCCTCATTATGCATAACGGACACACCGACAATAGCGGCAGACACAAACTCCCATGTAGCCGTGACGTCTCGAGTCCCGGCATTAACGTGTCCGACGGACTCCCCGTGCAGTGGCTCCCAAGATCATCAGGGACAACTTGCAGAACATCACGGTCCGTGCTGGCCACGTGGCCAAGGTCAACGTGGAGGCAATCGGCGAGCCGCCCCCGAAACTGACGTGGTTCTTCCAAGGCAAGGAGCTGGAGAAGTCACCTGCAGTCAAGGTGGACGAGGAGGACTACAAGAGCTTCCTGGTCATTGGCAGTGTGACCCGCAAGCACTCCGGGAAGTACACCATCAAGGCGGAGAACTCCTCCGGCAAGGACGAGGAGACCATCGATATCCTGGTCCTCGGTAAGGGCGCCTCCCTTTCCGCGTCTCGGCGACGACCGTGTAGCTGGTTCTCGAAGGCCGACGCCTGCGGTTGGGGGTGGAAAACGTGGAACTTCCCCTTTTCCCGATCGATGGTTGATCGCAAGTACCGTAATATGGTACTTCGTAATATTTAGCAGGCACAACAGAAATAGACCTCCTAAAGGCACAATTGCCCCGATTTAGTCTCCCTTGCATCCATCACAGGTTTCTTGCAACATACTTGATGAAGAAAAAGTTTTACGGGAAACGTCCCGCACGTTTCGGTGTTGACTGAATGTCGGTTCAGTTGACACTGAATTCACTGTTTAGTATTAACCAGCGTTCCTTAACTCGGTTACGAAACTGCCCATCAACTCCACTTTCATGAGCAGTGCACCCCTCTCCCCTCGAGGTGTGTCTCTTGTCGTTTGACGCACCACCGTTGCTTGGGGGGATGGCTGCTACGGTAGCTACAGTTACACAGGTCTTGACACGCAGTGTCTAGATGGTGCTTCGTCGTAGTGTCTTCGAAGAATGCAGTTTTGAAATGCAACCTCTAGATGGTGCTTCAAACGACGGGTGCCCCTTCCCCTCCACTGGAAATCCACAACCGAGTTTTCAAATCATGTTGGCGCGTTGCGTCTGCTGTGGTTTGCACTTGCACTGTAGTACTTGGTAGTGCTTTGCCATAGCGTCTCAGAATCTGTAAAGAATACGGTTTTAAAATGCAGCCTCTACATGGCGCTTCAAACGGCGGGCTTGAGAGGTAGAAGGGGTACCGCCCTCTGGCGGGACTTCCACAACTTAATTGGTCTAACACTAACCAACTCACCGTACATGCCTCGCGCACAGACAAGCCCTCCAAGCCGGAGGGCCCCCTGGAGGTGAGCGACGTGGACGCCAAGGGCTGCAAGCTGTCGTGGAACAAGCCCAAGGACGACGGGGGAACCCCGATCGAGGGCTACCAGGTGGAAAAGATGGACACGGCCACGGGACGCTGGGTTCCCTGCGGGAAGGCGGACAAGGACGCCACCGAGCTGGACGTGGGGGGCCTGGAGCCCGGCAAGAAGTACCAGTTCCGGGTCAAGGCCATCAACAACGAGGGCGAGTCAGAGCCCCTGGAGACGGAGCGTTCCACTCTCGCCAAGAACCCTTACGGTGAGCGGTGGAGGTTACATCGGTGTAGAGTTCACCTAATAGACGTAAGGGAAGAGGTCTGCCGTCTTTTCGTAGGGGTGACCCTACATGCCCTGGGGAAGGGGTATCGGGCAGTTAAACGACAAGGAGGAAGAAAATAGGGGACTACAAGCATACTTCAAACACTGGCATAAAGGCAGACATCTGTGGTTCTGGGAGGGCCAGATTGCTGGTGATCCTTTAATAGACTTGAAGAAGCAGAAAAAAATATTACCCGCAAGGTTAGTGCATAGTGAGGTTTAGCTTCCTCTTGGAAGAAACCACCCACATCGCGCGTGCTATAAGGAAAATCTATTGACAAGCGGCTCAACTAGGCGTGGCAAAACAAGCACACCTAACCTTTTGTCTAATTTCTCTTTCCCCCCTTCTGCCTTTCTCATTCTTGGTCATTCTCTCAAGACGACGTCACGTGTCACTATGACATTGTACTACACTTTGACGTGTCACAAGACGTAATGACATATGTCATGCAACTGATGTTGCATGACACCCCGGGGCCCTAATCTATGAGGCGGGACCAATAATGAAGTTGGGCAATGGCAGCAGGTGGCGACGTCCCGATCCCTCGGTCCCGCCTCGGAGATTAGGGACCCCGATGTCACGCAACACTACGACAGCAAGTGCACCATGACGTCACGCAATATTGTGATATCACGTTACACACGGTTTGCTCTGGACACATTCTACGCTCCCAGTTATTTGTCGGCCCGATTAAGCTCGCATAGTTTTTTGTTGTTAGCCACGTGACGACGTTTCGTGACACGAACGTCGGATCCTCATTGCAGACGAGCCAGGTGCGCCAGGCACGCCCGAGATAAAGGACTACGACCGGGACTTCGTGGTCCTCAAGTGGGACCCCCCGATCAAGGACGGCGGCGCCCCCATCACGGGCTACGTCATTGAGAAGAAGGACAAGTACAGCCACAACTGGGTGCCGGCCGCGGAGGTGCACGGCAACGTCCCCGAAGGAAAAGTGGACAAGCTGCAGGAAGGCGACAAGTACGAGTTCCGCGTGCGGGCCGTCAACAAGGCGGGGCCCGGCGAGCCCAGCGACGCCACTGCGCCGCATCTGATGAAGCCCAAACACTGTGAGTGTGAACTCGACACGCCCGACTCTTTATATCGCCGTCTTAATTCCTAATAGAGGAAGGAAGCTCTTTGGTCTTGCAACATTCTAAATGGGCTAGGTGCTACTGTCATCACTCACAAAATGGAAATGGCAGGGAGGTCTTTTCAGTTTACCCGCCTCTGGCACGAGCTTGCGCGGGCAGCCATATCATGGCAGAAGTCACCAAGCGCGTCTAGGAGGCCGGTCATCCGAAAGAGATGCCCCGCATTCTCGTCTTGTCAGTGACTATAGGTTCAAAATGGTAGTGCAAAGTCGAGGCTTGAGGCCATTCCACACGTGCACCACGGTGCCGTTTGTCGGTGCTGAAAATAGTGCCGACCTTGCTGATGCGGTGCCGACATGGCGCTGCGTCAGTGATACAGAATAGGTTCGGTGTTGCTTGAATCCTAAGTGATGTTCGGGTCAGCGCTGCCGCGTCGGCCCTGTTCCCGGTGTTCGTTTAGCGGCGCGTTCTATGTGTGGGACAGCGTTTAGAAGGAGTTTCTAGTGCAGGAAGTGTTTTATGGGGCGTTTCCTACAAGAAAATTGTCGTGAACGAAGGTCGTAACGACCGTGCACATTCTGATAATGTGTATTAGGAACGACACACTGTGATAATGTGTATAAAGTTCGAGCCCCGGCGGTGCTCGAAGCTGGGTTGGTGCGGTGGCAGTCAATGCCATAGCCACCGAGCTGCTAGCACAGCTACTCTGAAGGGGTAAATGATTTTATTTGAATGCAAACGTGCCGTTGAGAGTGGAAGGTATTGGACGAAAATACTAAAATAAAATAATAAATGAAATTATTAAAGAAATAAAACGAAGAAAATACATAAAAATATAAAAGGTAAAAACAATAAATGAATAAAACAAAAATATAAATAGTGCAAATTAAGAAATAAAATTATAATAAAATAAGAAAAAGAGATGAAAAATAAATAGAATAGATAATAAACAGGAAAAACAATGTAGCACAAACGACACACAAAGTGTGGTTTGTGTGGGACGCATTTCGTGCTCTCCTGTCTTTGTCAGCTTAATTGAGCCTGTATAATGTTTTCTGAGTATAGCTGTGAGGCTTACGCCTGAGATAGTGTATGGATGTAATTAATTAAATTTAGAGTAAGATGTATTACAAGTCTTTTTTTTTTTTTTTTGCCAAAGAAAATAATGTGTAACCTCATCATTTCCACTATGACCACGTTTTGAGGATGATTCGTCCTTAACAAGCCACACGAACTGCTACAAAAATTCATTCATAGAAGTTACGAAAGTTACTGAAAGTTGGCCAAAAGGAGCATGTTCTCTTAGCAAAGTGTCGAGACTAGCTTAACTCGCTGCCTAGCTGTAAGTGAGCAGGTCATAGGAGCTGTCACATTCCCGTAAAAACATTGACGGATGCGAACAGGCACAATCTGCTCCTTATGCTCGAAAACTCAGTAATAACTTAAACACCCCCCTCTATCTCCTGCTTTATTTCTATAGGTCACCCTCGCCTCAAATTATGGCACATAATTTATTTATTTATAAGTACGATGGGCGCGTCCCTAAAGTTCTCGGTCTGACCCAGAAAAAGGCGACAGAGGTGAATGAACTTGCGGTACTTTTTGACATGTCTCCTTTGAGGTCCACACACTTCGCCCAACAACGCTCCAATGCCTGGATCCCATTCCCGTTTTGGACACTCATGCTTTTCCACGTGGCTCAAAGTCGAAGACGTTGATTGGGTCACCTTCTGCTCTTTTCTCCCGTGGACAGTGAAACCGCACATTGACCGCACCAACCTGCGCAACCTGACTGTCAAGGTGGGCCAGGCGGTGAACTTCGACGTCAACGTGATCGGAGAGCCTCCTCCGAAGGTCACCTGGGAGCTCGTGGGCAAGGGCGAGTTGCAGTCGGATGACAACTACCGCGTCGACAACATCGACTACAACACCAAGTTCTACATCATGAGGGCCACGCGCAAGGAGAGCGGGGTCTACAAGATCAAGGCCACCAACGACTCCGGCACGGACGAGGCGGAAGTGGAGATCAACGTCCTCGGTGAGAACGCTTTTTCTTTGGCAAACGTCTACGGTGCAGTTCACCTATAACGAGAACGAGAAAACCCAAAAATTCAGTCGTTACAACCTGTTACCGTTGTATCTGGACTAGAAACTGCTCGTGTCTAGTCTAGAAACTCTAGAAACTGAATGTTATATGCAGACATCGTCATATGCAGATTGCAGTGTGTTCCAAAGGCATCTTTTGAACTGGTCACTATCGCTAGTATGGTTCCTGGAACGCGTCTTGACCTGGTGTGTTCACCGCATATCAAAATCTGGTCTCTCGATTTTTTCTCAACGATGTTGTGTCGTGCTTTTGCCTACCTGATCCTGGTAGTGCCACAGCAGCAGAGGGACATGGCAGACGACCATTCTGCTGTAGGTTTCTCTCCAGCATTGCATTGATGACGGCGACACTTGCATTTGCTCGTCGTTTTTGCCAGAACTCCTGCAATTGACTGCCAGGGTCGCAACATCCGGCAGCTTGGCGCACCGGCTTCTGCGATGTAATTTGTTGCCACGTCAAGACCGCTTTGAATCCTGGGCGGCGTAAGGTGCTAAACGCACCAGTTGACGATGCATTCTAAACACCATACTTTTAGTGCAATGACATTCCTTTGCATTGTCTTTCTCTTGACTTTGGCACTGTAGCTTCTTCCATTTTTTTTTTATCGTTGTACTTGTTTCCTTGCCTCGTCGCCTTGCCTTACTCTGCTCAGCTTCAGTTAGGAGATTTAAATAACTTTCTGTCGAATACTTCCAGGCTGGTGCGAGGTTTTTGATTCTGAAGATCCGATTTCAGACCTGTCATGTTTTGCTTAAGGACCTTAGTTCTTAGGGGCTCTGAAGGGGCTAAGCGGGACACTGACACCCCCCAAAATTTTTTTTTAATTTTTTGCCAGGCGCTTCATTATGGTGTCGGAGGACTACCCAATTAATATTTTGCAACAGAGTAGCGTATTTTTTTAATAAAACCAAAAGACGCAACTGCTCGAAACCGAAACCGAAACCCGACGGAGGTCGGAGAAGTGGAGAGAAGAGAGTGAGTGGCGGAAGTCACGTGGCTACACCCGACCGTGTGTTTTTTTTGTTTTTTTTTTTCTCCTTCCCGGTAGCAGACGACATGCGGCGTATGGGAAGTGAACTGCTCGCCGTGAGATTCTTTTGCAGTTATGTATGTTCCGCTCGTTGTTCTCTACTCCAAGATGAGTTGTTTTGTACATTGAGGAGTTGGAGATGAGTAGTGAGTGCCCGTGGTGAATTTTGATCGGCTCCGAAAAGAATACACCCAAGATGTTGCGTGAAGAGCTGGCTCACATGTCCCGCGTCCGAAACAGAAGTGGCATTGTGCGACAGAGTTTCCGAAAGATCAACGGGATCGGAACCAATGGCTGGCTGCAATTCCTGTAGACCATTTACGGGCATCTCGGAAAGCGGACGCTACCTGATTTATATGCACCTTGCATTTTGTGGAAAGTGATTACATTGAGTTCGCAGGTGTCAAAAAGGATATCCCATACCATCTAATTCAGCGACGTGTCGTCCACAACATTTGTTTCTTCTTTTTTTTTTTTCTTCAGTAATAATTGTAAAAAAAAAGAAATGTAGACATCAAAAAATATTTAGAAAAAAAAAAAAAAAAAAAGTTTCACGGGGGATCGAACCCGGCTCTACCGGGTGTGAAGGGGACGTCTTTCCCACTGAGCTACTGGGGCATAACGTAAGTGGGGTATTTTTTTCCTTAGTAATAATTCAGCCGATAAACTGTAAGTTGGAAAGTTTGCTGCCGATTTTCCTCTCGCAAAAGCACTCCCGGGTCGAAGTCGGGATGCACCACGCATTGGCGACATTCTCACCTAGTAAAGAAATCGTACGCGTACATATTCCACTCGAAGTAGACACGTCGCGCTTGACGTTTGCGCGAGCGATGTCTTCAGCCACAAGAAGGGAGCGACGGCTCGGCGACGTCTTCGTGCAAATCGGCTTGGCGGTCGGGCGTGTCGTACGGGATGAATACCAATTCTTTTGACCAGTCCCAAATTTCTCTTTTAAAGGCAGACAAAATTCGCCGGTACCGCGAACGACAGTTCTGAAATAGAGGTCCCACGCCCGTCGTCCGCTGCCATCGCCGTCCCTGCGAGTCCCACGATACGCGAAACGACGCACGCACAGAATGCTTCCGGTTGTCCGTGGAACTTTTTTTCAATCAACGTATTTGCAGCTTTTTAGAAGCCACAAAAAATGGGTTTTATATTTTTTTCTATTTTTAATATTAAGTGTGTGCTTTCAGTGACCCACGACTTCGATTAAATTTGGTGGTCGCATCGATACCTTAGAAAACGGCCCGTGACCGCGGAAAAGAGAGTGAGCGAGACTCGAACCGGCCAGTTCTTGATCGGCGGTTTTCGGGCGGAAAGAAACCGAATTTTGAGCCGCAAATTCTGTTCTGGGTAGTTGAGCTCTCATATGTCACGTACAACTAAAAACCTCGGCGAGCATAAATACCCTGTCAGTGTCCCTTTAAGAAACTTGGACGACCGTTAACTAGACTTTGTGAACATGGTTTCAGGCAAGCCGGGCAAGCCCAACGGCCCGCTGGAGGTGTCGGACGTGCACAAGGACGGCTGCTCACTGAGCTGGAAGAAGCCCGACGACGACGGGGGCTGCCCCATCGAGTGCTACGAGGTGGAGAAGATGGACGAGGAGACAGGGCGCTGGGTGCCCGCCGGCAAGTCCACAGAGCCCAAGCTGGAGGTCAAGAACCTGGTGCCGGGCAAGAAGTACAAGTTCCGCGTGCGTGCCGTCAACAAGGAGGGCGACTCGGACGAGCTCGAGACCGAGACCAGCACCCTTGCTAAGAATCCCTTTGGTGCGTCTTTCCTCCTCTCCTCCCGCTTCGTAATAGGGTGGGGTTTGTAATTGGTGCGCTTTGATAAGTGTCGAAATTGTGTTTGCTTGACGGAATTCTCACTTTGTCGATTTCGATTTGGACCAGCACTGAACTAGCATTCTTTGTGTAAATATTGCTGCCTCATGATATGTGCAAAAGTTCCCATGTCGTTAGCCGTCGCACCATGCCAATCAGTTTAAGAATTTGTAAACTTTAAAACGAGACGTCTTATTTCTCATAACGTCATCTTTAGTACAATTATGCTCGGGTACAACTTTCTAAGGTGACAAAGTCAAAGATACGGGCATCTGTGCCAATTTTTTTAATGATCCGCACACATCCCACTTGCCGATGAGTGCCATGCACACTCACTCCTCGCTTCTGAATTGCCGCAGACGAGTAGTCCCGGAGTACGAGATTACCGTGTCTTGAAAATGTACTTGTCTGCATATTGACATTACTGATTGGGGCTCCTAACCCCTGTCAGAGCAAGCTTGCTCTGCTGAGTCAGCACTGACAGTAGCGCCGATTGAGCCATTGACTCTGTGTCGTCTCCGCTCTTCCGCAGACGAGCCAGGCAAACCGGGCCGTCCCGAGCCCACGGACTGGGACAGCGATCACGTGGACCTCAAGTGGGCCGCTCCGGAGAGCGACGGGGGCGCCCCGATCAAGGCGTACGCCATCGAGAAGAAGAAGAAGGGCAGCCACAAGTGGCAGAAGGCCAAAGAGGTGCCCGGCACCCAGACCACCGGCACGGTGGACGACCTGGAGGAGGGCGAGGAGTACGAGTTCCGGGTGGTGGCCATCAACCAGGAGGGGCCCAGCGAGCCCAGCGATGCCTCACGCTCCGTCGTCGCCAAGCCACGCAAACGTGAGATTTTAGATATCGAGGTTTCCAAGTAGAATGCTTTTATCGACTGTTCTCAATGTTTAAAGCATTGCAAAGTCCTTTGGAAAATAGAAATTTTTGGGTGATTCTGCTGACTGTTTAGACCAGCAAAGAACTGTTTGCTTGGGTTTGGAGCTTCTGGCTTGCAGGTCCCCTGTGGAATGCCCGAAACTTTCTATCATGGTTCCTAGCATGGTTTTCGCAATTTGCTTTCTATATCAGTTTTAATGGTGAACCGTTTAACAGACATCTAGATTGTTTTAGGAAAGCACAGTATTTGCCATGGACAGTCAAGAACTAAAACTAAACAATGCTAAAGGATCAGTTTGGTCTAGTGCACCTGCTTTCTTCCTGAAATTTCTGGAGTTCCTGACATTTGACATTCGGGTTAACATCTGCCGCCTGTGACCTCATAATTGAGATGGTACTACCGGGAGATTGATAATAAGCCGATGGATGAATTTCAAACCCGTCCCCCACATTCCCGCAGTGGCACCCAAAATCGACCGCACCAACCTCAAGGACACGACGATCAAGAGCGGCCAAGCCATCAAGTTTGACATCGATGTCAAGGGAGAGCCCGCCCCGACCATCGAGTGGTCCTTTAATGGTCAGCCCCTCAAGGGGACGGACAAGATCAAGCTGGACATCGAGGACTACCACACGCTGTTCATCCTCACTGGTGCCAAACGTGCACACACCGGTACCTACACAATCACCGCCAAGAACATGCACGGCACCGACGAAGCCTCTGTTCAGCTCAAAGTTCTCAGTAAGTATGGCGTCCCTGCATTTAAATTAAGGGCAATATGGACTTGGGGAAAGAGAAGGTTCACTGTCCAGACTGATGTGAGTGCATGCTTGCTGACGACTTGTATTTTGATGAGACGGTTCACAACATATGAACTGTTTTTGACAGAACTATTTAAACAATGATCGCAAGGATGCCGAGGATTCAAAACATTGTTTTTAAAAAGAAGTAACTTCTTTTTTTTTTTATAGACTTTTTTGTTTTACGTTTCCACGTCTTTTTAAATACTGCCCCTTTATTAAATCTTGCAGGAGTCTTCATATTGAAAGGAGTGGTTGCACAGTCTTGTTGTCCTCTTTAGTAGTGCATCTTTGGCGCATTGCCTTCAAGTATTTTGGGGTATCATAACCACTTTTTTACAGTGGAGCTCTTAAAGGTCATGCAAAGGAAAAAACATTTTTTTTTAAAGAGCTTAGATGGAAAAAGGATGTCATAAAATGATTTTGCAACGAAGAGACAAAATTTTGAGAGCTATATCTACGGCGCTATACGAATTTGTAGTTGGTGCCCGCAAGCGCCGCGGAAAAGTGGCCCTTACTTATCATGTGACTGGCTCTTATTTGTCACGTGGTGCTTGCACTCTTTCGGAACCTTCCTTTGGCCTGCAAAAGTAACTTATTCATCTTTGTTTGAAGTATAACAAAAAACTAAGATTAATAAGTAACTTTTAGAGCCCAAAGGAAACTCCTTTAAAAGCGCAAGCAGACGTGATAGACCTGTGCGCCGGTCAGATGACGGCGGCAGCGCCCCGAAGCAGACCAGCTTGTGCGGCGGCAGCAACGGCGGCGTGGAGAAACGCGTTGAAGCGGTGTCGCACAACACTCTGCGTGCGGCGGCGGCGTGACTTTGCGGCAGCGGCGACGCAGCGCGGCGGCACACAAGCCTACCATGTGACCAGCAGCGGCTCTCGCGGGCACCAACTACAAACTCATTTTGCGCCGTAAATATAGCTCTAAATTTTTTCTTTCTTCGTTGTAAATTCGTTTTATAATATTCTTTTTCTACCTAGCCTCTTTAAAAAAAAAGTCTTTTTCCTTTGCATGTGTAGGTTCCCCAAGATTGTGTCCGGTACCAAACAAATGTCGACACAAAACTTTGGACAGCTACTGCCATCTATGAGCGACGGCGGCAACCAAACAATCGGTTTGCCGTCCTCGATCATGGATGGCGGCAACCTTTCCAGTCTTTCCACTCTGGTTTTCACCAGAGTGGAAAGGCTGAATTTCTCTAGGCGTCATCCTAGATGTCCTCCTTGAGGTCGTCCTAGAAGTTGTCCTTAAGGTCGTCCTAGACGTTGTCCTTAAGGTTGTCCTCGAGGTCGTCCAGAAGTCATCCTTGAGGTCGTCCTAATGGTAATCCTAGAAGTCGTCCTTGAGGTCGCCCTAGACGTTGTCCTCGAGATGGTCGAGAAGTCGTCCTTGAGGTCATCTTAAACGTCGTCCTCTAGATTGTTTCTGAAGTTGTTTTAGGCGTCGTCTTTGAGGTCGTTCTCGAGGTTGTCCTAGAAGTCGTCTTTAGGTCGCCTTAGAGCTTTCCTTTGGGCGGCGTCCTTGAGGTCGTCTAAGAAGCCGTCCTTGAGGTCGTCCAAGAAGCCATCCTTGAGGTCGTCCTAAAAGCTGTGCTTGATGTCGTCCAAGAAGTCGTTTTTGAGGTCGTCCCACCATAGTACAGCTTCGCTGGTCTTCCTTCTTCATCAAAGTGGAAAGGCTGAAAGTTTTTTTTAATGCATATCTTTATTTGAGTGTTAATGGTGGATGAATTGTGTTATTTGTTATGTATTCCTGATAATTATTTTTTGCTTTTTCGTATGCCTCGCCAGCAGGGATGTATCCAAAGGGTCTGAATTACATCTAAATAAATAAACACCCAACTCCTTGGAGGGCCAAAAGCGACACGGGAAGATCGCTTCCTTGTCATAGATCGGTGCATAACAGGAAAAACGATAGCGCTATGAAATTATTTTTACAGCGAAGCTGTTATGCGCTAGGATCTGGGAAAAAATGCATCTGCGTATGTCGACAGAAAACTCCCCATTGGTCGTGGCAAGTATGAATAATAAAAAGAGGGGGCAACCAGCATGAGTCAGCCTTCCTTGGCATTATTAGATAGTGAGGTCCTGATCCCTTGTTATCATCTCTAGGCATCGTCCTCGTGGTCGTCCTAGAAGTTGTCCTTGAGGTCATCTTAGAGGTCATTCTAGACGTCCTCCAGGCATCATCCTAGAAGTCGTAAAAATAACAGTTTCGCTGTTCCTCCATCTTCACATGAAGTGGAAGGGCTCTACAATTTTTGGGGGGGTAAACTTACGTCGGCCATCTTTATGCAGGCAAGCCGGGCAAGCCCAAGGGGCCGCTGGACGTGTCGGACGTCACGGCGGAAGGCTGCAAGCTCAAGTGGGACAAGCCGGAAGACGACGGCGGCGAACCCGTGCAGCAGTACGTGGTGGAGAAGATGGACACGGACACCGGCCGGTGGGTGCCGGTCATGACCACCAAGGAACCCGAGGCCGAGGTCAAGGGCCTGGTGCCGGGCAAGGAGTACAAGTTCAGGGTCAAGGCAGTCAACCCGGAGGGGGAGTCCGAACCCCTGGAGACCGAGCAGGGCACCCTGGCAAAGAACCCCTTCGGTGAGAGAGGCCTGTGCTGTCGGGACGCCGTGAGGTCACCCGCCGACAGTAGATGCTAGGCTCCTTCGACTTACCTGCACCAGCTTGCACCGGTGCAGAAAAGTGCGGGGCGGTGTGCTTTCGGTTGTGTGTTGGCTGCACTCGTAAACCAAATACGGCGAGTAAATTGAACGCAGTGACTGTAGCGCATTTTTGGTCACCCGATTTTGTCCGCCGCAGTGTTGTTACGCGCTGCTACCCGTGTTCGAGTTCAAAGTCAAGTTTGTTGGTTTCAGAGGCATTATTTTAGAAATTAGTCGCGCATGAGCACTTTTCTATGAGCTATAGTTGTCGGCAGAGCGAAAACGATGGGGCACGTGTTTCAAACGTCCAGTCTCCGGCACGTGCTTCGTGCCTCACGCCACACTTTGACCGCGTGCACATACTCGAAGAGCACATAACGCTGAGGCATTGTCGAAGGTGGGAAGCTCACACTGGAGGCGGGACAACTGAAGCTTCTTCCTGCCGTTCACACCTTCCCAGCGACTCTGCGTCAACTCTCGGCTGGGGACTTGTGCTCGTTCAGTGTTTCACCGACTGAACGCGAGCTCCGGCCAAACTTTGTGTCAGAAACAACCGAGTAGCCTGTGTTTGATAAACTTCTGGGTGCACGACTGTTCAATCTGCCGTCCAGCAGCGGCGGCAAAGGCAGAGTATGCAGACGTCGGGGATTGTCCAAGTCAGGGGCCAATGCGATGAAACTAGACGTGCTCAGCGCGTAGTGACCATCATCGCCTGCATATGACGGTGCAGATCGTTTGTACAGAAATTATCTCCTACAGTGTTGACAAGCAGGGCGGAATAATCACACCCGGTTGTGGCGCGCAGACGAGCCGGGCAAGCCCGGCAAGCCGACGGCCAAGGACTGGGACAAGCACCACGTGGACCTGAGCTGGCAGGCGCCCTCGGAGGACGGCGGGGCCCCCATCACGAGCTACATTGTGGAGAAGAAGGACAAGTTCAGTACCAAGTGGCAGAAGGCCACCGAGATCATCGGGGACAAGTGCGAGGCCCGTGTGCCCGACCTCATCGAGGGCATGGAGTACCAGTTCCGGGTGCGGGCGGTCAACAAGGCCGGCCCCGGCAACCCCAGCGACGCGAGCGAAGTTGTCATTGCCAAGCCACGCTTTTGTGAGTCTCTTCTCCACCCATGTCCGCCCGTTTCAACCTTTGTAGGTGCCACGTGTACTCTGGCGGCGAGCACGAAAACGCTAGATACAAAAGGTCTCACGAAAGTGGATGCAGAAGTGAACTTTGAGAACAGTATTGCGGATGGTAAAAGTTATTTACTGTAGCCCGCAGTAAAATTGAGAAGGAACACAGATTGTCATTGTTCTAAAACAGAACAAAAATAATTTCAAGTGCCTCTTGGAAATAAAATTGTGTAGCATCAGTGTATTAAAAGCTAACTACCGTAAAATACCGGGCAAGCGCCCACTCAAAATTTAGAGATAATCGCGAAACAATGGGGGATGGGCGCTTGTCCAATCACCAATTTTACCTATAAATGTACTGTGCATATTCTTTCACATCTTAGAAATTTGGATATAAGCGCTTAATGTGAAATGGGTGGATGCGCGGTATTCTGCGGTATAGTAAAGTAAAATAAGAAAATATATATATTTTAGTACATTTGTGAAATTCATATCAGCATTCGAAACACCTATTTCGGTATAACAAATTTACATACTTGACTCTATTCATTTCTTTGCTACTAAGATGTTCTATTCTTTTCAACAGTCTGCTGTACACAGATAAAACTAGTCTGGAGGATGGCCAGGGGATGATATGCAATTCTACCTTTTAAAGGAAAAACTAATTAGATGCTAATTGTTTAGGCAGTCGGTGTTAAGCCGGTCTGCCATAGTATGACAACACTGGTGTTGTGTGATTTGCTTTCTTATCGTCACACACTTACAGTCTTATAAATATGCTTGTTGGTGTAACGACGCAGCATTCAGTGATATAGTATTTATTGCACTTCATAGTTCAGTGTTTATAATTGTTGTTAAGTTTAGCAACGATTCCTTCTTTTATTTTTCTGACGTCCGCTACAGTGGCACCAAAAATCGATCGCTCGACGCTGAAGGACATCACCATCCATGCCGGCCAGGGCGTCAAGTACGACGCCAAGGTGATTGGTGAACCACCGCCGAAGACCACCTGGTTCTTGGAGAAAACAGAGATCAAGGACGGCGGGCGGTACACCGTCGACAAGGAACCGTACCGCACCAAGCTCGTCATTCACAACGCCGAACGCAAGGACACCGGGGAGTACCGGCTCGTTGCCGAGAACAGCTCGGGTAAAGACGAGGCCACCGTTAAGCTCACCGTGCTCGGTAAGTGTCTTTTTGATGTGAAACATTGTTTGGCTAGGTGTTCGGCATTTCGTGAAGCCTGGATAAAAGCCTGACTGCAAGGCTCGACACTGATTGGAATCGCGGTGAAAGAGTGTTTGTGCCAGGCGGGAATCAAACCCAGACCATTTAGATTATTAAGCGAGTGTCTTTTGAGCATGTCACGACACATCGCCGTGAGTTGAGGTGCTATTAACGCTTTGGTAAGCTGTTCAACATTTCCTGAAGCCCAGATAAAAGCATTCCCGTAAAGCTCAACGCTGATTGATTGACGGGTGGGAGAGGAGGAGCGAGGTGTTCGATGCTGGTAAAAGAGTGTTTGTGCCAGTCGGGAATCGAACCCAGACCATTTAGATTATTAAGCGAGTGTCTTTTGAGCATGTCACAACACATCGCCGTGAGTTGAGGTGCTATTAGCGCTTTGGTAAGCTGTTCAACATTTCCTGAAGCCCAGATAAAAGCGTGGCCGTAAAGCTCAACGCTGATTGATTGACGGGTGGGAGAGGAGGAGTGAGGTGTTCGATGCTTATTGGTTAACGGAGAGGTCATGTGGCCAGAGGGGTAGGTGAGGAGGAGCTCGGCCACCTGTGCTCACTGAGGGAGAGGAGCTTGAGAGTATGGAAGGCCCTGGAAGATCGCCAGGTTTATCAGCCAGATTAGCGGTTGTATTGCTTTGTTCTAGGAACAACTACCAAGTGTACACATGGTAGGCGTTAAACTATATCTGTTGAAGAGTGCCGTGAATGTAAGTATCTGGTGCCTGCAAACTCGGTGTATACCCAGGTGGTCCCCAGGTCCCCAAAAGATCCCCGGGTGGTCGAAATTAATCCTCAGTCCTCCGCAGGGACAAGCCGATGACCTTGTTCGGTTTGGCCCGTAAAACTCTGAAAATTTAGAATCAAAGCAATTTTGAGCTCTTTTCTAAACTTGTAAGGCAAAGGATTGAAAGAAAAAAATAAATAAAACATGACCGCTTGAACAAAAAGAAAGCACTTAGAATTGCCCAAATGTAAAGTAACTCAGGTTGGGCTTGCAACATTTGTGGGAAATGTACGGACGAGCGTCTTGCAAAGTCGTCGCAAGAAGCTCGACATTCGGTGTACCCAGATTTTAATCTTGTGATTGACTTTGAACCACGGCATTGCTAGATAACCACTCTTTCTGTTCTGGTGTAAGCTACATGTGTCATACGAAAAAAGTTGGGATAAAAGGTTTTAACATGTTTCCAAACGGGTATGGTATAGGTGTTACACATCAAACTTTTGCATCATGTCGAGCTTAATTAAATTTTTCCAATATTGCGCTTCATTTAACTGCATTGCATATGTAACAGAGCGTCTTGACCAGCAGTGCTGCATCAATTCAATATTCAAGTGCTGAATATACTGCTTGTTTGTAATAAAAATGCGTAATTGCAGTCTAATGCGGAGAGCAAGTCGTCTGCTTCTTGCGCAGCAGTGGCAATGACGTCAGGCGACGCCGAGTTCTGATTGGTTTGGATTGAAAGGATAGCGGGTAGACCTCAATGCTAGATGCCTCGAGATCTACCCACCCTTTTTTTCAATCGGCCAATAAGAGCTCGGCGTTCTGACATCATCGCAACCCCTGTGCAAGAAGCAGACAAGCTTGCGCTCCGCATAGATATGAGCTAAAATTTTCTGTTTGTCCATTACATCCGTGGCACGCCGGGGGACGTCACGACTTGAAATCTTGGCGTCGCGTCAACTCACGGTGTTGGCAACATTATCGAATCTAGTAACGTTGGGTCAAGTCAGGGTGTGACGTGACGTCGCATCAGGCACGTGTCATCACGGCATCATGGGATGTCATATCGCGTGCCACGCACGCGATATGACGTGAGGAACAACGTGAGGAACAAACCTCACGTTGCCTGCTGCTCGCCGGAACCAGTGCACGCGTGTGTGTAGTCTGCGCATTTTAAAGGGGCAGTGCAACGATTTTCAGACTTTGGCCAGTTAAGTGCGGAAGTTAATCTGCGTCACCTATGGAACGAAAAACCGAAAGCCGCATTTTCTTGCGAGTGCTAGTTCTTATTTAAAAAAATGAAACAAATCGAAGGTCGAAATGCCTCTCAACTCTCCACGCCGACTTTCGAGTGACGTCTCTGGGGGTTCACGTGGTTTCCCCTTGGGCCCTCTCTTCAGAGACCCCAGCCGCTTCCTCCGCGATTGTGGACTTTCAAAGGATTAGCCTCGTCGAAGGTCGCGGCGAGCGATGGACACAAAGGACGGTTCTCTATGGGGCTGACAGCGAGTGTAGCAGCGGAGGGGGACGGGGTTTGGTGACTTCCGCGTATCCCCCAGAGACGCCGTCATTTTAGTTCCCGTAGCCGCCACTGGCGGCTGCAGATCGGCAAATAATTCGTTTTTTGCCTTGCGATTACGCAGCAGAATAGCCGTTTTTTTGGGAAAGGTGACGCGTTTTTGGTCACTTGGGCTTGTATGAACAATATAAAAAATGCAAACTGGCAATTCTTTCAACATTAAAACCGTTTCACTGCCCCTTTAAGTAATGACTCAAGACTGTGGTGTCACGCGATTAATCGGAGCGTGCCGATAAATAAAACGCGAGAACTGATCATTTCTTATATTCTGCAATTACGCACATGACGTTTCTATCGACAGATCAGAGAACAGTTGCCAATCCTTTGCAACGTCATTTTCATTCCTAACAACTGTTTTCAGACAAGCCCACGGCACCCAAGGGCCCGCTGGAGATCTCGGACGTCCACGCGGAGGGCTGCAAGCTGAAGTGGAACCCTCCAGAAGACGACGGAGGCCAGCCATTGGACGGCTACGTCGTGGAGAAGATGGACACGGAGACCGGGCGCTGGGTGCCCATTGGCCACCCCACAAAGCCAGAGTTTGAGGTCGGCAACCTCGAGCCGGGCAAGGAGTACAAGTTCAGGGTGCGGGCTGTCAACCCCGAGGGAGAGTCGGAGGCTCTGGAAGCAGAGCAGGGAATTATTGCCAAGAATCCCTATGGTATGGGCATCTTTCGCATTTTTATTATGCTTTTGCATGCTTGAATGCTTGGGAAAAGGGCTAGGGGAAGCCTCGAGTATTGGGAAGTGTATCGGGGAAATTATTTTACGTACTCTGCTGCTTGGCATTAGTATTATAAAGTTTTTTCACATGCTTCTCTGCTAGGTAAAAATATTAGGAAATTATTATACCTGTTTTGCGGCTTACGAAAAGTATAAAGGAAGGATCAAATATTTTAGATTGTTTAATCTTTAGCAATCCAGAGCTGGGGCTCTGTGTTGTACCTTTGCTAGGAGCAATCGTCAGTAACTGCAAATGTGGGAAGCTAGTGAGGTTAGATGCGCACAAAGGTTACAGTGACACAGAAGTTTTTAGCCTCGTTTAGAAACTTGTGCTTTGTACTGTAGCTGCAACAGTACCTTCCTGTCAGACCTGAATACAGCCTTATGTTATTGCTAATAATTAGGGTGTCGCATATACCGTATTTATTCGAATATCGGTTGACCTTTTTTTTCGGAAATGTTGTCAAAATGTAAGGGTTAACCTATTATCGTGACCATAGAATATCGTCCTACATTCGTGACCCAATTTTGCGTTTCTCTCCCTGTAATTCCAGGGGTGGAACGGCTGCGCCATTTGTGCCATTTTGCGCCAGACGCATTTGTCTGCGCCATCCTGCGCCATTTCACGGAAACTGCGCCACAGCCAATACCTTGCGCCATTATGCGCCAAATCGCACAACGTGCGCCAAAAACAAAAAAGTATTTTGTCTTGGTTTCGGTTTCTATCGACTCGATTGGCAACAATTAGCCCGTTTAGCTTGGTCGGCCTTGCTATCCTTTGTTCTGTTTATTCTCCCTGTGTATCCCGAGTCGGAAGCACGCGAAAAAACTCGGGAATCGGATTCGAATCGCTACACCTGCGACTGGACTGTTATTCTTCAACCATAAGCTGTTAAACAAGTCGACCGAGGTGAGGTCGAGTCGTTAAGCGTCAGATTGCCTGAGGCTCTGCAGCCCGGGATCCGGACGTCAGCCAATTGAAAACAAATGAGCAAAATACTCCTTTTAGTACTTCATCGTTAGAAGTTGAAACAGCATTCCCGCAAGATAATTGCGATTTGATAGAACTGAAACGCGGTCCGATCCGGAACCTTGCCTGCCAGCTGCTGTCACGCGAGCGGTAGATCTGCTCGGCGTACTTTAACCTTGCTCCCGCTAATCGCTTTGAATACGATAACTCCGTTAATTGTAGTCTGCTGCTTCGATATTGAGTTGCACAATAGGATAAACTTGAAATTTGTTGCCCTGTTCCCCCGCGCAACTGCACGTCCGTTGCTTACGCACGTCATGTGGTTCGCACATGTAATTACTATGTCGAGCACGTGGGGGTTGTGCGATAAGCAGTGCTGGTTTGCATTTTGAGCAGCTGAAAGCCACTCAGAAAATATCAAGGACACCATCTTCAGAAACATGTGGTACTTGCTTTTTGATTCTCATTAGGGCTCACAAAGTTTCAAGTTTTGGCATCTGTTACACTGTTATCCCATTACCTAGGTCCCTAACCACTCATGTTCATCTGTGCTGCTAAGCACAATTGAAATTGCTCCCGTACTCGTCTAAGACACAAGCTGAAGTGCAGTGAAAACTGATCTGAGCTGCTCCTAGCCTGCTCCAGAATGTAGTTTTAGCTGCTCCCAACCTGCTCCAAAACAGCGGTTTCAGCTGCTCCCGTGGCTGCTCCCAAATACATTTCATGAGTTCCACCCCTGAATTCTGTCGTAACACTGGGGCCGCAATACTCTTTTTCAATCGCAGATGCTCCGGGAAAACCAACTGGCGCCGAGGTGACGGACTGGGACAAGGACCACATGGACCTCAAGTGGAACCCACCTGCGAAAGACGGTGGCGCCCCCATCGAGAAGTACATTGTGGAAAAGAAAGAGAAGGACAGCCCCGTCTGGACCAAGGCGGCCGTGGTGGACGGCAAGACCTGCGAGGCCCGCGTGCCCGACCTCATTCCCGGCGAAGCGTACGAATTCCGCGTGCGTGCCGTCAATGCCGCCGGCCCCGGCGAGCCATCAGAGGCCACTAAGCCCAAGGTTGCCAAACCAAGGAAACGTAAGTTGTGGAATGGAGGTTCTAACGCAGGATGCGTTTTGCAAGTCGTTTTGTATGAGAAAATCATCATGAATGAGCGTCATAGCGAGTGTCATGAGCGACCAACACGTTGGGAGTGTTACAGACATAAGGATATATAAAAAGTTTATATATAAAGTTGGAGCCCTTGCAAGACTCGAACCTTGGTTTGTGCGGCGGCAGTTGGATATACTAGTATAAACGTGCCCCCTGTTGAATCAGTCTAAGCTCGACCACGACAGGTACAAAGCAGGTCTGCATATTCTATGAACAGTGGAGAGTGCAACAAAACCATTCCTATCATTTTAGTTTCGTTCTAAAAAAAAAAAAAAGAGTTATCTGATGATTAGAAATGAGTAATTAACTTCTGCTAATTAAAAATTTTTGTAGTTAACGTTTTTTAGAAATATTCAATTTGTTACACTCTCTGATTTGGGAACATCCAACCCTAAAAGGTATTCAGATCCAAGTCTAGATCCAAAGGTGCCATAAAAAAAAAAACTGTGTTGTGACGAAACAATAAACCTCCAAAAAAATGGCGAAAGTTGTTTTAAATCATGCTTGTAAACAGCCCAAGTATGAAACTTTGAATCGATGTAGCTGTATAAATGTGCACTTCCTGAGTGTAGTAGTGATTAGAAAAAATGTTAATAAGTGACCTAGGTATATAGAGAGAAAAGAAATTTCTGAGAAATGCCTTTTTCCTAAAATAATTTTTGCTTTTCAAGATTACGGTCTTCTCTTAAATACTTTTTTTGTTCTTTTTGATTACAGTGGCACCCAAGATTGACCGCCGCAGCCTCAAGCCAATCACCATCAAGGTGGGGCAGGACTTTGAGTTTGACGTGAAGGTGCAGGGAGAGCCCGCCCCGGCCGTCTCCTGGTTCCTGGCCGCCAAGCCCGTGGCCGAAAGGCCCACCCTGAGCATCACCAACGTGCCCTACAACTCCAAGCTCACCTGCGACAAGGCGGAGCGCAAGGACAACGGCACCTACAAGATTGTGGCCACCAACCAGTACGGCACGGACGAGGCCGAGGTTGAAGTCACCGTTATCTGTGAGTCAGGGCTCTGTACTTCGGCCCTTAATTCGGGCGGAAGTACTCCGAAACGAGCCTACAGTAAAGACGAGCCTCTTTGGTTCTCGTCAGCTCGTCAGAAATTATGGTCGGTGACGGACTGAGAGTTTGGTAGAGGCTCCGCCTCCGGCAAGAGCTTGTTGCCTTCCCTTGAGCTTTGGCTGCACGTGTGCGACAAAGTGTTACGAAAGACGCCGAGCTTGTGGTAGAGGCGGAGCATGTAACGGATTCTTAACTTGTCACCAACAATAGGCTGCCTCCTTTATTTTTTTTTTTTCGTATTTTTGTGGAATTAGGGTTAGGGTAAACATTGCATTTCGTTTTGTAGTTCAGAAAGTGACTGGCTTCCTTCCCAAAATGGGGAGCCCTGACTGTATTGACCTCGTCAAGAGACTCTTACGAGAAAATGTGTCATTCCTCCGAAACACCTCTTTTGCAACAAATCTTTTTTTGCTACGCTTATTTTATGCCCTTTCTGACGAATGCACCTCACTGCTAATGCTAGCTCGTGTGGCACTTTTTTAAGTTTTCGTGCAAATTGGTTGTTATCCTCGGGTGTTCAAGCGTGTTCCCGACAGATGAGCAAAGAACAAGTGACGCTATTGCAAAAATAAAATAAAAAATATGGTTGTTTAAGCTTGAACCTCCAACTTACAGTTATTCTTTTCCTATTTTTTTCTCTCTTCCTTTACGTTTATTTACATCGATCACTCTCTTTCCACTCACACTCCTAGCACCATCCTCACTCACTTTTGGTGCCACCTTATACCTTTTACATTTGCCCAGTCTACAACGACGTTCAAAGGTCTATGTGCACCATACTTAAGCTTCGTACCAAGTTTGAGTGCGAATGACTGGACGTCCCAGACGAAAATCGGTCCACTTCCAGTTGGATTTTGGAACTGGAAATGAGGCAGTCCAGCCGGATTCCAGCTGTGTCCAGCTGGAATCAGCTGGACTGCCTCATTTTCAGTTCCATAATCCAGCTGGAAGTGGACTGATTTTCGCCCGGGGTATTAGTCATTGGTGAAGCCTGGAAAGTCTCGAGCCGGCTTCTCTGCTTCCGCCTCCGCAGCCAAGCCCTCAAAGCCCGAGGGCCCCCTGGAGGTGTCGGACGTGACCAAGAACGGCTGCAAGCTGGCCTGGAACAAGCCCAAGGACGACGGCGGCGAGCCCATCTCCAAGTACGTGGTGGAGAAGCAGGATCCGGACACCGGGGCCTGGGTGCCCGTGGGCTCCACCCTCGGACCGGAGTTCCAGGTCACCGGCCTGACCCCCGGCAAGGACTACAAGTTCCGCGTCAAGGCCGTCAACAAGGAAGGGGAGTCGGAGCCCCTCGAGACGGACATCCCCATCACGGCCAAGGACCCCTATGGTGGGTTTGGGGTCGAGGGGTCAGGCGGAGGGTGGCCCAGGGTGTCCCTGGTTTGGCAGAGCTCAGCTACGATGCCTGGGACATGTCTCCGACTGCTGCATTTACTGCCTCCTCAAATATGGTTTCATGGTGGCATATGTCGTGCTGTTGCCTGCTGCAATCCTGGCAGTGTCACAGCGCCGGAAGTGGATGTGGCAGAGACACACTCTTCTGCTATGGGTTGCTGTACGGCTCGATAATTCACGGCAGCTTTTTCGACAGCCAGGGGTTGAGATGCTCGCACTTTCTCCTCTCTTTCGCCAGAACTTTTGCAACCAACCATCGGGATCGCAACATCCGACGGCACGAGATGCCAACTCCTTCGGCGTAATTTGTTGCCACTTTGGGACCAGTTTCAGTGCATAGGTGGTGTAGGACACTAAACACACCATTCAAAGACGCGTGGCTGGCGGCGTAGCCAGGGGCATAGCTCGAGATTCGACTACTTTGGGCTATTGGGGAATATAAAGTTGACGTTTAGTAGGTTACGGGATTAAAAAAAAAAACAGAAAAAGGCAGCTTTAACTAATGTAAGTTTGGACTAGGTAGCAGACAACAAAGGTGTGAGGAGGAAAAGTCAACACCAGCTTCATATGGCTGCTTGTGTTTGGGTCATTCATAGAGAGTTCATAGAGTGTACGGTACTTATCTAGATGGCAAGTCGGCAACATCATTACCTTTCTCTAACTTCCCACCGCAACATTCAGTAAGTAATAGGCCTCGCCCCTTTTTGCCAGAAGGTGTAATGTGAGCTTTGTCGAACAGTGGGGAACGGTTGTTGTTACTGGCGGTGCTGCCAAAAAGAATGCCAATTCATAAGCAGTGAATATACTTTGGCTGTTCAGAGACAGCGAGATACATACTCACTTTGCAACGTTTAGATCTCACTGCCTCCCGAGTTTTACGACGATGCTTCTAAAGCTCTATGACAAGGATTTCTAAAGCTTTATGATGATGCTTCTAACAATCTGAGACTGCTTCTTCACAATGTGCAGATGCCCCGTCCGCCCCCGGCCAGCCGGAGGCGACGGACTGGAACCGGGACCACGTGGACCTCAAGTGGACCGCCCCGGAGAAGGATGGCGGCGCCCCCATCTCGCACTACGTGATAGAGAAGAAGGAGAAGGGCAGCCCCAAGTGGGAGAAGGCGGCCGAGGTGCCCGGCGACCAGACCAAGGGAACCGCTCCCTTCCTGGACGAGGGAAAGGAGTACGAGTTCCGCGTCACGGCCGTCAACAAGGCCGGCCCTGGAGAGCCCAGCGAGGCCTCCAAGCCCGTCGTGGCCAAGCCGCGCTTCCGTGAGTTGGCATTCTTGCCGGCGACTCTCCACCCTCGTTGTAGTTGCCGCCAGAATGAGAACAGCAGGGCGTGTCTTTCAAACGCCCACCCTCGTCACGTGCTCCATATGTTCCGCCGTGCTTTGGGTGCGCCCACATGCGATTGAGGTGCACGTAACGCCAAAATGTTTTTGAAGGTAGGAAGCCCGCACTTGAGGCGCCCTGCCATTCTCAACGGGTCAGTGACTATTGTTGAACTAGAATCTTTGACTAAAGAAACGGACAAATGTCGGCATTGTTTAGTATAAAGAAACCTGGGACTAATCAAAGTAAAGTTCGGCAGAGACGGACGACTTGTGAAAGGGGGTGGCGGCATCGCACCTTCTGACGACCAGTTTTTCCTCTCGCAGTGGCTCCGCGCATCGACCGCAAGAACCTGCACGACCTGACGGTGAAAGCGGGCCAATCGATCAAATTCGACGTGAACGTCCAGGGCGAACCCCCGCCAACCATTGTCTGGACCCTGGACGACGAGACACTCAAGCCGACCAACCACCGCTCCATCGACAACGAAGACTACAACACGAAGCTCGCCGTTCGCCGTGCCGAACGCTCGGACGCCGGGAAGTACACGATCACCGCCACCAACAGTTCCGGGAAGGACGCAGTCACCGTCACCGTCAATGTGCTCGGTGAGTTTCGCTCGCGGTGTGGAGTGGTGGTTTGTGGAGACTGGCTGATGTAGCAGTTTCTAGCTCAAACTGGGTCTGATCAGTGTGGACAGAGCGTGGATCGTCGACTATGTCACGATGCTTGCTCAGTGTATGCGAAATGTTGGGAGACTGTGTGCTAAAAACGCCAAAAGACGAGGACAGGGTAAAGACAACGGCCAGAGTTTTGTGTTGTCATCTTTACTCTGCCCTTGTCTTTTGGCATTTTTAACGCATCTTGAACTAAATTGCTCAACTCAACGTTTTCTTAGGAACTTTGTGACCGAATTTGATTATAGATTCCAGACTTGTCTAACGTGTCGCAGTGGGTCGCAATATGCCAGCTTGGTCTATTGCATTTCATAGTTTTTTCTTATGCAGTACCTCACTCCACCCCCTCCCCCTCCCCCATCACCAATTTTCTGTATTTGTTGGGGCAGTCATTACAGTCATTATTTAGACGATGCAATTAATCATGCGATCGTGTTTGTTTGTGCTGAAGTGTTTGTTGAATTTTTATCTGTGTAAAGAAGGCAAGCACTAGAGAGTGCACCGTAAAATACCAAGCAAGCGCTGTCTCAAAATTTGGAAGCAATCTTCAAAAAATAAGGAATGGGCGCTTGTTAGGTCCAAGTGCCAAAATGCAGAAGGGGAAGATGATATGGTGGGCTTCACCACTTTGCACCAGGGTGTTAAATGAAGCGGCTGATGATGGGCAACATCTCAACTAGCTAGGTGGGCTCTGAAGCCTGGGATGGGTGCTTGCTATGAGATTTTCATATTTTACAAATCATCCCGAAGTAGCAGGTAGGTGCTTATTGTAACGCAGGTGCTCGCTTGGTATTTTGTGATATTTCGCTAATATGTTTTGAACCTCCCAAGTTCAAGCCAAAATGAGTTTCAATTCGGGCTGTTTTTTGAAGCCAGGTCTCATGTCGTCAGTCAGTTGCCTCGTTTTAGCGATAGATTTCCAATGCTGCCAACGGGGGCGGACATGACGCAATGATCCGATCTGGCGTGCAGACAAGCCGATGAGTCCAGAGGGTCCGTTGGAAGTGTCGGATGTCCACAAGGAAGGCTGCAAGCTCAAGTGGAAGCGTCCCAAGGATACCGGAGGCATGCCGCTCGATGGATACCTTGTGGAAAAGATGGACCCGGAGTCCGGAGTTTGGGTCCCGGTCGGCAAAACCAAGGAACCAGGTGATTTGTCGGGCCGTTGCCTCATTCTCAAGTACGAAAGAAGCGACGGCGACGTCATCAGACTTTGCACCGACGATCTTGTTTCTCGATGGCCCGTTTCGATCTGGGTGGTCACCGTACTGCTGTATATGCGTGTTGCAATGCAGACTAACATCCCACCGCAACATGCAACAAAATTTACTTATATCTTTATTTTTTTATTGTTACAGAAAGTTTTTGGGTTGAGTATTTTGTTGCACAAACAGAGCTTTCAAGCTCGGCCTCGAGGTATTTATAGGTAATTTCTTTAGCAAGATATTAGAAAAGCGTCTGCATCTACATAAACCAGGAATACTATGGAGGAAAACTTTTCTGGCAGCAAGGGGCGTGATACATTTTGTTAATTTTCTGTGACTGCCTACAGCACTGTGACCCAAGTACCTACCGTATTTTCCGGTGTATAAGACGCGGCTTTTTTCAAAAGTTCTTGCTGGTGCGTCTTATACAACAATGCGTCTTATACGCGAATTTTTTTTTTTTTTTTTGCGAGTTCAGAAATTTGAAATTTACTCGGTTGATGTTCAAGCTTGTTTCACCAAAAACAAAATATCGCTACCGATCACGCGGTCGTAACACGGTGATACTTCAATACGGGGACCACCGCGTGCCACGTTTTAGGTGAACTCCAAGATTGCAAACATGCGGTCGTTGCGGATGCGGAGGTCCCAGGCGTAAGTAATGTGAAATGCCAACAGATGGCGACAATCACGCTTCTCGCCAAGACAAGCCAGGACAAGCCGCCTCTCTTTTTCAGTCGCCATTTTCATCTTTGTTCGCTCTGCGTACGTGCGTCGTCGTGTTTTCCTGCCATCTGCCCGGTCTTGCTACAATATGCCACCGCAGTCGCGCAAGAGCTACACAGCGAAGTTTAAATTATCTGCGGTCGAGTACGCTACCGAACACGGTAACCGGGCTGCAGGTCGCCGTTTCGACGTCACCGAGAAGATGATTCGCACATGGCGACAGTCGTCCACCTAACTACAGGCGATGAAAAGTGGAAAAAAGGCTGACCGCGGAAAGAAGGCGCGGTGGCCTGAACTTGAAATGAAATTCGGGTGCGTCTTATACACGGCTGCGTCTTATATACCAACTTTTTCAATGAAAGCCTGCATACAGGGTGGGTGCGTCTTATACAAAGGTGCGTCTTATACACCGGAAAATACGGTACTATCTTCAAAATCGTAAGCTACGACATGTGTGCTTCTATTCACAGCCTTGGATACATGTGCCACGCCACGGCTACTAGCATTGTTGCTGCCCTGTTTAATTAATTTATTTGTGGCAATGTCAATCATTTCTTGCCAAAAACAAAGTATGTAGAAGTTAACTGGATTGTGACAAGCAGTACCTACTTCTTTTATCCCTTCCAAGTTGAAAATAAAATGGCTGAACTAATACTAAAAATTGTGTGAGGTCGAGGTCTGGTGGTGTACAGTTGCCATTTCACCTGCTGTGCTGACCCTTCTCTTGTGCAGGCATGGAGGTGACTGGACTCACACCTGGCAAGGACTACAAGTTCAGGGTGAAGGCCTTGAACAAGGAGGGCGAATCCGAACCACTTGAGACGGATGGAACCATCACCGCCAAGAATCCATTCGGTGAGAAATTCGAACGTATAAATTATCATTTCATGCAGCAAGCAAAACTTTACAGTCTTCGGGTTAGCACTAAGTGCAGAGATGATGTGAACACTAAGCTTAGCATGACGATACAAGTTAATGCCAAGTCTGGACTTAGTGGTAGCCATACCAGTGAACACTAAGTTTAGACTTGGCACTAACGATTACGGCGTGAATGCAAAGTCCAGACATAGCATTCATCATGCAAATCAATGCTGTCTGGACATAGTGTGAACTAGACCAGTTTATGCTAAGCAGTTTATGTTTGCAACATAGATTAATTCCTGACTTGGTGCCTACAAGCCTGGTTAATGCTTTCCCAACTTTACGTTAATGACAAGCTCTAAGTCTGGACTTAGAAACCACTAGACCAGTGGAATGCTAAATCTGGACTTAGCAACCAACAGTCATTGTTGAATGCTAAGTCTGGACTTAGCAACCACCAGACCTGTTAAACTACACACCGACACGCGGGCTTGACGTCACGGAGCTGCGGCGGCGCTGCGATCGCGCCGGAGCCGGTGGGTGTGGGCAAAAGCGCGCACGTTTCGCATGGGCGTCATAGCATTTCAGCATGCCGCGAAGCTGTGTTGCCGTTAATTGCACCGAAATGTACAAGAAAAGCAGCGGAGTGAGTTTCCACAAGTACCCGGCAGACTCTAAAAGGCATAGAAGGTGGATAATATCCGTGGATCGAAAAGAATGGTCGCCTCGCGCGAACGACCGTTTGTGCGGCAAACACTTTCTTGGAGGCAAGTGCGGCTTACATTTCAATCTCCGTCCCGAGGCTTGCTTATGTGCAGGGAAACCGTTGTCTGATCGAGACCACCCGGATTTTGTTCCCACGGTGTTCGCGCACAACGCACCGGCCAAGCGCTCGTCGGAGGCTCCCTACGCCCATGCTACCGAGCAGAAGGGGATCGGCGACTGAACGGCAGTGTTGTAGGCGTTACCGAAAAAAGTATCGAAATACGTTACTCGTTACTTGCAAATAAAAGGTACGCGTTACTGAGCTACGTTATCTAAAAATAAAAGGAAAACGTTACCGCTACCGATAAAAAGTAAGGCACGTTACTTCTGCGTTACTTTTTTTTAAATTATGATTTAACACATTTTACGGTTTTGACGATACAGGTCATATATCAAGCAGAAACGGAACATAACTACTTTATCATTTTTTTACGGTTTCACCTAAATACTTACGAGAAAAAACGCAAAGAAAAACATGGCTTCACGAATAAAACACGGAAACAATTGAAGTGTAATTTCTTTAAGACTTGGGAAGTAGTAACGACTAACGTAACTACGTTACTTGAAATAGTAACATAAGTACGTCACCCGTTACTGTGTCGAAAACGTAACGAGTGGGTTACTACGTTACTGAAAAAAGTAACGCCTTCCTGGTAACGCCGTTACTTGTAACCTTTTACCGCCAAGACTGCAGAACGGACAAACCTTTACTGGTTGTAATGCCTTGTGGTCACGAGGGTATGAAAAATATCATACCTTGACTTGAAGACGCTCTGTGTATTTAATCAATTAATGAATACACACACTTCCGCAGACCCACAGTCTGCTGATCCCGCCGGCAGTGCGGAAACCGACTCGATGTAATCCTATAGGCCTCGAGAGACTTGTAGGCCTGCACCGTGTCGGGCGTGAACTGATTTGGCGAAAACTAAATAAACGACGACCTGAGCCGTCGACTTCCGTGGCAGCAACTTTACGTCGGAAGTCCAGCACCTAGGCCTTGTTTATGACGCACGGATCCTCGTAGGCAACGCCGTCTACGCACAGTTTGTTCCGATACCGCTATCGTTCAGGCTCGGGCAACGAGCTCAAATAGTCGGGTATAGCATACGACATACGTTGTGAGAAAATACGACGCACAAATAAAGATACAAGCGCCCTTACAACGTCAACAACGAGCGCACGCCATAGAGCGCAATGGCGAAAACACGGAGAGCCGGGCTGCTCTTGCCCACATAGCTACCGCGCATGCGCGGCCTTCCGGCCGTGTTGGTAAACAGAGCCGCTCCGCGTGTCGGTCTATAAATCCGGACCTTAGAAAGCAAGACAGGTGAACGCCAAGTTTAAACGTAGCGACCACCAGACATTCTTTAACGCTAAGTCTGCTCTTAGTAACCATTAGACCAGTCGAACGTTAAGTCCAAGCTTTACGTTAACAAGATAGGTGAACGCTAAATCCAGACTTGGCGACCACCAGACCCAATAAACACCAATTCCGGTGAACGCCTCCCTTAACCTTCCTCCCACCTCTCCATCCCAGACGAGCCGGGCAAGCCGGGCAGCTTGGAAGCCACGGACTGGGACAAGGACCACGTGGACCTCAAGTGGACGCCGCCAGAGAAGGACGGTGGGGCCCCCATTGAGAAGTATGTGATTGAGAAGAAGGACAAGTACGGCGACTGGGAGAAGGCGGCCGAGGTGCCCGCCGACCAGACCAAGGCCACCGTGGGCAACCTTGCGCCCAACCAGCCGTACGAGTTCCGCGTGCGCGCAGTCAACAAGGCCGGTCCGGGAGAGCCCAGCGATGCCACCCTGCCCATCATCACCAAGCCCCGCAAGCGTACGTCTTGGCTTCTTCGTTAGCGGGAAATTGCTCGGATACTTTGTCTGTACAGATTACAAACGAGACCTCAAAGCAGGTTCACGAAATTATCTTATGACAAAAAGCTTGCCTATGACGAAACCTTAGAAGTGGGTATTGATAAAACAAAATTATTGCAAGTTTTGAAACGTGTTGGGAAAAACACGGTCGTCGCTTTGCACCGCACCTGAGAGATGGCGCAGCATTACCAGTACAGGCAAAATGGGAGAGTGGGGTGTATGTGTGACGCGAGACGGCGAGCGCAGGAACGATAGAGCGACGCACGCAGGTAACAGTTGCTCGCGGCATCGGCTTTACTTTCAATTAAAATGGTTTTACTAATCACCCTGTGTCCGAGTTGGACTCCAAGCCTTCAGGGACGTTGATACCTAACAAATTAAATGATCTTAAGTTTTGGAGCAAAATGATTGTAAGTTTTGAAAAAAACTGATCGTAAGTTTTGAAAAAAACTGATCGTAAGTTTTGAAACAAACTTATCATTAATTTTCAAACGATAGCATTGTAAGTTTTGAAACAAACTGGTCATAAATTTTGAAACGAAAGGATTGTAAGTTCTTAAATTAAATTATCATAAGTTATGCATAGCTTATGGTACACATAACTTATCAACCTCCTAGCTAAGTTATCCTAGTTTAAAAAGATTTTCATGAATCTGGCCCCTGCAAGTCCCAGAATTTGCGTACTATAGCCAATCTTGGTGAGCTACCAAATGTGCTCTTGTTGGCAGCCAGCAAAACCCACGAATACGTAGAGGTGAATGACTTTGACTGCCGGGAGTCGGTCCCATTTTGCCTTTGAAAATTTTTAGAAAATAACTTGAATAAGATAACAGTTAATTCTGAAACTTCAGCTTCTGGTCCTGATCACTAGCACTACATATGGGCAGTGACTGGGTGTTTGGCGATGCATACTTTATTTTTTCATTGAGAAAAACACTAAATGTTTTCAAGCACATGCTGTACTTGCAAGAATTTATAGTTTGCCTCGCTCTAGTGTCAAACATCAAATCCTAGTATTTATGCAAATTTTGTTTTTCTAAATAGAGGCACTAGCACTTCTATGTGGTTCTTGAACGACATATAGTTATGTTTAGTTTGCCTAGAGATTCAAGCACAGCACGATGCAGTCGAGTTTCCTGGGAACTGTCCTCGATGGACAAATGGTCTTGCCCATCGTGAGGTGCACAGTAACCTAGACTTTTGCATTAAATTTTACGATTAAAAAAAGTTTGCAAAAATTATTATGGTCTGATGCAGGTTAAGGATAGCAGGGCAAGCCCTTCCCACAGAGCTGCATGCACACACAATTAGCGCAAAGGACGAACACAAGAAGAAGCAGTAGACAGGATAGAGCCCTGTCCTGTTTACTCCTTTTTCCTGTGTTTGTCCTTTGCGATAATTTTGTGTTTTATGTTTAACCAACTAGGCCTTCAAATTATTTTGCTCCCTGCTCACCATGCTTGTTGGTTCTCTCCTCTCCGCCCACCTTTTTTCTAGTGTTTGTTTCGCTAAAGTGAAGAGGGTGAAAGGGTCTGTAAGAGAAGCTATTATTGACCTACAGCACACCATGGTTAAATATTTGTTCAGTGTACGTAAAGTACTAGTCCTTTCTTCGTATTGTTCCCGTCGTGTACAGCGCAACATTTCAGGAGTAAATGTGTGCCAGTACCCTCACAGAAGAGACCAATACACCTGACAAGGTTCCATTTTGTTTTCTAGTGGCGCCAAAGATCGACCGCACCAACCTCGAGAAGGTACGAATCAAGGCGGGACAGAATTTCAACTTTGACGTCAACGTGATTGGCGAACCGCCGCCGGACGTGACGTGGACCCTCAAGGGCAGGAAGGTGGCACCCTCCGACCATGTCAAGCTCGTCAACGAACCGTACAACACCAAGCTGAATGTGCGCCACGCCACCCGCGCCGACAACGGAACCTACACCATCACCGCCGTCAACGAGCACGGAAAGGACACGGCAGAGGTGGAGGTCATGATTCTCGGTGAGTCTGGGGTGCTGCCTTCTGGTACTTTTGGTTTCTTTGTATCACTTAATGTGCAAACTGAATGACTACAGTCTTTCTGCCTTGAGTTGAACTACCGAAGTGTTTCTAAAGACGGCTTACCCTTCCATGAATGCTGCCGAATAGAGTACAAAAGAGACGTTGGCTAAGTTGTAGTGTCTAAAACAAGAAAAAGCTGAAAAGAAATGTTTTACTTGTTTTTTTTGTCCATTTGTGCATACGTCGGCTTTCCTAAGCCATGCAGTGGGTGTCATAGTATGTAGCTTAAAGACAAAAAGAGGTTTGTCTAATTTCCTTCTAAATTGCCTAAGCAACAGTCACAGTTGTTCTCAAAACTGGTGTTGCCTACCCTATGCCATAAGTCTCCCAAATCTGTGTAACTCCATTTCATGAGGTGGGCTTCTTTTCAGGGGTGGGCCATCTCTTGGGATATAACGGTATTCATCTAGAAACTTTTTGCAGGTGTAACTATTATAGGCTTTTTATGGCATTCAAAATGTTAGTTTAACACAAGTCAAATACAACTTTTGCAACTCATAGTAAAGCCATACAATTTACATACCACAGAATATCTACACTCTAACTGTGCACTTGAACCTTTCGTATCTTATTTTTATTATTTCTGCACCTGTGTTTCGCGCTTGCTCGGGGGCCTTCAGGAAACGGGGAATGCTTAGGACACTCGCAACAGTTTTGCCCACCAAAGTCAGGCTGTGGCTTCCTGCTAAGACAGTAGTCGGCTTCTGGAACAATGGGATTTTAAGCCGGTAACTATGACAGCCATCTTTCCTAGTGCCTGCACACTTGGCAACGTGACATTCGCGTACACGCAGACAAGCCCACCCCTCCTGGCGGACCGTTGAAGGTCGAGGATGTCCACGCGGAGGGCTGCACCCTCAAGTGGAACCCTCCCTCGGACGATGGTGGCATGCCTGTGGACCACTACGTGGTGGAGAAGCAGGACCCCAACACCGGGGTCTGGGTGCCTGCCGGAGACACCACGGGACCTGAGACGCAGCTAAAGGTTCGCCCGCTTTGGGTTGTCCTCCCGTGGACGTGACGCTTCGCCTGACTATAACACGGCACCAGACCTGTTTGTGTAACGTTCGGACGTGGGTAATAGCCGTCAGCATTGCCCTGACAGTACCACTGCAACAACCCACAGGCATAAAAACTGTGGGTTGCAATGCCTAGGGGATCTGGCACTACAGAGTTCCGGAACCCTGGAGGTGGGATGTCAGCGGAACGTATGAAAACGTGGTGGTTGTAGCTTTTTTTTTTGCGGGGTGCCTCTGAGATTGCCGCACACGTTTCATCAACGATCATCGCACGACGGTGGCACTCTAAGCATTTGAATTACTCCGGCTGCCTGCATGTTGTGTCGTTCTATCTTTCATAGTTTGATGTTGTATATTATTTTTACTTTTTTTTCCCTTCAGGTGAAAGGCCTGCAACCGGGTAAACACTACAAGTTCAGGGTGAGGGCGGCAAACCGACAAGGAGAGTCGGAGCCGCTCGAAGCCGACAAAGCCATCCTGGCAAAGAATCCGTTCGGTAAGGAGAAAGTTTGTTTTGCGATAGTGTGTCAGAAGTGTTGCTTTGTCTTTTGCTCTAACGAGCTGTAGCACTTGGCGTAGAACGATGGTTATTAACTAGAGGAATGAACCACAACGTCCTCTTTCGTATGCAGACGAGCCCGGCAGTCCAGGCAAGCCTGAAATCGAGGATTACGACAAGGACTTTGTCAAGCTCAAATGGGACAAGCCCGAGAATGACGGCGGATCTCCCATCACGGGTTACGTCATCGAGAAGAAGGACAAATACAAGTGAGGCCCATTCGTTGTTCATGTATGTGCTTAAACCCCGGACTCTGTTGGCGTGCAATCGTGACGTCAAAGCATGACGTCATGACGTCCAAGCAAGTGCAGTGCGAAAACACAATTCATTGAGACGAGGAGAAATGCAAGTTCACGACGACTGCAGAATGCTGAATTAACAAAGCAAAATAGTAAGAATGATAAGGATAATGACGTGCAGCTAGAGAAAAAAAAAAACCGTAGCATAATGTTTTCAGCGGCAGGATGTAGCAGTACTCAGTAGCGCTGCCAAACCAAGCCAATCCATGTGCTGCCAACATAAATCTCTTTAATGGCGGCTTTTCGGTAGTGTTTCCTGCTGATCGCTCATGACGATTTTGTCCGAAAAATGGAACTTCCAGACTTCAAGCTGTCCTAAACACTGGTCGTGAATATGCACAATTTCTATCGGTTAGGTCACGGTTCTTCTTTTAGGATTGAAATATCGGCGTCCAAAAAGTCGGTCGGCGACCATAGGGCAAAAAATTATTTTTGCTAAGGGATCTCACCGTGAGGGGTCGCAGGAACTCGATCGTAGGTGAACGCGAGTGCTTGAGCGGGTTTTGCGCTGACAATGTTGTTTGACGTCGACCTCAGCCCCGACTGGACCCCGGTTCTGGAGGTTCCGGGCGACGACACAAGCGCCAGGGTCGGCGACCTGGTGGAGGGGTGCCCGTACGAGTTCCGGGTGCGTGCCGTCAACAAGGGCGGCCCTGGATCTCCGAGCGAATCGACCGGCGTCCACGTCGCACGGCCCAAGAACAGTGAGTGGAAATGTCGCAGTTTGTCTCAAACTGAATATCGAATAGCATAATATTTGCACAACACTCTGCGGAGTGCTAGTTCGTCTGCTTCTTGCTCAGGAATCGCAATGATATCAGGACGCCAAGTTCTTATTGGCTGATTGAAAAAAATACTAGTGGGTAAACCCTGAGGCATCTAGCATTGAGGTGTACCCACTATCCTTCCAATCAAACCCAATCAGAACTCGCCGTCGTTTTGATATCACCGCAACCCCTGCGCAAGAAGCAGACGACTTGCTCTCCGCGTAAATCAGGCTAACTTTGCGAAAAATTGTTTTTTTATTTGTCGCTAGCTGCTTTGGGGGTGTTTTTTTGTTTTTTTTTTTTGTCTTCTCATAGCTTGAACTTCTGCTATCAAGAACGGAAATAGCGCTACAGACTAGGACGGGTAGAAGCGAAGGGCGAGGAATGTCCTGTCCACTTCTACTTGTCTGTAGCCCTCTTTGTGTTGTTGATCTGTTTACCCAACTTGCCCCTCCGTTTGTACAAGTATGACTTCTGCAAAGGGAAACAGTCTTGACTAGTCCCTTGGAGTTCCAGGCAGATGGCCTCGTAGCTTTTGCGCCATAAGCCTCCGAAATCACTCGCTCCCTCGGGGTTCCAGCTAAAAGAGATTGTAATGAAGACCGGTGTAATAAATTAATCCCTGTTTTTATTGCTGGGACATCTTTGCTCTTTGCCAATTTTGAGTGCATAAGCCCTCAAACTTCCTTGTCTATTTGTGAAGACCCAGTGGAAGAGCCACTAAAACCGTCCCTCATAACATGTCGAAGTTATTTATATGCTTAAACCAAAAAAAAAAAAAAAAAATAAGTGAGACATTTTTGCGAGTTTTTGTGTTTTCGGAGGGATTGATCTCTTAAAATAAAGCTCATACTCTTGTACCATTGCCGACCGTTTGCCTTCGTCTGCCTCTGCCTCAGTGGCTCCCAAGATCGACCGCAACGCCATGCACGACATCAAGGTCAAGGCCGGCAAGAACTTCGAGCTCGAGGTCCCAGTCCTGGGCGAGCCCCCTCCGAACAAGAAGTGGACCCTGGAGGGCAAAAGCATGGAGGACGTCAAGCGCTGGAACATCTCGCACGAGCCGTACAAGACCAAGTTGGCTGTGCGCAACGCCGAGCGTGGCGACAGTGGCACCCTCGTCCTGACGGCCACCAACGTCAACGGCACGGACACCGCCAAAATCACCGTCACCGTTCTCGGTAAGCCTGCCCACCCCCGACTGCTTTTATTTACTTATTTATCTTATACACCCCTAGGGCTTAAGACATTAGAGAAGGGAGGTGTTACAAAGTGCAGTAATAAAGTAACAGTTCAGTTATTAGTACAGTCGGCAGCAAAAGTTTGCAGGACGTGGGAGTACCAGCCGAAGTGACTTGCTGCGCCTTCTGATGGCACATCGCTGCTCTCAAGGGCTTTGCTTTGCTCGTGCGCATCCTTTCATGCTCGAGTTCATGTCTTTTTTACTTGTTTCCATTAGATGTGCGCGAGATGACCGGAACTGGCGCGAGATGACCGGATCTGGCGCAAGATGCCATTTTGTCGGCCGTCATGTCGTGCATCTGCCTCAGTCATCGCGATGGTGCTCGGTGCTGTGGAGCAGGCACAACTGCCTATGGTTAAAGGGGTTATGACACGCCAAAAATAAAATATTACATAACTATACTGCTAGGACCCATTGCATGTTCCTATAATCCTGCTAAATTTGTTTTGAAAAAGGCGCGATAATTTCGTGGATAAATCGATTTATATGCGGGCCCCTTGGAGGGCCAGATCCGGGTGGACCTGGAGGCTGATGACGTAGCCAGCCTCCAGCGCGGTGTCTACTTGCACGCACTCACAGACTCGGCTCTCTTGGCATTACAACTCTCAGCTTCCTCGTTTACCTTCCACGTTTCCAGCATCCGGTCTGTGACGATTACGTCTACGGCATCGATCGCCTTGTCGAAGTTTTCGACATTGATCGCAGCAGCGATGAGAGTGATTCCTATCAAGAGATGTTGGAAGCTGTTCATTCTGACTGCGACCCGCTGGCGACGAGTTCCAGCGACGACGAGTTCGCCGTGGTCACCGTCGTCCGGGAATATCTCGCAGGCGCATGCAGGGTGGAAGGTCAACCAGCCGGGGGGCGAGAGCGAGAATAGCTTTCAGTTTACCGAGCTGTTTGAGCGGTTTTGTTCGTACCGTGACGAGAAGAGCTTGGGCGATCATGGGGGCGCCTAGAATGAGGGAGCGTTCATGGTCACGGGGTTTACGGACACCATGGTGTGACTAACTTGAGCAGTGTTGCCTGGTCGCCAGATGAAAATTATAAAAATTCATAAATTGAATATTGCAATTATCAGAGCTCTAAAAATTGTGTAACTTGGTGTATATACTAAGTAGCCTATGAGCATTCCATTTCAAGAATAATCTATCCGTTTAATTTTCGTGTCATAACCCCTTTAAGACTTGGAAATATGGCTTCCTGAGCTTCAAACACTGCATCAGGAAGCTCCGACGATATCCCTTTGATCTGTCGAGTACTGTTTTAAGATTTTGAGGAGGACGGAAAACTGCTTTTTGTCATTTGAGATAAAGCTTTGGACGACCGGCAACTATGACTTTAGGCACCGAGACCACTGAAGTGTCCTTGTGCTGAAGCGCAGCTCATTTGGTAGCTCTAGTTTCAGCAATGGATGGACCTTTTGTAAGGATTCCTATGAAAGATTCAGCTTGATGTTTGAAGGGGGTTCTAAAATTTTTTTTTAATTTCGGATCATTTGTGAAAAAAATATGCGGTGCGCAAGTTTTTCTACTTTTTGCACAGGGGTTGCGATGATGTTAGAACGCCGAGCTTTAATTGGTTGATTGAAAAAAAATTGTGGGTAGACCTCAAGGCATCTAGCATTGATGTCTACCCACTATCCTTTTAATCGAAGCCAATCGGATCTCGGCGTTGTTCTGACATCACCGCAACTCCTGTGCAATGAGCAGACGACTTGCTCTCTGCATAGACATCCTTTGCGATGCCAGGGATTGTGTAAATACCAAGGACGACAGAGAGAATAGCACACTTAAGACAAAGGGACGTCGGACGCTTCTTTCAACTCACATCAACACATATACAGTGAATCTCCTAGCGGAGTATTTTTGAACCCACCCCTGCCCAGAAGGAAGAAAAAGAAAGCAATATAGTAAATACAAAATAAACAAGGACAGAAAAAGAGTGGCAGAAAAAAATTGCATCGTCAGATGGAAGATGAAATGCAATTATGCCAATTCCGAAGTAAGGAATTCTTTCTCATTGTTAGTTAAAATGATTGAAGGCACCGAAATATTATTAACTGAATGCACGCTGAAGGATTCTATAATTTCTCTTTGTCTTCTGTGTTATTCTTTATGTCGTCTTTGTCCAAAAACCAACACGCTTTCCAGTTTATATTATAAATGCCGACGTTTGGGAAATTTTGTGGGGGGGGCAAAAGCCAACAAATTAGGGGAACTTGTACGTCTAGCTGATGCCAACTCTGTCTTTCTCGTTGGGGAATTACGTGATGTCTGATGGGAATCAGGGGGTCGCCGATGTTTTGGAATTTTAGAGCGCAGCTCTTAGGCACCCGCTTCTTGCTTGAACGGCATCGCCGTCGCAGTTGCTGTCGGCGTCGGCGTGATTGCGCATTGCATTATAGGACATTTCCCATAATGACATCACACATGATGTCATGTCTGACGTCGCGAGGGTCACAAGTGAATAAGTGATGTCATGAAGGTCACTCGCGAAGGTCATGACCTTTACAGTGAAGGTCATGACTTTCACAGTGAAGGTCATGACTTTCACAGTGAAGGTCACAACCTTCACGAAACCTTCGCGAGTGACGTCACAAGGGTCACTAAGGTCACGAGTGTTGTCTCGAGGGGGGAGGGACGAGGAAGAGGAGAATAAGAGGAGGATGGAGGGGGAGGAAATAAAGGGGCATACCATTTTCTCCGTACCCTCCCCTCCTCCCCTTCAAGAGCCGCACTCTAATTTGACATTACAGGGAGTTGTAAACGTCTTCCATTTTTTTATGTTACGGATATTTAGCCAGAAAAATGGGATGGGCAATCTCTGGGGGAGGGTGCCCTTAGGCCCGCTTCAGACGGAGCAGTTTCACCCAGCAATTTGACGTCAACACCAGCAACACCGGCCGCCCGCGTTCACACGCAGCAACCGAATTGCTCCGACTTGCCATCACCATCATTAAATTTAATTTTTTTTTTTTCACTATTTAGACGCCCAGCTACGCGCTAAAAACACGTTCTTTTATCTTTGAACGGCATTGAGATTACCAACTCATTTTTCTGAAACTGTTTATTTCCGAAAACGATCCATTCCAAACCAGAACTAAGTCTTTAGCTGTCATCATCACCACCACAGGGGTGTCCTGTGAAAATATTGTGTCTCTGATTGGCTGCAGCCGCTTCAACCGTCTTCGAATTGCTCCGAGTTGCTCGCTTGCTCGAGCCGGACCCGATCAGCAATTCGCATCCATCTAGAAAAAGCTAGGGAACAACCCGCCAGCAACCTCAAAATTGCTGGAAAAGTTGCCCCGTTTGAAGCGGGCCTTACAAGATTTTACGATAGTAGTACAAACTCTCCTTGTCCCCCTTGAGGAATGCCTTCAGGGAGATTTGTTGGGGGAAAACCGAAAAAGTTGGGGAACTTGGAGTGTACCTACTCTCAATTCCCCATCCCCCTTGGGGGATCCCCTCAAGTAGAAACATTTGTCAGAAAAAAAAAACAAAAAAAAAAACGAAAAAGTTGATGAGCTTGGCAAACGTGGTTGCACCCAATGCCCCGACCAACCCTCCTCGTCCCCTCCTGCAGACGTTCCTCGTGCTCCGGAGCTGATCAAGATTGACAAGATCACCAAGGACAACTGCGAGGTATCCTGGAAGCCCCCCAAGGACGACGGGGGCACCGACATCCTGCACTATGTGGTGGAGAAGAAGGACCTCGACACGGGACTGTGGTCGCCCGTGGCGGAGACCATGGGCACCTCGGTGAAGGCCGAGCGCCTCGTGGAGCAGCACCAGTACCACTTCAGGGTGAAAGCAGTGAACCGCGAGGGCGACTCGCCTTACGCCACTACCAAGGACTCCATCGTCGCCAAGAACCCCTTCGGTAAGTGGTTGTCACTAAGCATTTAGTATTGATCTATTAGTGCTCTATTTGGTCTTGTAGTAGGGATGGAGGGTACAAGGTCTGGAATAGAATGCAACTGTTAAGAGAGTAGTGCAGTAATGCCAGCCATCGAGGCAGGACATGACCTTCAACAAGACAAGGCTAAGTTTCAGTATGCATTTCTGAGCGAACGTACTAGTTACTAGCCATTCAAACACTGTCAAACAGGAGGACTTAAGCTTTCACACGGATACATTTATAAGTATGGTGGGCAGAAAATCATTTAAGCTTTTTTCACAGCGGAGCTGTTGGGGCTAGTTTCCCCAGTTTCGTGTACGGTACCATACAAATGTCGACACAAAACTCTGGAGGTACTGCCATCTATAAGCAGTGGCGGCAACCAGACAACCAGTCTGATTGCTGCCGTCGCTCATAGATGGCGGCAACCTTAAAAGCTATCATAGAAAAATGGATAGTTGGACGAGCTTGTGGGAATTCATCGTAGGAAACAGCGTGCAAAACAGACGAGGACAAAAAAGAAACACATGGGACGGGTGTGCAGCTTTGCTGGTCTTCCTTCTTCACCAGAGTGAAAAGGCTGAAAGATTTTTTTATTCAATTTGAATTAAGTGCCCCTGGGTAGTTGAAAGCTGGTGTTGTTGCTTTACTTGTTCAAGCCCACTGTAATGTGTTTATTCAAACAGTAGTTCTTTAAAGGGTAACTCCACTTCATTTTTTTGATATTGCAGTTAGGGCAGTTCTAAACTGAGTCAGGATCGCTGAATTCTGGGGTGTAATATTTTTTTCGGTATTGTGTATAGTTACTGTAGGTATCTGTTGTCAAAGTTTTGCTTTGGGGGGCTAACGGCAAAACCCAAACTGCCAGCTCGAGAGGGACAGCAACACTGGTACTCTGCTGCCATTGCAACGAACACGGCCACCTGTCATTGCATTCATACCACATACCATTCGGCGATGCAAACAATTTGTCAGATAATATGTGCTAAATTTTAGCCCTCTGAAGTGAAATTTATTACCAAAAAGACGCAAGAAGGTGTGGACCTTATTGAGGCACATAGCAGATACAGTGAAAGCCCCGTCGACACAGACCAGGTGGTACCTTTCCCCAAACGGCGGGCCTTCCATTCGACTATGCAGACCAGCCCAACAAGCCGACTCCACCGGAGGTGACGGACTGGGACGCGGACCACGTAGACCTGGAGTGGCGCGCACCCCGTGACGGCGGCGCTCCCATCACGGGCTACGTGGTGGAAAAGCGCAACAAGGGCAGCCCTCTGTGGGAGGAGGCAGCCAGGGTGCCAGGAGATGCTACCAAGGCCACCGTGCCCAACCTCAAGGAGGGTGAAGAGTATGAGTTCCGCATCGTGGCTCTCAACAAGGCTGGCCCCAGCGAGCCCAGCGACCCGTCCCAGTCTGTTGTCGCAAAGCCACGCAAGCGTGAGTGCGCTTGCTCGGGTTCCTGGTCATTCGCTCACCTTGGGGAGGTACAAACAAGGGTGCCTGATCACGATTGGTCACATTACTCTCTCCAGGCACCTGATCATGACTAGTTACCACTCGGGGGTGTCTTATCATTAATGGCCACATGCAGCATTTACATTTGTCAATCATGATTTGTCTTTGTTTTGTTTACTGATCATGATTGGACGCACATTATATTATTTGGGTGTTTGTTCATGGTCGGTCACACCCCCAGAGGGTGCCCGATTATCATTTGTCACATTGGCTTAGGGTGTGTCTCTTCATGATCAGTCAGATTAGCTTCTTTGGTGCCTGATCATGATATGTTACATTAGCTTTTTTTTGCCTAATCACAATTTGTCACATGGCCTACGTATTCCTGTGACTAGAAATAACGAGTTGGCACTCCTTCATGCAAAGGAACTGGTTTAGTGAGGATTTCAGAATGCTCAGAAGATTTTATAAATTCCTTAAGATGACTGAAGATCTTGCTATTTTGCATGATTTTTGTCACGAGTTGGGTTAGCAAATTGAGAGTGGTGAGATATACATTTCAAATGTAAGGATGACTAGATGTTTTGTGACAAACAAATCAGAGCAAAGAACCAGAAAATTTGGTGTGCATCCAAGTTATACTTTCGTTTGGTCTCTAAAGCTGAAAGCAGCACATGAATTTAGCGTAAATTAATTTGAGTTGAAAGTCGAACTGCACTTTTTACGGTGATCCTCCTTTAAGTTGGCTTTTACGTTTAGCGTGAAAACGTTGTTCACTTTCTGCGCGACAAGCGTGCCATTATGACTTACGCAACCATTGACATGGATGCAGTGGCTCCGACGCTGGACAAGAGTGCTTTGAAGGACATCAAGGTTCGGGCAGGACGTCCAATCAACTTCACCGTGCCCATCAAAGGCGAGCCCACGCCCAATGTGGATTGGCTGGTGCATGACAAGCAGGTGCACGACAAGCGCATTGAAGTGACGAACACGGCCAACCAGACCATCCTTGACATTGCGTCCTCGGTGCGCTCGGACTCCGGCAAGTACACCCTGGTCCTGGAGAACTCCTTCGGCAAGACGTCAGCGTCTGCCAACGTCACTGTCCTGGGTGAGTTTGTTCGAGTGAAAGTTATGCACTGAAGGCCGGCTCACGCGCTTGCAACTGCTTGTGACTGTGCGCCTCAAAACCTTTTAAAATCTCGAGCAGCCGTGAAACACCCAGTTTCAGTATGCTTTTATTTTTTTTTTCGCGCATCATTCTTTCTTTCTTTTTGGCTCAAAAAGCTTTTGGCATTAATGTTATAAACAACTGTTTTTTATAGATGGTACTACATACATCCGATCTCGTAAATATTGCAACACTTTCGCTTTAGTGAAGTGCGCTTCTAGGGTCACCTCTTGTATGGCACCAGCATGCCGGCGTGCTCTTAAGTAGCAACAGATCCCGAGAGAAGCAAACACAAGTGTGTGAACAGGCCTCGAGATTTTCTGATGTGCACAGGCTGTGATAATGTTCTCACTGCAAATTTGGAGGTTTTTTTTGGGGGCGGCGACCTTATGTGGCCCGTGGTGCGAGCCGATCCGTGCCCAAGTGGGTTGCCTAGGCAACGGAAGGGTCGGAGGCAGAGAGAGAGGGTAGCGGATTGCCACAGAGTGAAGGGAACACAGCTGGTGTGACATCATTGTGCTGGAATGCAACACTGTGCTGGTGGCGATGCATGGTTCGTTGTGATCGGGGAGGAATTTGACTGCGTAGCCGGCGGCATTTTTGCATGTTCATGCGCAACGACTGTTTAGGTGTTGTTTAGGAACATTGTGCAGTATCCGGATTGACATAAACATTTTCTCCGTCAGTCCTTTCTTGTCACTGTGCCGAGCTTAACGTCTATAAGGCATTTTAACTCTCTAGTGTTTGTGGCTCGTGGATCGAACTAAGCTTGTGCTGTCCTTGTGCTAGGTCGCTTCCAATCCACTTTCTATCTTCCACAACTTTGTGGACACTCGTCTTTTCATCCATGTATAGTGCTCAAACGGATAAAAACATTTCGTAAACGTATAAGTCCTATCCTTTGTGGCAAGATCGATCGAAGTATAACTAGCTACGTAGCATCGTAACTTGCTCGTCTCCGATCGATCCGATTGTTTTCTCTTCCCAATTCTTTATGGCTCATGGATCGACCCAATTTATTTTCAGATCGGCCGTCGCCACCTCAGGGCCCGCTGAACATCGGGGAGGTGACCAAGAACTCAGCCACAATTAGCTGGAAGGCACCCGCAGACGATGGCGGAGCGCCCATTAAGCACTACCTGATCGAAAAGATGGACACCTCTCGAGGCACCTGGGTGGAAGCGGGCATGACCCCGAACCTGACCTTCAAGGTGCCCAAGCTGGTGCACAAAAAGAGCTACCAGTTCCGCGTCAAGGCGGTCAACGAGATCGGCGAGTCCGAACCCCTCGAGAAGACCGAGCCCATCGTTGCCAAGGATCAGTTTGGTACGACGTTTCATCTGCTACTTAGTTCACTGGTCTGGAATTATTTGTCAACTACCTCTTCATTTTATTTCAATGTATTTTGTGAGTTTGGACGTCGTTCATCTTCGAAGAACCAAGGAATCCTATTCAGGGGAGTGGGAGTATTTAAGGGCGAGGAAGCTAAGCTTGACATGGGGCAGAGAAGGAAAGTTAAGCTGCTGTCGCAACACATAATTTTTAAAAGGGAGATTTGCTTTACTATGGCCACTGACAGTATGACAATGGCAGGTCGTGTCTTTTGTATGTCTGGCCTACAGCACATTCTTGTCGCCTTCGGTCGTGCTTTGGCTGCGCCTGCGCTCTCAAATCTCATGAGATGCCGAAATGCCATCGAAGGTAGGAAACTCGTGCTGGAGGCAGGACAACTGAAAGCCCTCACTGCCATTCTCATTTTGTCAGTTCACATTGTTCTGTTTAGACACTTCCAAGGCTCAAATTTCAGTTCACATTGTTCTGTGGGTGATTTTAATTGGTCGCGTCTGACACCTTGCACTTTGCCGTGTGCTGAGCAGGGGGCCACTACGAACTCCCTGCTGCATCATCACCACTAACATGTTCATTGCTACAATTTAACAGTGATGTTAATACGTAATTATTAACACGTTAACAATTACATGTAAATTGCAAACAACATTGTTACATATTTACATGTTCATTGTTACCACATTCACAATTGACATACTCCTCGTTGCTTGCCATCGTTAACGTCATACCTCCGCTTGCAGAAAAGTCGAGCGCCCCGGGCCGGCCCAAGATCACGGACTGGGACAAGGACCGCGTGGACATTGAGTGGAAGGCTCCGGAGGACGACGGCGGCTGCCCCATCAAGAGCTACATCATCCAGAAGAAGGAGCGAGGGTCACCGTACTGGACCAAGGCCAAGGAGGTGCCGGCCTCTCAAACCAAGGCCTCCGTGCCCGACCTCAAGGAAGGACAGGACTACGAGTTCAGGGTGGTCGCCGTCAACGCCGGCGGCGAGAGCGACCCCTCGGAGCCCTCGGACCTCGTGACCTGCAAGCCCCGATTCCGTGAGTTGCGACTTCGCGAATTGTCCCGTCTGCCCGATCTAGCCAGGAAAGCAGGAGAGCATGCATGTAGACTTTTCTGCTTTCCTGCACGGCGTGCACTGTTTATGTTTGGACCCATGGACACGATTTGCACTGGGGTTCTGAATGTTTCAACGTCGTGCTCAGTATCCTAGTTCGGCTCAGCGTATCGAGTCCCAGTGTCTGTCGCTCTTCATTCATGAAAGTGCCTTTTGTAAGGGATCCTAGTTCTTTACTTTCCGAGTAGACCAAGTCGGGGCTTGAATTTTCGGTAAGATGTACCACGAGTCAAGTGAGGTTCCTCGCCCGCAATTGGGTGGGGGTGTGGTTGTTGGACCATGGCGACTGATTGTAGTGGCTGCGAAGCAGGATGTTTGTGTAGTAGTAGAACATTATAAACTGTGTCCTTGGATTGTTTATACAGAATAGGGGACTATATTAGCATCATTGACACCCCAATTAACTTCTGCAAAAGGTTGTGTGTCTTATGCTTTTAAAGGTGATTGTCTCCTTTCTCTCATGCCAAATAAAACCAATCACATTAAACCAGGTCAATTGCATGAGATGATCTTGTGCCCGATGATTGGCTGGGAATCAATACAGACATTGTATGGATTGCAGGTCAGCTTTGAGCATTTAAAGTTGCACCACGAACGATAGAAAAATGAGATGAAAGCCAAGCACACACAGTCACAAAACCTACCGTATTTATTTGAATATAAGTCTACCTTTTGTTTCCGGAAATATAAAACATTAAGAGTCGATCTATAATCGTGATCAAAGAATTTCTACCCTACCGAAGGCATGGTGCTATAGTCACCAGGTTGGCGTCACCATAGAGTCGTACCACTTCTTGTTTCAGAAAGCTTAGCAACTGGTGGCTTGCCTGCTGTGGCTGCCGCTCCCGCGCAACTTTCCTGGAATGTCGGGTTTCTCGCTTGCCAGTGGCCGGCGCCACTCACGCGTGCCCCTTTTCTTGCCGAGTTCAATATAAAGGCATCAACCTATATTCGTGGTTGATTTATATTCAAGTAAATACAGTATGTGCCGTCTATGCAGCCTCATATTTTCCTTTAAATTTCGAAGACTTGACCATCTCTACAAGCCAAAAGAAGTGAAATTGTTTTTTTCCCATCTTTTTAAAAACATTTGAGAAATCTGTTACATATGAGGAGGACATATGTGAATTCTAAAAAAATATACAGACCTCTATGTTGAAGATGACTGTTTGGGTATACGGTCCATCATGTAATCTCTCTTTTATGAGAGCTGAATCTGTGTGCTCGTGTTTAGTGCATTCCTCGGTGCAGTGCAAGTTTTAATGTAAAAACCCTGGCCACATTCTTTTGTCCCACCACCAGTGGCCCCCAAGATCGTGAGCCCCATGAAGGAGGTAAAGGTCAAGATTGGACAGACCCTCCACGTCGAGATCAAGTTCATCGGTGCTCCACCACCGACGGTGTCTTGGAGCGTCAACGGCAAGCCGCTGATCTCCGACGACCGCGTCACGATTTCCAACTTCGACGACTACACCATCATCAACACGGTGGACACCAAGAGGTCCGACGGCGGAGCCTACACGCTCCACCTCAAGAACGACAGCGGGGAAGACAGCGGAACACTGCCCGTCGTCATCTTGGGTAAGCGGAACTGTTTTTGTTTCTGCAAGCTTATTTTACCTTCTTAGCAGTTGCCCTATACTTCATTATTTCATAATGGTGCCCTAGAGTTATGAAATAGTACATTACTTGATTTGTACTGTAATAGAGTCACGGAGTACTAGAGTTGTGCAGTGCTACATTTGCGTGGTGCTAGAGGGGCACAGTAGTAGTCATTTAATACTGTCCTTCATTTCGTGGACAGAAATGGTCTTGTGCCATTAGTATAACCCTTGCTACCATCTGCTGTCTGTGTATGAGTAGTAGAGCTTCTAGGTTGAGTTGACACCTGACATAGCTGTATTGGGGCTGATTTGTTTCATTCTATATCATTTCAAGGCCATTATCACCGGGGTAATTTAGTATGTGAAAGCATTTGGCTCAATAAAGATTTTATTAACTTATCTGGGGACATTCCCAACCTTAACTAGGCTTAAGACAGAGCTTCAGAATTGAGGCAGAAATCTGACTTCAGTTCAAGCTATGGCACACTTATGAAGTAAGCTATTTTAGTATTTGGGTAGGGACTGTTTTAAGTATTAATTTATGAACCTCGATAACAACCTTCCAGACAAGCCAAACCCTCCTGAAGGCCCGTTGAACGTTGACGAGGTCGACAAGGATCACGTCAAGCTGTCGTGGAAGCCGCCCAAGGACACAGGTGGCAGCGACATCACGTATGTTTTACCACTTATCAAGTTAAGCTGGTGCTTTGTCTATGCGACTGTACGCTGCATAAATTAGAGTCATTATAATTCTGAGTTAGGTTGACTTGAAGGATGTCGTGTTATAAATGTACCTGTGATGTCTTTGTTACACCTATTCTGACTAGTGTTGTATGAGGATTTGAATTTTCAAAGAGTAGATTCGAATAAAACACCGTTTGATATTCGCTTCGAGTTGAACTGCGATATTCATGCTAAAGCTTTTCGAAGTGTTGGTCATGGCGGATTAGCCCCGTTGAGTGTGCTTCACACCGAGCACCTGTGCACTGCTGGTAAGCAATACCCACAGAGCTCACGGTCTCCTTTGGTTTTGCTTTTCTGCAGTGCTCAGGTGCTGGTGGGAAGCACACTCTACAGGGCTAACCCACCATAATTATATATTAATTTGTTCATTCATTCATTTATTTATGTTAAACATCAACAGTTGCAATCTTGGCATTTATACATGTTTTATTCTACAAGTGTTGAGCATATGTTAGGCAGCAGTGTCTAGACAGCCTGCATTCATTATTCGTTTTTGTTGTTTCTTGTGTGGGAAATTTGAAATAAAAGAAAGAATATTTGCATATAGCAAGCAAATTTGCAAATCTCCTCGATCAGGATAACTGCAACAAATCTCATTTACATGCCATACCCAAATAGCTGTCTTAAAATTAACTGAACAAGTTGAAGGCTGAAAACAATCTTCGCTAGTTCAGCTGAATTTTCGTTTAAGCATGGTGATTTGTTGTCAAAGACTTTGAGAAACTATTTGATATTCTGTTAGAAAATATTCAACCAAAAAACCACTGTTCGCTTTCAACTCAAAATTCACTATTTGCACATGACTAATTTCGAGTGATTTCGAGGTTAGCCAAAATGCAAAACTGAAGTTAACATTGGGTTCTTTTTCAGGGGTTACGTGATAGAAAAGCGTGACAAGACACACGGAGGTATGTGGGTGCCCGCCGTCACATTTGTGGCACCCACGGCGACGGATGCAACAGTGCCCAAGCTTATTGAGGGCACGGAGTACGAGTTCCGGGTCATGGCTGAGAATGCGCAGGGGCTGTCGGAGCCTCTGGTCACTGCTCGTCCAGTCATGGCCAAGAGTCCATACGGTAAGACTTGGATTGTGCTTGCCTGTGTTTCCGATTGTCTGCATTATTCTTGGTCCCTGCCACAGCAAATTTAGTCCCAGATATTTGTGTTGCATGGTGCCAGGGGAACTCATGTTTTTATTGTTCTAAATGTTGAAGATCTGTGCATTTCTCAGAGTACTTCTTGAACATTACATAATGGCCATCGAGCTGTCTTCTGCACAGTCTACACATGATTTAATTAAGCACATGGAGAACTAAAGTGCATTGTAAAACTACAGTGAAATGCTGTACAGTCAAACCCACTTATAACGAACCCAGGAATAGCGAAATATCGGATATAGCAAACAAATTGTTATGTCACGTTCCTGCTGGAATATTTTAACAAACAAACTCAAAGCGGTACCATGCATATAACGAAAGAAATTTGATTAACTCAGAATATAATTTCGCAAAAATATGAAGAAACTAATGTACAAGAACTTCTGCGTAAATTTTAAGAAAAATCTTTTGTCCTAAATTGCGGTGCACTTCAGCCATCAGTTGTCCTGTGCATTATGAAAATTCAGATTTTTTTGTGAGTCCCAGATGTAACGAAGTTTAGGTATAGCAAACATATTTCCGATTCGCGTTGACTTTGTTACAACCGGGTCCGATTGTATCTGTAAGCCAAGGCCAAATGCAAAATTGTCTTGTACTGTTGGTATTGGTCACTGCATACTTTTTAACACTCACTTTTTCAGACAATCTATCAATTTTGTATCCTGAAGGTGTTACAAAATAAGTGTGATATATTTAGGTTTCACTTGATCATTATGATTTACCTTTCAATGCTATAATCGAAATGATCAGAGCTTATCTGCACTTTATCGCCAAGGAGCTTCTGTGTTACTGTCTGTAATTTATTGACAACCTTTTATGTGCTCATTATTTGTCTTTCTATAAAGGCAGGGGAGGGACTGGGTGGAACCTAAAGCAAAATAAATAAAACAAACAACTAAGTATGTCTATGGAGTACAGAACAGATTACACAAAGTGCCCGACTTCCTTGACCTGGCCAGGTACCCCCGGCAAGCCTGGTCAGCCAGAAGCCGTGGATCATGATCGTGACTTCATCAAGATCAAGTGGGATCCCCCGCGGAACGACGGCGGCTCTCCGATCACGGGGTACGACGTGGAGCGCAGGGACACCAAGGGTAACCGATGGGTTCGCGTCAACAAGGATCCTGTGCGGGTGAGTGAGCTGCACTGCTTGGCTGGGGTGAGACACGGGAGAGATCCCTTGCTGCGACAGAGTGCTTTACCGCTTATCTGGGGTGCAGTGGAAGGAAGACCCCCTGCTGTGACTGCACCTTGCCGCTTAAAGGGACCATGAAATGACCTTTTTACTTTTTCCAGATAACTTTTACATTAAACCGTCAATGTTCACTGAATGCCGAACAGGCATCCGTTTTCGTCTCGGTTTATTAACTTCTACACAAAAAATTATTGAAATATCGACTTTTTCATTCTCTCCAACTGACCGCAAAAGAAGCCGTGACGTAGACCGTTTCCGGAACCGGAAGTTCTCTCGGCAGTAGGAGAATGGGAGTGTTAGCGGCAACGAGTTGGGGTGCGCCGGTAGGTTTTACTGCGCTGATGTCACCGACGTATTTCCTGAATCGGCGCCTCATCGCCGCATCGCAGCTGAGCGAAATTCAATGAAATATGTTGCGCTACAGCGACAGCATGGGACTAGTCCCATACGCCGGTATGCCTGTTGGGAAGTGCAGCGAGTCTTCCGGTGAAGACTCCAGAAGTCAACCACCCCGTCATTGTTGGCAGAAGGGCCGGCCCGTGTCAGTCGTTTGCAAAGCGACGTAGATGGCGTTTTTCGCGGCCTCGGAGATGCAGGAGCGAGCCGACGTTAAAAAAGATACGTTTGAACTACGAGTGTCAGCAAGAGCCACGTAAATACCTGTTTACACTCGGAGCGGACGCGCGCGCTTGATGGAAGTCTTATTCGCGCTGTTTGTAAGCGCTTCGGGACCGTTCTTTTACGATTGCAACTCGATACTGACGCGACACTCGGCAAAGAAAGGTTGGACCGGGGTTGTACGTATACCTCCCACGAACTGTTATAGCTCGACAGTGACGTGCAGTCTGTCAGAATAAAAATGGCATACCAATAACAAAGTGTACATACCGTGTTACGAAGGTAATCCATACGGCGTTTATTTCAGCTCTATATCACACAAAACAAGAAGATCGAATCGACGAGAGTCCCTTTTCGACGAGTGTTCGTCAACACTGCCTCGGAAAACAAGGGGAAGAGATTGACCTCACCTCTTAATCTAGAATTGAGGTCAGTGATCAAACTATAATACGGGAAGGGTCCACAAGGGTCGCGCGGGCATATTCCATTTAGCACGCCAGCCGATCGTAGGCAGACGGTCTTGCGACGAAGCAACGCAGCGCCGAGTCGGAATGCCTGCTAGGCCTATACGCTTCGTCGGAGTCGGTGGATTCAGCGTTCTTGTTCGTCGTGGTCTGTTTTAAGTACTGTTTTCTTGCTGCTTGAAGTCGGCACGCGCGGGAAGAACACGTAGAAAAATAAACGTTCAGTCAGTCAGAGTTTTGAGAGGAAGGAAAACAAAGAAAATAAATGTTCGTCGGTCGCCATCAATGGTCGCCGTCACCCAAGTAACTGTCGGCCCTGCCCTACTGCGCACGCGCAGTAGTTGCTTCGTTTACCACACGATAGATGGCGCTTGGCTCTCAGCATTATCAAATTTGGAAATTTTCGCCACACATCTCTAATTATGCTACAAAATGTGGATCTGAATATTATTTAACAAAACTTTTAGGAAACATTCGCCGGCTATTTATTGTTTACGATCGCGGTGCTGGTGAGGTAGGCTCTTACCCAATAGGCGACGTGGATTTGGCTGACGTGCTCCATTTCCGCGGATGCATCGTAGTGAACAGACGAAGGAAGGAAGGCGCAAAAGAGTCCAGTTTTCTTTTAAAAGTTCTATAGCAAATAATTTTTTTTGCCTCCCTATTTTTGTGTTTTTGTGTTTCTTTTCACACCTTTTACGACGTGCGGTGGATGAAACTCGATTTTAAAATCATTTCATGGTCCCTTTAACTGGGATGCGACGAGAAGAAGGCTACTCAAATTTATGGCGCTTTTCATGCTTGCTGGGGTGTGATGTGGAGAAGGTCACCTGCTGGGACTTTGGTTCCCTGGGGTGCAATAGAAGGGAGGTCCTTTACTGTAACCGTGCGCTTCACAGCTTGGCAGGAATGTGATGCAGGAAAGGCCACTTGTTGTTGCAGTGGCCTTTACTGCTTAGCTGAGGTGCGATGCAGGGAAGGCCAATTGCAGCGACCTGCTTCACCGAGCTGGGATGCAACAAAAGGAAGATCCTCGCTGTGACTGTGCACTTTACTGCTTAGCTGGAGCGCTATGCAGGGAAGGTTACTTGTTCTTAACAGTGCCCTTCACTGCTTAGCTGAGATGCAATGCAGGGAAGGCCTCTTGACATCACAACCTTTTGCTGAGTGGTATTAGCTGTGAACGACGAATGCTTTTCAGACTCCAGAGTACACGGACAAGGACGTGACGGACGGGCACCAGTACGAGTACCGCGTGGTTGCCAAGAACGCGGCAGGCCCCAGCGAGCCGAGCATGGCTTCTAAGGCAATCGCTGCAAAGCCTATGAAAGGTCAGATCCAGAATCTTGTAGAAAATATCTGGATGAAGGTGGTCGAATGAAGGAACTTGGCACTTTCAGAATCAATTGTTGGATGAAATTTTTCTTATGAAATTTTTTATGTGGGCTATGCATTACTTTACTTATGTTTTGTTTGTTTTGACACACTCTTTTATCAACATTGGAAGACAGATTGATTTTGCGATTAGCTTCACAAGTAACTTACATATTGGGAAAATATGGTCAGGTGGCTTGTTTTGTTTTAGATGCAGATAGTCTCTTTTAGCTTATAGGAAAATGGAGCAGGCAAAAGTTTTATAATTTCTTTGTAGCTGTAGAATATCATCAGAAATTCTGGGCATTTTAAGTAAAAAAAGAAAGTCCAGATTATTAGTTTGAGAAAAGCTTTAGGTGTGTTTCTTCGTATTTTTCTATGCGGTTTGTAAGCCTCGTTTCTTTCATGGGTAAAAATTGAGCACAGGCATGTTGCAATGCTCAATAATCTATTTGTCAGATTTACTATGCCTGTGTACTTTTAGCTTTGACTCTTGGGCTTTCAGGTTTAGGAATGAATGCTACCCGACTGTCTTCTCAATCAAATTGCGAATGCAGTTTAGTTAGATGCTCCAACTTCCCGTCACATTCAAACATGTCCTGCTTTCTTTTTTTATTCACCAGAAAAACCAAAACTGCACTTGGACGGTTTGTACGGCAAAGGTATTCGGGTGCGTGCCGGAGACCCGCTCAACATCAACATTCCGATGACCGGTGCACCGCCGCCGGCAGTCACCTGGCTCATCAACGACAAGGAGATCCCGCCGACCAACCGCATCCGCACCGACACCGCGGACGAAACGGTCAACCTCACCATCCCGGTGTCGCAGCGGGGCGACACCGGAAAGTACACCATCAAGGCCAAGAACATGTACGGCGAGGACTCCGCGGACATCGACGTGCTCGTCTACGGTGCGTCCTTGTCCCGCGTTTTGCTTGAACCGTTTTGTTGGCAGACGATATAATCGATGGCAGATGACGTCCTTCATGACAAACAATTTTTTGTATGACAAATTTATGTACTTTGAAGGACTGTTTTATGTAATGGATGATATACTGGTGTACCATATTTTCCGAGCTATAGTCTACCCAGTGTATAGATCGCAGAGGCTAATTTCGGCCGAGAAAAAAGAGCTTTTCCTTAAGCTCTCCGTACCCAGTGCATAGTCTGCCCATCCGTTTGGTCCGCAGATAAAAAGTTCTCACACATTGTACACTTTTAAAGAAGTCTTTTTATTTGTATAGTCTGCTCCTGTAGATAATCTGCACTGTGTAAATATTTAACTTTTATACATGTATAGTTTATGAACTATAGTGTAAAAAATATGGTGTGCTACTTTGAACGTCCATTTCGGTGTGAACATATTGACCTAGTTTGTTCAGGAGAAATTGACGATTTTGTTTTCAATTTCTGTGTGGTGGAATAACTCATTTGTTGTAGAGACACTAGAGAGCTGTTGGGTTGTTTAAGAAGTGTGTCTTTTTTTCCTCCGGGTTTCAGACAAACCGGGACCGCCACAGGGACCGCTCGACTACCCAGAAGTCACCAGTTCCTCGGTCACGCTCAAGTGGAGAAAACCCGAAGACGACGGTGGCGCAGAAATCACGGGTGAGTGATGGCGCAATAATGGCTTTAGATTGTCATTAAATCCCACTCAAATATATGGTATCTGTTTTTTTTTGGTATTTTTTTTAATCCACATACATGGCAATTGTAATGTTGCTGAAGTTTATTCTTCCAACCATTATGAGAAAGCTGTTTTTTTTTTTTTTCTTCTTGCACTTCAACTGGAGTATGCTCATATAAACTTCACAGTATACATAAAAAGGGGGCATGCTGACCCCAGATCAAAGTGGAAGATAGCATCTTGGCATGTCTGGTGAATGTTGTAAACACTCTCGAAACACTCAGAATAGCAAGCGTCGCAGTGTTTCCGAGGCAGTTGTTTCTCGAGAAAGCTAGCAGCGTTCAGAAATCTAATCCGGCAACACTTGAAAGCTACCCGGGCCGACCAAAACTTCAAGCTGTTGAGTTATTTCCCCAAACTCTCGTTTTGACAGTTTGACACCACTACTGAAAGTGACCCGTGCAATCTGGAGAACTGTATAAGATTGAACATTACCGAAAGCAGAAACGCGGAGATGCGTTTTTGCTTTCATGTCTTGCCCTTACGCTTTCGACCACGTCTAACTGCAGTCGACGTGCTCACCTTTAACTTCTTTCTGTAAATCTAGTTGCATGCCCATCTTGCATCTGTTTTTACTTGTTTTTTTTTTTCGGCTTCCGACTGTCCTCGCAGGCTATCTCGTGGAGAAGTGCGAAGTGGGATCGGACTTCTGGCAGCCCGTGCCAGGCTACTGCCCCAACACCACTTACACTGTGCGGAACCTCGAGGAGGGCAAGCAGTACAAGTTCCGCGTTCGTGCCGAGAACATCTACGGCATCAGCGAACCTCTCGAGGGAAAGCCCGTCACGGCAAAGAACCCCTTCGGTGAGTCTGGCCGCTGCTCCAGGGTCACCCTCGTTCAGGGGGTGAGCAGCGCTGTGGTCACTGACAGCGGGGTGTGGAAGCTCTCGAGCATCTTTTCACCTCCCAGCAGCCGACAAGATTATATTTATTATTCATTTATTTATTTCATACACTTTCAGGATGTGAAGGCATTGGAGAGGGAAGCGGGTTACAATTTTTAGTGACAAGAGAGGGAAAAAATAAGTATTTTAAGGAGGCGAGTAATTGTTAATATAAAGCTAGAATGCTGACATTATTAAGGCACTACTACTGGTTGGAACTGTGCTAGTTGGTTGATAAAGAACCTATATATCTATTTGTGTGTTTATGAGTGTTCAACTTGCACCACCCATGAATGGTTAAGGCTTTAAAGGCAACACCCTCAGATAGAGAAACCAGATACGCTGGAAAGTGGTTTTGCGAAAGCGTGGTTCGGGGGTGGATAACCTGCGAAAGGCCATAATTGCGTGCAGCTGTGTGCCCAGCTTGTATCTATGATCGAGATAGTAAGATGTATAGGAAGTCAATGACAAAAAATTAATTGCGAAATAAGGAGCGTCGGCACAACAATCCATGTCCTGCTGCGTTTTACCGTTGGTGACCAGGGCGATCGGCACTAGTGGAAAGTGACAGGTTTGTAAACAGTGTTTCGCTTGGGGTTTGCAGACACCCCAGACTCTCCTGGCCAACCCAAGGTCACCGAAATCGGGCCAACATCTGCAACCATCGCTTGGACGCCACCGGCCAGCGACGGCGGACGTCCCATCCAAGGTCAGTTTTCTTTTACTTTTTGCACATTGTCTCTCAAACATGATACACTTCTGAAGTCATCTTGAGAAATCTGGAAGTTCACAGAGCTGTCAGACTATATTTTTGAAAATCGAAGATTGATTTGTTTCTTCTGATCTGCTGCAAACGTCAAGCTTAATTTTTTGAAGGGCGTGGAAGAAGAAAAAAAAAATTACTCTTTTGTGAGTGTTTTACTTTGTTGAATGGCTGTGCCTAAAAACAAAGCAATGTTTTTGTAGCCTGTTCATATCGTAAATGTTGCTCAACAGGCTACGTTGCGGCTAAGTTTCGTATTGGGGGACTAAAACAATGTTTTGGCAGCCTGTCGGTACCATAAACATTGCTCGTTGACCGACCGGCTATGTTCTATCTATTTTTCGTAACTGGGCTACTACAAAACAATGTTGTGCTAGCCTTCTCGCATCATGAATGTTGCTCCTCGGCCGTCAGGCTCAATTGTGGCAACATATTGATATCGGGAGGACTAAAAAACATTTTGGTAGCCTGATCAGCGTCGTGAATGTTGCCTCCTCAACCAACAAACTAGATGCGTTGTGGCAACTTTACAGTATCTAGTGCAGGGGTGGGCAAACTGCAACTTGCCAACTTTACGCGGCTCTTGAGAGGCGCAAGTGCGGCTCGCAGCTCTGTGTAGTGACCGTTGCCTCTTCGACCGCCAGGCTACATTGTAGAGAAGCGGGAGAGGGGCCACCCCGACTGGACCAAGTGCAACGCCGCCCCGACCCCGGGCACCGAGTTCACGGTGCCCCACCTCACCGAGGGCAAGAGCTACGAGTTCCGGGTGACCGCCGTGAACGAGGGCGGACCCGGCAAGCCCAGCAAGCCCAGCGCCCTGGTCGTGGCCAAGGAGCCTAAGTGTGAGTGTTCTCGGCAACGGTTTAGAACTCCCCGTTTTGCATTGAGGGAGCAGGATTGCCTTCGAGAGGAACTGTGACTGGCGGCCCGTAGCGCTTTAAGAAGTCGAGGGTCGTGAAAATACCGATGAGGACTGCGAGCATTGATCTATGTTCACCGGAACTTGCAAGACATTGGAGGCACGTGTTCTCCTTCTCCTCAGGGTGGCCGGTTTTATCAAAATCGGAGAGACCAAAAAAAAAAAACCCAATTTGGAGCTGCTTTTGGATGAAAAACACCCAAGCTTTATGGAGAGGAACATTATCTATGGTTTGTTTGTTTTTCTGTCTTCACCCGAAACACTGCTCGCACTCAGATGTCTGCAAGGCTGCTTCTTTGTCTGGGAACTCATTCTTGACGTCGTTTTCTTCCCTTATTGATAGCAGGACATTTTTTAAGTGTTGGGGACAAACTCGTGTCCTTTGAAAATGCCATGTCATGTTCTCTTCGACATAGTAAGCCCCAATAAGCGCCGGCTTTTCGTCTGATAGCAGAAGTAGACATCAAGAAGCACCAAATATGCGAGGGGAAAATACATACCTTGGAAAAGCACCCCTGAGTTCGAAGAAAACACGCCGAAGACGCTTAAGACTGCTTACGTGTAGGAATGCAAAAGCATGCTTACATGCAGTGCATTCCTACAACAGCGCATCGTGTCTTCCTTTTTTACACGGCGCTCCGGCAGTGACATCACGCTCACCCACTATGCAGGCGTGGCGCCCCTGCCGGCTTCACGGATTCCGTGACGAAGCATCTACGTAGCTGTGCTTTTCTTTGCAATCTATCTCTAAGGCGCGTCTGCTTTGACCTTTAGCGGCGCATGCTTGATGACGTATTGGTGTGACCATCTTTCGGGCACAAAGCCGCCACCTTTTTTTCATAATGGGACATATAAGGCTTTCGCCTTAAACTAGAAACCCGGAAAACGGGAAACCCTAGTCGTGACATAAGTCTTAAACCGGGTCACGTGCTTTTTTTTTTTTTTTTTAGTTTGATCCGCCACAAAGTTGTTGCGTTGTTATGGCAATCGTGGGCTGCTCTAGACATCCCACCAGCACGATTAATGGTAGAGCGTGATAATGCACCGAGCACATGAAGTGAAAGCTCGCGCCGCAGGCTTCAGATATCCCGGGTTTCGATCTCTATCCCTGCCTGTTTCGATCTAGATGAGCATCATACTAACGTGCAGTCATGTATCTTTAGTGTGTGATGCCCGTTAAAGACCCCAGACTAGCAGTGGTGGTGAACTAACTGAATCTATAGCCAGTGCACTACCACTGCTAGTTTCTCACCTATAGCCGAGACACCAGACGTCCATTGGGGCCGACTAACTTCCAGTTGTTTAAACAAGCATGTGACACAATTATACAGATCCTACCCACGCCAGATCCTACGGTAAAAATCCCGTGCCTTTCCAAACACACACAGTTGCACCGGCAGCCCCCGACACGCCCCGGGTGGATAAGGTGACCAAGAACTCGGTGACGCTGTCGTGGAACAAGCCGACGAGCGACGGCGGCAGCAAGGTCAAGGGCTACATCGTGCAGAAGAAGCCCAAGGACGCCAAGGACTGGACACCAGTGAACATCCTGCCCCACCCGGACACCACCTTCACGGTGCCCGGCCTGGACGAGGGACAGGAGTACGAGTTTCGGGTGGTGGCTGTCAACGACGTCGGCGAGAGCCCGCCCAGCAAGCCCACCGGACTCATCCTTGTGGAGGAGCAACCGGGTGAGAGGCACTTCGAATTGCCTCTAATCTGCGGCGCGACGACCGACGCTGATGCGGTGCCGTTCGTCTGCCAACTCTGGGTTGTAGTTGAGCCTTCTTGATGTCCAAAATGCAGAAAGTTGGCCATAATGGCGTTCGAGCATGGGTTGTGCCGATCTCGTTTCTTTCTTCCGGTATAGTAATGTCCAAGAGCAGTTCATTGACGTGTCTGTTGACGGTTTGATGTCTTATATTTAGGGTAAGAGATGCTTTGACTGTAAATATGTGAACATTGCTTTGCTTACATTTCTTTAACTAGCAGAATGAAGATGTTATGGAATGTCAGCATTTCGACTGTACTGATGAATGCTTATGGCTGGTTACAAAACATGCTGCACTGACGTTTCTAAGTAGAATCTTCAAAGTAAGGTCTGCTTTTCTAGAAATATTTTTTACTGTGTCAGTACACCTATTACCGTATTTACTCAAGTAATAGCCGCACTATTTATGAACAAGGCCCTTGCGTCTGCTTTACTGCAGAGCACATATGCAGCCAATCATCGCGTTGCGCAAAAATAACATAGCGAATAACTAGATCAAGAACACAATTCTCCATACAAATGCAATCTTTATAGATGGTATCTTCACACGAAGACATTATCTCTGTCCTGTAAACCGCTGGAATCATTCTGCCGATCACGGTGATTGGCAAGCCACGTGCTCCGCAGATAAGCGAACCCTCCGGTTTTCTTCTTAAACAGTGCGGCTATTACTCTAGGAAATACGGTATATGTCTCAAACACCAGTACGTACAAGCATTATAAGCTTCCTACAACTTTGCTTTGCCGTGTTCATATTCTTACTCTTACCGAGTTTTGCAATAGAGAATTATTGTGGTATATTCGTTTGTTGATTTGGAAGTCTTTCTTCGAATATTTGGTGCCCTTTAGCTCGACTGCATTCTTGTAACAGCTTTCCAAAACTTTCTTTGTGAACCATCGCTCCTTACAAAGCCAATAGTATGGCTTTAAAGACCCTGCTGGGTGTGTCGGCCTGCGCAGACAAGCCGAGAATCAACGCGGATGCCGTGAAGGACATTGTGGTAAAGGCCGGTCAAGACTTCAGCATCAACGTCCCTTTCACCGGTTTCCCCAAGCCTGAGGCAACCTGGTCCAAGAACGACCTTGACCTTGACGACAAAGAGCCGAGGAGGACGTACAAGGTGATCACTCCCGTCTTTTGGCGTTTATATCGTGCTGTTATGTCTTCCTCATGTTTTTGTGGCTACCCACCAACCTTTCTTGCGCTCGTGCTGGTTAGCTGGTTGGCAAAATCTACCATTCTGTTTTGTCCATATGATAACCCCAGAACAATGTTACAGGAAGACATTTAAGACTGCTGGTGGGTAGGAATGCGAAAGCATCTGCGTTGTCGTGCACATATCGAGGGCAACGTCAAAGACAGCGTCAAAAGCGACGTCTAAAACAACCTTTAGGACGTTGTTAAGGAAAACATCCTAGATATCGACGCCAAAGACAGCATCTAGGACGATGCTGAGGACGGCCTCTCGGAAGACCTCAAGGACGACATCGAGAACGGTGTCCCCGACATTCTTGACGTCAAGGACGACGTCAAGAACGGAGCCTAGGACGACAGCAAGGATGTAGTCTTAGACGTCATCCTCGACATCGCAGCCTACTTCCTCGGCTGTGGCGCATTTGTGCAGGCGGCCACGTTTGGCTGCGGAAGCCGTCGTAGATGTAGACGCTGTTGCCGATGTTGAGGTTGTAGATATAGATGCAATCGCCTCACAGTTCATCGCACGAAGCTCACGAGTACAGATGAAGTCCAAAGCGCACCTTTTGCACACGGCTCTCTGGCGGTGACATCACGCTGTCGAACTTGAGCGTGAGCATGGGTGTGAGCAACACGTCCTTGATGTCATATTTTTATGGCCATCTTTTTGGGCACAACGACGCCGCTTTTTAACGTAATGGGACAAGTAAGGCTTTCATGTTAATAACACATTTGGATTGCATCTTGCGTTTCTTGTGGTTAGGTGACGGAGGAGAATGCCAGTCTGACCGTGACCAAGGCCAAGCGAGACGACACTGGCCAGTACAAGTTGTTCCTCAAGAACAAGCATGGCTTCGACACTGTGTACTGCAAGGTCACCGTGCTGGGTCAGTATTGCCAAACTCCACTTCAACAACAGTTCACCATATATTAAGACTTCCTTTTTTACATTTTGTTTCTTTATTATCTTGCCGCAGTGTGTCACTTTAACTGTTGCTGTTTGCCGTTCCGAACTGTTTCAGTCTTCAAATAATCACCTTTCTATTGTTACCTTTCTTCATCCTAAAAGCATTTTTTAAAATCTTTTCTATTATGTGTTGCCAGGAAATATACTGACATGGCTGTTGTATTAGGAATGTAAACTTTGTGCTTTGTTTGAAATGCATGGGAAATATAAGCCACAATTTTGTCTATAGGTTTGGCTCAAATATTACCTAGTTACTTCACAAGAGTCGTAGTGTCAGCAGTAAATATAATAGTTAAGGTAGCACGAAATATTATCATTACCAATTTATTTATTCAGGTTATGCTACAGTGTCCAAAGCCTATTATTACAGGTAAAGGTCCATGTTCATTTGGTAGGAAATGAAAGTTCTGCACATATCCATATGCACAATAAATTTGACTGTCAGAGGAAGACAATTCATAATTTGGGAAAGGAAGCATTAACCTTGTTCAGTTAAGAAACATTAGAAAAAACATAATTTGAAAGCATTGAAACCATATTATACTGGGTATTGTTTTAGGATTTTTATTATTATTAATATTGTTATCATTAATGTTTTATTATAATCAACAATATTGGTGTTTCTTTAGTTAATGCTACCACAATTGATATTATTATAACTAACATTATGACAACTATAATTGAATTATCTCTATATCCCATATTTTGCTTCAAGCGTCGACTTCCTCTCAAGTAGTGCATTGTACTAAAGAACAGTAAATGGTGCAGTCAATAATCAGGCACTAAGTAGCATTAATGCCGATTCAGTAAATGGTGCAGTTAATGAATAGACACTAAGTAGCATTAATGCCTGTTCACACATACACCACAGCACTATTCGTCAATACTGGAAATCGGGCTGACCTGGTTCGTGCTGCGCTGGCTTTGCACTATATTAGTAATATAACGCTGTATCAGTGCTAAGTTTCGTTTAGGTCGGCGCTGCGCATCAGCGTTCTCCCCTGCGTTGATTTAGTGCCGCGACGTACAAGCTATCTGGCCTTCACTGCGTCGTTTCTGCAGACCGACCCGCGCCACCCGAAAACCTGCGCGGCGAGGAAGTGGACGGGGACTCCCTGACCCTGCGTTGGCTGCCGCCCAAGGACGACGGCGGTTCGGAGATCACCAACTACGTGGTGGAGAAGCAGGAGGTGGGCTCCAAGGCGTGGTCCCGCATCGGCACCTACGTCGTGGGCACCGCCTTCCGGGTGCGCGGCCTGGTCGTCGGCCGACACTACAACTTCCGGGTCATGGCGGAGAACCAGTACGGGACCAGCGACCCGGCAACCACGGCCGAACCCATCTTGGCCAAGCTTCCGTTCGGTGCGTCTTGGCTTCTTCCTCTCGTTTTTCTTTTGACGCAGGATGTGTTTAAGGGGGGACACTACCCAAAAAAGTAAATTTTTGAACCACTTGTCTGATTTAAATTATATTTACAGGGCTTGTTACTGTTGATGTTGAGAACATTTCTGCCAATTTTTGTTAACCTGGGTCAGGTACAAAAAAAATTGCAAACGTTCAAAGACGACAGTGGGCGTGTCTGTGTAGGAAAACTATCGTTTTGAAATTACTAATAAATTTGTGGTTTTCGTGTGTTACATTGCATTAGGACAGTTCAGAGCAGATAACTATGGAGCTATATTTCTATGTTATACCATCTTTCATGACAAAAAAGCCACATAAACACAAATACAGTTTTTTAGATTTTCATCCTTTGTCCAAACTTTTAGTTTTTGAGCATGAAAAATGACAAAAATAAAAAATACAAGCTCATAGTTATCTTCCCCTTAAAATTTCACCCCAGAAACACTCATAAAAATGAATCCTAGTTGTGTAATAACAAAACGATAGTTTTCCTAAAGTGAAATTTATGCCAAAAAGTGGAATGGAGAAAAATGTGTTCAAAGTGCTCCAACCTCTACCTTTTCTTTAGCATCGGTGGACCGAAAATAATTTATAACAAATTCACTATGCGGTGTAAACTAATGAAACTTTCTGGGAATACTCTCCAGATGTTGGTGGATGTAAATATGACATTTTTCAATATCAACTTTTTTTTGCAGAAATTGTTTTTTCTGGGTAGTGTCCCCCCTTAAGCACTCGAATCGCCGAGAAAAACACCGCAGGAACTCGAAAGGTGTAACGCATACTTTAGAGGAAAGTCTGTACAAAAGAATGCATGCTTGAGAAGAAACAGTAATCAAGTAGAAAGAACAAAATCTTAGACACAGCCCGGCAAGAATTCAACCCACAACCCCACGATTCTGATCCCGACACTCTACCAGTGTGCCTAAGGGGAGACTTGCGAGACGGAGAAAACCCGTCTAGGCCAAGGGCAGGAAGCGTTCAAACTCACTCAAACATCATACACCGGTGTTTGGCATTTGCGTTCAGACTGAGTAGATACAAAGGCGTCTACCCCCAATCATTTCAATCAAAGCTTCGTGCTCCGATCTCTTCGTGCAGTCTCGTCTCCTCCCCTTTCTCAGTTTTTATCTGAATAACTTGCTAACATTATTATTATAAAAAGTAACAACGAAGTCTGACAGAAGCCCCAATGAATGCCGCAGCGACCATTCTTTGTACATCTACTTTATTTTTAAATTCAAGATCATTTTATATATATATATATATATATATATTTTTAGGTAATTTTTTTTGTGTTTGAGACAGAGGTAGCTACTATTACTTTGATGTAGTTAAAATTGACGATACACGGTCGCTTCTTAAACTGCGACTCTCCAATCGAGTACAATTCAAATATTACAAAAAACATTCTCTTTGTATTTCAATACTTGCAGTTTGTGCACCCCTAGTAAATACTGGTAGTTACTTAGGCGGTAGCTTTATAGGGCCAATCAGCCTTAGGAGTTGCATTAGCACAAAATGGGTAGGTTCGTCAGTCCGTAACTGCGAAACGATCTTGAAAACAATGGCAACTGGAGCCGGGGATCAAACTCCGGTCACCAGCGTGGAAGCCAAGCGCACCGCTGACTGAGCTACGGACCCAGCACGCAGGAATGAGAGGAGCAGAAACAGGTGGTGTGAGAAAACGTATGAAATGGAGAAGGGTGGAAAGAGCAAGAAAGAGAGGAGCAGAAGCAGGGGGTTGGAACTCAGGACCGCTTGCTTACGAGGCAGACATCTTAACCACTATGCTACACTCCAACGTTGCATGTAGCCGCTCAACGTCTATACGAAAAGGGCGCTGCGGTCAAATGCGTATATAATCGCATTAAACTTTGCATGCATTGGCTCATCTTCTGTAGACGAGAGGGCGCTGCAGTCAAATGCTCAAATGCGTATATAACCACGATCCATACCACACATTCTCTTTCTGACATGGACCGTTGACTTAAGCGGTGGAGATGCGTTCCCACGGCTTCTAGTGGATCCAAGCTGATCCGCCAGAAGAACCAGTGGCTCTGCATTTCACCGACCATAAAGCAGTAATAATGAAGTCGAAACGCAACCTGGAACTCAGCACTACCTATGAACAATAAAATCAGTATCATCAGAACCACCAACGGAGCTTCGCCCCAATCAACATCATTCACCACGTGGAGATGTGGCCTCTTTCCTCTTTTTTGTTTAAGTGGTGACCATATTTTCTCGCTCTACGCTGCAACAGAGCATGACTCACATCTATTTTTTCCAGATCCTCCGAGCGCACCAGGCGTCCCGCACGCCGTGGACACGTCGCCAGACTCGATCACGTTGTCCTGGACCAAGCCGCGCAACGACGGCGGCTCCCCGATCACGGGGTACCTGATCGAGAAGCGCAAGGTCGGCGAGCCTAAGTGGACACGGGCCACTGCAGCACCCGTGCCGGACCTCACACACAAGGTTCCCGGACTGACGGAGAACCAGCAATACGAGTTCCGCGTCTGTGCCGTCAACGCAGCCGGGGAGTCACCCTGGAGTTCCGCTTCCGACGGCATCTACGCCCGGCCGCCACCCGGTACGTGGCCACCACCTTACGACGCCCTACTGACCGTTACGGCGAAAAAAATTTTTGGGGTGATGTGTGGGGAAGTTTACTTGAATGTGCGATTGATTCCTGGTGTCCGTGTAGGTTAGGGTCCTTGTACTATGTGGGGATGTAATTGGGAGATATATTTGTGGTCTTCTCTGAATTTCGCAGTACGTACATGTGTAAATTCAATTTTTCTTTTTTTCTTTTTTTTACCTGAAGTGGTGTTTGTAAGTTTAATTTTTGTCAGTGTTGTTTATGGTGCTGCCAGCCACCTGGTTTCAACCCCGCCCCTGCCCGTCTCGATCTTGAGCATTGTACCAGCATGCGGTCATGTATCACTACTATGTGATGCACATTAAAGACTCAAGGCTATCGGTCACACTGCACTGGCAAAAGTTTCCATCTACAGAAAGGCAGACCAACCTTACCGCATAAACACGAATGTAACTTTTTTTTTTCTTTTTAATTTTATTTTGTTTGATTTGTTTTCTGTCTGCGTTTTTTCTACCGCACTATCGTAAATCAAGAAATGGGCTTGTGAGAAACTCGATTGTTTGTGTTCAAGCATGGATTAGCATTCTGAAAGATTGTTTTTTTCATAGTCTTTATCTCCACTGGCTTTTTGTTATTTTCTGTTTACAAAAATAAGACAGGTTCCATTGCGTAATCTTTGGAGCATGTAACGATCATCAGATTTCTTAGAGCTGTGCTGTTTTCTTTCTTTTCCAGCTGCTCCCAAGATCGACAGCGGCTTTTCTATGCGCGACGTTGTTGTCATGGCTGGCGAAGAGTTCACCCTCCGGGTCCCATACAGTGGCAGCCCCGTACCAGAGGCATCCTGGACCATCGTGAGATTCTTTGCACACTTTTGTACCCTCCAGATATTGTACCATCTTTATAGAATGTATAGATATGACTCTTTACCTAAAGTATAAGGCAACAGTGCTTTGTGCTTACCTTACTATTAGAATGAGGAGTTTAACATCTGGTGTTGATTACTAACAGGGCGTCACTGTCGGGTACATGGATAGTCTCAATGGTTAACGATAGATTTAGCGAAGCAGCAGTTAGGGCAGGGTTGCGTGTGCTTGTTTTATGCCTAAAAACGATCTGGCTCTCTTTTTTTTTCGACAGAACGGCAACCCGGTTGTGCCGGACGACAGGATTCACACGGAGGTCAACGTGGCCTTTACCGTGTTCCTGAACAAGAAGGCGAAGAGGGACGACAGCGGGAAATACACGCTCACCCTGAAGAACCCTCAGGGTTCGGACACGGCGTCCTGCAAGGTTCTTGTCGTGGGTCAGTGTCCCGTTGTTCCTAAAGATTACTTTCGGAGATTGTGCGTTGGCCGAATTCGTTGCGATCGTGTCCTGGGGACTTTGAGTTTTTGATGCCCCCGACACAAGAAGTTATTGCATCGACTGCGCTGCTTGCCACCAACCAGTTACAGAGTTGAGAGTACTGACGGCAATAACCTTCTCAACTTGTGATGGGTCGATCCTGGACTTGTAACTGGTCAGTCACAAGCGACAAAGCCGACGCAGCTACTCCTCTCATTTGTCGCACTGGAACGTGGGAAGCACAGCTGGTGTAGCAGCCCGCTGAGGCAGTGCACTCTCAAATACCTTGTATGCATAGTATTAAATGTGCAAAAACATTGTTTTTAGATCAGAATGCTCGAACTTGCAAAGATAGTATGCCTGCTAAAGTGCCCGAGAGCAAAAAGGATTTGAACTTGTTGGAGAAAATTATTTTGCCGCCAGGGTCACGAATGGTGTTTTCACGTTTGCGCTGTGGTGGAACCACTGATCAAGAGGGTTTCAATTGTGGGCTTCATTGAGTTAAACTTTTAAAGTGAGCACAGAATTTCATTGGGGGTGTCTATAAGCTCCAAGGTGGAAGTTTGTGTAATTTGCAGGATGTGATGGGTAGATATTGTACTAGGTACCCAAAAGAGAACTCAGATTCATATTTCTGTTCTGTTGCATTTCAGACAAGCCTGGTCCGCCTCAAGGCCCCCTGGAAGCGAGCGACGTGACTCCAGAGACGTGCTCGCTTTCTTGGAGGCCTCCGCTGGATGACGGAGGAAGTCCGATCACGAATTACATCGTCGAGAAGCAAGATCCGACGACCAAGGTGATGCTCAGTGCCCGAATCTGCTACTTTGAGTTCCGAAACTTTTGCATTAGATTAAGAGCCATTTCACAGCTTCTGTTTTTCGACTGCTTCATTTCGGTATCGTTTTTGCCATGCAAATTGTTTCAGGTTCATTTGTTGAGAAAATTCATCTATGTCGCATGTGCCGTGCAACCTGCACATTGCTTGGTACCCCCTTTTTGTGCGTCTAAGAAGGTTTGCCTGTCTGTGACTATGACATCTGTAGCGTCCAACAAAATAAAGAAAAAAAAAAAAAAAAGAAGCTGCCTAATGCTTGTATATTAGTATCTTAAAATATGGATGCAGTTGTAATAGTGATGTATCAGTATCGGAGCCACAAAAAGTCCTTATTCAGGACAGTAACCTCAGCTCATCTTTTGTGTGTTTTTAAATTAGGATGAGTAACTACCAACTAGCCCAACTGCCCACCCTTCTGCTCAGCTGTAAAGTTTGGTGCTCGGTAATACTTGGTCCCAGTAAAACGTAGAAAGGCGATGATGCTATATTAGCGATAACAGTGTTATACAGTGTATATGTATGTTAGTTTTATGGGTCATCATTTCTTGTGGTTCTGGTTAGTTTTTGTATCATGAACGTGGGTTGCCCGCACGCGCACTTTTCAGATCTGGACCAAGATGAGTGGATTTGTCCGGGGCTGCCACTACGACGTGATCGGCCTCGAACCCAACAAGAAGTACAACTTCCGCGTGAGCGCCGAAAACCAGTATGGAATCAGCACTCCGCTGGAGACGGACCGTCCAATCACGGCCAAGTTCCCCTTCGGTGAGGAGCGAGCTTTGGTCGGCGGAAGGAAGGACACAAGGATGTTGTTGAAGCAAATTCTAGACGTGAAAACTCATCTCCTTGTGGTTTGTGGCTCGCCTGCCTCTCTAATTAGTCCAAAAATACGTGCTGAAAAATCCAGCTTGGATCAGCAGAATCTGGTACACTTTTGTAAAGTGGTATGTGGAGCTCTCGAGAAAATTCATATGTTGAGTAACAAATATTTTATTTCTACGTTTAATGAAATACAAATTGGTTTCATATCTTATGTTTTTAATTGTCTTGGAATATTGAATGCTAAGAATTGTGCAACAAAGAGAATGATATGGTGAGAATAACAAGCAAATTGTCATATACAAAATAACTTTTTGTCAGCCTTATGAGGCTTCTCGTAATTAAATTGTTTGGGGTCTCGCCCGAAAAAAAAAATGGAGAAGTTTTGTCGGAAAGTATTAGGGAAACAAGTCCATTGGAAACATGTACAAACCTATTTTTCTAACAATATCCTGGGCTCAACAATTCTTTACAGTCTTCTTGATCCCTTATCGAAATTTGCATCACTTACTGAAAACAAGGCAATAGGTTCCTCGAATTACCCAACCTGCATTCATACACTGGCCCAACGTCGGACCACACAAGTTATATCGGCGGTACAATTCTCGTGCCTGCAGACGTGCCAAGCCCACCCGGCCGTCCCGACATCGTGGACTACGACGTGACGAGCGTGAGCCTGAGGTGGGACCGGCCTTCGAGCGACGGCGGTTCCAAGATCCAGGGGTACCAGGTGGAGTACCGAGAACCAATCGACGGCAAGTGGCGCCCAGGCAACACCGGGCTCATCAAGGACACCTCGTTCACAGGTAAGAGCCGCCTCGCCATGTGGCACGGGCATCGGAATGCCTCGGGAAGTCGGCGAACATAAATCGGCCCTTTAGGTTTGTCCAAGTATTAAGGCCCGTTCGCACAGACTTGCATTTGCTTAGGATCGAGTTTTTGCCATCTTTCATCCTGGGACTGCATTTCACCCTGGTGAAGTGTTTGCAATATTTATGCGATCAAGTGTATGTGCTATCTATGAGAATGGTCGTTTGTAAAACTGTTACGTTTTTAGAGTGGAGAAAAGAAGAATGATACGCGAAAAAAGAAAATGTATGGAATCTCCGAGTGTTCTACAGCAACCTGATAGATGGCGCCACTGCATTCTTCCGTAATAAATTTTAAAAGGTATTGAGGCACATGGTCGTAAGCAGTCTCAACTGTGTGAACCAGCCTTAATGGTGTAGCGGTGTTCATCGGAAGGAGCATTGAAGTCTGCATGTGTTACGTGTTTTGAGTTTTAAAGGTAAAGGGTGTTACAGCAGTCGAGTGGTGTCTTCTGGGTATTTTGAGGACCGTAAAACACCCGTAACCCTTGTCGACGTCGCTTAGTTCATTTTTATGTCATGCTCACTTTCTAAAGTAAATGTTACGAACTTGTATGTAGGTCATGCAGTAATGTTTTTGGTCAGTCGCAGAAAAGCAGTACAGTCAAACCCGTTTATAACAAACAGCAGGAAACGCTACGATCAGTTCGATATAGCTAGTAATTCGATATAGCAGAACACATTTACAACGAACTTCCAAGATGCGTTCGTTGTAAGGCGAGAGCTTCTCTTTCTTTGTCACCTCTTCGCTTCCGCCTTGTAACAACGCGCTGTAAAGGTGTTTTTTTTTTTCGCGGGCGTGGAGGCTTTTTTAAATTTTTTTAGCTTATTTCTCTTCAATCGCTTCGCTTCGTGGGAAACCGTTTTGGGATGAAAAGCTTTTTTTTCTGTGCGTGCGTAGAAAGTGTATTTTTTAGCTTTCTCCCCTTCTGAATTGCTTCTCTTCGCTCAATTATGTTCGCAACTTGAGCTTTTGAAATTTTCTTTCTTTATTTTTTTGGGGGGGGGGGGGGGGGGGGCGGGGGGCAGGGCAGGGGCAGGGGCAGGGGCAGGGGCAGGCTAGAAGACGATTGTTTGCGCGTTTTCGGACCGGGGGAAAAAGTTCGATATAGCCAATATATTGTTCGTTATAAAAATAACTTTTTACATGCATTTATATTTATATTTACTGAGAGTTCGATATCGACAATAATTCGCTGTAGGTGGGTTCGTTCTAAACAGGTTTCACTGTACCTACACCGCACCTAGACGTGCATTAGATCTAGCACTCGTTGTGTATAAGCGTACGAAGCTTAGCAATCTGTAAAGAATGTGGGTTGATGAGCATTTAGTTCGTCGTACACTCTACGACACTGTTAGTGCAAACACGGCATCGACTCTTTTTCGTATTTTGTGGCGGCATTTCAGTTTGAGGCAAAGAACGGAAAAAACTAGCGATTGCTCGTTCACGCTAACAGTGTTGTCCCGTGTACAGTATGTGGGATGACGCAGTGCCTCATTGCACGTATCTTCTCGGATATCTTTGTCTCGCAGTGAAGGGACTGTTCGAAGGCAAGGACTACGAGTTCAGGGTCAAGGCCAAGAACGCAGCCGGCTACAGCAACCCGAGCGAGCCGACGGCCACGCTGAGACTCAAGCCCAAATTCAGTAAGCTCCGCTAATCCTTCCGCTGCCTCATCTTCTCGTGTTCCCCACCTGACCGCCTTCCTTTTTCCAGCCGTCCCATCGCCGCCGCAGAATGTTCAGGTCGTGAAGGTGGGCAAGAGCTACTGCGACCTCAAGTGGGAGAAGCCACGATCGGACGGTGGCAGCAAGATCACAGGCAAGTGCTAACGCAGCCCGAGAGAGCCCGTAACAATCTGCCGTGAACACCAAGCTGTCGCAAACGTGCAACGCCTAAACAGATGCCATTTATTTTTTATTTATTTTAGAGCGCAGCTCTTAGGGGCCCGTTTCCGGCTTGAGCGGCGTCGCCGTCGGCGTCGCCGTCGGCGTCGGCGTAACCGCGCGGTGCATCATAGGAAATGTCCCATAATGCACCGCGCGAGCCCCCCACCAAGGTCACGTGACCTCGTGGGGGGTCACGTGACCCCCCGAAGTCACGTGACTCCCCTGAGGTCACGTGGCCCCCTCCTCGAGGTCACGTGACCCCCGCCGATGTCGCGTGACCCCCCGATGACGTCATCGTCACTGATGACGTCACCGGCATCCACATCGTCATCGTCATCATCACTGATGACGTCACCGGCATCCACATCGTCATCGTCATCATCACTGATGACGTCACCGGCATCCACATCGTCATCGTCATCACTGATGACGTCACCGGCATCCGCATCGTCATCGTCATCATCACTGATGACGTCACCGGCATCCGCATCGTCATCGTCATCATCACTGATGACGTCACCGGCATCCACATCGTCATCGTCATCATCACTGATGACGTCACTGGCATCCGCATCGTCATCGTCATCATCACTGATGACGTCACCGGCATCCACATCGTCATCGTCATCATCACTGATGACGTCACCGACATCCGCATTGTCATCGTCATCATCACTGATGACGTCATCAGTGACGTCACTGATGTCGTCACCGGCATCCGCATCGTCATCGTCATCATCACTGATGACGTCATCAGCGACGTCACTGATGACGTCACCGACATTCGCATCGTCATCGTCATCATCACTGGTGAAGTCATCAGTGACGTCACTAATGACGTCATCGGTACCCGCATCGTCATCGTCACTGATGACGTCATCAGTGACGTCAGTGATGACATCATCGGCATTGGGGGTCACGTGACCCCCAAGGTAACGTGACCCCCCCCTGGTTAGTTTAACCCCCCCCCCCCCCCCCCCCCAGTGCCCTTCCCTCCTCCTCCTCAAGAGCTGCGCTCTAATTCGGCGTTACAGGGAGTTGTAAGCGGCTTTCATTTTTTTAGCGTCGTGCTTAGTGTGTGACTCGTTTTATTTGGTACAGCTCTTGAAAAGCAAGATAGGCATAGCTTGCGTTTGCTTCCGAGTGCTTTAACAGCTATAAACCGGAAATTTACAAACCACACGACCAGTCTTTGGTCAGAATATGGAAGTTACGGCGATCTCTTCGAAACTGCTACTTTAAAAAAAGCACGACCGGCGATTTAAAAAAAAAAGGTAGCGACTTTTCGTGCCCAGATGATTCACTCATTTTAAAAGTTATTCAATATTTAATATTATGGCGTGCTTGCGTCGGTGTTGGCAGATGATGGAAAAAATTTCTACTGTTTTTATACTTCTTACTATCCCGTACCCACCGAACCAAAGCCTTAGTTTTGACATCCAAAACTCTCATTTATTTTCAAACCCCTATATTCTATGATCCAACCACACTATAGACGACGCTACGAAATTTCATGTCGGTGTCCCCGGGCGTCTAACTTGACCGTGTTTTACGTTCTTTGGTGCAGGGTACATTGTGGAGCGTCGTGACGTGAGCAGTCCATTCTGGCTGGTGTCGAACGACTACACCATTTTGGATTGCGACTACACCGACATGAAGCTCAAGGAGAACAACGAGTATGAGTTCCGTGTCTACGCTGTCAACGCAGCAGGCAAGAGCGAGCCTTCCCTCTGCACCACGCCGGTCAAGGCCACTGAGTACACTGGTGAGTCCCCTCCCAAGATCTACTGAAATACCTGACCCGAGTATTCCATGCAGCTTTACACTTGGTCAATACTGGCTCGAGATTGGCCAGTTAACTAGTTTTACAACATCTTAAGACACGCTACCGCGTTTCTCACTCGGAGAATGTTCAACAGCAGAAGGGCAGCAAAAACCGAGCTTTCTGTGAAAGCTCGGTTTATCAGAAACATGAAATAGGCTCTCGTTAATTCATGCTACAGGAAGCCACGCATTTTGTTTGAATTATCGGAAGTTTGAATTATCAAAAATTCATCTAAGTATGATGCAAGATGAAATTCTGATCTGTTATATGGATGATAAAAGATACAAAGCAGATATTTGATGATCTCCTCTACACAGGCCTACTAGTCATAGGCAGGTGAGCGACGCACGAAACAGTGGTGAAATGTATGAAATAATTTTATTTTTCCCTTAAAAATGTTGCCTCTTGTGGACTGTTTGGACAGTACACGACACCTCAAAACCAAATTAAGTTTGTTCACCCAGCAAAAATGTTGCCTGCTGTGGACGCTTAGCTTCATAGAGTGCGCTTCTTACCTAGTACCCGTGCACTGCAAAGAAGCAACACCCGTGGAAGCAAGCTCCATGGGCGTTGCTTCTCTGCTGCGCACCGGTGCTCGGTCAGATGCTCGCTCAAAGGGGCCGCTTGGACAAGAAGTATTAATTACACGAAAATGACATTCGAATTAAGTAGCTTATAATTATATTGTAAACAGCGGGCCAACCATATTGTTTTGCTTTGCTCAAATTAACCAGAAGTTTGAAATATCCGAGTTTGAATTATTGCGAGCCTACTGCAACCAGTGTTGTCCGAAGCATGTACCTACAGCCTACAGACAACTAGAGCAAGCACATACATATTGTCAACAAGGTTGTGTACCCAGTTGAATGTGTAACTGACTGTAGAAATCAGTTGTATCAGCATTGGTCTAATGTTGTTTCTATATATTTGCTTAATTATGAACCTATAGTGGTGACAGGTTTCCGCCTTTGATAAAATTTCATCAGAAATGCATCAAAATCCCAAATAAAGGCAGCGACCGCACGCTTGCGGCAGAACTTCTATTAGATTCTTAACCTGTCATTCACTGTAGAGCTAATGAATATTGGCAACAGACTAGAGTCATTGATGCGGCATTAGACCATTCACACCACCCAGGTGCCATTGTTGGCTCGGTCTTGTCTGCTGCCTCTGAACTTTCTTTGTGTGAACCTAATTTCTGGCATTTGTTTCTCTTTTATTGGCCCACCTTGCAGACGGAGTCAAGCCTGAGTTTGTACGTCGCTTGTTCAACAAGAATGTGAGCATGAAGAAGCAGGTGATCCTGGAGTGTGAAGCCATCGGAAAGCCAGTACCCACATCCAGATGGTGAGCATTGTGGCCATGTGTTTTTGGCTTTAAAGCGGAGCAGATCTCTATACGACTCGATAATACTCTAGAAACAGTGTAGTTGACCGTGTTGCCTAGCTTTTGCCTATTTCTGTTCAACTTGCTTCGAAATTCGCCCCGACAACCTGTTCGTCCCATCTGTACTGTCCACTGAAGATATGCAAACAGTTCCATTACTGCAGTTTAAGGGTCCTCATTGAAATTCACCCCCCTCCCTCTCTTACCTTATATGATTGTAGAGCACTATATTATGGCACAAGCAAACTATCGCCGGTTTCTTACAATTTGCTCGTAGAAGTGAAACACATTAATCAAAAGTACTAACGTTGTGTAAACACCACAGTCATGAAACCAACCTAAGCGGTAAACTTTGGCGCTCCTGAATAAGCAAAACACAAAAAAGCACCGGTGCCGTGTTCATGCTAACTGCGTCACACAGTGTAATGCAGTCATTGGTATACAAACGGGGAAGAATTTTGTCTTATGTAAATGTCATGTTCTTGAAAGAATGTGGTACTTTTAGACACTCCCATTGTCTTCTAAATGGTACACACTCTGCATTTCAATTGTGCTTTCTTCCCCTTCGTCGGAAAACTGGCCGAGGTGATTAATATTATGTCAACTTCTAGACTGAATGCTACTGAAGAGAATGCATTTTTAATATTGCCCGTGTTTGCTCATGCTTCTCAGGAACAACGATCATGTCGTAAGTTGGCTTAAAACTGACCTTTCTTTAATTTCCACTGACTAGTCTAATGTGCTGCATATTGACAAATGCCAGGCTGAAGAATGGCAGAGACATCCGCCTTGGAACGAGGGTCAGGGCTGTAGAGAAACCGGAAGAAGGCGTCTACCAGCTCATCTTCAGCGAAATCGAGGATGGCGACGAGGGAGAGTACACGTGCGAAGTCAGCAACCCGCTGGGTTCGGTCAGGTGTTCAGCGGACATCCGCATCGCTGGTGAGTCCAAAAGCCTTTCACCACATAATCCTACATTCTTCTTTTTTTTTTTTCTTTCTTTTTATGAATAGCAATTGAATTTGAGCTTTTTGGCATTCAGCTGAACATCTACGGTTGCTTTTAGGGGGCTTGATAGATGTATCCGAATTATGTTAACATTCATTTTGGTACAATGTTATTATACCAAATCAATGTTTTTTAAAGATTTTAATTTTGTTTTTTTAAATGTATAGTGCAAAAAAGAGAAAAAACAGCTCTTGCGTTATGTGCCACAAGAAAACTTTAAAATATTTCATGCTGCATTTTTTTTTTGCTCCATTCTTGCATTGTTTTACGAAAGTGATAACTTTTTAGACAGCTTTATCACAGCATTGTATCGCAGAGGGACAGGGTCATAATTGTAAGCTTCCATAGATAAATATGACATACGGTATATGTATAAAAGTATCAAAATTAGCTTCATTACATGGCTGTTTTCTCATGCACTTACAACCAAATGACTGACTGCATATGAGAATGTACCCCTGCCATTAATTCTCTTTGATTATGTAGTTTGGCCGTATCAAATAAATCACCCAGCATTATTTATGTACATTAAGCTACTGTAAACGACCTGATTTTTGCAAATTTTGTTACTCGAAAATTATTGCAGAAAATTGATAATGCAAAATGCAAATTTATTACCGCACGGTAATGAATGCAGAGCAGTGTAGGTTTTGGGAATATTTTGCGGGCACAAAATTTTGCAATGGTGGATGGAACATCCACCATTGCAAAATTTTGTGCCGGCAAAATATTCCCAAAACCTACACCTTGCAGAATTTGCGGAATATTGAGCCTAATATAATAAAGTAGTTTTTAGCATTCAGAAACCTTAACATCAATAAAAATTGGTAAGAATTCCCTTGTGGTTGGATAAAGTTACCATAAACGGAAAATGTTTGCGATCGGCGATGCCACTCTCTCTCTCTAGCGCCACCTGTGATCGTCCGCTGCCCCAACGAAGTGTACATTCCGGAGAAGGACAATGGGAAGGTGAAGGTCTACTTCACGGGCTCCACCCCGATGGAGGTGTCCCTGTTCAAGGGAGGCCTGGAGGTGCCCGAGAGCGAGCGCATGAAGTACACGGTCTTCGACGACTACGTCATTGTGTACTTCCGCGAGGCGGACAAGTCCGACGAGGGCAAGTACCAGATCAGCCTGAAGAACGACAGCGGCTCGGCCGACGCCCAGTTTACGCTCTACGTCACCGGTGAGTCTCCGTCGCATTTCTGTCCTCGAAAGCCGCAGTTACACCGCTAATACTGCGTCACTGAAAAGACGGTCTGCAGACAGTTTTAGACATGTTTCTTCCCCATATGACGGCCCTTGTTCGGATTGATAATATGTCTACCCAAAAAAACTTGAGTAGCTTCAGACTATGTTCCAGCAGCACATGTAGAACTTGTTTTATGGTTAGATAGAGTTGTCACATTTATTGTCTGGCGAGTAAAAGTTGCCTCTATGTTATGTCCAAAATAAACCTGAAATATGGGTGAGTCACATTTAGCACTTGATAGAACAAACTAAGCAGTAGAGTAAAATGTATAATGGGTCTGTCGTATTGCAGTTTGTGTATGTGGAAGTCACTGTGGCTATGACTTCAAGCTTTGGAGAAGCCTAGGGGATTGAGGAGGTTCGATTAATTAATTGGTGTCGACGACAGAACGACGGAAAGGTTAGCCTAGGTATTTGTACTAGCTGACTACTCTGCACTGGGGTTAGGGGAGAGGGAAAAGAAATATATAATGATGTCTGCACGTGTGAGTTCTAGCATCATCTTCACGTGTTTCATCATCACCACGAGCGTTTCACCGCGAGGGTGTCTGAACGTAACGTGGTGGGGTGTTTGTGCCAAGGCCTCCCCGGACCGCCCATCGGACCGTTGGAGGTGTCGGAGATCACCCAGCACACGTGCAAGCTCCACTGGCATCCGCCCAAGTACGACGGAGGGTGCAAGATCACCCACTACGTCGTGGAGCGCCGGGAGACCACCCACAACCAGTGGGTCGTGGCGTGCACCTACTGCCGGGTGAGCACACTTTCTCCGCAACTACTGTGCCTCCCTGGCAACTTCTGGGGACAGACCTAGGGTTGCGTCTTAAATCTTAGTCTAATTGATCCGAGTCGCTCTGGCGGATTGTGTCGCCTGACAAGACAGATAGGGCAACGCTGAACGTGGGTAAGTTCTGAGGTACAGAACCTTTACCCTGGAGTGTGATTGAGTAAATTTTGGAACGTGGCCCTAGAGTCACTGTGAGCGTACGAAACGCAGGATGGAGCGTGTTTCGGGCATGTTTTCATCCCTCCGCAGCCAATGAAATTGCAGCATTCACCGATAGGAAGGCCCAAGCACAAAGTGTGAACGTAATAGGCAAGCTCTCTATGACTATAGCATAGAGCAGGGGTGGCCAAGCTACGGCTCACGAGCCGCATGTGGCTCTTTGCGGATTAAAGTACAGCTCGCAGCTCCCTAGTAGACCTAACCCTCCTCCCTTCCAGTCATACGAGCACTTCCCCAAAAAGAGAAATGGAACATGTTTTAAATTGGAAGAAAGGTTGGTAGTCTTTTGCTACTGCTATCTTACATACAATTAGACTGTTTTTGACTTGGATAGGTCTGGATTAGTTCAAGTTTCATTTATTTGTCCGGATAAAAGTTGCCTTCCCCTCCCCCCGCTTTCTGCCTTTCCTCTTCCACGCTGCTCTTGGAAATTACATGGTTTTGTTTGCAGCTCTTAGGCCGGGTCAGCCCGGCCACCCCTGGCATAGAGCGTCTTGCCTAAAGTTATGTTGCGGTATAGTCTGTTCTAGGTTACCACCATATATGTTCTTTAACATCTGCTATTTGATTTATTTGTTTTAAAGGGTAGCGTATGGAAACACTGACAGATGATGTGCATCCCCCTTTCCCACTTCGGAGGAGTGCTTCTCCTTTGCGTGGGTGCACCGCAGAAAAGCACCAAATGAAGGGTGTTTTCTGCTCTGTGTACTAGTTTCACTGTAGCAAAGTACTAGGACAAGGAACCCATGGGCACAGATTCTTCTTGTTTTGTATTCATTCGACTAAAGAAAGACATAAAAAATATGGCTAGACTCAAATGGTCTACTTTAAAACTGTTTTGTTATATTAAGGTTAAAGGTTGTATTGTACATTTATGCAGCAGCTATTACAGGTCCAGAGATGGTTTTTGCTTGCTTTGGTGCTTGGGAGCCCAGGGTCACCCAGAGTTTTGGGAACAACCTCATGTAAAACCTTGCCTCATGTGTTTGTGAACACGGGTCCTTCCTTTGGCGTCTTCCAGGACACGACAGTCACGGTGCAAGGCTTGACCGAAAACGGAGAATACCTGTTCCGCGTGATGGCAGTCAACGAGAATGGGCAGAGCGCACCACTCGAAGGCACCAACCCTATCATCGCCAAGCTGCCATTCGGTGAGTCAGACTGCTCACACTTCAAACTGTCGTCGTTGCTAGTTGGAAGTTTCTGTCTTGCCTTTCAAAGTTGTAGCTTTATAGGACTAACCATGCTCAAGGCTATGTCCTCGAGGTCATGTCCTCAAGGTCATGAAACGCCCGTGGCTGAAGCTTTAAGTCATGAATCAAGGTCGCATAAGCCCTGGTTGCGTAAGCCCCATTCGCGTAACCGCTGGTCGCGTAAGCTCGTAAGCACCAGTGGCTGAAGCTGACGTGACCTCATGTCCTTGATATTGTCCTCAACGTCATCGTAAAAGTTGTCCTTGAGATTGTACCTGAGGTCATCCTAGAGGTCATGCTTGAGGTCGTCCTAGACATCGTTGTTGACATCGTCCTCTAGGATGTCATCCTCTATGTTGTCCTTGATGTCGTCCTAGACGGCGCTCTTGAAATCGTCCTAGAGGTCGTCCTTGACATTGTCCTGGACGCCGTCCCTGACATTCTTGAAGTCGTCCTTGACGCCGTCTTCAACGTTATTCTAGAGGTCATCCTCGACGTTGTCCTATACGCCGTCCTTGACGTCGTCCTCAACATCATCTTGGATGCCATCCTTGACATTGTCTTCAACGTGTGCACGGCATATTACAACATTTCATCACTGTACCATGTCCTTTCCTAATTGTTGTCACTAACGACACTCCTGTAAAGCTGCCACATTTTATTGCGTTTGGTCGAATGAATGTGCGTGTAATTATATGGCTGGCACCGTTATATGGCTGGCACCTAACCATGTCTGGTTAGGTGCCTACGGCGAAAGTCGACGGGCCGACTGCTAGCTGAACGCTGACGCAGCACTCGTCTGCTCGCTGATTGGACACCAGTGCCAGCCAAACCTCCTTGTTCACGTGTTCAGATATGCAGCGGCGCTAGAGCGTGAATGAGCGGCAGAAAAGAAGAGAAAAGAAAGCAGATACAGTCGAACCTCGATATAACGAACTTCAATGTAACAAAATCCTCGATTTAACGAAGTATTTTATTTTTCACAATTTCTTGCCCATAGACCCCATGGATTTTTAGTCTCAATATAACGAAGTCTATTTTTCTGCTATTTCAATATAACGAAGCGCCATTGTCATAGAAGGCAATAAATAAATCAACTCTAAAAAACAACTTCGCAAAAAAATTGTGGTTAAAAAAAAAATTATGCGCAAACGCGAGCGCTTGATAGGGTACTTCACGGGGACAGGCCTTCCAACGTTCCTAGGCTGCCCGAGGATGCGGCGCCGGTAGCGCCGGCGAGGCATGCGGCAAAGCGGATTCCGCGGGAGTGGCCAGAAAATGCCAAGCAAAAAGTTAACACGGCATAACAGCATCACCACTGACATTCACTGATCATCATAGTCCACTGTACCGCGGGAGCCAACTTCAGCGGGGGAGCGACGTGATGGCGCGACCGCGCGACCGCACGGGCAGTGCCATCTAGGAGAAGACCGAGAAGACCGATTATCGTCTTGCGAGCGTGATGTAAAGCAAAGGCGCAAGCACACTGTGGGCGCAAGGGGGCAAGCTGGGGCAAGTAAACTGTGCGGTCAAGAGTGCTGTGTAGGTTGGAAACATTGGCACCGCCTAAACTAAACAGCTTTATTTTTTAACCGGGCGGTTCACTCACGTGCTCGCTGCCATAAGGAAACGTAAAGTTCTTTCTTTGGATGAGAAAGCAAACGTTTTGGACGCCATCCTGAAGAAACTGCCGAGATCACGAGCACTCGGGAAGTGCTCGACGCAATGGACGTACTGAGGAGGTACACGGCGTCGCATGGGCAGCAAGATGCCGTGCAAGCGCTCTGGGCGAACGCCGTATGACGCCGCTGCTACTGTCGTACGAGGCGCAAGCAAAACTCGCGGACTACTTTGCCCCTAAATAAATGTCATTTTCGGTGAGTTTTCATACCCGTAAAACGTTTCGGAATTTTTTTTTCGCATGCTAAAGCCAAATTTCGATTTAGCGAAATTTCAATGTAACGAAGTAAATTGCGAATTTTACCGACTTCGTTGCATCGAGGTTTAACTGTACTCGCATTGCCACAAGTGTTTGGTCTTCTTTTGCCGCGAGCTGGTGCTGGGGCTCTGCTCGGTGCTGTTGCGATCCAATTGCTGTTTCCCGCACGCTCAGTCTACTGCATCTCACACTCCAGCAGGCTTCGAGAAAGTCACATTCATATTCCAACCGCATGAGATCCCACAAGCAAGACATCCATGAAGCACTCACTTTGTACGACACAGGGCCGCTCCACGCCGTTCGCTCTACAGATGTCTACACAGCTCCTCCACGCTAACACATCACATTCTGCGTTATCACTGGCTTTGCCACGCTAGTGCGGCAAAGGGGCGACTTTTTTTATTATCTTCCTGGATCCATAGTAATGAAGTTGTTTGTTTGGACGTTACCTGACTTCAAAGTTTTCTCAAAGAGAATACATTGGAAGCAGGCAGCTGATATACCCTCTTCGTTTTCATTCTTCAACTATACTCGGCATCAACTTTCTCATACTTTCTCAAGGCTAGCATGGTTTTCGCAGCACTGTCATGGCATTTTGCACAAGCACATGAAAATGCGGTGCAAGATGCAAAAGACCTGCTTGCGGAGCAGTGCAGGGCTACTTCACCGTGGAAGCTAAGCTAGCCTTCGCCACTTCGTCGCCACTAACTCGACACGTCTCCAATCCGCTCTAGATCCGCCCTCTGCACCCGGCATCCCCGTGGTGACGGAAGTGGGCGGCGACTTTGTGAACCTGTCGTGGGAGAAGCCCTCGTCGGACGGCGGGGCCCGCATCCTGGGCTACTGGGTGGACAAGCGGGAGGTGGGCACCCAGGCCTGGCAGCGGGTGAACCCCGCGCACCTCTGCCTGCCGGCCCAAATCAACATCTCCAACCTCATCGAGGACCGCCAGTATGAGTTCCGCGTCTTCGCGGTCAACGAAGCCGGGCAGGGTCCGCCTTCCTCCAACTCCTCCCAGGTCAAGATCAAGGACCCCAACGGTGAGACGGCGGTGCAACTCGGTTTCGCTTCTTTCTGCGCGAGCGACGGAGTGAGAATCTCGAGTGCATAGCAGAACTCTTTTTTTGTTTGAGTTAACTTAACTTTACCTTAGAAAGCTCACTTACTGCAGTAAAGTTAAGTTTATTGATCTGCATTAGGCCGTGCGTGTCTAAATAATGCTGTTCGTTGACCACGGGCCAATTAACAGGAGTTCAGTTTTCAGCAGAAATTTGATTGTTGTTGACTGGGGTGCATTACCATTCGTTTTTAACTTTTTATCCGTTCTAAAATTTGTTTTGACATGCAGCGGCGACACCTCCGGAGTTCATCACGCCCCTCAAGCCGGCGATGGGCATTGAGAACAAGAGTGCCCAGTTCTCCTGCAAGGTGGTTGGCAACCCCTCGCCAGAAATCAGTTGGTGAGTCGTTTGTGCGGACAGTTGCTGTGCTAGCAGCAACTCTCGCTGAAAGTAGAGCTGCAGTTGAGGCAACAGTTGCAGTAACTGTTGCCCCAAAATACATTTGGGAGTAAAGTCCAAAAAATATGGCTCCAACCAAATCTTGAAAGGAAACCCGCCGTTTCGAAATCAGCTCGGTTTGTTCTTCAAGGGTAACTGAAAGCATGCGGAGCAGCAGAAGCAGCTCCTAACCTCTTCATCTTCAAAATAAAAAATTCAAAATGCAAAATTTAAAAAAATTAATTTTTTTTTTTAAATATTAGGTTTTTTTTGAAGATTTTATTGGAGCTATATTTTTGGACTTCAATTTTCACCCAACCAAGCAGCTTTCCGACAAATATGTATTAAACCTCTAGGAGTTCATGGAACGTCCAATTTGTCACAGTTGCCCCACTTTTAAGTAAACGGTTTCTTCTGTTTATGCAACAATTCAAGCTTAACTGACATATGCATAGATGCACGACTTTAATTCAAACACTCTCTTTCGTCTGGTTTCTTTAGTCCTTAACATATAGTTTTTAGGATTCCCCTCTATCAAAACGTGCTCAATCTCGTCTTACGAATTGTGCGAATAGATGCCCAGAACACGGATTAAAAGTTACTTCAACCTGCAAGCAGTACAAGATTAGAACCCAAAACACAGCTACTGTTATCGTTACCGATATTTTCACGCATTGCAGTTTTACCCAATTCATTGTCGATTAGCGCCAGAATTCGCGACTCCAGCAAAACGGACGCCGCCAAGCGGGAAAACCGGGAACCAGCCGGTCCAGGTCGCGCCGCGCCCCTCGGCGTCTCTGGTGGCTTTCGCGGAGACGTTTGTTCGGCGCGGTGGCGAACAATGTAATTTGACGAAGGTCCTAATATTTCTTAAGTTTGCCTGGGTGATCATTAGTGTGGTGAAACCTCAGTAGATTGTTTTCTTCTATTACGTGTTTTAAAGCCCGTTTACTCCGCAGCACACGGTCGCGTGCTTTCGATTTCTTGGATGGGGAGGAATCACGGAAAAACTTTTTGATTCTTGTCTGTCTCGAATCACATTCAAAGTGACGGCTGCTTGGTAACTGATACTGGAGGGAACATCAATGTTGCAGTCAAGTGAATGGGAAGGTTCGATAGCTGCTTTTCTTGAGTTTGGTTGTGCTCGGTTAGCTTCAAGTTCGAGCCACCCACGCCGGTCGGTGCGTTGGCTATTCATTTTGGCTGCTTTTCGCCGAAAAAACCTCTGGACCACACTGAAGGAGTTGGGCTGATTTCGCAATTGCTTGATTCAGGAAAACTTGCTCGCTGCAAATGATGAATGAGGGAAATTATCTGTTTTCAAAAGGTGGGAGACAAGTCTCGCAACGTTAGATGCTGTCACGGCATTTTGACCTATCGCGCCTCCAATATTTATATTACGAGGACGTCGAAGCCAGCAGCACTATACGTCTACATTGGTCAGGTTGACCGGCCACAAAAAAATACTAATTTTCTCCGTTCAGGATTCGAAGCATAGTTCAATGCAGAGAGGTTCTGCGTGGATCTTCAGTGAAGACTCTCTTCAGTTTGTCTCCGTGCTGCCGGCTATAGAACGATTTGGCTAAGTTTAAGTGGTATGTCTCCGTCTGTCAAATATACTTTTATTCAGCATCTCACCTAATGGCTAGTCAACTAAGCTCATGTTTCAACCCGAAGGATATACTAATATCGCTTTAGTGGGACATAGTACATAATATAATGCATAACCCGCTCGTCAAAATGACTTCTCGGTTGCTACTAAAACCTGAATTGAAATACGAGTATCAGCTGCTTAGTGGGGCGCCGGCGGTTTAACATGGTCCTTGGCTCAAAAAGCGCTCGCTTAATTTTCGTAATTTTCCTGCAGCCTGTGTTGTTGGCCGAGCAGACGACTGGAGCTGTTTCGGAAACGCGGATACGCACAAAAGCTCGATTTCGCGGACAGATAAGTCGCATGGTCGAGGCATGCGAGTTAGCTGAAAAGTTACTCTTTGTGGAACAATTCTGTAGTCATCGCCGCTTTCCTTAGATGATCAAAACGGATTAGCATATTACCATCTCTCCGGAGCCCATAGTTTCGGTTTTGAACGAAATCTCCGAAACGAAAGTTTGAAACGAAAAGAACAAAAAAACACCGGCAAAACAAAACTATTCTTTGCAAGTTTATCTGCACCGGCTACACTTAACCGTCTCAGTTCAAATACCTATATAATTGGGCATTAAACAAAAGAAAATCTGTTAAATTGAACGCGCCACCTGTTCAGGCGGCCCGGCCGAGCCGCCGCGACCTGGACTCAGCCGCCATGTTTGTTTGGTGGTGGCGCCCCCTATAGGTCGCTGGAGTCGCGAATAGGGGGGCAAAACTTGGAAACTGAACTCTGACAAATCCTCAGCATAGTTCCTTCAAAGAACACCCCAACTTCTTTCGTTCTCGTTTGTTGTTTTGTCTTACTCGTGGGGCATCCTGTCAGCGTCACCTGAGGCTTCCTCTCGTCTGCTTAGGTACAAGGGGATGCGCGAGCTGCACGAAAGCCTCAAGTACAGCATCACGCGCGAGGGCGACGTGTGTACGCTCATCATCTCCGACATCTTCGGCGAGGACGCCGACGAGTACGCCTGCCGCGCCGTCAACAAGGGTGGTGCACGGACGTCCAGAGCCGAGCTCCTTATTAAGAGTGAGTCGGGCGCTTCCTTGCTCACGACCCTGAGCAAGCGAGCGACTTGTGCTCTCTCCTTGCTTTACTTTTGCCACACCTGTCACCCATGTCGCTTTTTAGTATGTCTCGTGAACTAGTCTAGTTGTGGTATTAGAACGAGCGCTGCCGACTATGCACCATGTTAGGGGGAACGTCTTCGTAAGGAACCACCGTCATGTCTCGTTTATTCGACACCGTGTAACTGACGTGCTTAAAAGTCATTTAGTTAAACTTGACTGATTAAACTTTTAACATAGAACATGTTATAGTAAAGACTATGCTGGAAAGGCTGACACGAAAAAGCTACGTGGAAGGGATGTTAACAGCATCGCGTGGCCATATCGCACGACCGGTCATGTTATATCACGTTTCGTTGCATGACGTCATCGGACGTGGCCTGTGGTGTCACATGCTGCATTATGGGACCAGGTCACACGATAAGCTTTAGTGTACAGTTTAAACATGGTGGTACCGACGTTAACAATAACATATAAGTATGAGCATTGTGCGAAGGACGACCAAAACGGACTGCAAGTTCTTTGTTGTCCAAGTGGCCCGAGCAGGCGATAGAAGTCTAGTCTCTCGCTTTCATTGTAAAGTTGCTGTACCCCCGTTCTTTGTGATATCCTTCTTGCAGCTGCGCCGCACATCAATGTGCCTCCGCGCTTCCGCGAACTGGCCTGCTTTGAGAAGGGCGAGAATGTGGTCCTCAAGATCCCGTTTACGGGCTTCCCGAAGCCGCGCATCAAGTGGTTCAAGGAAGGCGAGGAGATCGAAAGCGGCAGCCACTTCGACATCCAGACGGGCGAACGCCACGCTGTGCTCACCATTCGCGACGTCAACAAGACGGACAGCGGGCCGTACCGCCTGGTCGCTGAGAACGAGCTTGGCACGGACTCCGCCATCATCAAGGTCCAGATTAGCGGTAAGTACCGACCCGCTCAAAGACTTGCCAAATGCAATACCCGCAGCATGACATTTCCTGAATCCAATATTAACAGCATAATATTTTCGGAATCCAATTTTAACAGCATAGGTAATATGTTCTGAATACAATATCAAAAGCATGATATTTTCTGAAAAAAAATATCAACAGCACTACATTTCCTGAATACAATATTGACAGTATAATATTTTCTGAATCCAATAAGCACAATATTTTCTGAATCCAATATCTTCAGCACTACATTTCCTGAATTAGTTATTGACAGCATAATATTTCTTAATCTAATATCAAGAGCACAATATATTTTTTAAATCCAGTATCTACAGCACTACATTTTCTGAATCGGATATTGAGAGCACAATATTTTCTGAATAGATACCAACAGCACTACATTTTCTGAATTTGATATTGACAGCACTACATTTCTTGAATCGGATATCAACAGCACAGTATTTTCTGGATTCAATATTGACAGCACTACATTTTCTGAATTGCACACCTAGAGCGCAATATTTTCTGGATTGATATCAACAGCACTATATTCTCTAATTTCGATATCAAAAGGGCACTATATTCTCTGAAATGATATCAACAGCACTAAATTTCTTGAATCAGATATCAACAGTATGATATTTTCTGAATCCAATATTGACAGCACTAGATTTACTGAATTCGATACCAAGAGCACAATATTTTTTTTTATGCGATATCGACAGCACTACATGTTCTGATTCCGATATTGACAGCACTACATTTTGTGAATCAGATATTGACTGCACTACATTTCTTGAATCTGATATTTGCAGCAGAGTATTTTTTGAATACTACAGTGTTGACAGCAGTACATTTACTGAATCCGATACCAAGGGCTCAATATTTTCTGAATCTGGATCTAAAATCCACAGCACTATGTTCCCTAATTCCGACACGGACAGCACTACATTTTCTGAATCCGATATTGACAGCACCACAATTCCCGAACCCACTGTCGACAGCACTACATTTCTTTGATTTGATATTAACAGCACGACAGTCGGAGTAAGTTTTTGAGTTTGTGTGTTACGTTAAATCAACTTCGAATCGTGACATTTAAATTCAGATGGCATGTTAGGTCAGATTAGAGCCACTGCATACGCAATGCTGCAGAATACCTACACTCCGTTACCCTACTGATTTGTGCGCACCGCCGTTTTGTCACCCAGTGCACAACTGGCATGATCAGCAATGGTTTCAATCCAAAAATGCAACTTCCTGAGGTTTAGATGCTTTGTTAGAAAGCTGAGACAATATTGTATTCCTCTGTCACATACTGTTTTAACATTTTTGTAGGAAGGAAAAGTGCTACCTGGTGATTTCAGATAAAGCTTTAAACAATTCTGGGAACAATGATTTCAAGCACCAAGATGGAAAGTGTCGCTACTTCAAAGCGTAGCTTATTTCGTGGCTCAAGGCCAAGTTGCACATTTTGAAATCACGGGCGAACGATAATCAGATAATCTAAACTAGAACCATATTTGTCTTTTTTTCTTCCTAAAGACAAACCCGACCCTCCGAGGCACCCAGTGGTGGAGAACATCAACGACGACAACTGCTTGTTGTCGTGGAAACCGCCGCTGTGGGACGGCGGCAGCCACATCACGAACTACATGATCGAGAAGCGAGAGAGCCCACTCACCACCTGGGTTCGCTGCGGCAACACCAGGTGACGCCCCTCGACACCCTCCGGCAAAGTTTCGAAGTAGTGCCCGGCAGTAACTGCAAGGCATCCTTCGATATACTGGCAAAACGACGCTTGTGCCATGCCAAGTACCTAGAATCGTAATTGTTATTGTTCTGGCGAGGTTAAGGCTAGCTACACACAGGCTGGTTTGGATGTCATCATCATCATTGTCATCTTTCAAATTTCTCTGCCCATGAACAATTGTCTGTAATGTGGCATAATCTGTTTCATATATGCTGCCAATCTGGAAACTGGTTGCCACGCTCTTGTTGATTAGCCACAGAAAACTGTTACGTGAGCCTCAGGATTTTTTACTTTTGGTCCAGTTGATTATCGCCATTCAAGCACACAGCATAAAGCTATGACTAGTTATAAGGAACAGGGGAGAATATCCCAAGTAAGCCATGTTTTTCGTTAGTTAAATGGCGATTGTGGCCAAGTTGGGGCACTTTAGTAACCTCGAGGTACTCTATTACCTCTATCGGGGAAAAATACTTGGTTGCCGCGGGGATTATTGGAGTCTCTACGCAGATTTCTGAGGGTCTTTTGGGCCAAGGGTTATGAGGATCGCGTATATTAATTAGAATTACCTTCCAACTGGATTTGCTTCCTTTCTGTCCAGGTTCACGACACACCAGATCACGGGTTTGAATCCTTCCAAGGAGTACCAGTTCCGGGTCTATGCCGAGAACGTCTTTGGTAGGAGTGAACCCTGCGAACCCACCGCACCGATCACCACCAAACGTGAGACATCTTTGATGAACTTACAACATTTTAATGTCTTCTTTTTTTTTATAAATTTTGTACTGATAGTTTTTTTAGGATTTGCATTGCTGACATCTAAAGTTTGCTTTAAAATTTGTTTGCTTTATTTTTTACGTGCTACCTGTTTGTTTTGATGCAGCCTCGGAGAAGGACAGACGCAAGAAAAAGAACTACATGGGTGAGTTTATAGTGTTATGACTGTTTTTGCTAAAGGTGTATCGCCTACTGGTTTACAAGCTGTTGCATTGTTTGAAGACTATCGAGCAAAGGCTAAACTTTTCTCCTTCTCGTCGTTATTCATTCCAGTGGACGAACACGGGAAGAAGATACGAGGAAAATCGGAAGGCAAGATTGCAAATTACGACCAATTTGGTGAGTCATTCCGATGCCTCCAAAACTCACGTTACACTTTTAGGTGTGCTTAAAACACTTTATCGCGCATTTCTAAACTGAATTATTTTTCTTTTTTCTCTTCTTAGTCCAAGATTTCGACAAGTACATTCCGCAGCCGATCGATATCAAGACGTCTAGCGTCTACGACTACTACGACATCCTCGAAGAAATCGGAACGTGAGTCACTCCTTGCCATCTTTTCTACTGTATAGGTACTCTCACTAATTAAAACTCCAGGAAGCCGCAAATTTTGTTTAGATTATCGGAAGTTTGAATTGTCAAAAATTCATCTTTATGTGATGCAAGATAAAATTATAATTTGCTATATGGAGGGCTACACGTACAAAGCAGATATTTGATGATTTCCTCTACACAGGTCTACTAATCATAAACAGGCATGCCACACATGAAACATTGGTGTAACGTATGGCATGAGCTTATTCATCCGTTAAAAATGTTGCTTATCGTGGACTGTTTGGACAGTACATGACACCTCAAAATAAAATTAACTTTGATCAACCAGCAAAAAGGTTGTCTATTATGAACTATTAAGCGGGGAAGCAACATCCGGCGGAAGCGAGCTCCGCAGGTGTTGCTTCTCCGCAGTGCACAGGTGTTCGGAAAGAGGTGCGCTTAACGGGACCGCGAGAACAGAAAGTGTGAATTACACGAAAACACCATTCAAATTAAGCTGCTTATAGATACATTGAAAATGTAGCAGGACAGCCCAAATTTTTAAATTTGTTTGAATTAACCAGGAGTACAAAATATCTCAATCTGCATTTTCACGAGCCTACTGTATTTTATGAGTCTTGACGTCTGGCACAACACCGAGATTTCTCTTGTACTTTTACTTCATTGCGCAGCAAAAGGGTCCTCTAATAACCTTGAGAATTATTCGTTGCTCAGTAAGTTACTTCAGAATAAAACCTGCGTTTTGCGACTTTAACATAATGAGCCTGTCAGCATAGTTTAGATTGTGAGGCTAATATTACGAATGAAAACAGATAAAATTTCTTCTGATCGCCTTCAGAAAGGAAGATGTTCACCACGCATGTATTTGTTTTGTCCTGGCATCACTCAGAGTTCTAATGCAACTAGAATGTGGCATGTACAGTCATGTCACGCTGTACACATCCAGACCACTTTTGTCAAGAGGTCTAGTTGTGAAGTTTTGGACTCTGGAACAAAACTAAGAAAATGCTTGTTTTGTTTGCAGTGCTCTTTTAAGATTTGCTTTTTTTATACGTGCTGCAAGCTAGTCACTATTAACTCTTCCAGCTTACTTGCTTCTACTGTTCTTTCACGCAGATACAGTAATCCTAATAATCTAAGGCTAATTTTTTTTTTTTATTTATTTTTGAATTAGGTAAAATTTGCAAATGGCAGCTGTTGTATCTCAACTACAAACTCAGCGCCTTAGCTCAGTGCCACACAGGTGTCGCACGCATTGTTTCGTGTTCCAATCGGATCCGTGGCTCTTCTTGCTTACTTCAAAAATGGGCCCACAAACCCGAGCGGGTTTGCAGCTAACTTTGTCATAATTTAGTGAGCACGGAGAGGTTTTCGCCATCAGCAATGCCTCAATGCATTCTCTTCAGCGGTGCCTTTGGCGTGGTGCACCGATGCCGGGAGAAGAAGACGGGCCACATTTTTGCGGCCAAGTTCATCCCGGTGTCCCACCCGATGGAGAAGGGCCTCATCCGCAAGGAGATCGACATCATGAACCAGCTGCACCACCCCAAGCTTATCCGGTTGCACGATGCCTTCGAGGACGACGACGAGATGGTTCTCATCTATGAATTGTGAGTGATGCGTTATGCTTAAAAACTATGAAAACAGCAAACCAACAAATTCTCAGAGTGTCCTTTAGCTTCATGGCTCATCATTTTAAAAGACTACCATTTTCATCGATTAGTAGGACTCCAAAACGTTTTGCTAAACTAGTATTGAGCATCCTTGAAGAAAAGAGCAGTGTCATAGGGGATTGTTTTCTGCCTTCTAACTAGGAGTATAATCGCAGAACTGCCATCTTGCAGGGTGTCCTCTGAACAGTTCTCTCCTTGCAAGTTCGTAAACATTATTTAAACAGGTTCTTATTGACCGGATAAGATCACATCTGTTCAGCACTGCTGCTATAGGTTCTACCTATCCTACTGTAGACACAGAGGCTGAGTTGTTTGCTTCACTAGAAATATGGATTTGAAACCTTTAGTGCATGCATTTGAATGGAAGAACAAGAGTGCATGATGCTTTAGTTGCGGTTAAAATGAGTGCTATGCGCTCGTCACAGGCAGTTTGAACTGTGTCCCCTTTTCCACGAGATGCGCGGTGGCACATGTGAATCTCGTCGTTGCAGCATGTCCGGAGGAGAGCTGTTCGAGCGTATCACTGCCGAAGACTACAAGATGTCCGAGGCCGAGGTCATCAACTACATGCGCCAGATCTGCGAGGGCGTGAAGCACATGCACGAGAAGAACATCATCCACCTCGACCTCAAGGTACGGTTATGTGCAAAAACAATCCACGCCATTTTGGGGGAGTGCTTTGACTAATCCTCTTGGGCACGGTACGTTCAACAGTGAAATTTGTGGCGTACTGTTGCTGACAAGATGTCTGTTTCGTATGCCTTCATCACGCACTCGCTGACTTCCTATATGCTTTGGCTGCACATGCACGCTGGAAACTCGAGAGACGCCCAATTATTGTCGAAGGTGGGAAGCTTGTGCTGGAGGCAGGGTATTTGAGAGACCTCGCTACCAAAGCTGCCGCTATAAAATCAGTCATGTCGATTCTGATCTCAATTCGACTTTTATCCGTTTTTTTTTTTGTTTTTTTTTCAGCCCGAGAACATCATGTGCCAGACCAAAAAGAGCACCAACGTCAAGTTGATCGACTTCGGTCTGGCAACCAAGCTGGACCCCAACGAGGTGGTCAAGATCTCGACGGGCACGGCGGAGTTTGCGGCGCCGGAGATCGTGGAGCGCGAGCCGGTCGGGTTTTACACGGACATGTGGGCCGTCGGCGTTCTCGCTTACGTGCTGTGAGTGACGCGACTTTCGTCGTTGTCTCGCGACGCGACGGCGGTGTCGTTGCAGCCTCGTCTTGTCCGAACTTTCAGGCTGAGCGGCCTGTCTCCGTTTGCGGGCGACAACGACGTCGAGACGCTCAAGAACGTGAAGGCCTGCGACTGGGACTTCGACGACGAGGCGTTTGCCAACGTCTCCGAGGAGGGCAAAGACTTCATCCGTCGTCTGCTCACGAGGAACAAAGAGTTAGTACTTTGCGTTTACTGCCTCTAATGCAAACATACTTTGTTTTTATGAGTCAAAGAATTTCTTTTTCTGCTTACGAAGCGGGCATTATTTTGGGTGCTACATGTTGCTTCTGCTCAGACCAAACATAATGATAAAACAGGGATAGTGCAGGCGAGCTGGTGTAACTTTACCTTTATATCATAAAAAACTCGAGACTGGGTGAAGAAACTTGGAAGCGACCAAGGTTAAAGAAAAAAAGGGACGACGAATTTCTCCATTAAGTCTCGGATGTTTTAAGGAAATCGCAAATATAATGATGAAACTAGGTTTTGCGAGAGCTCCCTCTGACATTTCTCTGGTTTCCTTCGTCCACAGCAAACGCATGACAGCACACGAGTGTCTGGAGCATGACTGGCTCAAGGTTTGTGTCCATTCTTCTTTTTGCTCTTTCCTCATATTTATTGTTTGGCTCAAGGTGTTCCTTGTGGAAATATCAACTTTGCGCAGTTACATGCATATAAACAAACTACAGAAAGGAAAAAGGCGCTCGCTGCCACTTTTTACTAGCGTTGAAACTTATGCAAAATATAGCGTACATTTTTTAACACCTTCCCTCTTGCATTCCAGGGTGAGATCAAGGAGTCCGCAACCATTCCAATCCCCAACAACCGGTACATCAAGTTCCGCGACCACATCAGGGCGAGATACGTAAGTTCCGGTCACTGCCACCTTTTTTGGCTGTCCTGTGGAATGTCTCTTGCCGCCAGCGTTTGTGGAGACCTTACATGCCACTCTGTTACTTTCCATCCTTCCAATTCAAAAAAGGGCGATTACTGGGACTCCTGCACCGTCCCCATTGGACACATCTCCAACTACAGCTCTCTGCGAAAGCTGCACGACAAGAAGTACAACATACACGACTTCTACTTCGGTGAGTTTTTTTATTCTCGTTCTTTCTTCTGCCTGTTCTCGTCGTTGAGAACTGTAGTTTATCTGGCAGTTACCAGATCATCCTTGTCCTAGTAGCTAAAAGACTATTCAGGCATATTTCTTTGTTGGGACCTTGATCAGAAAACGTTCTGGGATCTCAATTTAACCGTTTAAACAAAGTCTATCATCTTTGGCTAATATTTGATTTGTGACGGGCGAATTTTAGAACTATTTGCTATATGTGTTTTAAGAACCCCTTTGCTTCGCTAATCTGATGTTGAAGCTACTCAAATAGGAGCGCTACAAAATTGAGTAGACATTCCAGAAGTTGGTCCTCTTATCACTAGCATTCAGTCTTCTGGGAGCATCAGTTGAGAGTTGGCATGACATTAATTTTCTTTAGGACACCTCCTTCAATGGTGTTTGCTGAAAAGTATGGAGTTATGGCATTAAATTGTGTAAATTATATTTGTTGCTGATTCTCCCCGTTTGTTCCGTGTTCCATAGACCGAAGACAAGCGGTTCCACGCTTTGTCATCAAGCCAACCAGCGCCTTCACCTACGAAGGACAGAGTGCCAAATTCTACTGTCGCGTTATTGCATCTGCACCTGCGACTGTCAGCTGGTGAGACCTTTGCTCCTGACCATGTTATTATTTTATCTTATCATCCCCATTATTTGAGTTCTCGCATCTTTGTTAAAGTTTTGCAGATTTTATTTTAGAGACATTTTTTCAGCCAACTTATTCTTGATGTACTTTGTATAATGTCTATCTTATTAAGACGGTAATGTATGGGGTAACTCTAAATACTGCTATACCCTCAATTCTACATAACCGTTTTATTTAAAACAAATGTACCATGAGAAACAGGTAGTTGGCCGGTACTTGCCGAAATGTGTTTAATGCAACAAAACTTGTTTTCTAGTTTGTTTTCTTAGCAGGGCACTAGAGGTAGTACTTAGCTAAAGCTAGTCACAGCGAAGGAAGCCTCATCTCTTAGAACATGTGTGCTACTTCTTGCCTTCTGCTCCTGACAAGTTGAAGAAAGTGGCAAGTGCATCTAAGTTCCGAAGTCTACCAAGAGTGGTGGTGCGAGCCCCGTTCTTCCTTCTCCCAGGTACCGAGACAGCTGTGAGCTGCGGCAGAGCGTGAAGCACATGAAGCGCTACGAAGGCGACGACTACTACTTCATCCTCAACCGCTGTCGACTGGACGACCGCGGAGAGTACATCATCCGTGCAGAGAACAGCTACGGCTACCGGGAGGAGCCAGTCTTCCTCAACGTGCAAGGTATGCAGTGACGGAGCCTGTAGAATGCAAAACCTCCGTAACATTGCGGGGCTAAACATCTCATTCTTGTCGCGGCTGTTTGACCGTCAGCTGCTACTATGGCGGAACATCCGTATATTTTGTTTGTTGTACTTTTTTTTTTTTTTTATAAAGACCTGTTTTGAAATGTGTGTTTGAGAAAGTTCTATTCCATGCAACCAGCTCGGCCACATTTGGAATTATTTTACTGATAAGGCTCGATATTTTGTGGAAAGTTTCTGAAAAGTTGCACGGCATTTCCTCAGAGCTCGTTAGAATGAACTGTTCTGTGGCTTGAAACTTCTCTGTTATTTTCTGCTGTGTTGCATTGAGCCATTATATTGTTTCGGCAGAGGTACCTGAAAACTATAGCTCTGTTCATGCAACCGATTCTTACTTAGTCAACCAAGGTTGCTTTCCTTCTTCCAAGTGGTATGCCAACCACAATACTCCACCGTTCTCTCCTTTGTTTCACACTTTGTGCACAAATACAAACTTTCCCTCTAAGCACCCTCAAACGAAGCATTTTTTTCCTGATTATGCTTTTACGGCCACGGAGCAGTTACAACATATGCGTTCAGGTGACAGTTCTTTGACCGTAAGTGACGGTTCTTCGACCATGCCTCACAGTTCCTTGTCCATAAAGTGATGGTTCCTTGACCATAAAATTAGTTATTTTTTCATAAAACGACAGTACTTTGACAGTAAAATGACGATCTGATGATTCTTTGCTTGAAAATTGATTCTTCCTTGATTGTAAAATGGTAGCTCCTTGTTTACAAAGTGACGAGCCTGGCCATAAAATGACGGTTTCCTGTCTAAAAAGTGACAATTCTGGGGCTGTAGAAGGACGGTTCTTTGTTCATGAAGCGACAGTTCTTCGGCTGTGAAGTGATGGTTTCTTGTACATAAAGTGACGGTCTTTGACCGTAAAGTGGCAGTTCCTTACCCTAAGTGCCTGACCCGAGCTTGTCTTCATCTCTCTCCCCTCAGCCATGCCAATAACAATTCCACAGGTCCGTCTCGACGAACCAGTCAGGTGAGCTGCGAAGCAGTCTTTTTGTTTTATTCTCTTGCTCTGGGAGTGACTATATCGTCTTCTCATTGTCGTCTGCTTCTGCTCGTCGTTATTCCAGGCGGCGCAGAGAGCCCCTCCGATACCAGCCGTACGAGGAGCCAGCGGACTGTGCTCCCTGCTTCACATTCCACCTCAGGCCCCGCGTCATCCAGACAAACCTCGGGGTCAAGCTGCTCTGCTGCCTCTCCGGGAAGCCGCACCCAGAGGTAAGGAAGGACTGAAACTTAATTTAACCTATCCCGGCTGAGAGCTCAGCCAAGGCAGCGCTTGAACACTGCATTAAGGCAGCGTATGAAAGCTAATCAGCTAAACCAGTGTTCGGAAGCTAAGCTAACCTAAGGCAGCGTTGGAAAGCTAAGCTAAAGCAGCGTTTGAAAGCTGAGCTAAAGCAGCGTTTGAAAGCTAAGCTAAAGCAGTGTCTGAAAGCTATCTCTAGGAGTACCGATGTAAGAGATGGAGCAAAGCAGTGCTAGTCCACAGTGAGGTGAACTCTTGTGTTCTTGGACATTAAAAAGACGCTGAAGAGAATGACGAAATTTTTCTGAAAACTGTTTGTCTTTTACTTTTGATGGTGGAGGGCAGTATGTTGCTTAGTTCAGAATTTTCGGAGACACGCTTCTTTTTAGGAAATTTCAGTTGTAAAAATTGGCTCTCTAAATTTTGTGTAAATGAGGGGCATGCAAAGTTGAGCCTGTGTATAACAAATTCTTCAGACCTTCAGAGTCCATAGATATGTCCACTAATCCGAAAGTATAAGCCACAAGGGCCATAAAAATTAAAACAAGATGTTATAACTTGTATTTAAAATGATCCAAAACCCTAGGTGCTCATACAGTGCACAACTCTTAAAAAAATTCAGTGTGGGTGTTGCACATAAATGACACCAGGTTCCAGGACATTTCTCAACCACGCCACAGAAATCGGTCGTCCGATCCGCGTCAACCGCAAATCGACACCTACCGACACCACTCCTTTTTCATTATGTCTGGCAGATCAAGTGGTACAAGGACGGAAAAGAGCTGAGCAAGTTCGACTACAACATGAGCCACGCGGACGGCGTGGTCACGCTGGAGATCCTCACCTGCAAGAAGGAGGACGCCGGAAAGTATGTCTGCAAGGCCAAGAACGCGCTCGGCGAGGACGAAACCAACTGCTTCCTCATCATCGAAGGTAAGCGGCAACGCCGAGCCGGTGATGAAAGGGCGCATGGTGCGACGCGGTGAGGCTCAACCCGTAGGCTTGGACCCACCTGCCATGCGATCCCTTTCCCTAGCGTATAGCACCGTTAGTGCACGTCAGAATCCCTAATGCCCTAAGCCTTCACAGGGACCACAGGGTCATACTACACGGGCTGACATTGAGACGTTCGAAACAAAACATGGTCCAACAGCAATTCTCACCGACGAGGCTTTCGAGGGCGCGGGAGAGCGGAGCTTGGAGCCTTTTATGCTACCTAACGAGGCTGTGGTTGGTGCAAATAATGGCGAGAGAGTTGATTTGTGCTTCTAGTAAACGAGCAGCATGAGTTGCAAATTATGCTTGTGCAGCTGAGAGCTCCGCAGTCCCCGTAGCTCCGACAGTGTTTCAGCAGAGAGGTCTCTCAGTTAGCGAGACTCTTGTGTTCTACATGAGTCTCATCAGCTGCACAGCAATCAATGTACACTGCAAATGTCAACACCTCTTCATTATGAAACTAGACACAATTTCAAACTCCAGATTTTTAAATTTTATGTTGTTTGTGGACAAGAATGTCTAACGTGCTTTTCCATAGTGGAAGGTTCCTGGGTCAGTTCCGGCGGGCTGTTTCTCGCACTTCTAGTCTGATCTTCACATCTCCTAATGGTACTGGTAACTTCCCGAGTACAGTATAAATTCTAGAGAAGCAAACTCTTTGCAGTGCACACTTTGCATTTTTCAGGGGTGCAAAAAACAGCCCACCTGAACTTTTCCCAGAAGGTGCACTAAAGACGATACATGAATCATACGCAAGGGACGACTCACAAAGACGATTGGAGATCTCGCTCCCACGTCTGCCCTACATTCGAACCTCGTACAGATAAAAGTCAGTCATTAATCCACTTTTATACTACAACATTGCAACTTTGCATTCATGCGCATACAGAACACAAGCGAGAAGAAAAACGATACAAGTTTCTCTCTAGTGCACCTAGCAGCTCAAAACGAGGAGAATGGCGCAAATAAGAGGGGAGTGCTCGTCGTACTGCCCTCTGTATTTCTTGCCGTTTTCCTCACTACAAGTAGGGATGTCGCAAACCTATTGAGTTCTAGGTTCAACTTTTTCTAAACTTTTAGCGCAAAGTTTGACTGAAGTCGGCTATTATGCTTATGCACAGAGATTTAAAACGAGCTGATGCCACCTGGCAGAGGGGGGGAACACAATATTTATTGAGTATTGTGTCATATGAATGAACTAGATTATTAATAGTTCATATATTTCTTTTCATAGTGAGTAAACATAGGTAATCATTCCCTGCAACTTAAAATGGACTGCTGTATAAATTATTTCTCCCAGAAATTTCACGTTTTTGTGTAGAAGTTGGGAAACGTGGTTCAAAAATTCTAACTTCACCAAATTTTTTTCAAAAAGTTTGAAGGTTCAATTGGTTCAGCGATCTTTCATAGTTTCGGGCGTCGAACCTCATACTCGACAGCGGTTTGCGACAGCCCCAACCACAAGCACTTTCAAGGGGTCAGAAGGCACGCACACGCGGGTACACGGGGGCGCGGGGCTAACCCAGCGTTTGGCGGCGCCCGCTCTCTCCTCCACAGAACGTCGCCGCCTTCCCCCGGGGCACTCCCCGGCCGTCTTCCAACACCAGGCCGCCCCCGCTTCTGCGCCACTCCCCGCAAAACCCGCTTACTCCAGTTACGAGCCCTTCCCGTCCTCGCACTACTCCCGAGCCTCCGCGCTCGGGAAGTACGGCTACGCCTCACACAAGAAAGACTACTTCCACGCGTCCTCCAAATTTGCAGATACTCGGTCGGTGGCCAAGAGCTCTCGACTCGCGGACTACTCCTCGTCCTACTCTTCAGCCCACCACGCTAGTTCGGACTATAAGTCCAGCGCCTCCGCGTACAAGAGCGACTACAAGTCGGATTACAAGTCGTCCTCAGACTACAAGTCTTCCTCGGCCTACAAGTCGGACTACAAGTCGAAGGACTACAAGTCCTCGGACTACAAATCTTCGGTGAAGTCTTCGGACTACAAGTCGTCGGACTATAAATCCTCGGCCAGGTCAACAGACTACAAGTCTTCGGACTACAAGTCCTCAGACTACAAGTCCTCAGACTACAAGTCCTCGGACCTCAAGTCTTCGGACTACAAGTCTGCGGCGTCCTCCGCGGCAAGAAGAGATTTGGGATCTGCGGCGGCAGATCGCGTGGCAAGCACTTTGAGTTCAGCTGCGTCGAAGCTTTCGCCTCCGGCGGAGTCGCCATCCAAGAGAGTCCAGAAGCCCTATGGGAAGAAGGATGCCGTGGATGCGACCAGTCCATCGCGCTCTCGGAGTGCAACGAAAGACCTTGCTCGTGAGTCTGCTTGCAATCGTCCTGATGCACTCTCAGTTCGTTGAATTGCATGATGCATAGGTATAGCATGTTAAAAACTTGAGGATGGAGGACCAGCTTATAAGAGCTTAAAAGAAAGAAAGAGAAAGAGAGAATTGGGTGTGGCACCTCTTTTCTGGTATTGACCGGTATTCTGACTTGTGTGTCAGATCATCCAGAAACCTATCATCTTTTAGTTACTAATGTGGTTCTTACAAAAAGTTTTTTCAAGAGCCTATATCTGATGGCTGTTTGAATATTAATAGTTCATGAATTTCAATATTGTTGTGATTGGCATCAAGTTCATGTTTAAAAGTATGATGGAAAAGTTAGTTTAATTAGTACACCCCTATATACCATTTTGTGTGTTCTTACCATCTTAGTTTTAAAGTTAGGAATCTAATAAAAGTCTGTTGCAGAAGTTTACAAGCTCTCCTTCGAAATTGCAGACTTCGGCAGGGGTCTACTATTCTTATGGTACAGAGCGCGACACTGTTAACGCGAACAAGCGATCGCCAGTTTTCCCTTTTTTTCTCTTTAAAACCAAGGGATCTCATCCAAGTTATTATTGCCACGGAAAGAGCTCATTTAGTTCTATAATGTAAGCGGTGAAACATTGTGCTCGCTAATACTATTTGGAAGTAAAATGCGAAAATGCGCCGATGTCGTGTTCGCGCTAACAGTGTCGCGATGTGTACTGGAGCATCCACTTTAGAAAACAAAGAAATCCTCATGTGAGACAAGGAACTTTTGCATCGACAAAAAGGAAACATGTTTTATCCGATCATAAAGATCCTTTTATATTCGGTTTGCGGAATGCACAAACATTGATCATTCGATTACGAAGTGTGCTGAGGTTTCATCTGTGTGCATCATAGTTCCAGACGAGACGGAGATGACCGCTCCGACGTTCAAGGCACCGCTGCAGGACCTCAGCATCAAGGATGGAGACCCCCTCCTCCTCAAAGCTGTGGTGGACGGCGAACCGGAGCCTTCTGTGGAGTGGTTCAAGAATGGAGAGGTTGGGCGCAGTTTCGCCGGTCACTTTTTTCTAATCGATATCCAGGCAGTAACCGGAGAAGCAGTTTGCACACTGATAGCAGACGGAGAGTTTCCAGCAGTCCTTCATTGTATGTATTTCAGAGACCCGTGAACTTAAGGCAGCAATATGTACACACATTCTAACCTGTATTTATTGTTGAATGGCATTTGCGAGCCAACTGTAATGAAGAAGCCATTCCTTCATTGTTAATAGTTGGAGTTTACACACTGTGAGTAACTCATGGTAGCATGCTAGTTGTGAGGTACTAGTTAGGTAGGGTAGTTGCCGAGAAACCGTTGTTTTTCAGTATAGACTGTTTTATGTATCTTTTTTGTTTGTTTGCTAATGTTTCTGGAAGATGTTTTGCCCGAGTGGTTCGGTCATAAGTAAAAACAAAAAGCATTCATTGTATATTCACGGACAGCTCAAGAATGTCAGGCAAGAGCTCTCGGTTTGTATATTAGAATAACTTTGCGATATATTCTGTAGCCGTCAGTGTTTCACGGTTGCAACGATCCTTGACTGCCAAGCTGGATAGCTCGAGATATAGACCATTCCAATAATCGCCTTCTGCACGCTGGAATCTCGGTTTGCTGAACTGTGGAAGGCGTTCTGAGCTTGCGCAGCAGCTCTCTTGCGAAATTCCGGATTTCACTCACGTGTCCCCAGCCCAGTGGCTGTGGACAAAGCCCAAGCTCTTGAAATGCTTATAGTGCTAGGCTCGCACAGGCTGTAATCTAACCAGGCCTCTCCTTGAGTGCACCAGGCGGCCGATGTGTTCGAGCTGCGGGAGCTCGGCGAGGTCCGACGATGATTCTATGTTGCATTGTGCCGACACTTTCTGTGCAGAGCTTGAAGTCCTCCGAGATCATCAGCCTCAAGTACAAGAACAGAGAGGCTAGCCTGAGCATAGCCGAAGTCTACCCGGAGGACGAGGGAGAGTATGTGCTTACCGCGACCAACGCAGTGGGCAAAGTGGATACTTGCTGCAAACTCACCGTCCTACGTAAGCACCTCGCCTTTCGCGTTCCTCTTTAAAGCAACGCAAGGAGCAGTTCGAAGCGTAAAACTACTTTTCTGGAAGCCTTTTTTCAGCAAGTGTTTCGCGCGAGCCTAAATGTCGGCGAGAGAGACGCAGCCGCTGACCAATTGCAGCAGTTGGCGATGTCCCGGTGCCTTCGTCGCGCTGTCTTGCATAGTTTGCGTCACCATCATCGTGTGGGTATGGATGGCGACTCATTGGTCACAGTGCTCATTGGACCAGTTGTACGTGCCATCCATACCCACGCGCAGAGAGCGGGGTCAGGTGATGAAGGAGAGGCGGCTGATTGGCTCAACGAGCAATTTGCTCCCATCACAATGCCAGTTTAAGGGTGAACAGAGTAGGCAGCTGTATCACCGCCGACATTAGAGTTGCATCGCTTGTTACGCCGCGTGGGGACACTCTGAGGTACTTTTGCAAGACAGAGGCATCTATGTGTTAGTTAAATGCATAGTTCCCCTTCCAATTCTTGTTGTCGAGTTATCGTTGGTTTCGACCAGAGCAGCTGAATTTTGTGATGATGTTTCGCGACAGCCATGGAGAAAGACGAAGTGGAGCCGACAGGATCCGACGGCAAGTCGCCCAAGTTTGTGGAGCACCTCAAGAGCCAGGTGGTGAAGGATGGTGACGCTGTAACTCTTCAGTGCACCATCAGAGGCAAGTGCAATTCTAGAGCCTAGGCTCACGCCATTTTTCATTCGGTCGTTGCGAAACGAGCGTCAAAACTATGTTTCATGTATACTAGTGCCTTTTAGTAGGTATAGGTAGCAGGTGCTAGTAAAAGAAGTTCGATAAGGTTAATGGTACTTGCCGAAATATCTGTAACTCGTGAACAGCTTTTTGATAAAGCATTCTTTAAATTTCGGATGGTGGAGAAACCCTGACCTACTGCCCTTCCGTATTTCTTGAGCAGAATTCTTTGCAAGTTTATGAGCGGTTAATCGCTCTTGTTAAGGCTGTGAAGCTGCACGCCTTAGTAGGAAGGTGCGCTGGGATGTCGATCAGTCATTCAATCGATGGTCTTTATTATAGCCCATTGCATATTACGAGTTACTGAAAGACCACCTGGACCCACAGCCAATTTATCTAGTCTGGGCCCATTTTAATCAAATATAACAGTGCCAGGTGCTGATATTGAAAACACTGAAAATACATAAAAAAATTAACAGTGTCAGGTTAAGGAAATACAAAATTGGGGGGGGGGGGGGGGGGGGTTAAAAAAGAATATACCTTTTATTTTTATCGCAAAACTAAACCATGCATCGCCAAATGCTCATTCCTGCCCAGATGTAGCGCTAGTGGTCCAAACCCGACACCGAAATTTGAGGACTACTAACCATTGTCTTGCTAGAAAGTTATAAGTGATTTTCTTAAAATTTCAATAGGAAGATGGGGTCCCATACAAGAAAAAAATAAAACATGAAGGACGGACAAGACAGCTCATCTTTCTACCAGCAACGTATACCCCGGTCTCAGTAACTGGCATCATCCAGCTACGTGTATCCGAGGGCTCCGTCGGCCACTAATTTCCCCTTTGAAGATTTCAGAAAATCACTCTTAACTTATTATTAAGACAATGGTTAGCTGAAACTTTGGCATTTGGTCCACATTTAGGCACAGAACAATTCTGTGGAGATGCATACTAGTTTTGCTTTGCAGTAAGAGAAAACTTGTACATTTTTTTGGAGGGACACCCCGCAATGCTTCACCCGAGACGATTGAGGGAGTTTATTGGCACAGAAAGAGAACTCGATGCAGCAGGCAGTGCAGGTGTTGTCATCTATAATTTGATTATTTATGCCAAATATATTGAAATGTTACAGGCTCCACCAAGTTCGACGTGGTGTGGTTGCACAACGAGAAGGAGATAAAGTCTAGCAAGGACTTCCAGTACGTGACCGAGGGCGACGTGTACAAGCTCGTCATAGCCGAGGTCTTCCCCGAAGACAGCGACACCTACACGTGCGAGGCCTTCAACGACGTCGGAGAGGCCTTCAGCACCTGCACCCTCCACGTCTTGGGTGAGTGCACCGCAGCGGGGCTGCTGACCAATGCACAGAAGGGCTCAGCACCTTGGCGGGCAGTAGTTGTCGGCAAGGGGTACGATGCGGGGAAGAGGTATTCGCGGCAAGAAATAAACACCGACGATGAAGAACAAGGTTTTCGTTTCCCAACAGGCTTCTCTCACCAACATAGGACAGCAGATTTATGCTTATTCACCTTGGTGAGGAAGTGAACAGCATCGAGGCTAGGGGATCCTCGAACTTTTTCTATCTAGAGGAACAGCTCTCTGCCTTAAATGATAGACAAGGAACCCCTCGTGGCATTGCCTACAGGCATCGTTAATAATGTTCATGCAGGGTGGCATTTGACCCGTAGTCGTGCATCAGTGCACAGTTCAGATATGCTATATTGGTGCTCAGATTGGAATAATACTTTGCCTTGCATCAGGGAGGGCCAGGAGAATTTATGCACTCGAGGAACCTTTGAAGGTAAATACTTCGTGGGGAACCTCCGGATTTTTAGGAACGCATTCTGCTAGTGGTACACCAGGGCATACCAATTCGACTCCTGTCAAAGTTGATGCCATCAACAGCCTTCTTTGCCAGTAAAGGAACCGTCAGGTCATTATCTTATATCACAGCTTCTCAGACCGGATTCCTAAGTAGTTCCCCAGACTGCCATCATTGCTTCCCAAGCTCTCAAATTTCCTCAGCCATCTGTGTCGCCGAGTAAAATGTATTTCCAGCTTTAAGCAACGTTTCAGCAGATTTCAGCCACTCTTGGTGAATAGCTATGGAACAAACGCTCTTTTTTAATCTTCTTTACTGCTTATAATGTCCATAAGATTTTGCACTGCTTGGGGCTCCTTCAGGTTGGAAAGTTTGAGAGCACTGTCCTGGATTTGTGAACAGCATTTCTCTGCTTGCTTGCTAGAGTTGTTTTGTCGCTGGCTTCGGTAATTGTTAAAAAAAGACACCGAGGACAATGGACGTTTTTGCTGATCAGTTCCAGGTGAGCCCTTCAAGGGACCCGGCTTTTCAATCTACCCCAAGTCCGCAACGGCCGGAGAAGGTCAGCCCGCCGTCTTCAAGTGCGTCACCGACAAGGAGGCACTCGGAGGTGAGTGTCGTTTTCCCAACGCTGTCGTCAAACTCATTTGTACGGCGCTGAATCGCAAGACTCAAAAGCCCAGTCTTTAATGTCGGCACGAAAGTGACCAGTTTGTTGGAACCTACTTTCGTGTCACAGTAATAGTTTCTGAAAGACAGAAGTAAAAATTCAATTTTATGGTAGTCACTCTAGTAGGGGGTTCTATACTAAGGGCATTGTGGTTTCAGCTTATTGGTTCAAAAACATTAGGTAAAACAGATATTGTGAACTCTGCTTCATAAGACAATACTTTAGGAGACAGGCAAAGGGCCGCTGCGCTGTTGTACTTTCTCGCCTTTTTGCGACACATTCTGCCTACTCAACAAGGCAGAAGGTACCGCAGACTATTCGTGTCTAGAGAGTATAGCAACGGACTCTTACAAAGACTGTCCGAGCACGACCCTGAAGCGGAGCCTCCACCTTGTCGCAGTGCGGTGGGTCAAGGACGGCAAGACGTTGGAGGAGAGCACGCGACACCAGCTGTCCCAGGATGGACGCACCCACACGCTGACCCTGCCGCAAGCCCGGTCCACCGACGTGGGCCAGTACCTGGCCATCGCAGTGGACGCCACGGGCGAGACCACCGCCAGCTTTGCCCTCAACGTCGTCTCGGAGGCAGACATGCTATGAGCGAGGACGCGTCGCAGACGAGGTGAGAAGCCGCCGCTTTCATTACGGCGTCTGGAATGCTTCTCCGACCGGCGTGTCTAGCGTGGTCCTGAACTGGCAACAAACGACGTCACAGAAGCCGATGTGTCGTGTCGTCGAATGCCGCGATCCTGGCAGTTGGTGCCAGAAGTCCCTGCAAAAAGTAGGAACAAATGCGAGTTTTGCTGTCGTGGCAGAGTCCAACTATTGGCTGATGAAGTTTCCACGGACTGCCGAGCTAAAGAGCAACCTTCAGCAGAACAGCAGTCTGTTACATCCACCAGCACTGCTGCGACAACGCGACAGCTTTGTGACGTCGTTGGGCGGAAATTTAGGGGCCACTTTTTGGGACGCGTTAAATAGAGCAGTCGGGGCATCCGCATCTCTGAATGTAACCTTTCTCTGTCTCTCTCTCTTTCCCAGGTGCATCATCCGAGTCCCACCTGCTGGGACGTATACTACTTCTCCTTTCGTATTTATTTATCTCTTTTCCTTTTCCCGCGACAACTGAGCCGCGCCTTTTCAAACATTACTTCTTCATTTCGAAACTGTCTTCTCTTTTTTTTTTCCCTTCAATCTCGGCTTACGAAACGATACTCATCGATCCGCGAAGACTAGCGAACATGCACCGAACGCGGGATCGAACATGACCATCCTTCTCACGAGAGAACGGACTGAACGCAGGTGCAAAATGAAGCCGAGTTACAAACGCTTTTCTTTTATTTACTGTAGACTTTTTTTTTTTGCTTGCCTTTTTGAACCCTGGTTTGCTGTCTCGTGCTTGGAGTGTTTTTCTTTTGCCCAGGTGTACACTTGCGTTCTACCTTGCGTTCAACCAATCGCATACCCTTCCTTTCCCGGCAAGAGAACCAATCGCGCCACGCTGTCGATTTCAAGAGGTCTACCCTATTTCTCTGCAATCTTTTTGCCGTTTGACCTTTGCCGCGACCTCGAGTTGCACGACCCTTTCGACGACGTGCCTCAGGGTCGAGCGTCAAGGGTTGGGCTCTTTTTTTTTTTTTTTTACACGATGCAATTAAGTGCAGAAGGTGGGGGCAGCTTCTGCTAAAAGAGCCCAGCTCAAGGTCGTGCAAAGGTCAAACGCGTTTTATTAGTGACGCTTGTTTGTAGCTTGGCTGTCATTTTATGGGTATATGTGAATAAAAAAGAAGAACCGAACCTGTCTCTATTTTTTGTGTTACTCGTAAAGAGAAAGTACTGCTTGGCCTTCCTTCTGTCAACGCCATGTCAACTGTATTTTAAATGCACAAACGCCGGAGTTTTTATTTGGAACCGTCAACAGGTATGTATTCTAACCAGTACTTCGGTAAACATGCCTGCATCTCGGGGAAAAGTTATTTACAACACAAAGGAGTGAAACTTGGGAAAGTGAAATTAGCTTTTATGAAAGTGGTTTATCCGGTTTTTGAAATTTTAGCTAGCTCTAAGTAGGCAGCGAAATAAAAACATCAGGGTAAAAATTTTTAAGGTTTGTATGTATCCCTAAAATTCCGACTTTCAGAATTCTCTCTCTCGAAATCACTCAACATCTTTAAAACTGTGCATAGCTCTCATTTAGGTTATGGTGCTTACAACCCATCTCCGACCGATGTGGTTAGCATCCTCTATACCACTCGTGCATAGAAAGCAGTCTTGAGGCAGCAACAAGGAATGCCACAGGAGCCGGCGTGCCACATCGTCGGATGTCGTCATCCCGGCGGTTGGTCGTACAGGTTCCAACACAGAGCACACGTGAATATTGTTGTCGCCGCGGTGTCCCAAGTGCCAACTGCCAAAGTTTCCGTGGATCCTCGCACTGGAGAGCAAGCTACGGCAGAACAGGTGTCTGCGAGATTCACCACCGCTGTCGAGATACCGCCAGGATCCACGACGTACTCGGGCGAAAGCGAAGGGACCGCTTTTCAGGACAATTCCAGGCACCATAGTTAGGCAGATTTTTAGGGGCCGACAATCCGACCCCTCCTTGAACAAAAAGCTTGGGGCTCTAATATAATAAGTAGCATTGCATTCGAGCACTCCTCCGCTTTGTACCGGGGTGTAGCCTTCACTACGTTGCAGTTTTAGATTACAAAAAAGATTGAGGTACACCTAAGCACTTCTTATGAGTTGTGATGAGTTGTGAATGCGAAAGCATGTACATCATTCTTGCTGTACGCGTGCTGGCACGCTGACTGGCGCTGATGGATGCGCAGCGCCATGAGGTGGCCGGTCGTTGAAACTGATGCGCAGTGTCAGTTTCAAAGACCATGGCGCTGCGTGTCCGGCGAATGGGAGCCTGGTCCACCCGCGCTAGCCAATGGGATTGAAGCAGTGTAAAAGTTACCGTGGTCAACCGGCGAATAGGAGCTGGCTTGACTTGGAGAAGGATTTAAGAGCCGTTTGGCGTGGTTTCAAATTTGATGACGTCGGCTCGCTCCATGAGACAGTTAATGCTTTCGCATTCAAAAAGAGCCAAGCAGTGAACCCCCATTTCTTTTTTTTACTGTCTGTGTGCAATCGAAAGCAGAATGATGCAAATCCAAGAAGAAGACCGCCACCTTGGATGCATGAATATATATAAGTAGTGGTAGTTCTCACATGGGGTCTGTGAGGCGTTCTAGGGGTCCAGGAAGCTCTGCCTCATCGGTCAAGCCCGACAATAAAAGTTCTTTTTTCAGACCGAGAAGAAACATTCCAATTTTCAGGCGAGTTCTTTCGTGTGCATGTCATAAAGAGAAGTCTACTTCACACTAGCCCTCAGTTATATACATGTATTAAATCATTATCATAATTAACCCATACATTTCCCTTCCCCTCACCATGAACGGGGTCCTCCATCATCTCCGATGATTCATAAGTGGTCCACAAAACATCAATGGTTGAGAGCCACCGGTATATACTATAACTAGGGTTCGGATTTTTCGGTTAAAACCGATAAAAGTATGCCGAATATATTTTATAAAATTCAGTTTTAACCAGAAAAGGTCACTTTGATCTTCCAGTTGTTAAGTGTAACGACAGTGTCTATCGAAACATGTCCGAATGTATGGGATACACAGGGTGCCATTGTCACGTTCACCCGGTCCAACAAGCGAAATGATTGAGACAAGACCAGGTGAGGCAAAGGCATGTGCATACGTATTAAAATAATGAAAGGAAATCAGGAGGTAGTTATCAAACAATAGAGAAAGAAAAGGAAAAGTTCAAAGCAGACCGGAGTCCCCGTGGCCAAATCCCCACAAAAGCTCGACTTGCGCCTGACGTGGCGGGGCTTTAGGAGCATTGCGGGGCTCGTCGTGGCTTCAGGGATCGGAGCGTTGCCGGGCTCTTCGTGGCTTCAGGAACTGGAGCGTTGTTGGGTTCGTCGTGGCTTGAGGGATCGGAGCGTTGCCGGGTTCTCAGGAACCGGAGCGAGGCCGGTTTCGGTGAGGCTTCGGAAACCGGAGCGTGGCCGGGTTCTCAGGAACCGGAGCAGGGCCGGTTTCGGTGAGGATTCAGGAGAACGAGCGTTGCCGGTTTCAAGAAGCGTCGGGTCAGAACTCCTGCACCTGCCTGCCATTCCTTGCGATCCTCTTCTCCTTCTTTTTCTTCTTTTCTTCCCAGCTCCACACTCGTGACAGCCATCACAACATTTTGGTTTAATGTGCGCATCATCGATCGAAACATGAAGTCCGAAATGCCCCATGACTTTGCCATGTACAAGCGTTTTTTTTTAAACTCGTAGTAAGGAAGACTGACTTCATGCAAGCTCTGCATGTTGTGTTGTGTTTCGAAACCTCGTATCGTCTCTCTTTTGGCGGTCCCAATGGACCTTTTTCCAGTAAGCGTCTGCGCACGCGCACACCCTTTTCCCTTGACCTTGACCACCCTTTCGCCATTCTTGGGGGGCACTGTTTTCTTGCGACACTAATCTGTTTCCATGGGAGAAGGCGAGTCCGGTTGCCCTCCATTTGTAGTAGGCGGCGAAACCGTCATGAGGCGCTCCTCACTGGAAAAAGGTCTATTGGTTGATTGGCCGATTTTGGCTCGGGCAGCGCTCCAATCTCCTCAGCCTGCCAGTGTCCATTTCTTTTTCAGTGTATCTGTGCCGTTATTCTTTGAGTAATCACAAATGTCGGAGCTACAACAATAATCTGATCCAGTGTCCGTTGGTGGTTATTTTATATTCAACGAAAAAAGCCGATAAACTTTTGTGGCCATAAATATACGCCGAAAAAAAAAAAAAAGTTGATTTTTAAAATAAACATTGAAAAAAGTATGCCGAATTTTCAAAAAATAGAAACCGAAAAATCCGAACCCTAATTGTAACAGAATTCAAAATACCCAGTGTCAATGTGCTGAGCAAGTCATCAACACCTACATCCTTGCGACAGCTCAAATTAATGCCTCCCCTCCCCCCCCCCCCCCCCCACTTTGTGAGCTAATTTTGAGCCAGTTTTGTGAACACAAGTGTTGAGATAGAAAATGAGCAAAGAGCTAAAATAAGGTAGCGTGAGTAGAAAAAGTTTGAAAGGTCGTGCTTTGAAAAATTCCAGACAGCACATACTGCCAACATTTTTTTGCCACTGCGAGACAGAAATTCATTGTGAATAGCAAATTACTCCCTTTACTAATTTTATTTTCACAGAGCGAGAGTATAAGTGAAACCGCTTGCAACGGAGCAAGAATAACAGAAGAGCACCATGTTTTCTTGACTATAGCAGTATGGACCCGATGTATGGTTCACAGGGGCAAATTTCAGCTGAAATCTCAAATAGTTTGTGCCTTGTGCACTAGGTGTTGGACTTCGTCCATGATCGACTCCTGTCAAGGATGGCTATGTGTTAGTCCTAATAAATAGTATTCCATGCTGACCAACAAAACAATACAAATATAAAGTCGTGTTAGTTTTTGTTGTTTTCAAAATTCATATTGTTTCATTAAAACAAAAATAAGTGAGACTGCTCACTTCATTTCAGGGGTCGCTCTTTTCGGAGGTCCAGTGGGGTACGGTGGGTGTATCACTAGCAGTGGCATAGCCAGAAAATATTTTCGGGGGGTGTTTCAAGGTGCTGGTGCAATCACAATATATATATATATATATATATATAGAGAGAGAGAGAGAGAACAAAGTAAAATTTTGGGGGGTGTTCTGACACCTGAACACTCACCCTGCCTACGCGCCTGATCACTGGACCACGTGTTTAAAACCCCCACATTTGCTCCGCTTTACAGCAACAGTCTGTGGATGGCTCGTTCAAAAATATTAACCCACCTGGCCCACCCGTACACGCTGGCTCACGGTGCCCCGCTGGCAGCCCAAGCCCCACTGTCCCCCATTGCACTTCCAGAAAGGGAGTCCCCATTTCGGAGGCATCAAGACCGCGGTTCCTGAAATGCTTCGCTGTTGCTTGTTTATCTTTAGTACTACCTAATTGGTTTACAACTGCAAGTAGTGAGCATTTGTGGCATTATGACCTAGCCTGATCCACACTGTCTGATTGGAGGCAGCTATCTTAATCGTGAAAAAATAGGCGATGGGCACTCGTTAGGTTATCACTTTTACATATATACGTACTGTGCAATTTTTTCGGATGTTAAAAATTTTGGGGATGGGCATTTAGTGTGGAACGGGTGGATGTTCTACGCAGAGCTGTATATGGGGAGAGTTTGGCCAGTAGTTGTGGCGTCTAAGGTGCCGGTGAGAAGAAAAGGGAGGAAAGCGCCGAAGGAGCGAGAGAGAAAGGGAGCAAAGAGGAGACGACCGCCATTTTGACACGGCGCTGTCGGCACGGGGCACTGTTGAGGCTATGTGTCGTCTGCTACGAGGTTAGGTATTTCTTTTTTGCCTGAATCAAAATTTGCATTTAAACATAGAAAAACTTAATTAGTTAGCTTCTTAATCACCAAGGAATAACACTATCATTTTCTTGCCAGAGCCTGCCAAATAAAAGCAAAGAAGCAAAAATTGGATGTCGATCCCACGCTTCCGCCGGGCGAACGAATGAAAATGGTGGCCCTCTCTGCTCAGCTGGGAGCAGCCGAGAGTTCACGCACATGCGCTCACGCCTCTGGCTCTGCACCGCGGGCTGATTGGCCCACTGGGGAGAGGTGCGTTACGGCGGCGAGATCATGACTGGCCAAACTCTTTCCATATACGGCTCTGGTTCTACGGTTGGCTAATACAAAACGTGTGATTTTACAGCGATAGCTGCTGTGGGCACTTCCCACCACTGGAAATGACATCCGTTGTTGATGTAGTTGGTGTTGTAAGGCGTCTGTCGTTGATGTTGACAAATTCTCGAAAAAGATTGCCCGCTACCTGCTGGAATCGAACCTGGGTCTGCTGCGTGCACAGCAGAGGCATTGCCACTGAGCTACACCACGACGTTAATAACATGTCTTATATATAGGGTTTTCGTAGTATGCAATGGCTACTGCATGCACTCTCTAGAAAAATATGAAGAAGCAGCCGATAACAAAATGCCGCCGTAGCAGTGTCGATGCGAGGAGATTGTGACGGGGACCCGCTTTCACGGATTTTGGACCAAAATAAACGGAAGTGTTTAGAACGAAACGGTCAGATGTCCATTTTGTTCACGCACAAAAGGGCAAGATTCTTAGATCTACCAGTTGACAAGCTCCACAAAAGAGTGGCATTTGAAATCGGCTCATTGTTGCCTGCACAGGCACGGGCGGTTAACGTTTCTAGCGCCACCGGTGTCAACGCCTCCATGGACAACAAACGACCGTTTTCGAACGACGCTCTTTTTGCGGCGACTTACGCGCAAATTTTATGTTTACCATTAAAAACCCCAATAAAATTCCTTTCCACCGCAGGTAATCTGCATCCAAAGTGCAGCCGATTCCGCAGCTTCTGTCCATTGGGCGGGCCGATGGTGTAGAGGGCGCCACCGAGCACACACACCACGAAACTTGTCAACCAACTTTGATCTAGTAACGTTGCCCCACGGTGCGCAAACACGACGTCGATGCCCAGTAACTTCGCCGTGACGTGTCGCAGCTACTCAACTGTGGCTTAACGCGGAACTGCTAGTTTTTTGCGTATAGTACTACTCAGAAGGAAATTTTTCTGCAGAGCCCTCGGGACATCGTCTTGGCGCACCCTTGATAAAACAATGTGAAGAAGCACTAAGCTAAACCCTAAGAGCCTCTAGGTGGCATTGCAGTTCTACTCAATGTTCACCATGCGTCGTACAAAAAGATACAAAACACAAGGTTTCAAGTTCTCTGTTCATATTTATTGGGGAGATCCGATAAACTCTGGACCACAAATGGGCATCAAATATCCAACTTTTAGCACTCCACGACTCCCTGTAATGTGGCTTGAGCAATTTCGTAAGTCGCCTTTAGCAAATGCGCCGACCTCTTTTCATTTTCCCATGGGTCGTTCTCAACAACAGAGTGTTGCTTGAACCTCACAAAAATTCTTTTGGCTAATCAACCCCATCTAGTCACAGTTGGCAAAAACCGAAGCAATGCCATAAAAAGGTGAGTTTCAAGAAGCGTGTGGAAATAAATCATTGTCAAGCACGCTAAAAAAAAACAAAAAAAAAAGATTCATGCAACTTCCAAATGCCGAATGAGGAAAGGAAGGTGTTTCTCGCGGTCGGCTAAGGTATCTGCGTTATTAAATGCCAATGCCGCGTCCGTGGGCCAGCCACGGGACGCGGCGCTTGCACGCGCCCCTTCTTTACGAAGTTTGAAAACACTGAAACATAATAAAGCTGCCCGTTTCTTTTTCTCGCACGAAGCACGGTTTCCAAAATGAACGGCGCACATTCGAGAATCGAGTGTTAAGGCACACACACACACACACACACACCCAGAGAGAGAGAAACATGCACGCGTATTGAGGTCGACGACGAAACGGGCATCAACAGATACGGGCTGCAGATCCGTTTTCCCCTATTAAAACAATAATAAAGATCTACTGCAAAGACGAAAGATGAGGGACGAGGGATCCTGAGTGTGATTGGCGCGCACTAAGCCGCGGCGTAGTAGATGTCATACTCAAGCATTCAGACGACTAGCACTCTTCGAAAATATATTAGACTTCTTTTCTGGTTACGTTAGGTGGCATTTTGCACTTTTTCTTTAGAAGGGGGCTCCAGACATTCGGCTGCGGGGCTGCGCGCAGAGACCAGCTCGGCGCAACGACGGCCGCAGCGACGGGGAAAGAGAACCTTGCATTCCGAGACCAAAAAACGGGGCACAAAGTGAACAAAGAAAAAAGGACTGTTAGCTTCCGAACTCCGCTAATACAACTACTTGTTATCAAAGGTGAAGGAAGGTAGTGACACTAGACAGGATAATGCACGCACGTAAATGGTACGCGAGGATCAAAAGGGACGCTTCGCGCGGAGCGTGCGACAAGACGATTAAACTTCCAAAAAGGTTCCGGGAGAAATCTTCTAGGTTAAACGAAGGGACAGTTACTAAGATAGTACTCCAAAAACGGCACGAAGCCGTAAACCGGTCCGCAGACGACCATGTCTCGGTTAAAATCCGCCTCCCGACACGCCGTCTTCCTTTAAATGCGGAGGCCGACGGACGGCGCCGAACGCCATTCCGAGGTCGAACCAGCAACCTTTTTGGGACGTTCGGCAGCGTTTTGCATGCACCGCGGCGTGCAATTAATTCTAACCGTCGGGTCTGTGCGATAGCGGCCTCCCCTGTTATTCCATACTACTCATTGTTGCGTTTTCATGTATTTTTGTCTGCCATAAAAGAAAAAATACATTGAAATTAGTTTACACTAAGGACAAACCAGAAACTCCAAAAGGCTAAAATCGTTTCCAGTGACTGAAAAAAAAAAACACAAAAAAGAAATTCCATTTAGGGGTAAACAAGAATGTGGAAACTCGTTTTTCCGAACCTACCGAAATTGAAGTCGACAATTTCAAACTCTGACGATATTGAACTGAGACTTCCTAAATGGCACACTGGCGTACAATGTCTGGCAGACAGTTAACAACCATCAAAACACGCCGAGGCTGTCTTCTCTTCTTGGTTAAAATATTGCGGTGCCAACTCACATGAGCACTCTGGAACCACTTTTGACGTTTTCTCCGTATAGATATAACTGTCGTCTCGTCTTACAGGTAATGTCACCCTGTTCCACGTATAATGGCACAGCACATGTGCAGTTTGAGGTACAAAGGACGATTTCGGTGTTCTGATGCATGTAGCTAAAGGAGATCTGCGACGTGCTCGAGACATCGACGACGCCAACTCTGTTGAGACGAAAACGTTAACGAACATCTGGCTCGTTGTAACCTGCCAGCCCCTAGTATGCAACTACGGGCGAATTTCAAAATGACATTTAGGTTCGTACGAATGTGGCACCCTACGACGTTGGCAACGCTGCCAATGCCGTTTCTACTGCCGAGGACAAACCGAGGCAGTGGACACTAGTACGTCGGAACGGCGCGGCAACATTCCTCTAGGAGACTTGGATTCTCCGAAAAAAATGTTGGCTGCCGCCATTCCAAGGTTTAGCTTTGGAGTTCCTACTCAATATCACTTAAAAGACAAGGGCTGCACCTTCCCCCCCCCCCCCCCTCCTCCCTCCCTCCCTTCCCCAAAAAAGTCATGACAAGTGAATCCAAGCAGCGCCGCCTAGCTCATGTCTTGAGGCATCTCGCAACGGGCGCAACGCTAGCACACGGCAACGCCAAGACGCACAGGTCTGCCTCTTGGCGGCGTACTCTTGTCAAGCTTCAGCATGTTTTTCGGTTGGGGCCAATCGAGGGGGCCCACTAACAATAACATGATATGCACGCTTTGTCTTCTAGGTGACATCGCCCTACTCAAGTACTTTGGATAAACGTAATGTAACCGGTTTAACGTCGCATGAGCTCGGCGACCCTCCCCCAACCTAACGAGATTTGCCGACAACATATCGTGCTTTTCCGCGACGCTACTGCAAAAAAAATCGGTGTTTCCAAGGGCACGCCCGCTGTTCCGCGGGCCCGGCTGGCGACGGCTACGACCTCACACCAGCAGGCCGTGGTACTTGGCTCGCGGGTACTTGGCGGAGAGCTGCGGCCACTGCACCACAAAGTGGTCCGCCAGGTGGTAGAGGACGCGACCCGTGATGGAGAGGGTCTCGACGCGGCAGAAGCTCTCGACGTAGACCACCGAAGCCTTCTTGATGCCCAGGACCTGGTGGAGAAACAACGGCAACGATGTTGTACTATGGTGTACTAGAATGAAGGTTCCAACTTTTCAAACTAGATTTAGAGTCGAGGAACACGTCCCCGGTCTTGACGTTGATGAAATGAAGCAGTGCAGGAGCCTGCAGACCCTGTGTGCAGTACTGCACATACTAGAATGTGCTCGGCTCATATTTATGAACGGGTGGCTCAATATCTGCTCGAATAGTGTCTTAAACTAGAGAAACGCTTCACTTAGGTGCAGGGGTGGTCGAGGAAGTTTTGGAGCTTGGGGAACACGCTAGGGTACTTTGCGGAACCCAGCTTGAAAATTCATGTACCAGAATGTTGGGTAGTATTGGGATCGGAGCGGCTTGCGTGAGGCCCGTGGTGTAAATGGTGACAGGTGTCAACGCTGTTGCATTCTTCACAAGCTTGTGCGCGGCAATAAGCACGAGAATACTAAATTTATGCGTCGTTCGGCAGTCTGGGCTGTGGGTAAAATGGTGAAGGATGAAGCAAGAAGCGGCGTTGTGAGCGCCCATCGCCGAACCACGCTGGACCCAACACTACCCGAAATTGTAGTATGATGGTTGAACCGCTTCGCCAACAGTTGATGATGCCGTGGCCATTTCCTCCGCGGAAAACTATGTGCACAGACTTTGCGAAAAGGTAGAGCTATTTTCGAGTGAATGTGACAACGAGGTAATGAAGTGCCTCCTGCTAAAGCGCTGTGGAAATGGCTTCGCAACAATGCAAACAATTCGAAATTCAAAGACTAACTTTGAAGCGTAACGCTCCAATGCCCCCAACAAAATGTATTGCCCTTTCATGTCTGATACTTACGGCGAGGCCGAATGCGGTCAGCACAATGGGCACGCAAGTTCCGGGACCATTGCAGACGATCTGCACACACAACAGACGGCATGCATTCGGATGTGGAACTTAAGAGATCTGATACGAGAATGCAATAAAATATTTGTATATTGACATGTTTGTCTCTCTGCAGTTAGTAGCTCCCAAAGGAGCGAACAAGCTACTGCCCCATGTCGACGCCTAGGAAGCTCAAGTGATGAACAACAAGCCCACAAAAAGATAAACTCGTGATTACTGCCTCGTTCGACAGTCCGTGTGGTTGCCTATTGCCAACCAGGCTGACCTTCTTGGAGAGCCATTTGTAACGTTTCATCTAGTCACGTGTTTCAGCAATTCTTGCAGATCTTGCGACCTGCTAACGTGACAGCGAACTGAGGCCGCAAAAGTCACATGACTAGGCGAGGGCATGTGACTTTTCAGACATCAATCTGCAGAAGGGGTGATGCAACATCTTACCACGTCCGGCATGTGCCGCAGCAGGACGGGCAGCGACGTCACCAAAGCAAAGAGGGTCGTCGGAACCGTGGTCAGCCAGGACTGGTGCAGTTCCCGACTCCGCGGGATCCGCTCCACCACATAGTCTGATGGCTCGGCCATCTGCAAACAGACAAGCCCATCAGTGCAAAGAACGGGAATATTAACTTCCGCAGCAATTGCCCGATAAGCAGCCACAATCCAATCCAGAAAAGCATACCCGAAGCTGCCTGGAGTGCCAAGTGCCAAAGCGCGACAAATGTGGACACAGAGCAATTGTTTTTCTAGAACAGAGGTTGTCGAAAAACGCGAATTTTAAATCGAAGAATGTTTTCTGGTGTCCATTTATTTCTAAAAAAATCAAAGTATTTCAGCAATTTGAGTTTAAATTTATTTTAAAATTTATCTATGCCCTTATAACGCTTTACAATGATCATAATGCAACAGCCATTGCAAGCCACGGACAAATATGAACATGGGATGAAGTTTGAAAACTCTTTAGGGGGATAGCGAATCAAATTTAAATTTTTCTGAAAAAAATGTTTTTTATAGAAAATGATATGTTTATGTTAATTAACTTCCAAAGAATGGTTTTAGAAACTTTCATTTAAAAACATGCAAGATTTATCTCGCAATAAATTATTTTCGACATGTCGGCAGCCCTCCCAGTCAGCAGGGAGCAAGTTTTTTGCGTTTTTTATTTAGTGCTGCTTCATACTCGTTTAACATAGCCAGAACATCTCACCCTCATTGGAAGCACCATTTACTCTGGATTTAGCCCGTAGAACCTTTTCAATTTTAAAAGTATCAATGGCAAGGAGACCCCTATACATACAAACAGAAAAAGTCCTGAAAATTTTGTATGAGCAATCTTATTGGTTGAGACCCCAAACAGGGCTTACGATTGGTCCTGCCCGGTGACGTGATATTGTTTTATCTTCAGTGGCGCCCTTTCACAGTATCTTCTACTTCAGATCATATTCCTGCTTCGCTGCTTTTCCTTTGTCTGATTTTCCTCTTAATTCTTGTCAGTTTATCTGTCAAAAAATGCCTGCTACAAAAGTTAGCTTGCCTACAAATGACACAAATTGGTAGCTATTACCAGGGGAACAACAAAGTCTCAAAGAGGAAGGTGCTAACAATGCTCCAGGTGAATTTTGCCTACCTCAAACTTGTAGAAAAGAAAGAAACCTAAAGTTGAAACTTCAAAAGCATTTTTCTTAGTTTCACTTTTTCGCAGTAAATGGTGGTATGAGGAAATGTATCATTTAACATTTTGAAAGTGTGAAGATTTCATTCAGTGGTGTCTAAGATTGAAATTTCCTGAGAAACAAGTTAAGGTACTCGTAACCTGAAAAAGCTAAACTCTTCCCGACAAAAACTGAATATTTTCAAAAACAGAAATATGTTGATTTGTGTGTTATTGTTCTTCTCTAGAATTGCATTTTCTACAATTGATTTGTACCTTAACCTGCACTATGTGTATTCTACTTCCTATTAGACCAAACCTTTTGTGGATTGCAATTATTTTTTTTAAATACATTTCCTAATAAAGTAACTTTTTTCTGGAGCTTGTTAACCCTTTCATGGTCGCATTTTTTTGTTTAAAAGCCAACATACACTTCGCGCTTTCCACTTTGCCCGCCAACTCCTTTCCTATATCCTCTCCACGTTTTACCTTGCCCCAACCTGGCTCCCCCTCATAGCTTAGGAGAGGGGAGCGCTAAGAGGATCATCTTCCCTGCAGAAAACCGATGTTGTACGTCGGCCTTTAAGCATAGTATGTTGTAGAATTGGCCTACAAGACTGAAACGTTAGATGTCATCAAACCTAATGGGGTTCAATTCACCCTAAAAGTTTGAATCAATTTGAGGGAATGGTTCAGAGGTTAACCCACCCAGGCCATGTTCAACCTTAATTGTGCAAAGCTTTTAGTTTTCTCTGTATCCTGCTACCGATCTGCTCCATATGATCACAAACATTGAGCTGCTTTCGAGTAAAATGTTTCCACCACAAGGAAGGCAAGTTGCTCTTGCTTCTTTTGCAGGATTTAACAGATGAAAACTGCCAGTGTAATTTCGAGCACTGTCGTCCAGCTCTGGCCTGAATCGAACAAAGACGTTGTGACAATCCATGGTGACCAACTGACTGACCTAGCTCTCTTGTCACTCCATTTTAAGATTATTCCAATGATGGGACTAGCAGGGTGCTTGACTCTAGGTAACTGTACATGCCCACTGTACGTCTAAGACGGAAGAGTTTCAACAAAAAAAGTTTACAGCCTACCATAAAATACCGGGCAAATGCCCACTCAAACTTTGGAGATAATCGCAAAAAAATGGGGGATGGGCACTTGTCTGGTCATCAATTTTACATATAAATGTACTCTGTGTATTTTCTCAGAACTAACAAATTTGATAATGGGTGCTTAATGTGTAATACGTGGATGCGCGGTATTCTACGGTACTTATGCCATAAAAGATACTAGAAACTAAAAAAAACTCCAAAGCTTTTTTTTTTTTTTTTGCTCTCTGGCAGCTTAATACACTACCTGTTCATATAGAATTTTTTTACTGTTTTCACTTTAACAAGAAATAAATGAAAAACATAATTTCTGATGGGCTTTCATTTAATAGTTCTGCCATACTGTTGCATCAGCAACTTTTACCGTATCTTAACTGTGGCTGCCCATAACTATTTACGACAGCAGTCAAGCTTGTTCGTTTGGATGATGCCCAAAACTAAGTCCACTATAGAAGAATACAACGAGCTTCTTTTCGCACCATCAAACCTGTCATTCGGGGCAGACAATAAGTCGGGTCGAACAAACAACAGACAATGAAAGGGCAGATTTGAAGTCACATGATCTAGGGTGTGTCCATCGACGCGATCCTGCCCGCCATACTCCTGTGTTGCAATTTCATCTGTGAGCGAGATCGAGACTCTACAGCACTTAAAATGATGCCAAACTTGCCTGTTCTAAGCGAACAAAATGCCACAAAAAGTACATCCACTCTACAAAAATATGGCAGCTTGATGCCGTACCGAAGCTTCACATGCTCAAACTCCAATCTGGCTAAACTCCTGCAGCCGTAAAAACTAGACGATTGCACGGTGAAAGCACCTAGATAAAGAATATCCTCTGGAAGAACACTTCGCCTTCATTTACAACTTGTTTTTGCATGATGCAATCTCTGACGCCACAGAAAGACAGGATTGCAAGCTGAACTAGTTGCCTTACGGTATTCAGATGAAGGTTACTCCTGTTTTTGTGTGACCCCTATCTGCACTGTTCTGATATGTCCTGAGCATCAGTCTATGAACACGGTTATGGAAAAACATATATCTCGTGAAGTTGTAAAATGATGCAACTGCATAGCTAAAGCATCCCGGTAAAAGCACTGTTCCATAAAATGTGTGAATGTTAGCTACACTTCCCAGCGTACTGCCATATGGTTCCGATATTTCGGACGTGGCCAAATCCGTTTCTAACCTCTGGGCTGTCGCTGTCGTCTTTCTTGGATGACAGGAATCTCAACAGCAGGGCTTGCGACGAGGACGCAACCCTCCACATTTCGAGCTGCTTCGCCTTGTCAGCGCTCATAGGATCCGTGGTAGCCGTCACGTAGACTCTTGGACTGTACGACGACGTCGAGATGTTTTCGACCAGCTTCAACATCTCGAACGTGTGTCCGCCTGTCAAAATAAACACGAAGATGACTCGACAATTTTACGCTAAGTATGGCGTTCCGAGAAACGAAGCATAAACTCGCAGAGTTATTTAGACGGCGCACGGGAAGCAAGCAAGAGCTCTTACCTGATCCCAGCACGATCATGAGTTTGGCTGGTCGTGTTTTGGTGGTCTTGCAGGCATCGCCAGCGTGCCTGATTCTCAGCAAAACGAGGATGACTCTGAAGAGTAGCAACACCGCAAGGGAGAGGACAAAGTGTTGCAGGTAGGATGCGTAGCTCGTTGCTTCCATTGCACTCAGCTGGATCGCCGCCAGTTGGTTTGATATCGGAACGGAATCGGTGTTGCTAAATGGCCCACGTAGCTGGGAGAAATTTCTTTTCCTCGAGCCTCGCTTGGTCGACGACGCTACATTTCGTGGGTTCGACGGACTTCTTCGTGCTCCTCGGACGTAATTTCGACGGATCGGCGTCCGCTCTGAAAAGATCCCGATCCTTAATTACTACGTCGCATAATTGTTCGCGATAAATATCTAACGGGACTGTACTCTGGCGTAGCCATTACACAGCGTGACGTTGGGTTGGAGGATAGTGCGTGGATTTTGTTGTTTTTGAGCATAATATAAAAACATTGATTACCATTTTTTTTATTTCTTATTTTAATGTTTATTGTTTGAGTTTGATGGCCTGGTGTGCGCAAATTTTAGTTAAATTTACAAAAGGCCAAATAGTGCGTTCGTTTAACAAAATTACCTTACAAAGCGGTAACATGCAAACTCTTTGTGGTTAATATTTGTCACGTGTTTTTAACTTAGCATTACGAAAGTTACGTGTGTAAGATTTAAACGAGTTACTCCTTGACGTCATATGCGTGTAGAGTTCAACGGTGGAGTTGCACATATTGTGAATACTGGAACACATCATTTAGATTAGCGTGGTGCCTGGTTTTGAGAGTTTCAAACATGAAGGAAAAGGCGACCACACCGGCGGCTGAAGCCGAGCAAAAACCGGCTAAGGAGAAGAAAAATGAAGGCGAAAAGGAGCTGGAAATGGTATTTAAGATGTTTTTGATCGTCTGCTGTCATAGTCTGACAATTAACTTGGCTGTCTTGACTGCATGCCTCTCAACCGAACAACCCCATACAAAATCTTGCTGTCTCATTTCATGCTTTCATCTCGAAATGATTGACTTGCGCGGTTGAATTTACAGATTCAGAAACTAGAGTTAAAAAAGTGTTTTACAAGTTAGAAGCCACCTTTATTGGGAGTAGCTTGTGAACAAACTTATTCGATTTCGTTGACAACTGAGGTCGAGCTGGTTGTGAAGTTGGTGTTGCGTGATGGCGCCCTGCCTTTCGCTATTTCGGTTTATTTTTTGGGGTGAGGTTGGAAAATTACTTTTAGACTGGGTCAGAGCCCTTCAAGAAATCTTCGGGCTGCTGTATTCTGTTTGATGTGTGGGGGTCATTCACGTCCGTGTTTTGGAGATTCACTCACGTCGCTTACTCTTGCTATCTCACGCGTTGAAAAGTGTCTTGTCATGCAATTTTGTTGTTCATCCAATTTCGTTGTTTGTTTCTGGTTTATTTTAGTCCGAGGAGGACAAACTTCTTCAAGAAGAGCTGGAAATGCTTGTGCAACGACTGTCCGTAAGTTAAAATCCAATTATTCCTTTTTTTCTTTTTCTTTTTTTTTTTTTAATTTCACATTTTTGCTTGGTGTACTACCACCAAAGGGCCCAAAACCCAGTACCGTCGACAAAGCCTCTTTATTGAAACCAACAAGAACATTTTTTGGCTATGAACGATCCATTTAGCAGTTGGAGAAGATATGTTGATATGGCAAAACCTTAAAAATAGCGAAACATTGAAAAAAAAAAAAAAAACTTTAGCCAACAGCTTTTCACGACACAGGATGCATTGCAAGAGTATCACGATAATGGCCCATGACATGAACGAACAAATAAAGTGCACAGCTTTAAGAAACGCATGTGCTCATGCAAATAAAGGCCCGTTCACACTCTTGCGACCGAGTCCGACCGAGAGAGACGAGATCTGTTAAAACTCCTTAAAATTTCTTAGGACGAGGGAACACACTTGCATTGTGGAGCCATATATGCGGTGACCCTGGAACTGCATTTCACAAGAGCGAAGGTTCTGCGGGATTTCCGAGGTCAAATGTGCGTAATACCCATAAAAACGGCACGTCTATAACGTTGACAAACGTTTTTTGAGCCAAGAAAGAAAGGATAATGTGCGAGAGAAATAGAAAATATGCCGGACCGCCAAGTTTCCACTGCTACCCAATAGATGGCGCCAGTGTGTCTTCTGGTTGTAAGAGGTTTTAAGGAACCTAGTTTTAAGGGGTTGTGAGAGTGTGAACGGGCCTTAATTCATTTTGAAAAGCTGCACTTTTGAGCCATTGCTTTTGACAGCTCCACACGCAACTTCTAAGGTGGATACTTGCCAGCATTTTCTAGAAGACCTGTGAGCTTTAAGCACTTAAACTGTTGCCTAAAGACTACTCTATGCTCCGGTCTATAAGTCGCAGCCCCCTATAATCGGCCATTTTCATGAAGTTTATGTGTAAGTCGCCTTTGTACAAGTCACACTTTTTTGGACTATGGGCAAAACAAACCTGGGTTGTTAAGCCCGCTTACTAGTGATGCAAAACTATCGATAAATTGACTATCGATAGTTTTTCCAAAACTATCTATAGTGTCCCAGAACTATCGATAGTCGACTATAGATAGTTTTTTGATGGTTGACTATCGATAGTACTATCGATAGTTTTTCGATACTCGACTTTCGATAGTCGACTATCGATAGTTTTTCTATAGTCGACTATCAATGTTTTTTTTACTATACTGGCGTCTAATGATACTATCGCTAGTGCTATCGATAGTCTTTCACCACTATAGTCCGTTACAACTCAAGAAGGTAGGGCGAGGGTAAGATGGGCCGGGGAGGAAGAAGCAGACGGAACGCTAAAGAGAGAAGGAGGTTTCCCCCTCTCTTCTCCAGCGGTTTGTCCGCTTCCTCCTCCCCGGCCCGTCTTGCCCTCGCCTTACCGCTCGCCTCCCCCTTCTTTTTTTGCCCAAACCCCCATCTTCGTCATCACTGAAAGCTGAACCAAAGTTGGGATGGTAAATGCCTGGGCTAGTTGGTGCCCCGTTTGAAAAAAAAATTAAAGCGATAAATAGACAAGAGGGAGCAACGCAGACTACTAGTGTCGCAAAACTATCCATAGTAAACTGTCGACAGTACTATTGATAGGTTTACGATAGTCGACTATCGATAGTTTTTCTATAGTCGACTATCAGTACTATCGATAGTTTTTCGATAGTCGACTATCGATAGTACTATCGGTAGTTTTTCGATAGTCGACTATCGATAGTACTATCGGTAGTTTTTTTCAGTATCGATAGTCAGATTTCTGGCGACTATCGATACTATCGATAATACTATCGATAGTTTTGCACCACTATTGCTTACATGTATTACTGTTATTGTGATAAATGTGCAAGCAGGAGCCAGTTTGAATATTCCTGGCAATAAATCAGACAGGAAATAAAAAAAAAAAAAGAAACTCTGAGTGCATTATGTTATTGCGTATTGTGTGTCACAGCGACAGCAGTTCGATGCTTGCGTAATTCGCTGTAATTATGTCATTGTTGTCGTGTCTGTGCGTCTTCCTAAGCACGCTTCTGAGGACTTTCATGCCATTTCTGCTTCCGCTCTCGATTCTACTCCCGTGCCTGAGCCCGTACTCCATCTGTGGTGAGCCTCCCTAGAACGCCATAACCGAAACCCGCTTTCTTCGAACCCGTTACAAACTTTCCAAGGTCTAGCCATACGGCATACAAGTTTGTCTGCTCAGATGGTCGTGCGCATACGCCGGTGTAACGGTGTGTCGGCTACAGCTTCTATCAAAGTGGGAATGGCAGGTTGTCTCTTTCAAACGCCCAGCCTGCAGCCAGCATGCACTTGTTGGTTTTCGACGTGTGCGTGCACTTTCCAGGCACATAGTTTTTGCGAAGGATGACAACGCAATTCCCCAGGAACAGTCGCTGTAAAATGCGTATTGTGTAAAATTCCACGTTAGGTCCCTCCTCCAGAAATTAATCAATCCCTTTTTTATTCTTTTTGGGTTAGATATTGATAACATAAAAAGTTCAAAACATCGCCTAGCCCCGATACCCGCCTGATATTGAAGGCATGATCTCCGACGAGAATCTCTCATTTTGTTGTCTGCGTCCTGCGCCCGTGGTATTGGTTCCCGTGATATGCGAGCGTGGAGGAGTTTCCCATGGGCTTATCGCACGGTGGAACATAAATCTGCTGCTTTGCGGTATCCATTCCCGTGACGGGGGAGTTTGTAGTAAATTCCCGTGTGTTTATCGCACCGTAAGACGTCAGTTCGCCGGGTCTGTGATCCGTGGTATCGATTCCCTTTTTACGTGGCAGGGCCCCAGTGTTTATCACAAATGTTTTATAAAACTTTGCTGTCACATTTCTAAAGACCGCTGACCATTTATTCCTTCATTTTGGGTGAATATACTCACGGGATTTTATGGTTAGTCGCTTCGCCGAACAATACTCGCCAATAGAAGTTTGGGGAAAAAAAGCTGTGACCGGAAAATATGGAACACGTTTGTCCCCCGTCGGAATATGTGGCGTCTCGAACCGTCGTATGCCGAGTTATGCTTGTTCTTCGCTTCTGCAGGAGGACAACTCGGAGCTGTACTTGGCCGCCCTAGAGAGCTTGCGGACACAGATCAAGGCTTCCACGACGTCCATGACGTCGGTGCCTAAGCCCCTCAAGTTCCTCAAGCCGCATTACAAGACGTTGCAGGAGGTCTACGAAAAGATCACAGAAACGGAGACCAAGGTGAGCGTTGCCGCTCTTTGATCTGTGGGTGGTGGTACCGTCGCAGTGTATGTCGACGACAGTTTAAGGCATGCAGAGCTCAGTGATTCGTTCTTCGGTGTCCTTGCCGACCAATGCACAGTGTCATTGGCTCCGGAGCTGCAGTGAGACATTTGGAACTCTCCGCACCCTGCAACTAACAGTGACTACAGCCGTCCTGATGCCGACAACTGTGTCAAAGGCAAAATTGGGGTTTTCTTCATTTGATGTGGCACGTACGACCTGTAGGTCCAATACCCGACTAAAAAAACATGGTTTCGTTAAAGTGCAGAAAGGGATGCAACTTCACCAGTGTCTTTCAAAGGGTAGCCTAACGTTTGTCACAAATCGACGTAAGCTCGGCCAGACTATCAGATAATGTCCTGAAGTGGGGGAATAGTTTGTCGGAAATGGATGCAAGTTATGTGTTGCATAAATAATGGCCTAAAGTGGTGAAACTTTTTTTTTAAGAAATTGGCACAGGTTAAGCCGCATTGTCTATATAGTAGCCGAATGTGGTGAAATTTTGTAGCATGAGCTACACTGGCCATGGTTGAGCAGTTTCGCGTGGCTCGCATAATGGGGCCATGCTGCGCATGCGCGAGGAGCAGGGACGTCACACGGCGCACAGTGGGGGCGCCGGAGCCGCCGCGCTCGCCTCGCTGGTCTGTGCATTCCAGAGGAGTGACGTCATAGCCGCGGCACACGCACTGGCGCCGCCGCGTGCCCAACTGTGCGCCTCCGTTGCGCACTAGCCAAGTCTGACGCAGCACCGGAGCCGCTTGATAGCGACTCTCATTTTGTGCACATAAGCTCACGCTACGTATATCCTGGCGCAACCGAGCTAAGCCACCGCAATTTTTTTTCACAACATCGTACCTACCGTAATTTATGTAGAAGCGCCCATTTCGTTCAAGCGCCCACTATTAATGGGACACTGAGGTCATTTCTGCAAATTCTTTAAAATTGTTAGTTCCAACATATACCAAGTCTTATATTACAAAACCGCCTATTCATCTCAAGGCAATAGAAAAACATGTGGACTCTTTTTTTCTCGCGGGCTACATTGTGTGGACCAATGAAAGCCCTACAATACTTGCAGAATCCGAATGATGTTATAATAATGTGTTCCGAAGAGAGTCTGATAGGTACACATTCGGATAAGACTCCTCTTTTTTTCCGCGAGCGAAGCCATCGCTTCCAACTCGCCGACAAGCGCCCTTCGTCAACCACTTCGCTCGGAAGAAAATTCTTCCCAAAAAGGGCGTGTCGCGTTCTTCGAACACGCTTTTAACGAGGAAATAAGGTATGCACGGTTGTGGTTGCAGGTTTGTTGGGATTCTTAAAATGTCTAGATTGAGTTGTCACCACAAAAGGACACTCTCAAAATCGACTTCAGTGCCCCTTAACTTGTTCCAAACTTGGGAATTCTACAAATTATATGTTAAGTGCCCGATTTGACTGGATAAGCACCCATGTCTAGATAAATCCAGTTTTTAGTGGGGTAGTTGCTCCCCCAGTATTTTACGATAGGTGTTTCAGGACTTCGTTAACAACATTTCAGTACCCTTGCCAATCGGATGCCATGAGATGAGTGGAGTATTCTCCGAAAAAACGAAAACCCATTCTTTTCTTCGCTGTTCCCGTTGCAAAACCACCAATTTCAGGTGGACATGGCCTGAAAATCGTAAAACTAAATGTGCTGCTTTGGTTTCTCCTCAGAGTTTCTGTGCAGACATCGTCTCGATCCTGGCCATGACCATCAGTGAGGAGCGGGAGTGCCTCAAATACCGGCTGCTCGGCTCACGTGAGGACATCGGCTCCTGGGGTCATGAATATGTGCGGTAGGTCGCATTCTGTTTCTTGGACGAGTGTTTTTAGTCATGGGGCCGTCCGCTGCGAGCTTCTTCGAATCCCGACGGTGTGACTGTACCACTGGGTGCCCAAAACGACGGTTGTCACCTTGAGGCTTTGTCTTCTAGCTCAAGCTCTACGTGTGACTGGAATGTAGCCAGAGGCAACTGCCTAAAATGTGCACAAAGTGAGCCCGTACCATGTCTGCACTGCACCGTGTCTGCACAGGCACCATAAACTTAATACAAATATGCTGTGAGGATAGTTAATTGTAATGTAACACCTGAGACTCTGATGCAGAAAAATTTAAGTTGAAGAAAAAGACAACAGCAGGAGAATGTCTTGACCACAGCTAACTTCCTTTATTTTTCTCGTTCCTTATATAAAGTAGAACCTTGTTGATATGTTTATCAGGGGACCACGGGAAGAAAACATATGTTCCGGCAGAGCATAAAAAAACGAGAAGGCCTTTAAGAGCTGGAGGCTCGGCGGGACCGGTGGTTTTGGACTTAAAAGCCGGGAAAACGTAAAAACCGGGAACTTATCAACGAGGTTTTACCACACCCAACGCTCAAGTCCTGTTCATATATGCACTCATCGTGGACACGACAGGGTGGCCTGAACAACAAGTTGTGTCCACAGAGAGAGTATATTTATGAAGATGGCTTGAGCATCGGGTGTATACAAGGAGCTGTGGTTGAGACATTCTCCTGCTGTTGTCTTTTTCTTGACTTGAAAGTTGTTAATTTTCAAGTTTACATTAAATTCATTATCACAAGCTTGCCTGCAGACTCACTGTTATTTTGTAAGGATAGGTTTCCTTTCCTCACAGGAGACGTTCTCGGCTACCGTAAAGTTCCGCAAGGACGCCCTCCCCTGAGATATCGCCCATCCCGTTTTCCTGGCTAAATATCCGTAACATAAAAATGACTTAAAATCGCCCTCCCTCCCAATTTCTGTGGGACGTCACATGATGTCCAATGGAGTTCATAGCAGATTCCCGCGTTTTTGTTCATGATCTGCGCTCGCGATATCTGTTCTTGTGACGGGTAAGTTTGTAGCGGGTTCTTGAGGGTTTATTGCATCATCAAACTTGAATCTGCCGCGTCTGCAATCTGCGGTATCTGTCCCTGTAAGATGCAAGTTTTCGGCTGGTTTCCATGGGTCCTTCGCAACATGAAATGCGAATCTGCTGCGTTTGCGACCTGTGGTACCCTTTCCCGCGGCACAGGAGCTCGTAGCGAATTCTTTTGTGTTTATCACATGGTGAAACGCACTATTGCTATGTCTGCGACCTGCAATATAAGTTCCCGCGTCATGTGGGTTGTAGAGGGTGCCTAGGTGTGTATCATTATTTTTTTTTATGAAGTTTTGCTGTCACATTCCTAAAGATAGCCCACCCCCTGTTTTCACCATTTATCTCTTCCTTTTGGGTGGGTTCTCTCACGGGATTTTATAGTATCTGCCTGCATCGACGATAAGGAGTGCTCACTGGCCACTATTGCTGTGTGCATCATTGTTAAGTGCAACCAAACTTAAACCTTTCCCAGGACTCGTCTTGCATCGTGAAATCTCTCGTTCCGACATCACGCCACCGCTGTCAGCATGGCGCCTGCACATATACCTTGCCTCACGGAAGTGTGGTATTGGATTGGATTGGATTCTTTGGCTTCTTCGGCTTCTTCTTTATAGCGAGTGACCACCATGTTTCATATTACGTGTTTTCGCAACAGTGATTTGAAGCACCATCTCGGTGCTTAAAGTCATTGTTGCCAGTTCTCTGAAATCGCAGGAACCATTTTTGGCTCCAAGCGCCGAACTCGGAGTGCATGCATGGACAATTGCAGACTCGTTTTTGAGCAAAGCGTCTCTCCGCAGGCACCTTGCGGGGGAGATCTCGCAGGAGTGGTCCGAGGTGGGGGAGGGCCCCGAGCAGGAGGCCAAGCGGGAGGCCCTGCTGCGGCTGGCCCAGCAGATCGTGCCCTACCACATGGCCCACAACGCGGAGGCCGAGGCCTGCGACCTGCTCATGGAGATCGAGCGTCTCGACCTGCTCCAGGCCTACGTCGACCAGGAGGCCTACCCGCGGGTCTGCCTCTACCTCACCAGGTGGGCGGCACACCCCCTGCCTCGTTTGTGTTTCCGGTGTGAACTTGCCGGTGCCGCGCTCTCTCCCTCGCTGTTGCTATGGTGCCTCAAACCCGTCTACGACCGGTGCATTCGCCGTATCCTAAAAAGTGGTCTCTCGATTTCCGCCCGACGTCTTCGTAGAAGCGTCACGCTGTTGCCGGCCACGATTCTGGCGTCGTCGCAGCGGCGGTGGCAGACGCCTGTTCCGCCGCAGGTCACTCTTTGGCGCGACAGTCCACTGAAGCTTCGGCGGTTTTAGGAGTTGGGATTCATGTTTTTTTGCTCGTGCTTTTCATCGGAACTTCTACATCCGGCGGCACGAAACTCTGGCTTTTGAAGCGGCAACAAATCGCTTGTTGCCGCTTCGGGACCACTTTCGACGCATGGGTGGAATAGGATGCTACAAGCACCGGTGGGGCGCGCGTTCCAGGTGCCACACCTTTGCAAAAAGTCTGAGTAGCTCTTCTTCGTAGAGAGAGTTTTTACGAGATAGTGAGCTGAGGATAGTAGTGCTGGCGGCACCGTGTGATTCTGCCTGCTGTCGTGGAAAGTGCAGGTTACTTCCGACCGAGGACGACGGTAGGCTCGTTCGATTTAGCTGCACCTCCTTCGCCGGTGCAGAAAAGTGTAGGGCAGTGTATTTCCGGTATGTGTATTGAGATACAACCGCAAGTAGACTGTCGTGAACTTCTATTGCATTCATTAGACGGCACTTGTTTTGAAACTGTTGTTTTCTAATTCAAGTAAGTTGCCGGCGTCACCATTACTCCGACACGTCCTTGCTGCAATACCCCAGGCATGAAGCAAGAGAGGGTGCCACTGAAACCACTCGCTACCGTTCCTCCCCTCGTTTCTGAGTTTTAAAGCAGCAGCTTTAAGCGCGATCCAAACCAATGCTTCTCTTTGCGCCTGTAGGTCGTGCGGCTGCGGATGTGACGCATTTTCGTGACGTCGCGCCGCTTCTTCGCTCCTTCCGGGCGCGCACAAGAAAGTTGGATAATTTCAACTTCTTCTCAACGCGCACAAAAACACGCGGTGACGTAGTGGGACGCTCCTGTGTCCCGGCCAATCGGTGGAGGGCAAGCTAGTTCCGGCTCCGTGTTTCTCGCCGTCTGGCTGCCCTCTCCTCCCCCCCTTTTATTCTCTTCCAACATGACAACGCGATCTCTCTCTCTCTTTTTCTCGCCGTCTGGCCGGCCAGTCTGTCGGAGTTGCACTTTGCTTGTGCACTTGTGCCTGCGTGCGCGCGTGCGCGCTCGCCCGATGTTTTGCTCATCCAAACCAAAGCGCACGGTTCTGACTCGGAAAGCGCGCCCGGAAACAGCAAAAACGCCACGAAATGCGTCACATCCGCAGCCGCACGACCTACAGGCGCAAAAAGAAGCGTTGGTTTGGATCGCGCTTTATAAGGCCAACCAACCTCAAGAGCCGCGTAAGCAGGAAATGTGTAGATCGGTCAGTCTGTCGCCGCTGGGCGGTCTTAAGGAAAACGGCAACCGGTGCCAGGGATTGAAGCCCGGTCACCGGCGTAAAAGCCGAGTCCACTGCTGACTGAGCTACCAACCCAGCATGCAGGAACAGGAGGTGCAGAAGCCGGTGGTGTGAGAAAGCATGTCGAGCAAAGAGGGACGGAAAGGGCAAGAAAGGGAGGAGCAGAAACAGGTGGTGTAGAAAGAGCCCGTGGAACAAGGAGGAATGGAAAGAACAGGAAAGCATGCTTTCCATCTCTTGGTGGCCCAGAAAATTCAGTGCAAAGGCTTTGTATGTGGCTGGTGCTGAAGGGAAGCGCGCGCAACATTACTAAGAGAAAGATGTGATGTAATCTGTTTTCAATCAAAACCTTGCCCTAGGCACTGCCCACGCCATAAAGTTACCTCATTTAAAAGTTTTTGGCAGAATGACCAAATATGCAACTAGTTTGTCTCTTTGTCCATAGTGAAGCCATTAACCAGTGCTGCCTATTGTGAACCGAGTCGGCACTCCTCCATATGCGATAGAAACCTTTAGCTTCCTTGTATTCCGGGCCATGCAAACATTTCCTGTCGACCTCCTCCGCCCGTAACATAGTCCCGGGCACTCGTTAGATCCCGACCGGAGTAACCCCTCACGTGCCTTGTTCCCGCAGCTGCGTGCCATACGTGCCGGAGCCCGAGAACACAAACCTGCTGAAGACGGCCATGGAGATCTTCCTCAAGTACGAGCGCTACCCGGAAGCTCTGCGGCTGGCCATGCAGCTCAACAGCCTCGAAGTGGTCCAGAGGATCTTCATACAGTGCAAGGACCCGTGAGTGGATCGTTTTGTGCTTCCATCTTGCTTTGCATTAGACTTTGGTTAGTGGACTTCTCTTAAATGCGGAAGTCTTGGCCAGGGTAATATTAGAGCGCAGCTCTTAGGCGCCCGTTTTCGGCTTGAGTGGCGACGTCGTTGCTGTCAGCGTAACTGCACGTTGCACTATGGGACGTTTCCCATAATAATGTCACGTGAGGCGTCATGAGGGCCAAATTTGGAGGGAAATTTTTCGCTAAATTTTTTCCTCGTGCCGTTGCGTGTGACGTCATGCGAGTCATACGTGACGTCACTCAACCTGGGAACATTTTCTTGCTTAATTTAGCTGGAAAATTTTGCTCCAAAATTTTACCCTCATGACGCCAGACAAGACATCACGTTTGATGGCACGTGACCCTCCCCTCCGTACCCTCGCCCCCTCCTCCTCAAGAGCTGTGCTCTAATTCGGCAATACAGAGAATTGTAAACGTCTAGATTTTTTGGAAAAAATATTCTAAGGTCGATGAATATGTGTACTTCATTTCGAAATTCAGTATAGGGATAATTATGACATTACACAATTACTGTAACCCAGTTCAACAAACACAAATCAGCGCGTAGGAACTTTGGCGTATCAATACAATGGACCAATAGGGGTGGTAGAATTGGGGACGAGAGTAGGCTATAGTAATGACACAGGACACTGCTGAGAATGATATAGAAGAGACCGTAAGGGAATCCAGATGTAGTTGCACGGACATAAACCGGGACTAATTGCTGCGATGCTGGAAAGGACAACGTGTGATGTGCTATATGGCAAAAGTACCCGCGTAACATCGCAGTTTCCTGCCATTCTTTCTGGTATTTTATTTTGCATATTTCGTACCCGTCGCAGCGCCGTTCTTTTACGCGTTATTATTTTTCTTGGAAGCAGGCCACTCGTCACTGTCGCACGCCAATCGAAATGCCGCTGACAGGCGAATTTTGTTTACAATTTTTTTAGCTTCTCTCTTTGTCATTATTTATTTATTTTCTTTAGGCACGTGGACTTTTTTTGTCATTTTGGGCCGGGATTTTACGTTACGGGGGGGAAGGGATTTTCAATTCACCTCGGCATAAGGCAGAAGAAGACAAGATTATTAGGTAACCGTTGTTCGAAGCAATTTATTGATACTTGCAGTTCTTTGACCACTTCATTACAAATGATTTACGTTGCGGTTTTGAGGTATCGAGCGAGTTAGGGGAACTTAAATGATGCCTTCCAAGATTTCAACAACCTAAAAAATAACGCATTCTTTTTTATGGGTATTTAAAGTTGAGAGCCCCTCTTAAAATATCTTTTACACATTTTCTTCCTTTATTTTTTACTTTCTTTCGCGCTTGTTTTTTTAGATATAGCCATTCACGAGGAAGTTGCAGCACTGTACGAGTCTTTCATCTTCTTTGTTTTGTTATGTCTCTCTCCTGCAGTTATTGTGCCAAAGTTACCGTGGCGGCAGAAACGGCGGCATTGTGATCGCATTTAGCTCGACGCTGCATCACATTCTGCATTACCACTGCCTTTGCGATGATAGTGGGGAAAAGGGGTGATTTACTTTCGTTGTGTCGACGTGGTAAGAAGACAAAAACGAAACTTGTCTACTGGTCATATTTAGAGATAATTTAAAAAGAAAAACAAAAAAAACAACGAAGATCTGAGAACCTTTTTTAATTTGTCCAGGGACGTGCAGAAACAGATGGCGTTCATGCTGGGACGCCAGCAGATGTTCCTGGAGCCCAGCGACGAGATCGAGAACTATGACGACCTCGCCGAGATCGTGTCCAACACATCCATCAACGACCACTTCATGGCCCTGGCTCGAGAGGTGAGCTCACGAGGTGGCGCATTCGTTTTGACGCGTCGTCCTTTGCCCGCCTTTGTAAACCGCCCCTTTTTGTGCCTCGCCCTCCCTAGCTGGACATCATGGAGCCCAAGACTCCGGAGGACATCTACAAGTCGCACCTTGACAACACACGTAGGTGGAATTACCGAGTCGAAGTCAGGGGAACAATGTAACGGGACACAGGCAGCGTGCAATTGTGTTTCAAAAACAATAGAAAAGAGACGGCTTTGCTGACATGCCACTCTTGAGACACGGGCGAGCAGCTGCATTGACCCACAGTTGCCGTCCTGGGCGCAACTCCGGTCGAATTGGCTGCCGTGTTCAGTTAGTGTGGCATAGTCCTGTTTGCTGTGAGGACTCGGTTTTCTGCTGTGCCTACAAGAGAATCTGGACAGAACAAAAATGTCTGCAAAAAAAATAGTGAAACACAGAGACAAAGCAACACAAAAGCACTGGGATGAAGTAGGCACGAGCACGAGATAACAAATCAACTCGCATTTTCACTTGATTAACCAGCAAGCGTCGGCTAGTGCCGAAGGTTCAGGATGTCAGTTTGATTTCCGATTCTCATCACTGAACGACTTATCTTTTTCATTGTTGGCACGAGAAATACGTCCGTAACATTTTTTTCTCTTACATTCTCTGATGCAGGTAGAAAAGCCTTGTACCAGATAAACTAGCTACTAATTGCACTTAACCTGCTTTCTTTTTTTTTTACTGATAGGAGCTGTTGGTTCTAGTGCCTCTCACGACGTGCACGCTCGAAAATAAAAATAGGAGCTCGCGTGACATTCTGTCCATGCATCTTGGGCCCATTCACACATACGGCGCAGCGCTACCTTAGCAGCATAAGTCACCGCTGGAAACGGCGCTGACTTTGCACTGTATCAGAAACAAGTTCCACAGCTAGGTTATGTTCAAGAAAGCGCTGCATGAGCACTGCTTCTAGTGTTGATTCAGTGCCAAGCTGGCGCTGCACCGTATATGCGAACCAGCCTTTTACTCGCGAGACAATACTTAATAATGTGGCCGCAAGGTACTGCATGGGTTTCTTTCGATTGGTGCACGCCTCACACTGCTTGTGTCTTGGTTGAGGTTAGGCTCTTCTAATGAGTAAAAGTGCTGCTTCTGTAGTAGAAGCGAGTACTGGGTTTGTGATGCGGGCAGCTGTCGTTTGTGGCGCATGCAGGCCCCTCGTTTGGGCCCGGGGGCAGCGTGGACTCGGCGCGGCAGAACCTGGCGTCGAGCTTCGTCAACGGGTTCGTCAACGCCGCCTTCGGCCAGGACCGCCTCCTCCTGGAAGACGGCAACAAGTGGCTCTACAAAAACAAGGAGCACGGTGGGATTTGCTTTCGTCTGCCGTTTTCCCACTCTTTCTGGTAGTATTTGCATTTGGTGACGGCATGTTTTTAAGGAGATGTCTAATTCAGGACGCAACTTAGGGCTGGTTTTTTAGGTCTAGAGCGTCGCAAAGAGTTATTCAGGAAACATGGTAGCATGGCCAAATCATGTGACCTATATTCAGAGGGAAAACTTGACCGAAGCAGTATGGGCATTCTTCGATGTCCAGTAAGTTTTCCTACTGAATTTCGGTCACATCACACTGAGTCACGTGACACTGCGTCACATGACGATGTGGCTCATAGCGGCGGCGAAAGCTAAACGAGCAAAACGCTTAAAATGGTTGCAAACAGGTAGAAGCAGGTCAAGACAAACAGGCGACTCATGGTGCGCCGTTTGGTTTTATGTGAAGCATCAGGTTTCATTGTTGGATATGTTTGAGCTGACAAGCTTCTAAAATTTATCTTACAAAAGTGTTGCGTATTACTATTGGTGGAGTTTACCACGTACCATCTAACACGATATAAAAAGCTCTAATCATTTGTTGTATGTTCAACTTTGGAGAACTAGCAAACTGACCCAGTGGCTCCGGGGCAAAGTGTTTTTCTGTGGATCTTTGGTTTGTGGATCCAAGTTTTGGCCGAGGTGCCTGCAATCTGACGGAGCCTCGGTATTGTGTACATAAGCGTAGACTTCGGGGGGGTATCGGGGCTCGTGCCTCCCCTGGTGAGATCCGGGGGGGGGGGGGGGGGGGGGGGGGGGGGCGGAGGCAGGCGGGCGGGCGGGCAGAAGGGCCCAGGCCATGATCCTTACCGAGACGCTGTTTACGTGCCTTGCAACGAGTTTCTAGTAGTGGCATGTAAACAAAAGAACGCCCACGTTGCCTTTATTGACAAAATACATGGGAAATGGAATCCCAGCGTGCTCTGGTTAGCTTCAATCTCCAGTTCAGGCAAAAAGATAACGCGCAGCACCCTCCCCCCCCCGAGAACTTCTCAGCTTGCCCCCCCCCCCCCCGGGAAAATTGAAAGTCTACGCCGCTGGTTGTGTAAGCACCATATACTAACCAGGTTTTGATCCCAACTCTGAGATCCACGCATACGGTAAACTTACCGTCAGTTCTTTGCTGTGGCATGCCTGGTGCCGCCAGGGGAATAAATACCCGACGGGTGAAAGTGCGTTGGGGTTTCACGAAGCGCCGTGCGTGCGCTCAACATCTGTCGCGGTCGCAGGCATGTTCAGTGCAACCGCGTCCCTCGGACTCATCCTCCTGTGGAACGTGGACGGCGGCCTGACCCAGATCGACAAGTACCTCTATTCTACAGAGGACTACATCAAGGTGGGTCGGTCTGCCTCGCGTACGGTTCCGACGCTGTACCAGATAAGGTCTAGTTATTAACGGGGCTTTCGTGTTGTCAAAATTCATTCAAGTTTTTTTGTTTTTTTTTAATGAATTTTGTGTTTTTGGTTTTAAAATTTTAAAGAGGTGGGTGTTTGTCGGGCTTTACGTCAAAGAAACGGGACATGGATATGGAATTCACCAACCTCCAGAGATCACGCTCGTGCCCAGAATGCTCGGAAGACGTCCTGGTACCAAGGAAAGAAGGAAACGAATTAAGGGGTCGGGTTTCCGAGAAACAGGTTGCCCCGCGGTTAGTTCGGTGTGCCTCTGTTCGAAGCAGACGCAAAATAAAATTGTAACTAAAGTTTTTTGTTAATTTTTTTTCTGGGAAGCTCCAATTTTTTTTTGGTGAAGGAAATCTCCACTTCGGGGTTTTTCAGTTTTCCCCCCGATGTAGATAAAAGCCGGCTCGCAGGCTACTTTTTGGGGTTTGTCGGTGTTCACCGAAAGCAAGAAACCCTAGTTATAAACATAGCTGATGCGTTGTTCTTGCATCATTCTCACTGGTCTGTCTGTCAATGGTCCTACTAAACCTTGTGAGATTCAACTGTTTCATCACAAAATTCCAAGATGAGGGAGTTAGCATTCTTTGACTGCCTTTCAAGTTTGCTAACCCTTACCACTTGTATGTTATTCTTTTTTTTTTATGCTCTTTAATTTTGTGTATTAAAATAGAAGTTGTTGAGCTTTACAGGCAGAGATAGTAGTGTATGTCTGATTTTGGGGATTTTTGTTTTAGGCAGGAGCCATTTTGGCGTGCGGCATCGTCAACTGTGGGGTCCGCAACGAGTGTGATCCAGCGCTCGCTTTGCTGAGTGACTATGTGCTCCACTCCAGCACCCTGATGCGCATCGGATCCATCCTTGGGTAAGTAGACAATCGTTCATTTGTAAAAAACGCCCCTCTCGAACTCGGAAGTGTGAACTTAGCAGTACAGTGGTGCGACTTGTAGAGCAGAAAATATGGTACTCTAGTTTGGTGTCGCAGCCTGCGTTTGAACGTGAGGTGCACTCTCCGATTTTCACAGGCTTGGCTTGGCTTACGCCGGCTCGAACAACAAGGAGGTCATCGTGCTGCTCCTGCCCGTGTTCACGGACCCAAAGTCCACCATGGAGGCAAGTAATAACATTGGTTTTTTTTTTCGTTTTTTTTTTTTTTTTTTTACATAGGTGGAAAAGTGTATAGTGCCGCTTTTTATTTAGTCGCGGTGACCTTGCAAGCCTTTTATGCGCGGGGGATGAAAACGTGCATTAGTTCTTGAACACGGTTAAAGTTGCACACGAATAGATGGGAACAAAGAAAAGAAATACATCCGCGTTCCTCTCTTTCCATCTCTTTGCGCTCAACTTCAGCCAGGTTCAATCGGTACCAACTCGCCCAACTGACGACCTTTACTGCATCAGTTCCTAGTTTCACAGCCTAGCTTTTTTATGCGAAAAGTCTATTATCGCTGGAGGTAGGTTACACGCACAACGAATTGGGCACTGTGGCACTCGACACGACGGATCCAAAGCACACGCCCGGCCGTGAGGGAACCTTTCCTATTGAGCATCTGTACCACAGCAGTCGTGAGCTTGGGCCAGCAATCTTTGCTGCGCTCAACGTTAGTGAGACTGAGTATGTAAAGGGGCGCGGATTTTCGAGATGGTAAGTGCGCACTGAGCGCTCTCTCACAAAAATGGCCTCTGGCAGGTGCTCGCTGTGACGTCCATTGCCTGCGGTATGGTGGCGGTGGGCTCGTGCAACGGGGACGTGACCTCCACTATCATGACCGCCCTGCTGGAGAAGTCCGAGACCGACCTCAAGGACACGTACGCCCGCTTCCTGCCCCTCGGCCTGGGCCTCTGCTACCTGGGTGAGGGGCATCGCCCAGCGTGCGGTCGGGTCGTTTCTGCCTGAGCGACCTGCTTGCTGGTGTTGCGTTGATCTCCTTCGAGAGCAGAAATCGATCGAGGAAACGATACCTGGTTTTTCAACCCAGGCGTTTCAGAGTCTCAGAGTTTCACATTCTCAGAGTTTCAACTTTCTGCGTCGCAGAAAGTTGAAACTCTGAGAATGTGATGCTGAATGCTAAAACCCTGTGAGAATGTGATGCTGAAACTCTGTGAGAATGTGATGCTGAAACTGTAAGAATGTGATGCTGAAACCCTGTGAGAATATGAGGCAGAAAGCTGAAACTCTGTGAGAATGTGATGCTGAAACTGTGAGAATGTGATGCCGAAAGCTGAAACCCTGTGAGAATGTGATGCTGAAACTCTGTAAGAATGTGATGCCGAAACCCTGTGAGAATGTGAGGCTGAAAGCTGAAACTCTGTGAGAATGTGATGCTGAAACTGTGAGAATGTGATGCCGAAAGCTGAAACCCTGTGAGAATGTGAAGCTGAAACCCTGTGAGAATGATGCTGAAACTATGAGAATGGGACACTGGCGGTGGAAATAAAACTCAGAAGTTTGAGCTCATAACGTTGCCTGGATCGAAAGAAAAAGAAAATTTCTCCACGAGCCGACGTCCGCCTGAGCTTAATAGGCATCTAACCGAAATTTCAGACTGGATGCCCGTGGCATTTATTTCAGTAGAAAAAACACTTGGCAACAAGAAAGAAAACAATGTTGTTTTTTGCGCTGACAAGTTTTTCTCACTGTAATAAGTGCTACGACACCTACAATCTCAAATTTTGGTTCGGTTAATATTTGCTTGGTTGGGTGTTGGTTTGTAGGAAAAATTAATTTTTCTTTTCCATCTTTCGATCTCGGTAACATCATATGCTGAAACTTTCGCTTTGAACCACCACCGCTAGCATAACATTCTCACTGAGCTTCATCTTTCTGCGATGTCTAGTTTATTTAAGCAGGCCAAAATATTGAGTTTCATTTTCTCCATCAATGTCTGTTGATGTACGGCAAAAAAAAAAAATATTGAAAAGTGGCGTCTGATATGCAAGCAATTGTCTAAACGTTTCCGAGTCGTGTACCGTCATGTAATCCTTACATTTTGTATGGAGCGAGCTGAAGTGTTACATCGAGAATAACATGCACCTGGTACGATTTCAAAGCGTAGCTTTTCTGTTGGGTATGGTTCCCACATTTATAGAGCGCAACTGACCGTCCAAACACAATGCAGGTTTGCTCTATATTTTAACTCAGAACTACATTTTGATGGAAAGTTGCTCATTTTTCGTGCTCGTCTGTGGCACGCGGGGCATGTCGCATGACGTAATGGGGTCAACAGCGTTGTTGCTGTACCTAGCTGTGTTGGCCGTCAAGCCGTGGTGTAATCTGACGTCAAGCTACGTGACATGACATTATGCGACGTCACTTGGATAATGAGTGTGCAAAGAAAACACAAAAAAAACTTTGCTTTGCTACATTTAGACGCTGTGTTTCCAGCTTGGTTTAGTGCTCTAAGGTGTTCTTTGAATATTATTGAAGATGATGGAGTCCCCTTGGGATCTTGCTGATTCGTGGAATTTTGCTTGGGGACGATCCAGGCAAGCAGGAAGGAGCCGAGACGATCACGGCGGCGCTGGAAGTGTTGCCAGAGCCCTTCCGCAGCATGGCCACAACCCTGGTCGACATCTGTGCCTACGCTGGTGCGTGCTTTTCTCTTCAGCTCTGGGTCCAAGTCCGTTGGTTTACAGCTTATTACCTAATATTTAAAGTTGCAGGCAAGGCACTGCTTTTTTGGGCGATTTGACGCTGTGGATTGGCATTGTATACAAGTGCGTGTTCATGTACACAACACCGAGTCGACGTCCATGTAGCAGATTTATCTTTAACCTGACATGCTGCAGTTTTATACGAGTACTAGTTGGCGATAGAACCGTGCTAATGCCTGTTTCTTGTAACGAATTAACATAAGGACCATGCGGCGTGTTGTAACACGCCCGACAAAAATGGAACAACCTTGTTTAGCTGCATCCTTCATAAAAAAAATAAGCCGTAGCTCATTAGTTTTCGCGTCTGTTTGTTTGTGTGTGTGTGCGTGTGTTTGGCACATTGGAGGTTTTCATAGCGGTGATCCGTGGTTGCGTCTGCTATGTTTTCAGGCACGGGGAATGTCCTCAAGATCCAGCACCTCCTTCACATCTGCAGTGAGCACTACGAGGTACAGGAGAAGGTAAGTGGCTTTTCTGAAACTAGCGCAATTTCTGCACTTTTTTTTGGTGTAGCAAAGCATCATCATATCTTACAGATAGCGTCTAGTATTACAACGCTAGCAGTTGTTGCAGTTGGCAATTTAGGGCACTCGTCAATGTTGCCAAATCCTTGAAAAAGGTTGCCCTCGAGAATCGAACCTGGGTTCGCCGCGTGCCAAGCGGAAGCATTACCACTGAGCTTAGCCACGGCGTTAGTGACCCGCTCTAGAGTTAGGGTTTTCGTGGTACCCGATTCCTTCTGCACACACTCTCTGGAAAAGATGTAGCCTGTAGCACAATGCCGTCATTGCACTGTCAATGTCGAGAGCTCGTGCCAGAAGACGCACTTTCACACACTCTGGAACAAAAAAGAAAGCATTCGGAACAAAATAGAACAAAACAAAAGCGCTCGGGGAACAAAATAGTTGTCTATTTTGTTCAGAATGCTGTTGTTTTTGCGCCCCACTGGCCGACGGCGTGCGAGTGGCGACGCCGATGCCCGACGACGTCGTTGTGACGTGTCGCAGCTGTTGCTCTAAACGTACCGTAGATCAACAAATAACTGTTCAATTTATTTTTTCACAAGCTTAATGTGCAATGATTTGATTTGGCTAAGTAATTTCATCCAGATAATTTCATTTCTGTCGAAAATTAAAAAAGATTTTATAGGATTGCATTTGTAAAGATCTACCTTAAGTTGCCTTCAGAAGATTAATATTTTGCTATGGAGCAATAAAGGTGCCAACTTTGCATTATCAAAAACAACTTACTAAATCGTTTGTCTGTACACAGCGAGCACCTCCTAAAAGCTATGCAAATATCATGTTAGTCATTTTTCAAAACCTTTTTTTTAAACCTTGAAGGAACTGAAATTGATAACATATTTTCGAAAACCGTGTCGAAGGAAATTGAAGGGTCGCAACATGTGTGTGTGACAGCCTCGATGCGACGCCGTCTTGACTCCTGAAACGGACAAGGTCTCTACTATTTTAATGACTCCCGTCTGGTTGTCCTTCATTTCCAGGAGGAAAAAAAGGATGACAAGAAGGACAAGAAAGAGGACAAGGAGGAGAAGTCGACGGGCCCTCCGGACCTGTCGAGCCAGCAGAGCGTCGCCGTTCTCGGCATTGCCCTCATCGCGATGGGAGAAGAGATCGGCTCCGAGATGGCCTTCCGAGCGTTTGGACACCTGGTGAGCGGTCTCTCTACACATTCCTAAAAGAATGGCTGTAGTGTTGAGTCTTGGATGTTTTATGAAATGTAAGTGATATATAAGTTGCCGTGGGGGGCACTCTGTTCAGTTTTATTTACAGAAAGGTAGGGGGTGCTTTCAATGTGATGCAATGCAGCCAAGCTGGAGTACCGTCAGGATTGAAGTGCTGCTGTCATCATACTTCAGTGCTACATCGTAGTTACAGGAAGAAAACTGTGTTGCCTTTTACACTGTAGACGACTCGTTTTTGGTACACTAACCAAGGTCGCAGCAATTTGGTCTCGCAAAATGCATGGAACTGGTAAAAAGTCTAACAATCTCCGCTCATTCCCACTAAGTTTTTTAAATTATACACCGATTCAGGTCGTGTCACTTGTCATTTGTCACATGAAAAGCATTTTTCCAATAAATATTGGTGGGAATGTTTATGTACATTTGTACACCAGTAGATCATACGCGAAATGCACAGCGCCATCTAGTCGGGCGCTGAAGAACATGGCAAAGGCCAAGCTGCAAAAGCAACAAAGATGGTAGCGAACAGAGTGTTGCCAAACGTTCAAACAATTTCGCGTACAGTCTATTGAGGTTGCATCGCACGGTGTTGATAGTGCGGAAAGCATTTTTCCACTAAAAAATTTAATAGGCCCTGATTTTTGTGTGGTCGTGTTGCACAGTTGCGGTACGGGGAGCCGGTGATCAAGAAGGCGGTGCCCCTGGCCCTGGCCCTGATCTCGGTGTCGAACCCAAGGCTGAACATCCTCGAGACACTGAGCAAGTTCTCGCACGACAGCGACAACGAGGTGGCACACAACGCCATCTTCGGCCTCGGCATTGTGGGTGCCGGTGAGCCACGCTTCGAATCCTCTTCAACAAACGGGCCTAAGGCTCACGAGAGTATGGCCCAAAGTGACAGACGCATGCGTCCTGGCGTTGCCGCGTGATAACATCGCATTTGTTGTGAGACGGCTACGCTGATGCGTCTCGCCATCCGTTGCAAGGGAGAACTGTGAGGTGCATGCTCTTGGGAACAAAGCCAGGTGACTTCGTCGTCAAGACCCCACAGTGCGTGAACGCGACACCGATGCCCAACGACTTCACCTTGACTGTACTGTAGCTTAACACAAAACTGCTCTTTTTTTTTTTTTTTCTTTTTTTTTCTTTGCTTTTACATATATTTGTTAGGGTTGTGACGTACAAAATGATACTCATACTTTTTTTTACTTCATTTGCGGTCACTTTGGCACCACTTTTGATGCACGAGCAGAACGGTACGCTAGACAGGCCGGTCGGACACACTTTCGGGGCACCATAGTTTCGCGAAGCCCGGCAACCTTGGCTTTGCAAGTCATGCAGAGGCAAAGAATACGGAGCACGCCCCTCCTCTCCGCAGGCACGAACAATGCCCGGCTGGCGGCGATGCTCCGGCAGCTGGCCCAGTACCACGCCAAGGACCCGAACCACCTGTTCATGGTGCGGCTGGCCCAGGGACTGGCCCACATGGGCAAGGGCACCCTCACCCTGGGGCCCTACCACTCGGACCGACAGCTCATGAGCCCCGTGGCCACGGCCGGCCTGCTGGCCACCCTGCTCGCCTTCCTGGACGTCAAGAGCAGTGAGTGGCCTCGCCGGAACTCCCTTGGCGATTCTGGCGGGGTATTGGCTTTGCGAGGGCGCTTCTCACTGCACACTGGTGCGCTGCAGTGAAGCAAGAATCGTAAAGTAGAGGTCTCGACTTTGCGTGTCGTGCTTCGCCGCAACGCAAAGTCGTTCTCAGGACATTATGTGTAATGTCCTGAGCAGGACATTACACATAAATTCTGAGTAAAACTGTGGATAGACTGTAAGATAGACTGCAATATCCTGGCAATTTCTTTTTATAACTTAGATTTAGCAAGGATACCTCGATATTGCAAGAATATTTATACAAACTGCCCTGTAGTTTCTTTTTACAGGGGAGCTGTTCTGGGCTAGTTCCCCCAGGGTCATGTCCGCCAGCAAACAAATGTCAACACAACACTCCAGACAGCTGCCGCCATCTATGAACGGCAACAAGACAGTCGGCTTGCCGGGTTGTCTGGTTGCCGCCGTCGCTCATAGATGGCGGCAACCTTTCCAGGCCTTTCCACTCTGGCTTGCCGACTTGCGGCCGGCCATTACTTCATTCCCACCATAGTACAGCTTCGCTGGTCTTCCTTCACCAGAGTGGAAAGGCTCAGAGACTTTTTTTGACAACTCTTTTGTTTTGTTATCACTTTCATATAGGTGGGAGTTAATTCAAACTAAATTAGCTGGAGCAGTGGATGGAAAGTTTGGAAGAACCTAACGAGTTTAGCCAGATTGTTTTTAAGAAATGCCGTTCACGTGCCAATTATCGTTACAAAGTTCTACATATAAAATGACCATTTTGGCTTTTTCCAATAACAAAGGTTGGCAGTGAATGCTATCCAATTTTTCTGTTTTCATATTTATAAAAACTAATTTAACTCAGTTTAATCCCAAATCTTGAATTTAGGTTTTTCTTTTTTATTATTTTTCTTTTACGGATAAGAAAGCTGTTGCACATCGAGATACGCATTCTCGCGTTGCACGGATGTTTTTGGCACGTCGCAGCCAGCAGCGGATGTCGACATCATTGTTTTTTTGCTGCAGCACGGTCATCGTAATACCAGTTGTACGAAATGCTCGCGTGACTGTTGCGTTTGGTGCCTCTTTGCAGTAATCTTGGGCAAGTCCCACTACCTGCTGTACTGCCTGGTGACAGCCATCCAGCCCAGGATGCTGGTCACCTTCGACGAGAAACTCCAGCCGCTGCCCGTGCCGGTTCGTGTCGGACAGGTCAGTTTGTTGGAAGAAATTGGTTACGATTATTCACTCCATGTTAAAAAGTGTTAGATCAGAATGCTCGATTACTTTGGCAAGTTTTCTGCTAATGAACTCGCTTTCTGTGGAGGTGTTGGTAGCGAGTATGCTTTGGCAGTGTTTGTATCGACTATTAAAGGTTGTGCCTTTTCAATAGCATTCTAAACTAACTCACTTTGGGTAACAACTAAGGCTTAAGCTCGGCTGTTACTTCAAAAATTATTTTGTTTAGACAAAAATCTAGAGGGACTGGGCAGAAGGGAACTAGAATCGCCAGACTACGCCCCATTCTGCACAACTTCTGCATCTTGAGCATGCGTTCTGTATTGTTCTTAGTCCAGTCTTCCCACATATTTCTCTCGAATCAAAAGTATGTTATTTGGCCTCCAAATACTTGTTTTTCTTCCGTAACTGGACCCGCAAACATATCCTCAATATTCAGCAATCGACTGCAAACACCAACTTTGTTTTTGTTGGCTGCTCCTGTGTTCCTTTACATGCTTGACCCACCCAAATTTACAAAATTTACTAGATTTTATCTAGTAACTTTCTAAACAAAAACAAAAAAAGTAAATCTAGTGTTCCAACATTTACTGGATTTCATTCCAGAGTAGAGTTTGTATGTTAGCACTCAGAAACCTACCTACGTCTAGTGTCGCTGTGTCTGTTGCATAATCTGACCCACAAGAGTAACTCTGATCTAGTCGAGTAAGATTTGGGTACACGTCCCAGAGTTGGTGGCTGTCTTTCTGAAACTGTCTTCTAGGGTCGTTCGAAACTTTGTTTGGTTTTGGCAGGCGGTGGACGTAGTTGGACAGGCTGGGAAACCCAAGACCATCACCGGCTTCCAGACGCACACTACCCCCGTGCTGCTGGCTTACGGAGAGCGTGCGGAATTAGCCACCGAAGAATGTATCCTTTGCTTCTACTTGGGTCTGTTTCTGCAAACCTTGATTGGCTATCGGTTACGTCGACTGCATCAAATGAGTGCAGTCAAGAGCGACATCAGAGAAACTGCGTTGCTATCACCATCGATCGGTAATAGTGCTTGTAAAACGCGGGCTTTCTGCCCATTCTGCGACGTGTTGGGATTCTTCTACCGCTAGCTGCGACTCTTCCCCCAATATTTGCTGCCACATTATTTTCTAGATGCGTGCCTGAGCATTCAGAGACAATAAGTAGTTCGCCAACATTCGTTGGCAAACACCACCATCTTCGATTTGGTTAGCACGTCAACTAAAGTAGGCAAGTTTGGTGGAGCCCAATTGCGCTTATCGGTTAGAGCGCTAGCACCACCGTGTGTCTCCAGTCAGCCGCAGTCATGTCGACTATTGTTGGCTCAGTGGCAGTTGAAAGGGCTCGTCTAGTAGGTATTATACTTTTGGACGACTTTTTGTGGTATTTTAGGTGTGAAGAGTGTGTGAACATTGGGGCACCGATAGCTTTGATTGCATACTTCCGAATGTTATCTTTGAGTGTGGAAGGCTAGTGCAATGTTAAATTGAGCACCCGCAAGTCATGCCGAAGTGTGCATCGACATAAGCCTGGGGTTAGCGGTGGCAAGGTTTATTTCCCACGGCTGACGAAATGGCCTAGTTTTAGAGCATGACCATGGAGAAAGTGGGAACCATCAACAGGTAATTGAGGTTAATGTGGCTTACGTGGAAAAGGTCCAAAAAGTACCAAGGTGCCTGGAATAACTCTGATAGGGTGGCTTTAATTCTGGGTGTGGTGCAAAAATATCCTGTGCAGTGTGTGTGTTCCTTGACCTTGCGACGAATACAGACATCTCATTGACTCCTGTGCTGGAAGGATTCGTCATCCTCAAGAAGAATGAGAACTTTACGACGTGAGAGCACATCGTGCATCCCTTTCGCGCCAAGTTCTTAATTGAATCTACCAGCTTTCTAACTTAATAAAAAGTGTTTTGCCTGACAAAGGCATCTCCTCTTGCACCGAGACAATGAGGCAAAACTTGGAAGGAGAAATTGTACCAAAATATTAGGGTGGGCTAGTTGGTAAAGTATGATGAATGCAAATAGTGCTGGTCCCATCTTCGTGTCTACGTCTTTGTCTGTCCTTCATACTATTTCTGTTTGTCGAGCATTTGTGACCCGCTCACTTAGTCTATCGGAAAATATTTGCGAGCAGGGGTATACCTTCCCTGAGCATTCGTGCAGGACGTGGCATTCCGTTGTGTTTTGCAATTTTTCCTGAAGGTTATATTTCAAGGTACTGCACCAGTGATCATGGTAGACAGAGAGGTGTTCACTTCATTACTGGTTGTAGGGAAAGCTGGTGTTCGTAAATGCTCGTTACTGGCGGGTGCATCTGCTCTAGTAAGAAACAATCTTTCTTACGGATCGGAAATCGGTTCTCAGCTACGAGTATGATCATCGTGCCACTTTTGGCACCTGTGAATGAGACATTTTAATTTTTTTGCATGGATGTTGCATCAGCTGCCATTGTGGTGGTCTTGCTGCTGAGAGCGTTTTGCAACAACGATTTTGTTTTTCCTGGCAAAGACAAGTAGGAACATTGCCTGCAAGCCACGTGTAAACTGCCTTTTTTGACCCGATGGTTTGGCAGGTTGTCTTCTATCTCGGAGAAACTTGTGTCATCTGGAGACGAGGTACAACAGGCACAAAATGAGCCCTTTTTGTGATCGAAGTTCCGAAAAGAATGTGCAATCAAGTCTGACGTTTTCTATGTATCATGTTTATTCATGATTGCGTGCAAAAGAAAAGGACCAATGCAAGAAAAGTGACAGCCTCCCCGTCCCGCAGGCTCGCTGTTTTGGTGCCCCGCCCCCGACCATATTCAAAGAGTGATTCGCTGAAACGTATAAATAGAAAAAGCGAGTGCGCGGCAGCCGCCGCCGCAGCAGAAATCACTTGTCGCAATCTAGCTCGGAGACAACGGCAGAGTCTCCGTCGCCGCTCTCGATGGGTGCTATCTTCAGGCCGGGCCGCGGGTTCTCGGTGCGGTAACCCCCCGGGTTCGAGGTCAGCCACCGCCAGAAGTCCTCGCCTGTTTTGGTGGAAAAGGACCATTCGTTTAGGTTGACACCGCCAACTTTCCAGAGTCGTCGTGGAGAGAAATGCTACGCAAAGTAATCGGCTTATTCCAGCCATAATATTCAACACCTCCACAGATGCATGGCTCAATTCGTAAATGTGGAACTGAAATACGAAGCATCCCCCCCGAAAGTACAAAAACACTCGAGAAACAAAGCAAAGTTTGTGCTGAATTCACTCCCTTTTGTGTCAATATAAGATCAGCTTTACGATTTGAGCGAGTGCTGACACATATGGGAGTCTTGGGACTCTAAACCGTTTTCAAAGCAAAGCGTGGGATGCAACGCTGTTTGGTTTAGCATGCAATTGCAGGCTTCGCAGATTGCATTGCAATGTCTGTCTGTGCCATATGCCGATACTCTGGAAATGTAAGGGTACTTTTGTACGCTCACCTTTCGTGACTTACTAAATTCACACCACAAGTTTTTTTGTGTTTTTTTTTCATACAAGACAAGAAGCTACTGCGTGTGTGTCGTACTGATCTGCTTTGATCCGACGATGGATGGGCAACGTACACATGCGCTCGATGCCGTGCTGTGCCTTCCAGCGCAGTTCCCTTTCGGCCAGTCCGCAGTCTCCCCAGATGGCGGGGATGTCGCCCAGCCGGCGGTCGTGGATCTTGTAAGGGATCTGCGAAGTTCAGGCCGACGGGATGCGCTAGAGATTGGTTCACAGATGCCTCTCACTGAGATAACATGAAGTTGGTGTTGAAGGCAGTGACACGAGGGCTGCCTCGGCGTGCCAAGAAAAGCTTTCTGTTCGTATTCAGTCTGATATGAATCTTTCTTGCTTGACGATTCTTTGATTTCAGTTCAAGACCGATACACATAGAAATTAATGAATGATGGACAAAACGGAAAATTAAAAGATATTTTCGGTATTTCCGCAGGAAAGATTAGATTTAAATCATTATTGTAAAACTGGTCCAATTTAAATTGTGAGATAAATCGTGATTTACATTTGGAAATCTTTATTTTTATTGCCCACCCTGACTGCGATGTATGGGTGAACGGGCCTAAAGTGTGACAGGTAGTTGAATACAAGCAAAATCCATGGGTCAGCTTCAGAAAGACTAGGTATATGTTCTAAACAATATCTCGGGTATTGTGTTGCTTTGAAACACTATTTGTTGAAATGATAGACATGCTAAATGGGGAATGTCCTGAGAGGGAACCTTGCGTCTCGTATAATTTTATGACAAACTTTGGCCCCAGGTACGGTAAAGTCGAGATTTTGGTTATCTCTTAAATTGGGTGCTGTTTGTGACATAAACACCATCAATGAGTAAATTTACTTTCTTTCACCATTCAAGCAGCTTTAGCGCAGTGATACATGTTGGCTACCTTAATCTAAGATTTCGTGAGCCGACTACGGCTGTTACTTCATAGAATGTGATTAGGCCCAGTGCACTTAGTGTTGATGTTTTGTCCAAATTGTGCCAACTTACTTTCTTGCCAGTCACCTTCTCGAAAGCATCGATGAGCTGTAGCACTGTGTAGCCCTTGCCAGTTCCAAGGTTGTACACCTGCAAAGACGGGGGAGAATTATGTTTTTATGCGTTGCAAGATAAACTAAAAGGGGACAAGCTTTTGCTCCAGAACATGCATTGATTTGGTAGCAAAGTTGCATCAAAGCTGTGTGCTGCAAGTTCCAGATCTGCTTTTTTCCCCACATAGCTTAATGTTCTTATTCTTAATGTGAACAAACATCCCAAACCACAGAAAGGCGATGGTGGAAGGTGGCAAGTTTCCAATTTAAGGTTGGTCACAAGCATTTTTTTTTAACTCAAAGTCTTGAGGTCATTCAATATACTAATCTTCTGTTCTCTGTTGGAATGGTGCAGTGTGGTTGTCTTGAACCACTCGACTTCATCTATTGCAGCTGGAACTGATAATTGAGAAGTGAAGTAGGTTTACCTTGTATCTGGGGTTCTGTTCCAGCTTTTCAAGGGCTGCTACGTGTCCAGTTGCCAAGTCCATCACGTGTATGAAGTCTCTCACACCTGTATTGTTCGGAAATTTTCTAGTGTTTTCACCGGGAATATTTTTTTACATTACTCACAATGATATAAAGCTTGGGGGAAAGTAGTGACAGGAGAACATGGGAGTGATAAAAAAAAAAAAGGTTGCAGAGAAGTCAAAGCTATGGGCACGTTCCTGTGCTTGCACACCTTGAGCGGTGCATGCACACTCTTCTCATCTCAAGAGCCAGAAAAAGTTGTCGTTGAGAATAATTGCTATAAAAGCATAGGGCTTGCAAACTATTTCAATAGACCTTTCACCAAATAATTAAAATGTAAAGAAGCAAGCTAGGATATGTTAGTTCCCTACACAGCTTCCATTCTAGCGAGCACTTTACAATTGCAGCATCAAGTTTGAGGGCATGCCAGAACTTCTGCTATATTAGTAGTATTTATGCTTGAAGTTTGCTGAAATTAGTAGTATTTATGCTTGAAGTTTGCTGAAATTAGCAGATTTTGAGGACCTGAGTGAGATGACTCCATGTGAAAGGTTGCCGCTGCAAAAACAGTCGCTTTGCGGGTGCATGCAATAAGGGACGCGGAGCAGTGCCAACCGACTTGTTCCGTCCTCGGTGTCGTAGTCTCCTCCGAGAATGGCCAACTCGGATCGCTTCCCTTGGGCCACCTCTCCGATGACAGGCATAAGGTTGGTGAAGGCCCTGATGGGGTCCTCCCCGATCTTTCCGGATGGGTGGGCCCCCAGGGGGTTGAAGTACCGCAGCGGGATGATGTTCCATTGCTGCGGTCGGCCACGTGAATGTTTGCAGACGTGCAGCAATCGATGTGTGCACGGTTCTAAACTGCCAAGTCACCTTCAAGACAGTATTCTGATATGTTGTTCAATGTGCACTAGTTCCTATTGGAACGATTTATGTACCCCCCCCTATGTAATACCCTCTCACGAGGGCCTTTAGGGGTAATATGAATAAATAAATAAATAAATAAATATATTTCAGCTTAATGGTAGATGATGGTTGGGTATTTTCTAATGGAACCTCGAAATTGTAACATCTCTCAAATAGGGCAGCTCATAAGTAATGAGACTGTTCTAGGAGCTGTCGACTTCGTGCAATGCCTGGATTCAGTTCGCCTACATAAAATGTTTGTAGAAGCATTTTTTTTAATGCATATGCAGAATGTTTATTATGCAGATGCATCAGTTGCAAAGCTACAAAGTTTGGTGCTATCAGTCACTGTCTGCTGGCATTTAACACAGACACTGAATAAAATATTTCTCAGTTGTAGTTTGGAATATGTTTAATAACATTGTAAGTCTGTTTTTAACAAAAAAAAAAAAAAAATGCTGGCCCAAGGAAAGAAGAAAATGAATTTCGGAATATTATCAAGGGTTTGGTTTTAACTTGCAGCTGGAAGCACTCACTTTCTCAGCTCTGCAGATGTCTTCAAGCATTTGCTCAATAGCATATTTGGTCCTTCCATAGACGTTGGTCACATTTCCCGTAGGGTGGGCTTCATCAATGGGCAGATACTGTGGGTTGCCGTAGACCACACAGGAACTGCTGAACACCATGCTGTAAACTCCATGTTCCTTCATCACCTGCCGGAATTCCAAGATCCAGTCAGTTCAGCCATTCAGCACGCTCGGATATCTGAACAGAGCACTTGCTCTCTTCACGTCCAAATTTTTCTCTCCTGTTGTGTTTGCAAATCGCCTACAAAAACCAGCACAAACTAACATTTTCTGGAACAACTAATGCTGAAATGTCTTCACTGAAACTGGGAACTCAAACCGAAAATACATAATTTCAAAAAAGCATATTTAGAAGAGTGACTGCAACAGGTGGTGCAGTGTTGCGGGGAAACACATTTCCTTCGATTTTATATGTTTCGGTCGG